TATGATAAATAAACTCAAAAATTATCATTGCTTTATGAGGTAAATAATGGCATGATCTATATACTTCTTTACCTTCAGCTTTGATATACTGGGTCTGGATCTCCATGGCTCAGTCCACTAACTATTAGTGATCAGCGTAGGTGTAGATGAGATTGGCAATGCCTTTAGTGTTACCTAAAACTGAAACTATAAGATAAATATGATAAATAAACTCAAAAATTATCATCACTTTATGAGGTAAATAATGGTATGATCCACATACTTCTTCACCTTCAGCTTTGATATACTGGGTCCGGATCTCCATGGCTCAGTCCACTAACTATTGGCGATCAGCGTAGGTGCAGATGAGATCGGCAACGCCTTTAGTATTACCTAAAACTGAAACTATAAGATAAATACCATAAACTTAAAAAGTGTCACTGCTTTATGAGCTAAATGACGGTATGATCGACGGACTTCTTTACCTTTAGCTTTCACACAATCAATGCAAGGATAGACAGATCATGAATGAAGAAGATATCAAGTTTCCACCGACACGAAGGTGCTCCACAACAAGTCACATAAATACGCCCGTAACCATTTGGATTTCATTTCCAGACCACTTCACCATTCAATCTTTGATCGACATCATGCTCCCCTTAAACGGAATCGCCTTGGTTACAGGCGCAGGTGAATGCACTCTCAGTCCCTTGCTGAATTTGGCTAAATTTTTCTAGCAAGTGGAATTGGCCAAGAATGTGCACTGGCTTTTGCAGCCCACGGTGCGGCTGGCGTGGTCCTCGTCGATCTCGACCTTTCCAGCGTGCAGGCAATCGCCGAGAAGAGTGCAAAGGTAGCCAAGAACGCTTCATACCGGCCCCTCCCACTATCAGTAGATGTGGCGGACGCGGAGCAAGTCCAAGACATGGTGTCTCAGACCCTGTCCATGTTTGGGAAGATTGACTATAATGTTAACTGTGCTGGAGTAAGTCAGCTGCAGCCCCAAACAAGATTCTGTACTGAGCCTTCTCTTCTAGGTATCCATGACTACTGCAATCTCATTGGAGAATATCTCCATGGAGGAATGGGAAAGGGTCAACCGTGTAAATGTCCACGGTATTCTGTACTGTATGCAGGCTGTGGGCAAGGCGATGAAGTCACAGCCACGTATTACATTTCCAGGGCGAAATCGCTCGAGAGATGGCGGAAAAGGGTCCATCGTCAATATAGGATCCATTCATTCGTTCTTATCTGCTCCCGGGACAGCTCAATACACGACATCAAAGCACGCCATGCTAGGCTTGACACGAGCTGCAGGTATGTACTGCTATATTTTCAATATTCTGCAGGCAGGACCTGAACTGACACAATCACTAGCCTTAGACTTTGCTTCTATGGGGATCCGAGTCAACGCGGTGTGTCCTTCATGGGTCAATACTCCGATGATTAATGGCAATGAAGAGCTTGCTCAAGTACATAAAAGTCTGACCAAAGTTGTCCCATTGGGACGAATTGCTGAGCCAGAGGAAATTGCGGATGTCGCTTTGTACCTGTGTAGTTCCATGGCTAGTTACGTGACAGGGAGTGCTTGGATGGCAGATGGGGGCTTCACTTCGTCTACAAAGCTTTAGTTTTTCATCAATTCAACACGAGACTGAGATTTTATATCAAACAATATAATATACCAATCACAATTACCGTCTAGTCAAACCAGGAAAATAGCACTTTATAAAAACGTTTGGGATAATGAAGGAAGGGCGCGTGCTCTAAGCCGGGGAACATGTGGAACGTGCATTTGGGGATGATGGCTGCGGTAGCAGGACCAAGCTCATCATAGTAACCCAGTTTTGCAGCGACGGTGGAGGGTGACCATGTATTTTTATATAGAATAAGGCCCTTCCCCTACCCATTTATACCCCATATATAGGTGAAAAGAGGCTTTTTATGAAATTTTTCTATGTAAACTTAATTATATTAATTTTTAAGACTATATTTTTAAGGGGTGGCCACAGAAGATAAGGTCTTTACCTATATGAGTGAGAGTACCAGTCGGCCGGAATGTATATATATATATATATGGTTTTCTCTATATTACCAGTATTCCCCCTCTATATTTCTCATAAAATCCGGTTTAAAGCATCTTACCATACAATCTACTATAGAGAAATACATACATAATATCAAATCCCAGATAAATAAGGAATAATATGGTTAAAAAGACATGCAGAAAATATCGACATACTGGACACACCATATAGCTAATTAGGTAGTGCCAAGAAAAATCGATTATACGGAATCGCCTTTATACGGACAAAATATTCTGTCAAAATTAATCCGGCTTATAGAGTTTTTTCTGTAGCCTTGGGGCTTGCTCGACTTGGAAGCCGATGTCGTCGGGGAGGATCACTCGGTATCCGGCAGCCGCCACGTGGCGCGCCGTGTCGGACCATGTAACACCGCAGAAGTTCCCGCCATGCAGCAAGACAGCTTTCTTGTTATCCGTGATGCTTAGGCGCTGGTATGCCCATAAACGCCATCGTAAGATTCTGGCACTGATTGTGGAAGTTGAAAAGCTTCACAGACCAAGGGTAGGCGTAGTTGGTTTGTAACTATTTTGAGAGACTCGGAGGAATCCATTAGATTGAATAAAGGTGCATGTTTAAAATGACCCATAACCACTATTGCACATACGCATATGTTACTGATCGGAGCCATTCCATCCGTACCCAGAGGAAGTATCAAAAAAGGGAAATGGCGACGAATGGAAGGGACCTAAATGTAATTGATCTGTTCGTCCCATAGCCATGCTCCACAGAGGATGACAGGAGGTATCGTCTATCAGCAAGGCAAATCATTAGTATCGCAAAGTTGAAATGAATCTCTAGGGGTGTATCATCAGAGAAACCATACCTCCAGCAATGTCACCTGGTGGCTGGTTGCTTACCATCATATCCAGTTGCTCCCACGAGTAGCTAAACGGAATGTGATTTGGAGGATGTGATAGCGCAATTGCGCAACCATGATAAGGCGAAGAAAGACTATGCATTATGTTTCTGCTAGATCCTGCTCCATCTGCCGTCTCAATAAATTGATCATGAGAAATTGATTGTCGAGGTTCCAATTCGAACATATGATTCTGAGAATTCTGGGAACTAGATGGAATTCGGGTACAAGGAACTTGCAGGTTATAACAAGGTGAACAAGGGCCTCCAGGGTCACACTTCGTCTTTTTATCCCGGCACCTTTGACACGCGATGGAGATTCTTTTCGACTTCTTAGGGGGCAAGTCGTGAAGCAAGATGTGCCGGTTGAGAGTGTCACTGCCAATATGTGAGTTGGCATCTAAAAGTAAAACTTGCCCAGGGCAGCATTTAAATACCTCCGCGTAAAGGAACGAGTGCACGTTGGGCACGTATATAGTCGAAGGTCTTTGTGGCTAGCTTGGTGACGTGTTAGATGCTCTTTGTGTTTAAAGGATCGAGAACACCCAGAGACACGACAGAAAAACGTGTTTTCATTTGGAGCCGGTTTATTAGACATCATTAAGTGAGAAGGGGAGAAATAGGGAAGATATTATGGGCGTTTCTAATCTAGCGAAAGAAGTTCTGGGCTGTCTAGATAGCTTTCTTTTCAAATACAAATCAGCAAACACTCAAAATCTGGGGCCGCGAGAGGTTCTAACACCCGCCTAAAGCCCTGGGTTTGCTATGAGCTACCACAATGAATCGTTACGAAGAGTTTAGTTCTTATTGACTCCTTGCTGCTAATTATTTTTTCTTTTCTGTTCCTTCTTGACCAGATAGAACACGTAATCTGAGTTTAGACTACATCATGGTAAAAAGCCTCTCTGATCAATGAAGCACACAGCAGAGCTGATATATAGAGCTTACGTAGGGTTCAGCTAGCCACCAAAGCTTCTGACAACTAGTGTCAGCTACTACTACCGTACGAGCTAATTATCGTGTGATCCAGGGAAAAAGGTCCGATTCTATATCTATATGAGACCGAGCGCGTATATACAACTAATCTTTAGCCCTGACGCTAGTCTAGATATAGTGAATAAAGCAGTACTTTTATGAGCAATATTTATATCGCTGGTAGCAAGAGAAATCTCGATAAAATGAAGCTATTCGCTGTAGACCGTGGATCGGCGGAATACCGGCGATAGCGGTAATTTCGTCAACAGGTTTCCATCCAAACCAAAATCAAGAAACACGAAGCAAAATTGCATATCAAAGAATAATTACATGTTGCATTCACAGTGCGCCTTTTCTTAAGACGACTAACTTGTCAGTGTTTTGTCCCAGTAAACACAAAAGGGAACTGAACTGCATGCAGACTCCACTGCATATATAGCGGTAACGTAATTACACATATATCAATACCGAGCCAGTATGTATTTATCAACCGCATGCCGCGGCATGCGCATATCGTATTCATGTATAAACTTTCAGCTTCATGCCTCGGTTGTAGCAGGGTGATTTGGCGCTCTCTCTTTGAATGAAACCATTGGACAGTACCGTCACATAATCAGTAATGCCAACAATCATCTCTATCTCCACTGTGGATAGTGTGGATATGTGGCTTGAAAGTTAGATCCTGCGAAATCTAAATCAGATGACCTTAGGCGCTGACCCGCTAAGCCCGCATTAGACATTATTGAATAGTGCGCATATAGACTGCTGAGAGCCAGGTAATGCCTAGCATCATGACACAAAAATCTTGATCTTGAGATCTTCCTCAGGAGCATGCAGATCTTGTCCCACATCGAGTGAATGTACTGATCTTGACATCAAGTCCATTGAGTCCTTTGCCACTTCATGCTCATTCCGTACACACCGTAGGCTGCGAGGATTCCACACAGAAAACCTTGAGGGAGCCGGGTCAGCTCGCTTGTCAGTCTGCGTACTTGCATTATCGTCAAGCCGAGACATACCGATCGTCTCAATCGAGCTACTCGCACTTGAGACTAGCTGTTTTCAGGTTCATATAGTTTATAATGGAGCAAGCAACTAGTCAGTGGATCGCAGCTGACGCTCTTCAGCTGTGTGAGCAGGCCGGTATGAGTTCAAAGATCCGATGTCATACACTTGGAACCCATTATTTTATTGTATTTGCATCCACCAACATCTCTTTGTCTCTGTAAACTGGACTCTTTGATTTTACTTGGACTACTTTTCAATACATCTACATTCAGCCTCACCACCATGTCGTCTACACCTCGATCTTGTTCAATTTCAACGACCAATGACAACGGCACTTACACCACCAACAGCAGTGAGCCTGTAAGTCATTTAGATGTTATTCAAGAAGAAAAAGGCTGACTTCCAATGAAGGATACATACGATGGAGTAGCAGTGGTGGGAATGGGTTGCCGTGTTGCCGGAGGTGTCGAGAGCCCCGAACAGCTTTGGGAGTTCTTGCTGGCCCAAAAGGATGGATCTAGTGAGATTCCTCCGGCTCGATGGGAGCCATATTACAATAGAGACCATCGGAACAAAGGAATTTTAAACAAAGCCACCACCGGTGGATATTTTGTCAAGAACCTAGACGATTTCGATCCTCAGTTCTTTGGTATCTCACCCAGAGAGGCCGAGCAAATGGATCCACAGCAACGTATCTCCCTAGAAGTTGCCTGGGAGGCATTGCAGGACGCTGGGATTCCTGCAAAGTCTCTGAAAGGAACCAATACCTCTGTCTTTTGGGGCGTCAACTCGGATGATTATTCAAAATTGCTCCTAGAAGACCTTGCAAATGTCGAGGCTTGGATGGGAATTGGAACGGCATATTGTGGAGTCCCAAATCGTATCTCTTACCATCTTGATTTGGCGGGACCAAGCGTTGCTGTTGATGCTGCTTGTGCCTCTTCTCTTGTCGCCGTTCACAATGGTGTCTCCGCAATTCTGAGCGGAGAATCCAGCATTTCCATTGTTGGTGGCGTGAATGCTCTTTATGGCCCTGGGCTCACTACCGTTCTGCAAAAAGCTGGCGCTCTGGCGCCAGACGGCCGTTGTCGCTCATTCGATGACGGTGCCGTGGGATACGGTCGCGGAGAGGGAGCAGGAGCTGTCATTTTGAAAAACCATGCTCAGGCAATAAGAGATGGTGACCACATTCGCGGAATTATCAAAGGGTCAGCCGTAGCGCACGACGGCAAGACAAATGGAATCATGGCTCCGAATGCCGTCTCGCAAACTCTGGTTGCAAAAAACGCATTGCGTGCTGCCAACCTAGAAGCCAGCGCCATTCAATATGTTGAGGCTCATGCGACATCGACACCATTAGGCGACCCCACAGAGATATCAGCCATGAGTGCTGTTTACGGACTAAACGTTGATCATCCATGCTATATCGGCTCCATTAAGCCAAATATCGGACATCTGGAAGCAGGTGCCGGTGTTATGGGTTTGATCAAAGCAGTTCTTGCAGTCGAAAAAGGAATATTGCCTCCTCAGGTAAACCTCAAAACTCTCAATAGCCGGATTGACTGGAAAAGCTCCGGTTTGGAGGTCGTCAGAACGTCGAGAGCCTGGCCAGAGACCGATGCACCACGTCGGGCAGCCGTATGTTCTTATGGCTATGGCGGGACAGTCTCTCATGCTGTACTAGAACAATATCAGGGGACCCTTTCTCATGGTATCTCCAGAACCGAGAACAGCCCAATGATCTTGCTTGTGTCAGCTCACCAAAAAAAGCGCTTACCAATTGTCGCTGAGCAGTTGTGGTCTTGGTTCAAGTCAAATGGAACCGAGGAGAACCTGGCTAGCGTCTGCACCACCCTGGCAACACGTCGTGATCACTACGAGTTCCGTGTTTCGGCGGTTATTCAGAATATTAATGAAGCTCTGGAAGTTCTCGACAGGCTTCGCAAAGGATCCACTGACAAGTGGATGACTGAAAGTCGCTGTTTGCCTCAAAACGCGAGCAAAGAAGCCGTATGGGTATTCTCAGGCCATGGTGCTCAGTGGACTGATATGGGCAAAGAGCTGCTCACCACAAACCGAGCTTTCTGCAAGGCAATTGAACCCCTAGATGAGGTGGTTCAGAAAGAGATCGACTCATCCCCTATTGAATGGCTACGCAATGGCGACTTCCAGTCAACCGACCGCATACAGATTTTGACATACATTATGCAAATTGGAATCGCAGCGGTTCTTCATAGCCAAGGCGTATTCCCAGATGCAGTCATTGGCCACTCAGTGGGCGAGATCGCAGCTAGTGTCGTTGCTGGTGCACTTTCACCAGTGGAGGGTGCCTTGGTTGTTACTCGGCGAGCAATTCTATATCGCCAGGTCATGGGCCAAGGAGCTATGCTCCTGGTCAACAAGTCTACTTCTGATGTCACCCAGGATTTACGGAACCGCGAAGACGTGGTTGTAGCAATCAATTCGTCCCCGTCATCTTGTGTCATTGCGGGTGCCAAAGATGAAGTGATGATGATTGCCGACATGTACAAGGAACAGGCTGTCAAGACATTCCGTGTTAAAACAGATGTTGGCTTTCATAGTCCTATGATGGTCCCACTGGGCGAACCTTTGCTTAGCGCCCTCCAGGACGTTTTGCATCCTACAAAGCCTTCCGTGAAGTTATATTCGACCGCTCTTGCAGAACCCCGAGGCCAGGACTTGCGAGACGCCGAGTACTGGATGGCGAACATGATAAATCCGGTCAGACTGACAGATGCGGTAGAAAGTGCGGCTGAAGATGGCCACAGAGTATTCTTGGAGGTGGCAAGTCATCCTCTCGTTTCGCACTCGGTAACTGAGACCTTGTTGGATGGCGAGATAGAGGATTTCTTAGTTGTGTCTACTCTGCGAAGGGATCAACCAGCTGTGAAAAGCCTTTTAAACTGCCTTGGTCAGCTTCATTGCAGCGGAGTCGAGATTGATTGGAAAGCGCAAGTGCCAGGACCTTGGGCTCAAGGCCTACCAACGGGACCATGGCTTCATCAGCCAACATTGCCCAAGGTTTCATCCAATCCCACGAGCATGGGATCACATGAAACGAACCAGCATAGCATCGCTGGGCACCGTATCGCCGTTGCCGGCACTGATACTGTGGTCTACACCAGTATGCTCGACAAGGATTCTAAACCTTTTCCTGGTCACCATCCTGTCTCCGGTACTGAAATTGTGCCCGCAGCTTGTCTTTTGAACACTTTTTTCAAAAGTACAAGAGGAAGACAGCTGCAAAATATTCATTTGAGAGTGCCCGTGGCCATCGATGTCCCAAGGACAATCCAAGTTGTGGTCCAAGGGAACCAAGTGAGGATCATGTCTCAACTCAGTCATACAGAAAATGCAGATGACCGTTCATGGCTTACGCACACGACTGCATCATGGAACATTACCTCTGCCTTGAATGAGGAGAAAATTGACCTGAGCGAGTCGGGATGTCGATCCAGAAAGCGTCAGCCAGACAGCTTCACAATAGACTACTTGGCCAGTGTCGGAGTGTCAGCTATGGGCTTCCCTTGGAAGGTGCTTGAGCATTATGGTGATTCATCAGAGATGCTCGCAAGAGTTGATGTGTCACCTGGTGTAGATGTACCCGACTGGGATCAATCATCTTGGGCACCATTCTTGGATGCGGCGACTTCTATCGGATCATGTATCTTCTTTGACGAAGCTCGCTTGCGAATGCCGTCACAGGTTCAGCAAGTCGATATTCTCACAAACCATAGTCCGCCGAAGCTTGGTTGGGTTCATGTTCGGAGAAACCCCAGCAGTGAATCATGCTCAGACATTCGAATCCTTGATAACCAGGGCGATCTGCTCGTCAAATTGACATCCATGCAATTCTCCGAGATTGAAGGCACCCCGGGCTCTAATAAAGCTGTGGGTGGCTTGGTCCACCGAGTTGCTTGGCCTCCAGCGAAGCCAGCGGAAGAGCCTCTCCGAATTGAACAAGTGATTTTGGTGTCGAGTGACCCTTCTCTAATGCAAAGGTATGCTGGCACTCTTCCTGGTCATGTCAAGTTGCGTCAAGTGTCAGGACCAGATGAGGTCCAGTCCTTGTTAGAAAGTACCGCAGAATCAACGGCTATCGCATACATCCCAGCCGAGGTTGCTTCCTTTGCAGAGGTGTTTGAAGCGACTAAGAATCATACTTGGCAGCTTCTTCAAATTATGAAGTGCGCTATTCACTCTTCTGCCCCAGTCAAGGTGTTTGCTTTGACGACAAATGTCATGCAAGGTCAGTCAGCAGCGGCACTTGCAAATGCTCCATTGGTTGGTCTCAGCAGAGTGATTGCAAGCGAGCATCCCGATGACTTTGGTGGTCTCATCGATAGTGAGAACTACGCGGTTCCTCTGACAACAATGAAGTACATTCAGGATGCGGATGTTATCCGAGTCCTTGATGGAGTACCACGAACTGCTAGACTGCGTGCTCTCCCGACAGATCGTCGAACCCAGCCAATATCCAGCTCTCTTCCTCGTCCCCAAGGAACATACCTCGTAACAGGCGGCATGGGTGCTCTCGGGCTTGCAACTGCCGAGTTCCTCGCGGAGAACGGAGCTCAACGACTCGTTTTACTATCCCGTCGCTTGCTCCCACCGCGGTCAACCTGGAATAATGTCCAAGCAGACTTACAGCCGATTATTGCCAAGATCCAAGACCTGGAGCAGCGGGGAGTATCCGTTCACACCTTGGCCCTGGATATCAGCGCACCTACTGCAACACGCGAGCTACTCAATGCATTACAAAGACTCGATCTTCCACCAGTCTTGGGTTTAGTGCACGCAGCTGGTGTTTTGGAAAATGAGTTGATACTGGAAAGCACACAGAATGCTTTCCATCGAGTTTTCGCCCCGAAGGTCAATGGTGCCCTTGTCTTGCACGAGGCTTTCCCTCCTGGTACTCTTGACTTCTTCATGCTATTCTCCTCCTGTGGCCAGTTGCTCGGATTTCCGGGTCAAGGATCATACGGAAGTGCGAACACCTTCCTCGACACGCTAGCTACCCATCGTCGAAACCTGGGTGAGAATTCGGTCTCTTTCCAATGGACATCCTGGAGGGGAATGGGCATGGGATGTGACTCTGAATTCGTTGCTGCTGAATTAGAAGGGAAGGGAATCACCGATATTACACGCAGCGAGGCTTTCCAGGCTTGGAATCGTCTCGCACAGTATGACTTGGACCATGGAGTTGTGCTTCGCACCCGCACATTGGATTCAAATGAGCCGGTTCCTTCTCCTGTTCTGCAGGACATTGTCACTCGCTCATTGGATATCAACACGCAAAGCGACGGGTCGGCCAAGAGGGAGACCTCGAACACGATTCCTTCTTCGGGGCCGGAGCTGCGGAATTATCTAGATAAGCAGATTCGATCATGTGTTGCCAGTGTTCTCCAGCTCTCTCCCAGTGACGTGGATTCGAGAGCTGCAATGAGTGATCTTGGTCTGGATTCTGTCATGAGCGTCGCCTTTAGACGGCAACTTCAGCAGACTTTGAAGATTCCTGTTCCCCCAACGCTGGCGTGGAACCATCCTACCGTGAAGCACTTGGTTGAGTGGTTTGTAAAGAAATTAGGTCCACAGAATGTGCGGTAACTGTCGAGCTCTAAGCCAACTACTTGGAGCTTGTTTCATTTAGTACTACATTAAGTAGCAGCGTTAATGTTAATTTCGAGATCATTCAATACAAGCTTTCCGACAATTTCACTTTTCATTGGCATTCAGAATGCTTTCCACTTTAAGTCGGATCGCATTTGCCAGATTACCCTCGCAGGTGTTGAACAGTTTGATCAGCCCAGTTGGAGATGACAATCTCCTAAACTCACTCAACAATATTTTTCACTCTACAACGGTACTGAGAGAGTTGCACATTTACTTCCTTGGCTCCCATTTCTGGGCAGCTTTTGATTTTAATTTTAGTAAGATTTTGCTCTGGCCGTGTCTCCTAGTTGACCCGAGTGATTGAAATGCTTGTCAAGGTTCGTTATATTCTTGGCCATCTAGTAGCACCACTGTTAATTCTTGAGGTTGCGGGAACGGATGGGGCCTTTTTAGATTATGAAAGGGGAGGGAAACGGCATGTAAGCTTGCGATCCATCTATAAAGCCAGACGTATGATGTATGAGTCACAGAACTTGTCCACGTTCTCTCGTACGTTGGTGATAGGTGTCTTCTATAAGATTACTCATTATCTCATCAAAACTTGCTTGGAACTGTCAATCTTTAGACATAAATTGTTGATATCATTTGCATACGGCTCTTCCTCTATTCTCTTGTGCAAATTTCATTTGATCTGGACCTGTGCTACCATCCCAGCGATATGTCAAGCATTGATGAACGATACATACAGACTTATGCAAGTGTCGATCTTTCGCGGGAAGAAAATGCCAATGTCCCCGAGCAGACGCTTGGAGTGGGAAATATATCCGCAGGATTTGCTACATTCAGTGGTACATTGAAGGCGAATATTCGGTGTCACTCAGCTGTTGTGGCTTATTGAACTTTATCTTAAAATTTGTTTTGTCCAAATAGCGGTGAAGTTGTTCACTTTGCCAATTGTCGTTTTCGGCATTCTTTAATCTCAGCTAAGAATACAGCATTACATGATTCAGCCTTCCAGAATGATCAAGCAAATTCCCGAATCACAGGGAAGAATAGATCTCGGACGGGTTCGTGCTCACCTCCTTTCTCCTGTAAAGTACAGTTGATCCACCTCATCATCTCTCCCCACTCTCTATTTATCACTAGTAGAAAAGATGCATCATGCAGATCTTAGGTAATTAAGATACCCACATTCTTTTTAAATACAAGCTTATTCTGTAAGTTATATAGTAATACCATACTGTACAGCAGCTCATTTACTTCATATATACACCATACAGCATGCATCATGGAGCGCTAGGGTCAGATTATGAGAGTAGCGCCACTTTCCAGCTAAAGATCGTCAATGATCTTCCTTAATCGATCTGAACAAGGCGTGCGCATCAGCATAATGATGCCTGCCAGTTTATTTGCTTATAAACAGCGAAGGATCATTTCGATTCTGTCCTACAATAACCTCATTTCTTCATGTCTTGCTCTCTAGCTGGAGTTGTACCGGGCAGCGATGCCAGATTCCCGGAAATGCCCTCAGTCAAACGCGACTCCGGTCCTTCTCTTCCCTCTAATCAGTCCACATCTTCTACTCAGTCTAGCACATCATCCATGTCACGGATTCTACCAAGTACAACATTTGGCAAGGTAGCTCGCTGGCTATCAAACGGTAGACTTTGTCGATTCCCTGAAGAACAACCTGGATTCACTCTCTCATCAGAATACCTCTCATGTCTCTCTATCGCCAGCTCTCAGACATCCACTTCAGCAACGGAGATACATAAGGAGATATTGAGCAACGAAGACCACCACTCCATCATCGACTCGGGGTCATCAAATCCAACGACTAGAGGGTTTCATCCCGAGATCAGACCCAACGGCACTATTTTGGTTTCCTGGTACAACCCTGAAGACCAAGATAACCCACATTGTTGGCCGTCATGGATTAAGTTCATGGTTTACTTTCAGATCAATTTCTACACATTCATCGTCTATATGTCGTCTTCAATCTTCTCGGCAGCTCAGCCGGAGTTCATGGATACACATGAGGTGCCTACATCAGTAGGCTCACTCGGCCTGGCGCTTGTTCTTCTTGGATATGGAGTCGGAGCTTTGCTGTTCAGTCCATTATCTGAGATCCCCGCCATTGGTCGGAATCCTCCATATGTCATTTCCATGGCACTTTTCGTTCTTGTTAGTGGACTCGCCGTTGCAATTGACAGTGTTCCGGGCTTTCTTGTTCTGCGCTTCCTTCAAGGCTTCTTCGGGTCACCATGTTTAGCCACTGGCGCTGCATCCTTGACGGATATCACAGAGCTAGTCAATATACCGTATGGGCTATGGATATGGGGTACCTGTGCAGTGGCGGCGCCTGCAATAGCGCCTTGCATAGCGGGATTCAGCATCACGGCAAATGGTTGGAAGTGGTCTATGTGGGAGATTCTCTGGGGCGCGGCGCCTTGTCTTATCTTGCTGGTTTGTTCACTATCCTCTCACAAGCGCTTTACAGTAATCATTAATGGAATTGTAGCTGTTCCTCCCAGAGACCTCGGTCCCTACAATCCTGCACCAGCGCGCAGCACGTCTCCGAACTCTAACCGGAAACCAATCCTTGAAAGCCCCATCAGAGATCGACAGCAGCAGGTATTCAGTCAGATCCCTCGTACACGAAGCACTGATTACTCCATGGAAAATCAATGCTCTGGATCCAGCTATTCTTTTCACAACGCTATACACAGCCCTAGTATACGCCATCTTCTACTCATTCTTCGAAGTATTCCCTCTAGTGTACCAAGGGATCTATAACATGAGCACAGCAAGCACGGGTCTTGTCTTCCTGGCAGCAATCATCGCCGTACTCATCGTCATGCCGTTCTACTGTCTTTTCATCCACTACTATATCGCACAACCCATCCGCAATGGCAATTTCCCGCCCCCAGAACGAAGACTCATCCCTGCCTTATTCATCTCCCTATTCGTTCCAACGGGGATGTATCTCTTTGCATGGACTTCGCGGGCTGATATTAATTGGACAGTGCCTACAGTGGGATTCATGCTTATCATGATGGGTGTGATAACACTTCTGCAGTGTATGTTTGGTTACATGGCTGTTGCATATCCGAATCATTCGGCGAGTTTGTTTGCTATGAATGACTTTGCCCGGTCGACTCTTGCTTTTGCGGCGATCTTGTGGTCTGGGCCTTTGTATCGAAATCTTGGAGTTGCGAGGGGGACCAGTTTGGTTGGGGCTTTGACTGTGCCGTGTGTTTTTGGGATTTTTATTTTGTATTGGTTAGGCCCGGAGTTGCGGAAGCGAAGTCGGTTTGCTGCCTGATGAGGTTTGTAGTAGGTGATATAATACTGACTGACTATGAATGAATATTTTATAAGGTTGTGAAGTGTTTCATATACTGGTCCCTATCATGACCACACAGTATCAGGAGGAAAGATTAGACGCTTGGGTTACTACCAACATGCAACTTAACATAGAAACCTTCAGACACATCATTTGTGCTAGGGTACCATCGTTCTCCCACTGAATTTTAATCAAAATCAAATGGTTCATTAATTTAGGAACGAGATCTCGACTCGAATTAGGTTGTGCTCCAGAAATCTTTCTCACGTAGGATATATATATTCTTAACAAAATAAGTGCTTGCCTCGTCCCTACTAGACTACTCTAGTCAAGTCTTTGCTTGGCTAGATTACCACCGCAGTATGCTACCATTGAACCGAACGAATTTTCCAGACGACGTGGTTTTCGTGAACACAGAATTTCTAGCCGAATGATGCACTACTAGAACTTCTTCACAACCAATACGCGCGTACAAAATCCAGACCTTCTGTGATCCACTTTTCGCCCAGTGTAGATTCAAGGTCAAAACCATGGCCGCCGGCACTAAGCTAAAGTGCAAAGGCATTTCGGGGTGGAGATTTCTCATCCTCTCAGCCATTTTTTCCGTGCATTCAGGACGCATCTGCGACCCATATAAGTATTTGCTGTTCTCCCAACTGAGTTACAATGGTATCTTCTTTTCCTTGAATTATCTACATTGGCGGGGGGCTTTTTGTTAGTCTCTCTGAGACCCTCAGATACACGTTTTGGTTTGTCCGAGAAAGTCGCGGATGCATCCAGGCCGATTAAAGGCCTCTGAGAGCTTCTAGTTTGTTCTTTGTAAGCGGCTTCGAATGAGTCAATTAAGGAGGTGGTTGATATACGAATTGTTTGGTAGCAAGCGATTCGACTGCTATTCGCTGAGTGTGCGCAAATGACTACATGAAGTATGTCTTTGCATTATACGTATTCAATTATGGGAGACGAATTGCTTGTCCTCCACTAAACCAGCAATTCAAGCTATATTTATATACAAGCCCTGTTTGCCATCGACGGCTATTCGCCCCTGTCACACAGGGTCTTCGCCTCCGCACTCTATTTTAGATCTTCTGGAACCATGGTCTTGGAATGACTGAGATATTGAAACCTAGCCCTTATTGATCTCCAGGCGTGTGGCGGTCGACCAGCCGTCGATCCGAGGTAGAGCGTTGACACGATGTTGAAGGTATTTAGCCCGTGATAGAGAGAGTATTCATCCTTATAATAGATAGTTGAACCCTTACAGTTCTATATGTTAGATTTAAGCTAAATAAGTGTTAATGTTCAGTAAAGTAAACCTCTGTTAGAAGTAGGGTAAAGGTCTAGTAAAAGGAGTAAAGCATATATCTGACATCCTAATATAACCTTGTATATCATCTAGCCGCTTTGAAGATATATACTTAATGATGAGAATTCTCTTCAGGGCACAGCGAGCATAGAAGAGGTCATGATTGCTGCGTGGCTATTATCAGGATACTCTCCCATCAATCATTTTGACCTGGTGAAACCCCAATTTTGCAAATGGGTGTTCCCAGATATGAAGTCTCTACCTGGTGTCCAAGCTTTATACTGTAATCGTCCTTGTTTGTCCCGTATGCGCGATTCTGTATTGAACAACTTTCGTTTTCTGCGAAGCATTTGAGCCACAAGACAATAAACCTCATTACATGATCTCAATCGACATGGTGTCAACTATTGGTAGCTGGGAATCAGACTTCCCGGACATCGCCAGTAAACAATTGGTTTGAAGGCACTGCATTTTTATCACGCATCTTCGCAGCTGTCTCAGCACCTGCTGCAGGTACTCGGACTTCAAAACTCCTGCCCGGGGCCGGTCGCTTCCCATTTGCAAGTGGATATGGGTAGGGTAAGTACTCTGGCATCAACCCTAGCTGTTTGAGCACAGTAGCCTGGTCCCATGTGATGTGTTCATGGTAGAGTCGATCTCCTCGGATATTTACGACAGCCATAAAGGGGATTTCCAGCTTACGGCCAGTTGGAGGAACTCCAGGAATCCTGTAGAATCAGTGGAAGAAAACGATTTGGAGAAGATGGGTGAACTTACAACTAGTCGACCTTCGAATCATGGGTCATCGTCATGATGAATTCATCCACTACACGGTCGATTCCAATGGTCCGACTTATAAGTTTGTTTTTGATATCCCGTGAATTGCTGAAGATAAAATGATCGCGATAGAAATGAGTGAGCTGGTCGCGGCCAATTCCCCCTGTCATCTGAAGAGTTTCAGTGATGGGGTTATGGAGGGCACTTGGACACATAGCACTCACGGTGGGAATATGATTCACATAAGGCTCCTGTACCATTGTGTTCATGGTATGCTCAACAGACCGATTGTCAAACTCAAAGTAGGTATGCTCTTCCCAGATGGCCTCTAGATCGAAGTAAGGGCCTTTCATGTGCCTCTTCAAGAAGGTCAAGTTTCTCGTGTGAGAGACCGCTTCTGTGGTGTAATCAATGTCGGAGGAACTGGTGAGTGCAAACGACTGGCTGCTCATGTTTGGGTAATCGTATTGCATCGTGTTATCTGTCCTCTGCAGCTGCATACTCGCTTGCCCAGAAAGATGCTGCACGGTGGGGATATTGTTCGATGTCAATCGAGCAATATCGGATGCTGACCCATAGATAGCAGCCGCAGTGATCCTGCTGATACCGGGAAGGGATTCTGCCTTCTCCCAGAGCTGGGAGTCATATGCTATTGACATCAGTTAGGAGGCATTCAAAAAGAGTGTGGCAAGGGGCAAAGTCCTACCTACGAGGCCGATGGTATCGTGTTGGACGCACTGGTCGTGCTGCGTTAAACTCTCAACGGCCTGGTTCAGTGTATACCCCCTATCCATCGCCGATTTTCGGATCTCGATCACGACATAAGCCTCTTCAGCCCACTTCAAGGACGGCGTTGGAACTCCATTGTTCAGAATTAGCTTGCTTGCTGACCCGTCAGGAAGTAAAATGATCATGCCAGGCCCAATGCCACGGCGACTCAGAGGTCGAAGCAGGCGGACCCCTGGTTCTATTTCATAGACATTGGGAGCAGGAGATGATGCCGGAGGAATACCAACTTCATTCATGGCGTTCTGGAACACGTTTCAAGTTCGTAGCTGCACTGTTGAATATTGCCAAAGCCTACTTTCTCTGTCAACAGGCGTCTGCCTAGTCATCTTAAGTAGGTCTATAATACCTCGCTGTGACCACCAGCCTGCCCTTCGAGTACCCATTCAAAGATGTGCGGGGTTCGGACCACAATCTCCCTTGTTTGCATAGGCCAGATGAACTATTCCCAGTTTGATTCCAACCGGGTCGGAGATCCGAACCTTTCAGGAATAGTAAACTGGCGACTATCCTGCATATAATCGGGAGGTGGTTTTCTGATCTGTGGCTGCACCTGCAACATCCAACCAAACAACGGATTAAACTACCTAAATTAAGCTAGACTGAAGTCGAAGAAGGGCCCACCAATCCACCCAGCCCAAGTTCTTGAATTAGAGACTGGACCAGCCGCTACACCTCTCAAAGCTTTCAGCCCGTATTGCCGTCGGAAATTCGGATCTTCGCGTATATTTTCCAGCCAGACCCCCAGCCTTGCCCGTCTTCTCGAGGAAACCCATTTACAATGTCGCCCATACGCAGGATTGTGCCAGCCACTGCTGCCACTGGTGCCATTAGTGTAGGGTTTGGCATATTCTACACAACGTCCGACATCAAATCAACACCCGTCTCTGCAACTGACCCTATCTTCAATTCCAACTTCTACAAGAGGTATAATCCCAACGACAATCCGCCGATCCATGACTTGCACGTCATCAGACTGCCATTGAACCAAATCGACTCCACGCTGCTGCAGGATCCGAACAAGCTGCTCGAAAGATACTGTGGGGGGATATGGGCAGGAGCTGGTAAGCATTGCAATTGTCGAACCACGAGCCCATCCTTAAAATAAGAATGAATAGCAACTAACCACACGCCCCTTATGTGAATTCAGGATTCACTCCACAAAGAATCCTTCACACATGGTTCGAGCAGCCAAACGCGAACAAGTCACAGCTTTGGTCCCGTGCCGAGCTGCTACAGTCTGATTACAAGATAGACACTGATATCGCGGGAAACTTTGAGGTGGTCGATCGGTCAGAAGAATCCATTCTCATTCGTGGCGGCGATAAAACATCCAACCGTGGTCTGCGTGTTCTCGATGGATTGATCGAGCTTACTGCTCGCATTGACAGGGAAAGGGATGTGGCAGAGTTTGGGTTCAAATCGCTTTTCTTCCAAGGAGCTGGAACAACGAGGGAGCTTCCGATGCCTGGGCCTGTGGTATGGTTGCATGAGCTGTATGCGAAGATTCTGTTGAGATCGGGTGTACGTTATGTCCTCGGATAGGGATGCAAACTGGACTATCATTTTTGATATTCTACAAAGTATACTTGCTCCCCGAAAAGCACGGAACCAGACAACCAGGCAAATCCCTCGCAATAAGACATTTGAACCGCCAGCCCGTGCAATGGCCTGCAAGCAGTACCTTGGGCTCCAGCTTTTTCAGATCCGCCATTGTAGCGTTCAGTTTGGCCTCGTCGGCATCCGCCAGGTGATACCCACCCACAACGCAGTACAAAGGGCTGCCACTGCCGAGTTTAATCGCATCCCGGCAAGTATTCACGATCCCAGCATGACCGCAGCCGGTGAAGACAACGAGTCCCTTGCCTGCATTACATCAGAGAAAGCTAGTCCAGAAAGCGTGCGACTGCCACATACCTTTGAGATTGCACATGAAATAGCGTTCCTCCATAATCAGCGTGTCGTCCTCCCATTGCTTGGTGGCGTCATTGAACCGGAGCCCTCCATAGATGCCATCTTCGTAGGTGGTCTCGCGCGGCATTTCCCCCGAGACGAGAAAGAAATCGTCCAATGCAGTATGCGGCTGGTCACTTTTTAGCAAGATGGCTCCGGCAGCTTCCAATTCATCGAAAGATGGGTCCGCTTCGAGAGAAATCGGGCGATCGGCCTGCACGCCTCGATAAGCAGGACGGTCCGGGTGAACGTCCACCACAACACCCTTTTCTTTATCGACGTTCTTGTTGATCAGTTCAATCGCCCTGGTGAGACCGCCTGTAGGTACCCAGACCGAATAATACACGAATCAGCAATGTGTCCCATGTGGTTGGCGCACTATTAGCGTACCTGAGTGATCTCGATGATAATGCGAAAGCGCTACATGCTCGATCTGGCCAATCTGGGCTCGAAGACGACTAGAATTTCTCTCCCAGACGTCACCTTCCGGCCCCGCGTCGAAGAGGAAATAGTGCTTCTGATCGCCCTTGGTGGCAATCTTTCATTCGGTTGTTAGTTTCAGTCCTCACGGAGATAAGAGCAAACCACCCACGAGCAAGGATATCCCATGTGCCGCGCAGCAGATGTTGTCCATGCGCATTTCCATTTCGGCGCCGCCTCGTTCGGTGTCAGAGTCCAGCGGGCTGAGTGGGATCCCCATAAAGCGGCTGGCTACCTGCACGGCAGGGTTGGGACTCGGCGAGATGGGGTCCAGCTCATCATTAACGATCACATGGACCTCGAGTTGGTCGATTTCGGTAAGCATGATGAGATTCTAAGGGCTTGTGATGGAGTTCTTAGACACGCAGCCATCAGTAGTGAGATGCATCCTCTTTCAATGGCTTTTATTTTCAAGATACGCTGACGTCATGTACAAAAGTCTGGGGTGAGACTATTCCTATTCTGCTCGGCAATCCGAATCTATAGGGACTACTTATGGAGTCGGATGGGCTCCGTGAAATCGAGTATTGCTGAAATATATTTCTTGGTGCTGCATTACAAAGTATTTCAATTAGATTCGAACTTGGTTTAAACGTTATAATCAATATCCTGACCAGTAATTAAAGGCTCAACAGAAACTACTTTACTATAAGTTCTTAAAGTAAAGCGAGTTAGCTAGCCGCTACTGGACAATCCCCGCCCATTCGACTCGACAAGTGTGATGATTTGTTATCAACCCGGCCAGTATTCGGCTTTTGGAACGGACCCACTCCAATGTATATCATTACAAATGTGGTAGTCACGATCACTCAGGCACTGTGGCATCTGGCCCTCGAGAAATAGCCCCTGGACTTCATTTCTCTCACACAGCCCGAACGGCATATATTATTTTACGAGGAGCACACAGTCATACTAACACTAGCTGGGAATGCTGGCTTATAGATCGGGTGTGATGCAGAATTTCCACAATGCAATTGGTGTAAGCACCATAACCTCGCGTGCACGTACAATCGAATAGCAGGACGAATCAAATCACGGTATGACATAGCTCTATAGCTCCGTTCAGATCTACATTTTCATAGCATATGAAGTGCATTGCCGGAACTTTGGCTTCCTGTCACACTCAAGAACGAATGTTACGAAGCTTCCAACTAACCAATCAAATCAGGAACCACATAGACTTGTCTTCTTTCAGTAACGTTGCTCAGTCAGAATCAAGAGGCTCCAAGTCATTTCTCTCTAACACTGGTTCGTGCGCTGACAACCTCACTTTCAGCCCTGGTGGATACTAATGCCACTGTGGAACAGGTGCCCCTGGACCTTGTAATTTATCTCTAAACCCACCGCTGGGGTTGCTCAAATCCGCAAATATTCACAGAAGCTTGACATTTTTCAGTGGCATCCATTTACTTTCTGATGAAGGCATTGAATGGATTGAACACCAAGTTGGAGATAAGGTTAACTGTGCCAAGCTAAACGCGCTGGAGCTTCCATGGACATGTCCTCGTCTATTGCACGACGATGCTACCATTTTATCTGACTCCGTCACTAAACTGCCTTGTCGAGAGATTGTTGAGCTCTATGTTTCACGGTATACCTCGTCATTCCAGAGCCTTGTTTTCCCTGTCATCAGCAAGTCTATCTTCACCAAGACATTAGATCTTGCTTATGGACCTCCTGGGGTATTTGGGTATGCCAGTGCCAGGGCTTGTGTCTGGTCATTTCTCTCGCTGGTCGGGATGTTCGGATTTGACATCAACACATACGGAGCCGTGGATTGTGGATCCTATATTTCAGAGGCCCGAGGGTTATTGCCCAGCATCATCCACGAGATGACGGTAGACGGCCTTCAATCGCTTGTGATGCTTGTAAGTCAAATATTCTCAGCTGCGTGACAATACACCTGTTGAGCTGTTTGAAAACGCAAAGCCGACTTATATATCATCAGGTGCAAATTGAGTACTTTTTGGGCGATCTCCAATCGGCTGCAGTTTCCATATCGATTGCGACTCGTCTTCTGTATAAACTTGGGACTCACACGGCTTCGGCAAATCCAAATCAATCATTGCATCCTTCTCACTATGACAAGTCAAGACTTGAATGCCACATGCGGGATCTTTTCTGGGTGTGCTATTCTTTTGACAAGGATATTTGCCTCAGAATAGGTCAGCCCCCATCCATCAATGATTCTGAGTACGATCTTTCACTTCCTTTAGAGTATGCTCGATTGCAAAACCTCAATATGCTCAGAGATAATATAGCATCTGACGATCGTGTACTTCCACTGTTCCCGTGGGACATCCGGCTGTCAATGATCAAATCGGAGGCTTATACCACTCTGTACTCAGCCAAGGCCCACTTCAAATCAGACTCTGAGGTTCTCGAGAGTATTCGGCATCTTGACGCCGCATTGGAGCAATGGAGGCTCTCACTTGAACCGGAAATTCGTCCACTGCTATGCCATACTCCGGATACATCCGTCAGAACAGGTTTGAACACGCAGCAAGTCATGCTATGTCTTGCATATTACCACTGTGTGTCTATAATTCACCAAGCAAGTGACAGACGCAATATCTCAGGACTTTTCCATGCTGGGATTGAATTGGAGGGGATCAGTTCTAGTGCGACAATTTCAACCACTGCGAGTCGCTCAACGCTTTCACTTCTTCAAACCACATTACCCTCATTGAAAGGCGAATGCTTTTGGTGAGCTTGAAATCTCTTTTCCATGGACGTATCTCGCTAACTACTGCCTTGTTCACTTTAATAGGGTTGTGCTCTTTTACATCTTAACGGCAAACCTAAGTCTCTTTTGCAAAATTCTCAGAGATCCTTTGCAACCCGAAAGCTCTCACGACGTAAACATTTTACAAGATATCCCCGCGTTATTGAACAAAATCCCCATTCGATATCTCACTCCGGCCGAGATCATGCACTTGAAGTTTTTGAACGGATTTACCGCGGAATTTGCAAGACTAGCGATGTGCGCAACGTCCAAAGCTCAATGAGAATTGGACGGGCCCGGGAATGAATGCACGTTGTTAAAATAGAAAATTCTATTTCAGCTGGACAAATTGATACCGCGTTCGGAAATTCTATATGAATCCTTAGTCTAAATTATTATAATATAGTTCTTATATACTTCTTGTGCGAGTCTCCAAAATAGGTCAGCGCCCGTCACCTGATGGTGCAGAATATGAGACTTTCAGTATTATCTCGGAAATACGACCATTGACCATCGGGGTACAAACACCAAAGTCCGCACAATACGTAGAGTGGCCCAGAAAAGCCCATTCAATGCAGGTTTGAGTGATTGCAATACATGGTCTATTTACCTGAATCCACCGAGGCGGAACATAGGCCTTCCTCTCCGATTACTCATCGGGGATGCGTTGACTTTGATTGGATGATACGCTGTACCCGCCTATATTATGTTCTTGTAGATGTCCATCATGAATGAAGGCTTCCACTTGATTAATCATTTCCTCGTAAGTTTCTTCTTAAAAATTGCTTAGTATCGGCAGATCATCGGTTCAGCGTAATACCGCAATTAATCATCCATGTCTCTTTTTCAACAGCGGAGCTACGAAGCTAGGAAGCGTGTTAAAGCCTTCACGATGCTGTCCTTCTATTTGAATCCTGGTATCCCTCTCTCCTTTGCAACACCTGTATCGCATACCCGCCATCCTGTCAAGCTTGCCCCATCTTCGCAATGCAAGCGTACCTTCAACACAATGCCATTAAAGCTTCGGTTCGCAACCAGCTCGATCGAGCCTATGAAGAGTCCAACCTAGGTCCCCTTGAGCTAGACAAGCCGGATACGCGAAGAGTACGAAGCTCGGATCAGCAACAACGACGACCACATGGAGATTTTCTGATGCCTGGAATCCAACTAGTGGAGGACAACAGTAGCAACCAGGAGCAATCCTATATCTTTCTCGTCCGCTGGGAAAATGAGACAGATGTGTTCAACCCGCGAAATTTCAGTCTTGCTACCAAAATGATGGGAACATTCATTTTGTCTGCCCTGTCGTTTGTGGCCAGCGCTTGGTCCTCCATTGAATCCGCAGTGATATCTCAAAGCAGCGCTGCCTATAATGTTAGTGAAGTGGTGGCTTCTTTGTTCACCGCGATATTTCTCCTCGGTTTCGCCGCCGGTAGCTTGGTCTCAGGGCCTCTTTCTGAGATCTTGGGCCGCAATGCAGTCTACCCCATTTCTACAACCCTTTTCATGATCTTCATCATGAGTTCCGGACTCTCGCCAAACATTGGGGCTAAGCTGGCATTCCGCTTCTTGGCTGGGGTAACTGGCCGTCCGCCGCTCACCTGTGCTGGGGGCACGGTCGCTGATATTTGGAATCCGCTCGAGAAGACCCTGGCGCTTCCTGTATATGCCGTTCTTTCATTTGGGGGTGCAATCGTAAGCCCTGTGATTGCATCCTACATAGGACAGGAAACTCTTTCCTGGCGCTAGGTCAACTGGATTGTTCTTACCATGGGTGGCCTTGTCCTCACCCTAGTGGTTTTTTTCCAGCCTGAAACCTACAGCCCGTTACTCCTGAAATGGAAAGCGAAGCACCTACGCCAATTGACCGGGGATTCACGTTATCGGTCGAAACTGGAGTTGGGACAGATTCCGTTTGTTTCCTGGGTCGCTTTGGCCTGCGGTCGACAATTCACCTTGGCTGTTCGAGAGCCGATTATCCTTCTATTGGCTTTGTACATGACCGTCCTGTATATCGTGCTGTTTACCTTCTTCGACGGATACGGATATATCTTCACCGAAGCGCATTGCCTGTCGCAGCCATTGACGAATATCGTATGGGTAGCGATGTACGTGGGGATCATGCTGGCAGGTTTGCTGCTCCCTGGGATATACCGACAGTATCGTAAAGCCAGCCTGGGCCTCAACGATAGTAGCGGTGGTCTAAACAACATAAGGTCTCCGGCGCACAAGTTGAGCTCCACTGACCCGGAGCATAGGCTCTAGTACGCTATCATCGGCGCTCCGGCTATCCCAATCAGTCTATTCTGGATGGGATGGACAGACTTTGTAAGATATCATTCTTCACTCCTTCCCAACCTCGAGCTACAATGCTCACCTCGACGTGTTCTTGAACTAACGATTCCCTCTTCCCTCTCTCAGAAAAACATCTCTATCTGGTCGCCAATCATCGCGTCCGCCCTTTTCGGCTTTGGTAGTATTTCTATTTTCATCTCCAGCTACATGTACGTGATTGACGCCTACGAGATCTATGCTGCTTCTGCGCTGGGTTTCACGACGGTGACACGCTACTGTGCTGCGGGCGCAATGACCGTGGTCGGAATCCCGTTCTACAAGAACCTGGGGCCCCAGTGGACATTGACCATTTTGGGCATCATCAGTGCTGTGTTGACGCCAGTCCCTTTTGTATTCTGGAGGTTCGGCAAGGTGATTCGGGGATGGAGTCGATATGCGGTCTCGGATTGAAGAAACTACCTATCATATCTACGTATACTATATAGTAACAAAAGGGTATCATTATGAGATATAATCATTTAAATAATAATATATTTAACATTATCCTCTTAAAGAATAATACTAGCCATGGGTGACTTGATATGAGATAATGATGCCGTAATCATGACTCTACCATCGACCATCTTACTTACCCTCCAATATCTATCCCCTTAACGATAGACATAATTCAACTTGACAATGTATCTCCGCTACTCTCTAAATCGTCTTTTTGTCAGAAAAATGTCTAGTTCCACCAAGTACGACACTATAATTATCGGCTCCGGGCAAGGTGGCACACCACTCGCCAGAGCGTTCGCAGAAGGCAACTACAAAACCGCCCTCATCGAGCGAGAGCACATCGGCGGATGCTGCATTAATGAAGGATGCACTCCTACAAAAACCATGATTGCTTCTGGAAGAGTCGCGCATTTAACCCGTAGGGGACCGGAGTACGGTGTTCATATGCCTGGTCAAAGGAGTGTGAGGAATGAAGTGGCGGTTGATATGGGAAAGGTTCGGCAGAGGAAACGCGATATCGTCGATTCGTTTCGAACGGGAAATGAAAATAGAACACAAGGTGCTGGTGTAGATATTCTGATGGGCGAAGCGAGCTTTATCGATGCAAAGACTGTTAAAGTCACGATGACTGATGGGAATGAGAAGGTGGTGAATGGAGAGAGGATCGTGATCAACACGGGTTGTCGGCCAGCAATTCCCAGGCTTGATGGCCTCGATGAGATCCCGAAAGAGAGGGTTTTAGATTCAACATCAATCATGGAGCTGGACAAAGTGCCCGGCCATCTGGTGGTTGTTGGAGGTGCCTATGTTGGCGCTGAGTTTGGTCAATTGTTCAGAAGGTTTGGAGCAAAGGTTACCATTCTGCATCGAGGGAAGCAATTACTTCCACGGGAGGATACAGAACTGGCAGATATGCTTCTGGATGTGTTTAAAGAGGAAGACATTACTGTATGTCTACAGACTACGCCCATTGGCGTTTCATCAGTCTCCAACGGATCGTTTGCTGTTTCTATCAACACCAAAAATGGCAAAGAGACCATCAAAGAGGCCACGCATATTTTATTTGCAGTCGGTCGAGTACCAAACACAGAGTTCCTAAGACCTGAGAAGGCAGGCGTCAAAACAGACGCAAAAGGGCATATTGTGACGAATGAATACCTCGAGACATCTGCACCTTCTATCTATGCAATGGGCGACGTCAAGGGTCCACCCGCTTTCACGCACATCTCATACGACGATTTTCGTATTCTGAAGTCATGTCTACTCCCGTCAGCCAACTCTCCAGTCACTAAACGGTCTATCACCGATCGAGTCGTTCCATATGTAGCCTATACAGACCCCCAATTCGCCCATGTCGGGCTGCACGAGCACGAGGCACGCGAAAAATACCCACACAAAAAGATAATGACCGCACAAATGCCGATGAGCTACGTTGCACGAGCACTAGAGACAGATGAAACGCAAGGCGCGATGAAGGCAGTGGTCGATGGAGACACCGGGCTGATTCTGGGATTTTCCTGTTTGGGCGCCGAGGCTGGAGAGCTGATGAGTGCTGTTGAGATAGCCATGGTGGGCAACATTCCCTATCAGAAATTGCAAGATGCAGTGTTTGCCCATCCTGCGTTTGCCGAGAGTTTAAATAATCTCTGGGGTTTCTTGAAGTGAAGTGATGCTCTTTTGTCCGTCTAGGTAGGGATATCAAGGGATGAGAATGTGATTGTTTGAAACATCAGCCAGGGAGGATGGATTATTAGTTCTCAAACATCAACTATTAATGACGCCTTAATTTAATTTTTTTTTTTTTTTTTTTTTTTTTGTCTCCCTGTAGTCCTTCCAAATGGAACCTCGCTCAGTTCTCCTCTGGCACGATTATATATAACTCTACCTAGTCCATGTTTACAGCGTATTCCAAGTACTATCCAGTGCCCATTTATCATTATGCTTAATATTATATATTTAATAATCACAGTGACGATATGTTTTTCTGTCGCTGCAGGACACGGTATGGCAATTGACCAATATGAATTTTAATGCTGACCAGCATAGATGTATCACTAGCTGCTTTTCAAGATCTGAATCTATTCGCACAATATTCAGCCGCAGCATATTTTGCGACCACGTTTGCCGAGGGCTCTAAGATGATGTGCTCAGCTGGAAATGAATTGATGATCCCAGACGAGAGGGTTTTTATCGAGGGAGTCTACAAGTGTGTATTTGTTTATTGAGCCGGAAATAATCTAACGTTGAATAGAAATACTACACTCCCTGGCTTTTTGGTGGTCGATTTAAGAAATCGACTAACTACACTATGCTTTCAAGGCGACTCTGGTATCGTTTCTAGATTTACTGAGGATGATCTTACCTGGAAAGAGATTGGGGTCTGCCATGGGTGCAGGATTGCCACCATATTCTGGAATCTCTGGCAGGAGGTCCATGATGAAGTCATGACTGATATCAAGAAAATGATCTCCTCGTATCCTCAAAATCGACTGGTCATAACCGGCCATAATTTCGGAGGATCTGTTGCCACTTTGGCTGCAGCAATTCTATCCGAATATGTCCCCGGACGGAAAGCAGAGCTGGTATGTTTTCCGACCGCCTGCCACCATCTGTGCTTCTGGTATTAACCTTTGAACAGTTCACGTATGGTTCTCTTCGCGCCGGGAATGAAGCTTTCGCTGAATATGTCTCTTCGAATGTCGACGTTTACCGCGTCACTCACAAAGCAGATGTCATTCCTCTGCTCCCCGGGCGAAGTCTAGGATTCAGACATCCTGGTCCGGAGTATTTTATCACAAGCGACAATGAGAGAATGGTAACTGAGTCGGATATTCGTGTGATCGAGGAGGGTGATTCTGCGACTGGAAACGGTCAATATGCGGTCATGGACGCATCATGGGCGGGTAACAAGTGGTATTTTGGGAATATCGACGCTGGGAAGGAATAGCTGTTAGTTTGATAGCTTCGAGAATGTTGTTTCGTCATACCTTGATTCCAGCCGTTTCCATTGATGACGGAAATCCAGATGTTCAAATTGAATTCCAGCCCGAAATCAAGACACGGTTTCGCAAACCTTGACGGGAGAAATCGGGGTGGATGGATATTCACCCGCTGTGGATAGTCTGCGAAAGAACTAAACTGACATCGACATCTCAACAGATTGCAAGAAAGATGAAGTGAAACAAAGACAGGATCTCAATCGTGTTGCCTCTCTGGGCTGTGGAGCAGCAGCAGAAAAGCACTAAGCGAAATGACAATCACATGCAAATCCCAACACTTTTTTTTTGCCTTTCGTGTCGATTCGCCATCAACGTTTTTATTTTTGTCGCAATTTGATGTACGCTTCGTGATAGATCACTTTCTATCTGGATTGTCATAATTGTCGCAGTTCAATTCCTCGAATTCGAGTTGTTTCGTGAGTCTTCGTGTGTTGTGCTGGTGGTGAACCCCGCATCGCTGGAATCCCCGACCATCCATTGCGGGTCGACCCCTCAACAGGCTGTGAATCAAATCAATTATCATGGATAATAGGATGATGATAATATCATAATAGACACAATGATAGTGATATCGCGATGAATGCTCAGGCAGCGGAATCGCCCGCAGATAAGCCTCGTTGCAGTCCATCCTGCCTCGATGCCTCGATGCGGGGCACATCCGCCACGTAGCATTTAGCAGCGGCCAGGAACAGCCACCTCAGGCTTCAGGATCAATGCCTGACTGAGTCTTTCTTGTCAGGCCAAATCAATTACTTATCAACCAAACTATCGCTAATGCAAGAGGAAATTTATCTTGAGCACGCGACCGCATTGCCGTCGTATGTCGTATGTCGCAAGTGGGTCGAGTGAAACCCCCGGATCTGGAATTTGCATGTGATTAGGGGGCCAAAGGATGCGCATCGACAGGGACAAAAGACAAGGTTTGCTTTAGCAGGAAAGTCGGTGTATGAAAGCAGATCTGTTGGGATACAGACTGAGTCAGTTGCTGGTTGCCGTTCACGCAATCGCAGAGATTGAGCAAGTACCCAGGAGGCAATCATACCAGGATGCCCGGGTGGCAGATGGAGGTGCATAGGCCAATCGGATCACCAGCGGATGATAGACACTTCTAGAAGAGATCAGGATAAAGTACTGCTGTGTAGTGTCGAACAGTAGGAGGGACGGTTGTTTATATATCCCCCTGCTGACGATATCTCAAAGTCAAATGAATGATTGGCAGCAGATAAGCATAGGAATCTCTCGGGATGATAGACTATAAGCACTCAAGATGAACGTATAACGGCCTAATTAATGGCATTTACCCCTCTGTATAGATGCCCAATGTCAAAATGAGTATCTATTATATACAAAACAACTACAATTACATAAATGAACAGCACTTCTATTCTATAATATGTAAAGTAAAAGAAAAAGAACAGTAATCATGGCCAGAGCGAACAGTAAGGTGGAGGACATGATTATCCCAATGCGCCACATCGCTCCATCGCAGCGAATCAGAAAATCCGGCTGGTCGAATAACAGCCAAAGAATAATCCCATCGAGTAAGAGCAAGCAATCCATCACGAATTGCATCCTCATAGGCTGCGCGCACAGCAAACAACGGTTATCAACCGCTGGACCCGCGGGTTCCTTGCCCGGATCGGGAAATTACCAGGGCACCGTTGAACTCTACCGCCTCACCACTATCGCCCGAGTTCGTATCGTCCCTGTTTCTGCTTCCTCTCGCTTTATTTTCGGGGCCCGGTGAGTTTGCCGTCCCATTCTTTTCTTGCCATTGCGACCACTATGAATAATGCGAATATTAATCCGCCCAGCCTGCATTTCGTTCTGGCCCGCCAGCACCGCCGACTGCGCGATGATCGCCGCATGACGGGTCCATCTTTCCTCCTCAACCACGCCCATCATCCTCGATATTAAAAGCCAGTCTTGCGCTCGTTGTTGGGTTCTTCAATTTCCCATTTTCTTGTAATCATGTCGATACTTGATACCTCCAAAGACCTGTCCGCCCTTTTCACCCAACAGGTCAATGCTACCCCCGATGCAATCGCCTTAGAAGATGACTCCTCCACATACACCTACTCCCAGCTAGATAATGAGGTCCATAGCCTCTCTACTCGTCTCCGTGCATACGGAGTCAGCCGCGACACTCTTGTCGGTGTCCTTTTGCCCCGAAGCGCCCATTATGTGATTGCCTGCCTGGCCATTCTCCGTGCGGGCGGCGCATTCCTCGTCCTTGAACTCGCATATCCGCCCGAGCTGCTGGCCGACGTGCTGGAAGACTCCAACCCCGCTGTAATTCTCACCCACAAGGGCGAGTCGAGCAAGGTCAAGGCCGACATCCCCCTCATCAACCTCGACGAGCCGGCCAAGGAGGTCAATGGCCACGCTAAAGAGCCATCGCCGTTACCCGCAGACGATGATCTCGATCGTCTGTCCTTTGTCGCATATTCGTCGGGCACAACAGGCAAACCGAAAGGAATTGCCAATCCCCACCGTGCGCCGGTGCTCTCGTACGACCTGAGATTCGCCATCCAAGATGTCCAGCCCGGAGATCGCGTGGCCTGCAATGTCTTTTTCGTCTGGGAAATTCTGCGTCCGCTTCTGCGTGGAGCGACGGTTTTTTGCGTGCCGGACGAGGTCAGCTACGATCCTGCTGCTCTCGTCGACCTGCTCGCCTCCAAGAAAATCACCGAAACCCTCATGACCCCTACTCTGCTGGCAACCGTCCTCTCTCGCCAGCCACATCTCACAGACCGTCTCCCCGAGCTGCGCACTTTGTGGCTGAACGGCGAGGTGGTCACCACCGATCTCGCCCGTCGTGCCATCAAAGCCCTCCCTGCAACCCGTCTGCTCAACTGCTACAGTGCGTGTGAAACCCACGAGATTGCATGCGGTGACATTCGGGATATGCTAGACGAGGAAGCTCTGTACTGCCCTGTTGGTCCCCCAATGGACCCCAAACACACATACATTCTCAACGAGAATGGTGAGAAACTAGAGCCTGGTGTCAGTGGTGAGCTCTTCCTGGGTGGCCATCTGCTCGCCCGGGAATATCTCAACCTCCCTGAAACCACAGCCAAAGCCTTCACTCCAGACCCATTCGATCCCACCCCGGGAGCGCGCATGTACAGAACGGGCGATCTGGCCAAGATTCTGCCTTCAGGACTGTTGGAGATTACTGGTCGCGTTGGGGCGATGATCAAACTGCGTGGTTACTCTGTTGTGCCCGCCAAGGTGGAAACTGACATTGTCAAGTATTTGGCCGTCAGCCAATGTACTGTAATTGCCCACGGAGACGGTCTGGATCGTCAGCTGGTCGCATATATCATCCGCGATAAGGAGGTTTCTGCTGATCGCCCAGTGGTCGAGATCAACGAGTCCGGACACAGCCCAGCAGCACGACGCACTCTCCTGCCATACCTTGCACACTACATGATTCCTGCTCTGTGGGTAGAAATGGACGAATTCCCGACTCACGAAGTGTCTGGAAAGGTGGATCTCAAACGCCTTCCTGCACCTCGCCCCTCCAGCCCAGTCAACGGGCAGACAAAGAAAGACCCGATCGGCATCGACAACATCGCAGCCATCTGGGCGCCAACTCTCAAGACTGCACGGAATCTGCTCAAACCCGAAGACAACTTTTTCGACTTGGGTGGACACTCCCTGTCTCTGGCTGATCTTGCCTCCAAACTGTCGAGGGAGTTTGGCTTCCGCATTCCCATTGCTCGTTTGGCCGAAAATTCGACTCTTGCGGGCCATTTGGAGACTGTTCGTTCTGTGAGAGATGGTCATACCGAAGCCGTGCAGGCCGATCTGCCTGCTGTCCTCCGCGCAGACTCTGTTCTTGACGAGGACATCAGACCTTCCAATGCCACCATCTGCTCGATTGACAAGGCAGACACTGTTCTTCTGACCGGTGTCACCGGGTACCTCGGTGCCTTCCTCCTCAACGACCTCCTGGAAAACACCTCCGCCCAAATCATCTGTCTGGTCCGTTTCAGCGACCCCGAACAAGACGACCAAGCCGGCGGTGTAGCAAGAATCCGTCGCAACCTGCTGGATATGGGATTGTGGCGTGACTCAATCATGGAGCGTGTCGAGGTCCTCCCTGGAAATCTGTCTCGCACTCGTTTCGGTCTTCTGCCCAGTGAGTTTGATGAGCTCGCTGCGCGTGTGCAGGTTATTGTCCATGCTGCCGCGACCGTCAACCTGGTATATCCGTATGCCGCATTGCGAGGCGCCAACGTTGGTGGTACTCGCGAGGTTCTCCGTCTGGCTAGCAAGGGCGGTGCTACTGTTCAGTATGTTTCGACTAACGGTGTTTTGCCGCCGTCTGGAGAGAAGGGCTGGCCTGAAGATACCATGCTGCCCGTTGATGATGTCCCTACGAAGTTGCTCGATGGATACGGACACTCCAAGTGGGTTGCTGAGCAACTTGTCCTCGAAGCCGGCCGTCGTGGACTGCCCGTGAAGATCCACCGAGCTGGTACCATCAGTGGACACAGTCTGACTGGTGCTGCCAACGCGTGGGATCTTCTGTCTGCCCTGTTTGTCGAGTCCATCAAGCTTGGCTACGCGCCTGACGTCGAAGGCTGGCGTGCTGAGATGACCCCGGTCGACTTTGTCAGTAAAGCCATCATCCACCTAGCCTCGCAGACTCACGCAGAACAAACCATCTTCCACCTCGGTGACCCCGACCCAGTCAGCACTCGCACCGTCTTCGAGTGTCTCACCGAACTCGGATACCCAACACAGCCTCTGGGCTGGGATGAATGGGTCGCCCTCTGGACCGCAAAGCGCAGTCTCGTCAAGGGTGGCGACGGCGGCTTCACCGTCGACATCCTCCGCAGCGGTATGCCAACAGTCGACTTCCTCAAGGGCATCGTCGTTCTCGACAACACCGCCACCCGACCCTTCCGAGCCGTCGTTGAACGCCCCAAGGTCGACAGCGCCCTCCTTGCAACCTACACCCGCCACTGGTTCGCGCGAGGCTGGCTCTCCAAACCCCCCAAGCGCCCCCACACCGTCAACGGCGTCATCAAAGCCATCAAACGCGGTCCTCTTAGCGGCCGCGTCGCCGTCATCACCGGCGCATCCTCCGGCATCGGTGCTGCCGTTGCAACCGCCCTCGCCAAAGAAGGCTGCCACGTCGCACTGGGCGCTCGCCGTCTCGACTCCCTCGAAGCCGTCAAGCGCAAGACCTCCGTCCACGAAGTGAAAACCGTCATCCGTGCCACGGACGTCACCAAGAAGGGCGACGTGGAAGCCCTCGTGCGCGCAGCCAACGACGAACTCGGCCCCGTCGATATCCTCGTCTCCTGCGCGGGTGTCATGTACTTCACCATGATGGCCAACAACTTCACCGAAGAATGGGAACGCACCGTCGACGTCAACTGCAAGGGTCTCCTGCACTGTCTCTCCTCTACGGTCCCTGACATGCTCTCCCGCGGTGCAGGCCACATCGTCGCCATCTCCTCCGATGCCGCACGAAAGGTCTTCCCTGGTCTGGGCGTGTACTCGGCCAGTAAATTCTTCGTCGAGGCAACCCTGCAATCTCTCCGTCTCGAGACGGCAGGAACTGGTCTGCGCGTGACTGGCATTCAGCCGGGTAACACTGCCACCGATCTGCTGAACATGTCGACGGATACAGAGGCAGTAAAGAAATACGGCGAGCCGTCTGGTGCGCAGATCCTCGACCCGTCCGACGTCGCCAACTCTATTGTCTATGCGCTGAAGCAACCTGCCCATGTTTCTGTTAATGAGGTGTTGATTGAGCCAAGAGATGAGCCGATTTAGATGAATCCTATTGCGTTTTAGCGTTTTCCTATAGATATTACACAAAGTTAGAATAACATGAATAATTACGATTATAAATTTCCATCCATGACATGATCAAATTATTCACATCATGTAATAAGGTAGAAGTGCATAATTAGTTAGTTGCCTTGGGAACACTTTACCACATCAGGTATGAAAGCCCATATGCACGCTGCATGCATATGCAGCTCTAAATTAATATTAATACTACCTAATTAACCATAGATAAATCACGCCATCCCCCATATACATAACCCCTCCTCAGACGACTCACTTCGCCCTCAATGCCAAAGAGGAAAGGTGGGATGGCTTGCTCACCGAGATCAATCCCCATCACAATCTCCGCCGATGAAGGATAATACCCCATACCATCGTTTGACGAATCATCATTTCGGTTATCGTCGCCAGATCTTATTGCGGATGCATTGAAGTCGCCCAATATCGTGCTTGCCATCTGTTCAATGATTGATGTCCTTGAGAGTAGGAATTGCAGAATCCAAGGCTGTGCTATCAGACGCAAACCCGTTGGGTATGGGGATAGAATGTACAGCTGGTCTTATGGGATGAATGGAATCATGATCGATTACCACATTAAGCCTCTTGGCGTTTTTTCATAAGTCGTGTGAACAGTATGTTCAGCCTGTGATGGAATGCAATCCAACAGCTGGTGATCTATGCCCACTGCTGATATCATGCTACTGGAATTATACTTTTCAAAAACACTCTTCCCAGCAGGTCTTGATGTGTGCATGCAAAGATGGCTTGTTTGATTGGACCGTAGATCAATGGTACTGTTATACCTGGTGATCAGTGGCCCTATACTATATGCATTAGAGACGCAAGAGTGCGGTTATAGCTGCTCGTGCAATTCAGATATGGGCCGGTGAACTTCAATGTATAAAAACAGTCCGATCCACATGGCGAGGGCATGTCCTGTATAGTCTTTGGCATTAGAGTTCTTTGAATCATGTATTGACTAGCTGGGAAGCTTGAGTCGAAAGAACCATACAGGTTCAGCTTGCACGAACCGGTGTCATTTGTAGCCGCGGTTGTTCCCACAAACCTTTCCGAAATGAACGCTGAGCTCAAGTTGCCAAACTTCTGATATCTCCACGTTAGGTCTTGATTCAGCTGTTATTGGGAGATATTTACTTACATCGGATGCGTTAAACATAGGAACCTCTGCATTAGGGGTAATATGGTTGTGTGTCAATCCGACGACTGTGATTGCACCAGGCGGAAAACTGGTTGCACAATTGCTACTAGGATTGTTGATTTGTATATTTCATATTCAATCGTTTCTTGTGATTTAATTTTTTGGGTTCCCATTGTGTGCACCATAGAATGCATTTATTATTCCAAGAGGTTCTTTGTGGGTGCTTTGAGTATGTACCTCACAAAATATATATAACCTCCGCAACTCAACAACAGTCTTCGAAACCAACAACATCGAAATTAAAAGCAATTCCTGCTTCTCTTCCCTGGAAGGTTCATATTTTGTTTTATGAGGCATAGGATATTTGAAATGGCGAAATGCGACCATCTCAATGATAGAACTTCTGATGGACACCTGCGATAATCTCTTTTTCCTCGGCCTTGACCACCCCCGTTCGATATCGATGATCTTTCGCAATACGTGCCCTGGCCCATTCTATTGCTGTCAGCATAATTCAAGTCTATGTTCATAAAACTCACCCTCTGCAGAAATATTCTCCAGCGCCTTGAGATCAGCGTCAGGAAGCTGCAAACCCAACCTCTCCAGCAATGGACTTTTCACCGGCTTCATCGTCACATTGGCTTCTGGTCGCGCAAAATAAATCAAACTAAGCCGTGGCTGGTTTGCTTGGTCTTCAGGGGGGCGCACAACCCGATGAACAGTCGACTTGAGAAAACCGCCACTCAGATACTCCAGCGCATCGGCAATGTTGACAATGATGGCGCCCGGGTTTGACTTGACGTAGTTCCATTTTCCGGAGTCGGAGTTTTGGACCTGGAGACCTGCGACGGGTTGATGGAACAGGAAGGTGAGGGTGTTGTAGTCTGTATGGCCTCTTGCCCAGATGTTGTTTAGTTGCTGATCTTGTTCGACTGTTCTGGGATGGTATTGCATGTATCGCAGATATTCCAGGCCTTTTGCTTCGTAGCGGTGGATGTTGATCAGATATTCTTCGTCGATCTCGAGGACGTATGCAAACAGGCGTAGTAGAGGCAAGAGTATTCGATTATGGATGTGCTATAGAGGTTAGCCTAAACACTAGAAAGAGGTGACAGACATACGAGTGAAAACTCTTTGATCTCCTCCAGATGATCCAGAATAACCTGAGGATGAGGCCGTTCATGCTCTGGGGTGAATTTGGGAATGTTATACCGTTCATCGTTATCCCTCCCAGCCAGATCTCCCGTGGACTGGGGTTTATATCCTCGAAAATCACCGACTTCTGAACGGCACAGGTATTTTAATTTCTCCTCTAAGGGAATCCCAAAGAATGCTTTTGCTATTGCATATTGCCGATTGACTTGTTCATCGGTGATGCCATGCCCGACGACATGGAAAAAACCATTCTTGTTGATGAAACGGAGAACTTGTTTAGCCAGGACATCTTTTCCGTCTAGATGGTCGAGAAGGGAAATATCGAGTGCTTCTAGCTCTATCCAATCCACTATATTTATTAGTTGTGAGTGTGGAATTATCCCTTGCATACATACATTCCTCGTTGGTCTGGGGAGGCGGGGCATAAGGCTCAAGTGCAGCCATTTCACCATTTCAGATATTTATTATCTAGATTGTAAAGGTGTGACGGTGATAGGAATGGGGTATTATATGGCAGCACCTTATCGTCTTCCCCGCATAGACATCCTTGCAGTCACACCATCCCTGACAGCCATGGCGTTGTAAATGACACCATCACAAGTGCCAATTGTGTATATCATTAGATATCGGCAATTCTCGTATAAGTGAGCCATTGTGGCCAATGGAAGAGATCAGATGGGCATGCTAAAGATCTAGTATGAATCCTTGCCGATAAAAGGGTAGTTAGATCAAGATTGAATATTATTTAAGAGAAGCATTCCTGCTTGAATCCTGGTTCCATATATCCAGCGCTTTTATCATGGCGGATGGTACAAAGCCGATTAAGCAAGGCATCACAGATGTCCAGCCAATCCCAGAGTCGGAATCAAATGTCGATGAACCGAAGACATTTCGACAGCGTGTTAAAGATGTGTTGTGGGATAGTTTAGACTATCCACCACAAGAACGACGATTGATTTTCAAGATTGACTTCTTTATTCTGTATTTTTACATTGAACATTGGCCCCTGATAAGATTTAATTCTAATTTGACTTTAGAACATGGGCAGGTCTTGCATATTTCTCGAAGAACTTGAACACGAACAATCTTTGTATGGACATCTAATATATTGCATGCTCAAATCTAACCTGTCCTAGCAAACGCATATGTTTCTGGAATGAAAGAAGAGCTCAACGTGGTCGGAAATGAGTACCAGACATTTACGACTATGTGGACAATGTATGTATGCTTTTTTTTTTTTTTTTTTTTTAGTGCTAAACTAAAATTTACAGTGGTTATGTTGTCAGTCAAATTCCATCTCAAATTATATGTACCCGAGGTAAGTAAAATATTATAAAATAAGAATCACTGCTAATCAACAGTCCGACCATCCCTGTGGTGTCCATCATGGGAATTGCTCTGGGTTGTAGTCACATTTGCAACGGCTGCTGTTAAGACGCCTCATCAGCTATATGCATGTCGTTTTCTAGTAAGTAGAAAATCTATATTCCATCCGGAATATTTTTGACGATAGCAGGTTGGTTTGGCTGAAGGAACATTCTATCCAGCCGTGCATACAGTACTTGGAGGATGGTATACAAAAAGAGGTAAATGGTAGTATTTTTATTCAAGGCAACGCTGACTGTTTTCAGAACTTGGAAAGCGAGCATGTATTTTCTTCGGGTCTGCATTTGTCGGCTCCATGTTTAGTGGCTATTTGGTATGTCAAATGCTCTCTCTTAGAACATATTCTAATATGAAATAGCAAGCAGCATTATACACCGGAATGGACGGCAAAGGTGGTCTATCCGGATGGCGGTGGCTGTTCATCTTCGACGGCGTCATCACACTGCCAATGGCCCTGTGGGGTATGTACCAACTATTTGCTTCACCACCGGAAACTAATTCCTCGCAGGCTATATCGCACTTCCCGATCTCCCAAGTACAACCCGAGTGTTCTGGTTGAAGCCAGCAGAGAAGGAGCTGGCTCAACAACGCATGGCTGCAGCAGGAAAAAAGCTCGATGAAGCTGTCACTCTTAGAGGCATCAAGAGAGTGTTGAGAAAGTGGCATTTTTGGGTGTATACAGCATACTATACGTAAGGCATCATATATAATCTTCTTCTAATACTGACAAGCGCAGGTTCTTCATTTGCAGTGAGAATATTGGAACTTATATGAATCTATGGCTCAAAAGTCTCGACAGGTGGGCTTGTCTCAAAACCTGGGCATATAACGTCTAATCAAGATAGATATACTGTCCCTCAAATCAACACTTATCCTACTGTCATTAACGCCGTCACCATCGTCACGACTCTTCTGTATGGTTGGACAAGCGATGCATTGCAGCTTCGAAGTCCGATTGTATACTTCTCTTTGACCGTGTGTTTCTTTGCAGCCATGAATCTGGCAATTTGGGATGGTGTTCCTTTTGGGCTGAAATGGACATCTTATTATCTTACTGGGTAAGTGGCCTTGTCTTGATATTGCGTTATCTGCTGACAATATCTACAGTTTCGCCCAAGGTTCGGGTCCAGTATTTCTGGTATGTTAGATTAATCGGACCCTTTGGTTGAATGGTTAACTGACTCGACAGACAATGGTCAATGAAGCCTGTGCTGGAGATAGTCTCGAGCGAAAGATTATTCTGGGTTCTACCAATTCCATCGCGTAAGTCGGCCATCGTGTTTCATGACATTTATTAATCGAACTAGATATGCATTCAATGCGTGGATTCCCCTTCTGACATACAACACCACATATGCGCCGCGATTTCTCGTTGGAAATTCAGTGACGGTTGCGCTCATCGTCTGTGCGGCTTGCACGTTGACACTGGCTGTTTATTTAGAGAGAAGAGATAAAAAGGTAACTGAGGAAGGAGAGGTTGAGTATCCTTGAACCATTCATCTATGGGAGTGTATCGAGATACTATGCAAGTATATATGAGCTAAATATGCCATGCCTATTGCTTATCGTAAAAAGCAACCCGCTGAATATGTTTGTCTGCTATTCAATATTGGTTTTTCAATCGACATGTTCCACAGTAGCCAAGTCATCGCTCTTAGGAACTGCAGCCCGGCCAATCTTTGCATTTCGCTGGACCTCCTCGTCTTCGTGTTGGATGAATTTGAGCGGTCGCTTGGTTGAGATGGCGTCGGGGTCACCGACCACGATGAGTGGTGGGTTGGAACGATAATAGGCATCCACATCTTCAAGAGTCCGGTTTGCTATAATGGATTAGCTTAAACGTCACAAGTAAATAGATGATGATGAACCAACCTGTCTCGGGGTAGAGGAAGTAAATAACCGGTAGAAATACTGCATTCAGCACAGTCCATACTATCCAGAATTTCCATCCGATACTTTGGATTCCAATCGGTGTGATTTCGACGATGGCAAAGTTGGTGATCCTATGAACGTCAGTTCAGGAACAATATTTATACAATAAAGCGACCTACCAATTTGTCGCAGTCGAAAGCGCCGCTCCCTTGGTTCTCATGGGCAATGAGTTGATTTCAGTCGGATACAGCCATGGCACGCCCAGCATACCAATTCCAAAAGCCACATGATACAGGAAGAAGAAAGCAACAGAGGCAGTGCCATAGATGGTGTTCTTCTCTGCAAAACACAGAAGAATGGTGATAATCAGAAATGCAAGGAACTGCCCGAAACCAGACAGCATCATCAGACCTCGACGGCCAAATCGCTCGACCATGGTCATTGCGAGGCATGAGAAGATGAAATACGAGGTTGCATTGCAGGCCGTCAGTAGTCGGGACATGCTATTGGAGAATCCCACCGAGTTGATGAGGACGAGGGGGAGATAATAGCTCATGATGTTGATACCTTCAATATGTAATCAGTCAATGGTCAACTGCTAATAGTAGAAATTTAAATACCCTGAAATTGTTGGATAGCCTGTGTTCCAGCACCAAGAAGCAATCGGCGAAGGGTTTTGGTACCGTCGGCCTTTTTTCGACTCAAAAGATCTCGCCACCGGACAGCATTTTCGCGCTCATAGTTGATGCTATATTCGATCTCATCATGCTGGGTCGTAATATATGGATCATCAATGGTCTTGGCTTCGATGCATGCAAGTACCTCCAATGCCTCTTCTTCACGGCCAAGCGATAATAACCATCTGGATATCCGTCAGAATTGCCCGGCAGAAGCAGGGACTGAGACCATACCTAGGGGACTCGGGAAGCCACGGAACGGTGAGAAATAGGATAATGATAAAGAATAACTGCAGAGCGATGGGCAACCGCCATGCAATGGGTCCCTCACGGAAGGATAGGCCATAATTGATCCAATTGACAATGCAGTAACCACCAACATTCAATCCGAGCTCGAGAATGACCAGTTTTCCTCGCCATTTCACCTGCGTGGTTTCCGTTTGCCAGATGGGCGCCGTGGATGTATTGATGCCGTTTCCAATCCTACACATTGTTAGTTTACGCCACTATGGAGCCTTCCACTAACATACCCCAGTACAATTCGGCCAACAAACATCTGAGCCAAACTGTATGATGATGCCTGGATGATAGTCCCGATTGCCATGATAAAACTGCCCAAGAGAATACTCTTCTTGCGGCCCAGTCGCTCGCCCATTGTAAATGCCAGCATGGCACCGAAGAAACAACCGACATCGTAAATAGCAGTGACTGTGGAAAGAACTTTGGTTTTGGTTGGACCGACGAGATCGTGGACTTCCAGGAAGTCTGGTGTTACTACCACGCCGCCTGTAGAGTATTAATAGTCTGTCTGTGGAGTAAGACGTAAGAAAATAAAACATACTGAAGACACCCTGGTCGTATCCGAATAGCATCATATCGGTAGCACATGCTACCTGCATTCCGTATGTTAAAATTATTCAACTGACACAAGGTACAAAAATACTCACCACAAGCCAAAAACTAAGCCATCCTCCGGTGAGCCCGAAGTAGGGTTTCTTCGTAGATGCCATCGTGACAAAAGTAGAGATAAAGGTCGATGTGAGAAGGGGTAGTGCAGGGAGTAACTATGAAGATAGGGAACATACAGCTCTTTATATCTTGTTTTGTCCGTGTAACAGTGGCCCGAGGCAGCGGCACGACCCCGAAGCCCGACCCGATGCATTCATCCGGCAATGGATTTGTTTGCCACGACATCACGGCAGTTTTGCACTGTATGGGTTTTACCTAATGGCAGTTGACAGTCTGGGGAATGCGGGGAAATGCATATCTGGGGTAGCGAAGATAAAGTTACCCGAATTTCCACGAATCACGGCGAGACAGCCGGGGTTGATTGTCTCGGCGATAATTCCGAGTGATCTTCTTCTTTATGCAGTCTTACTGTCAGCGATGTATTCCAGTGTGCACGGAGGACTCTCCGCATGGTTGCTCAGGGGTGATCTCCGCCACAGCAACGGAGTTAACACCGACGGCAATGTTATAACTGTGTAACAGGCCAGTTGCTTCTGGAATGACCCCTTCCCAGATCGACAAAATGGAGGCAGAGATGAGTAGCTAGCCGACTGACTGCTGCTCGATATTATAGAGGTTATAGTATAAGGCAGATTTAATCAGTTGATATGTCATTTCCATGGCCCACACAAACTTTGTAGAGTTCTGCTTCTTCGTACATCAGCCCCTTCAGTCAATTTCACTATTCATATCTCTAACCCAAGAACCGATGAGAACTCATTAAGCAATGCTAGTCAGCTCAGTCAGGATCCTCCCTGCCATCGAGAATATGGTGTAACAAAAAAAACAGAGTACATCTGCGTCGCATTCACAGAGCGCTGCCGCCCATCTCTTTGATGAATCTCTTGGCCAAAGGACGTCGTGCACTAGCCGAGTCACCTCAACACGGCCTGTCTGCACGGCGCTGGGCTTGAATTCGGGGAATCTTTCCGTAGCTTACGGTTCGTGTCTCAAAAGTTGTTGAGGAAGCTGTTGGTCGTCTCGCCGTCTCGAACGCCAAGTGTGACTGCGCCGACTGCTGGCGCGCCTGTTCTCTGGCTCCGCCGTAGCGGGAGGTGGTGAAGGAAGATTTCCATCAGGATTTTATTGGTATCTGTGCTCCAACAACAGGCAAGTATCCCTGTTTATCATGAAATCTACTATCATCATGATCATTATCATAATCATAGTCATCATTTCCATCATCATCAAACCGAAATCCCATTGTTCGATATAACCTCATTACCTTTGGTTCCTCAGGGTTACAAATCACCACTCCAGCCTTCTTCAGGTGATTGGTAATCTTGTTGTAGGCAACGTGGCTCTCATTAAGCGGCACCTTAGCTTCTAGCTCCATCAAATGGTGCGAACCCGCGACCACATCATCGAAGTCAGCCTGGTATCCCGTGATGTTGAGCTTCTTCCACTTTGGATTCCAGTACGGCCCAAATTCAACCAGCTCATCCCAAGCAACAGTAGTGAAATTTTCGGCCAGAGCGACTTGTTTCTTCCTCCACATTTGTGATCCCTTTATAGTTGATTGCTTCGCGCAGAAGAACGATGTGTCATTCCCATATCGGTCCCAGAGACATTTGGCATGCGCGACATCTGTTGTACTGGTATTGACCTTAACTTTCACCACGGAGATCTCCTTGCCTGCTCTGACTTTAGTGCGAAACATGAATCCCCGTGGCGCGTACATAGGAGGATGAGTGTCGTAGTAGCTGATTGGGTCGAGTTTATCTGGATCGTAAGAGTCTTCACCGAGCTTCTGGAGAACGGTCTGAGGGTTTTTATCGCAGATTGACCATTGGAGGCTTATTTTGTTTTTGACTTTACCCTCCGAACAAGGTGCGGTTGCCAGGAGAAAGGCGAAGAGAAAGTGGAGTTTCATCGTATTAAGCTTTTCAAGTGCGCACGTTTGGCAATTTTAAGGGCAGTATCCCGGACAGAATTCGGAGTAGATGTAGAAAATTTCCTGGGAATGGGCAGGCAAGTCTTCTTATGATATTTGAGAAAAAGCAAAAAGAAAAAGAAAGAAGCACGCACAATGCAGGGGGGGCATTCAACGTAGACGCTACAGATCGAACCCATGACCTTAAGATGACGAAAGGATCTACATGAAAACGGAAGCAACTGCAGGCGAATCAGAATGGAGAGGAATACCAAACCTGCTATCCATCATCTCGTAGAAATTGGACATTTAGGTCTTCGGTCGCGAACGTTATTATCACCCTGGATATTATCGACTCCCGATTCCCCGATCCTAAGCTACCCGCTCTTTTCAGGTTGACGCCGGGTCCCTCGGAGCGTAGCTCAAAGGCAAACCGGGGCTCGATTACTCGGGAGGTTTATATTTAGTCAGTTAACTAATTATTGCATAATTAAAAACGTGGAGGGGTCATTGGAACATCAAATGACGCATAACACTAATTTAGTTGGCGGAATCAAACAATAATCAAGCCGACAAATCTTTGTTTCGCGGCTGTAGACATGGCACCGCTTACACCTTTTTTTTACACTTCAACGATGACCCCCACATCAAATTAGGACTCGATGTGCACAGGCCAAAAAGGTAAGGGGGGAAGCCCTGTTATCCACACCCTATGGTCATATGTACTAGGGAACCAATGAGAATGAATTACATTGATGGTAATTTTTGCCTATATACTCAAGGGAACTGGATAATGGTATAGCAAATGTGTGCATGCCCATGAAGCCCTGTGTTAGCAGATTGTTACATTGTATTGCTTGTTTCCTCATAGGCCCACGATGCCTGGGTCATTTCCTGACCGATCGGATGTATGTACTTCGCAGCCAGGCTTTTGGTCATACAGAGATTGCTGTGAATTGATAGGACATGGTTACAGAGCGAGTATGCATTGCTTTGTATGATTTTATGCCACATAACAGTGCGTATCGGCGATATGCAAGATCTACAATCGAATAAAATATTTCATATTGTGAGTGCACATCTCAATTCTTGTTCGGAATATAAAGGTTTAAAGATCTATAAACATGATGCAGCATGTCTGCTGAAAAGTGTCACCTGAACAACTCCAACATCATAATCACCGGACCCCGAGTCGTGTATTTTTCTCCTCTAGTATCATCAGGCAAGAGACTCTCATCGCCATTCGCGATAAGTGCCTCCACGAGGGTACTTCTCCCCGCCTCCACGAACCCCAACCGACGATAAAAATCTACAATATCCTGTTTCTCAGGCTTCACCATAAGCCGCACCCGCACAGTACCGGGTTGATTGCGATACGACCTGAGATATCCCAGCGCCTCTCGACACAGCTGCTTTCCAATTCCCATGCCTCGGTGATCAGGAAGTGAAAATAAACTGAGCATTTGCCAGCGTTCCTCCTTATCATCCGCCCTCGGTGCTGGCTGACCAGAGTCGTCTGGGAGCGTGAATTCGTCCTTGGATAAGGGGCCTCGAAGAGTAACCTGGGCCACCCATTCCGGCTCGTTGGAACTGCCCTGGTCACAATTCACGAGTGTTGCAGCACAGACGAACGTCTCTCTCTCATCTGCGGTAAGACGAGAAGCCCACTCTGCGTCGGCAAAGGCAGACTCGATTGCATAAGTTGATGAGAAAGAGGTCGGCGAGAGGAGAAGGGCTTTGAGGCGAAGAGCTTTGTATCTCTGGATAGATGTGGTAATCTGATCTTGGTCCTTGGAGATGTGATGGAAGGAGTAATTGTAGTTTAAGGAACCCATGATAACGAGTAGTTTGGGATGGTTAAAGTTTGGGGGGATTTTGAGGACAGTAGGATAATAACAGATCAGGATTATTTTTAATTGACTATGCAAATGAACACAAGTATGTTAGTGATATTTATATATTCCTACCAATGAGCTTTCATGAGTCACCGTACAACGGTGAATGAATAGTATAGAGCAAATCCCGGCCCCAGAGCACGAGGAAAATATAAAACCCTTATTATTGAACCTGTTAAGATAAGCCAACATACCTGTGTCCACATTGCTGGAAATTGTTTGATCTGCGTTAGTCTGAGCTCTGGGTTGAGCTACTGAAGTTATTCATGTCCAGTTATCACCAAAGGTTAATGCCACACCTCAGATTCCCTGCAAACGTGAACCTTCTTAGCTCATCTACTCAATCTAGATCTCTGAAGATATGCCCCTGCAACAGAAACTTGACATTTATTGAGATGCTACTAATCCCTTCCACCTTGAGCTCTTTCTCATGGACGTTTTCCGGATTTCCGCGCTAGTATGGTGCGACTCGTATTGATGCCACAACCCTTTCTTTAGCTGCTCAGTCTCCCCACTATCATATATATGAGTCATGTTCACTGCACCTCTAGCAAGCACAGTTGCCATGGGGCTATTCGATTAAATGAGTATTGACGAAAGCACGTCGCAAATATCGAACTCCATTGTATGATCTTTCCCTCCGAAACTCGATGGATGACATCCTGCCTTTTCTGGCTAAATGTTTATCATTATTGGGTTGAATGGAAGTTTAGATAAACAATTTCCAGATTATCATCGATTGCTATGCCTGAATCTAAATTAAGTATGGCAGTTATTAACACATCCCAACTACGTCATATGTATGCAACTTATTCATTTCTGACACCCCAAAGTCAACGCCCAATACCTTTCTTGGATATGCATTGTTTATTACTGTACCTCTCAGGTAGTGTTCCCTAGCTGTATAATTCACTCTTGCCAGAATGCCTTCACGAAGACAAATTCACCAGACCCCTCCCGAAACCTCTTCTTCCAGAGTCATTCACCTGCCAGCCTCGGATTTCCATAACTGCTCTGCTCTCTGCTCATATATCAACGAGAGAATTCCCCAGTCAAAAGAAGACACGAAATTCACGCTGACCGAGGTCAACTCCACCTGGGCAGACGAGATGTTGAGAGTCCTAGGCGAAACACGACTACGAATCCGGTAAGGAGTTAATTTTCTTCTCCCAAGATAACATGATTAAACCAATTAAACCGTTCTATCCTTTATTGACTTGCTATTCCTTAGCTTCGAGTTCGATACAACTACACAGATCCTACAACTGAGAATAATGATATCTGAAATACACAATGCCGCTCAACTGTGGTACCAGGCCGCATGGATGTATTGGATGGCCTCGGGTTTGACAACGCGTGATGAAAGCATGGATATCCGTGGCTTGGGAGTTGGTAGTAAGTTGCTCTTTGCTCTATATGAAGCCGTCTAAGTCGAAATAGTGGGTTCCTTGTCGGGTAGTGGAGTTGACAAAGCACCCTATTTCATGGTTCGACCACGGAGAAGTCGAATTCCACGGGTTGTGTTTGAGTCTGGATGGTCCGAGTCACTGGACGATCTACATAGTGATATTAATAAGTGGCTGGTTGGTGGTGATGGGGCCGTTCAGGTTGTTATCCTTCTGAAATGGAGCAAGGTTGAATCGTCAAATCGAGTTCGTGGCTCTGTTGAACTGTATACACTGGCGAGGGATGGGACTCCAAAATTACAACAGAGAGAGGTCTGTTCATCTTATTTTGTTTTCATTCAAGTATCTTTTTCTGATCTAGTCGCTAGCAAATCTTCCCCATCCCAGCCGAGCCAGATACTCAACCCATCAGACTGACCCGACGGATGCTCTTTGGGTCCAATATCGCTCCCGGGAGGAATCCCCAGGATGCTTTCGCCCTCGATGTGGCCGTTCTTCGCGCCGATGCAGTGGACCTTTTGGAGAGGATGAACCGTGTACCAGCTTAGATTGATTTGCCTGATATCCCTACACGATTATGAAGTGACCAGAATTAGTATTTGGGCATCGCATAATACCATGAACATATCGGCCAGATATATCTGTATAATTCCATCAATCCTGTTTCAATCCCACTCTGCCAGCCCTGCGCATCCCGAAAAAGCCAATAACCGTGCAGAGAACCATAAAGGCGAACATCGTCCAGAAACTGGCTCGATATCCATCCATTAGTGCTTGTGTCTCCTGCTTGTTCGACTGATCAGTGATAACTGTCGAAATAACCTGCAGAACCGCGAGTCCGAGAGCACTGCCGAACTGTGCCGAGGTGTTGAAGACAGCACCTGCGAGGGCTTGAGTATCGTCGGGGAATACGTTTGTGATGACGATCAGCCCAACAGTGTAGAGAGCGTCAAAACTGACGGGCTGCAATAGCTGGGCGATGAATGCATTACCCCAGTACGGCCATGATGGCTGAATGACAGCCATGAGTAAGGGTGAGCCGGCGCAGAGGAGAGAACTAATGGCGACAATCCAGACGGCGGGAACTTTGTGTACGAAGAATCCAATGACGAGGTTGAGCAGTGAGCCAACTACGAGACTGGGAAGGATGCGAATGGATGCTTGCAACGCGGAGAGCGATTGGATCTCTTGGAAGCTGTAATCATGTTAATATATGAAAGGAAAGAGAATGATGAATAAGAACTTACAACAAGCTGGCAAAGAGCTCCATGGAGTTGATGACTGCATTTGACAATGCGACGGTAGCGCAGATAGTCGAAAAGGACATATTCTTCCAGACAGAGTTGGGAATGAGTGCTGGCCTGTTCCTCTTGACCTGGTATTGGACCCAAGCAACGAAAGACGGAGCGGCAATTACAGCCAGGCAGAGAATGACAATGTTTCCAGCCGATTTAATGCTGGAGGGATCCGCACTCACAACGCTGCCAATTGATTAATACCGAGAGCACCATGATGAAGGGCAGCTACTCACGCTAGAAGATAGCACAGCAGAGCCATAAAGGCAGAAGCCAGACCGGCGCCGACCCAGTCGATCTTGGTTTTGACATTGTGTAAGAGCTGTGCGTGTGTAAGAGTCTCGCTCCTAGGAAGAGCCCAAAGACCGACGACGCTGAAGAACAGGGTGATGCCACCAGAAATGTACCATCCTGCTCGCCAGCCGATAGTATCAACGAGAATACCACCGACGACAAGGCCGAGCGAGAAACCGAGGGGCTGACTGAGGCCCAGCAAGGAGAAAGCCAGGTTTCGGCCTCTTCCTTGTGGTAGAAGTTGCGTGATGATAGATACTGATGATGCCAGATGAAGTGCAAGACCAACACCCTGAAGAGCTCTTAAGATAACCAACTCTTCACCATTGCGAGCGAACCCTTGGCCCAGCATTAATGCTCCGCTGGCGAAAGATCCCACAAGTTCAACCCATCGTGGACCAACAGTGTCGGCAATTGACCCGGCCAGGAGAAGCGTAGAGGCAGTAGCGAGGCTACTCACTGACGATGGCCAGAAGGATAACGAAGATGACAACTGGAGATCTTTGGTGATCGTTGGCAAACCGACAATGACCAGACCATTGATCACGCTGGCCGTGAGAGTGACGGCGGAAAGTTGCGTTATCACGACAAACTGTTGTGACCGAAACCTGCCTGGTTCATTCTGTTTTGGCTGAACCTGGCTGTGGCGGTTTTCCAGCCGAAATGAGTTGACATTAGCCGTTGCAGTTGAAGTTGTCGTTGCTGTCGCCATTTTTGCAGTGTGGGATCTAAGAAGATTTCATGTCCATCGATGAACCAATGGCATTGTCTAGATTAGGTAATAGACTTTCAGGGCCCCATAAATTGTCATTGGAAGGCATGTTTCTTTAGCCGAATCGCGGCAAGAACCCGCGGTTTCTTCAAGTCGCCGAGGTGTCTTCCTGTCACTTTCTCCACATACGACCTCGCCTGCTCAATATGTACAGATTGTACTATTCATTCTCGTTATTTTCCGACAGTAATGGTTGAGTCGTTCGAGAACCTGAGGGGCAATTCTTCCTCGGACACGCCCCCGCCACTTCGCCGTGCTCGAGTCGCCTGTAAAGCCTGCAACGCTAGGCGAGTGAAATGCGATGCAGGCAACGGACAGCCCTGTTGGCATTGTCGCATCAGGCAGATACCTTGCGAGCTCATTGAGTCTAAACGGGGAAAGTATGTGATTTTTGGACCGTATGTAGAAATTGTATATAGAAGCTAAAGCGTGCCTAGGTATGCTCGGAAAGCTCGTCTAGCGCGAAACCCACGCATCTCTCGGCCGTCCCAAGATGTCGATATGCTTGCTCAGACAATACAGACACCTCCCGATACCGTGGGTGTTGACGCTATTCAAGACGATCGAGATGAAGGCTCTGAAAGACGATCCACCGACCAAACCCAAACTGGCCGGGCACAACCGGACCCCTGCAGTCTGTCCTACATTATCGAAATGGTGTATCGCCCTGAGGGTGGTTCTGCCGAACCATTGAAAGTCCATTATCCCATCCCAGCCTCTATCGCAGATCGACCAGCTCCTTCTCATCAGCCCGAGCTGGTCTCATGGCAAGATGCACTCACGCTGCCAGAGCGACATGTAGCTGATAAGCTTGTTCATGCCTTCTTCGACATCATTCACCCGGCATATCCAGTATTCGATCGACGGAACTTCACCGAATTGTACCTCCAGAGTCAGGTCTCTCCATTAGTCTTACAGACCATCTTCCTTCTAGGCTTCACAGTGGGCAGCGATACCCTTGTCCATGAGGCTGGTTACAGGGACCGAGAAACTGCAAGGAAGACGCATTACCTCCGTGCAAAGACATTGTATGATGCCGACTACGAAACTAATGCCACGATCGTCGCGGCGGTTCTGTTCCTTCTTGGCTTTTGGTGGGCTGGTCCTGAGGATCAGAAAGACTCGTGCTTTTGGATTGGATGTGCGACAACTGTTGCCCAGTCTGTGGGAATGCATCGATCGTATGTTGTATGAGTCTGTAAACTCGAAGCTATGTTAATATTTTCTAGCACATCACATTGTATAACGAGTCAACCAGCCAGGTCCTTGCGGAAGCGAATCTGGTGGTCGATATATGTACGTCGTCGTACTGACTTCGTATGTTCAAGAGACTAATATATCCTAGACCCGTGATCGACATACATCTGCAGCCTTTGGTCGACCGTTTCGTATCCGGGATGAAGACTGCGACGTTGAACCACTTACTGTGGACGATTTCAACTTTGACAACGACTACGACCAAACACTCATACCCGTGCAGAAAGACTTTCATACATCATACGTCATCGAAATGTCGAAACTGGCGAGAATACGTGAGTTGAAGGAAATGCTCATCTTGATGACACATAACTTACCCAATTGCCTAGTCGGAGATATCCTCGTCGGTGAATTTAGTCCTCGCCGTCCTGTACTAGAACGATTCGATACAGCAGCACTGGCAGGCCAACTCACACAATGGGAGTCGCAGTTGCCAAGCAATTTACGGCGAGCACCACTCGATGAGTCTCTGGGTGCTCCATTCTGGGCCAGCATGCTGCATTTTTCCTACCATTACTGCCAGATTCTTCTCTTCCGACCCAAGGTAATCCAGAATTTGTCTTCAGCAGAGGCTGAAAGGGATGTACGGGCACGTAAAGCTGCGGACTTGATCACCCGTATTGCGGAGGACCTTTTGGCTGGAGATTTGATCCGGTTTGGGCAAATTCATCTGTATACCTCGCCCACCCTCCATTGTTCATACATGCATGCTGATCCTACATGCCAGTGTCCCGGCTCTGTTTGGTGCACTGTCGATTCACACCATCGTCATCTGTCGAAATGACCACATCCGTCGCCAGCTCGCCGAGAACAAGTCACGGCAATGCGTGCTGGCGTTAAGTGAGCTGGCCAAATCGTGGCCAGTCAAGATCTGGATTGCAAAGGCATTTGTCAATTTGATGAGAAGACTAACGGGGCAAGGATCCGCAGGTGGATCGATCGTCAATGTGTCGTCCAGCATCACAACTGATCATAATAGCGTGCCGTCGTCAGGCCACTGGGGGTTATTGGGACTTCAGTATACAACTGGTAGTGGGAACATTGCTACCCAAATAAACGACAGAGATCAAACTGCCCATAATAGTCTTGGGGCAAGCATACAACACACCAACCTCAACGCGTGCCAGCCTCGAAGTCTTCATCCATCCGACTATCTTTTACCTGCCACCGACCAGCTTCTCAGTGACTCTTTCTGGGCTGGTAGTCTCGATAATGCCATTGATCTTGATCTACTTTTGCATAACGGTCTCGGATCAATTCTATCCACGCCTTATGAAGGATTAAACGCAGTCGATAACCCGAATCCTCAAAATCTCTAGCCATTTCCATCAAGTTTCGACCGCGAACCTGCTCCTTTTCCGAAGCACCTTCCCATACTTGAAGAATAGCCACGGAAACGGCATCATGACGACTGTGAGGAATGCAAGAAGACTAGTGGCCCACTGGTGACCCAGCTTCTCGTACATTTGATTTCCGAATAAGGGAAATGCAGCTTCATGTATATTAATTCATATATTCAGGCCATTATTTCAACAATGTAACATACCGGCAAAGGAGCATCTTGCACAGCCATTTGCAGCGAGTGCGGATGCGGCATATTGTGGATAGGCATCGACCTGTACATCGTGAGCATATGTCAATAACCTCAATACAACAAACATACAAGAAATGTAAAAACTCCTGTGAACACCAACGACATCCTACCCGATCAATATTTAGTTATAGGAGACAAAATGATAAGTGATGAATCGATAAAAGTCAACACTCACCCACACCCAAACACCGCAGATCCCATAATGGGCAATATCCAGTGAATTCTCGAGTCCGCCGTCCACCCAAACCAAAACAGACCGACGGGAATAAGTACACCACCCAGAATAGCCGGAGGCAGTCGGTACTCTGGCTCCCCATCTCCAGTTTCCTTTTCGTGTTTCTCCACCAGATGCTGTCGGATCCTGCACCAGATGGGGCTACCAGCAGCTGCGATAATCATCCCAGTTATGATTCCTGAAAATGTGAGGCCGATTTGCCAGAGGTTCATATTATAGGTTGCTTCGAAGACAAGACGAAAGGCACCGAAGAATAGGTATAAGATACCCAATAGAATAGCCGAGTAGAGGTCCAGGCAGAGACACATGGGTTCCAGGAACAGAAGTTAGAACGGTCGAAGAAGAGTGGGTGCTATCGACCTGCTTCTAGCCTTATTGGTACCCTCCACAGGTGCCTGGTATTGGTCCTCGTTCGACTGCTTGCAACTTCTTTCTTTATCACGCAGTATGATGGAATGGTATGTTTCCGGCGCAAAGAAAACAATCGCCAACCATAGAACGACAGACCAAATTATCATAATATAATAAGTCCACCTCCAATGCACATAGTAGTTAATAAAACCACCCAGCAAAGGCCCCAACGACGGTCCAACCAGGGGTGTTAACGACACAAAAGCCATCGGGGTCTGGATCTCACTACGCGAGAAAACATCACCGACTGTTCCTCCTGCAACAGATAGAAAGGTACCTCCAGCAAAGCCGTTAAAGAATCGGGCTATAATTATCGTTTCGATGTTTTTTGCAACGGCAGACGGAATGGTCCAGATGATGAATAGAGACCAAGACACAAGATAGATGGTTCTCCGTCCGTAATTCTCGCTCAAGGGGCCTGTTAGTAGTGGGCCTAACCCGATCCCCAGGACGAAGGTTGACAATCCGACAGTCGAGACTAGGGGGTTTATATCAAACTCGGTGTTTAATTGCGTATATGTCGCTGTGTAAATCGAACTGGTGCATGTCCTAAAGTCATAGATCAGAATATCAATTTCCTTCAAAGTACGTCAGAAGGAATTTCACTTACACGCATAAGGTTCCTGTGCAGATAAGAAGCACGATAATCCATTTCCGCGCCAATGACATGCTTCGGGGGCTCATGAGGTCTTGGTCGCCATTGAATACATGGGATCTCCCCCGATCAATAGTATTCCTCATCATATCCGTGCTTAAAGGAATGGGTGTTCAGGTACTAATTGACATAAAATTCCATGTCATATGAGATGAATTGACTGTTTGCCTATAGTCATAGTGTGCAGCTGGCTTGACTTGAAATTATATAAATACTAGACTAACTTCGGGGAGCTCCGCCATTCTGCAAGGCCAAATATCAGATAAGGAGAAAGGCGAGGTATTCCATATCAAGAAACCGACCATGTCATTGTTGGCACAGGCCCACATTTGGAAGAACCCGAGGTTATTAACTTCGCACATCCACGAGGTTAAATTGACCCCACTTCCCATGGAAGAATAGAAATGTTGCAAATCTTTTCTACTATTGGAATATCCCATTTGAATTATTCCCATGAGTTCGGCCAGCCAAGAGCAATCTGTGGAGGTGGTAGTTTCCCAGCATCGGTTATCGAAAAGAGGCGCGTTCAATTTCGCCCATCGTGATGTCTGGGGACCACGAGAAAAGTCCATGGGAAACCCATGGTCACCAGCAAATCCAAGGGGAACGTAAGTTTAGTCCTATCTTTCTTCAAGCAGTCTATACTGATGCTATATAGCGTCATCCTCCGTCTAGCGGAAAACAGTCTTCTCCATGAAGATATCGCTGAGTTCATCAACGCACAGGTTCATATTCCAGCATAGTATATGTTCATTTACTTATAGATTATATAGACAGCAGTCCATCCACCTCATCACCTCACCTACAGCACAGGTCCACGTGGATCACGCCGTCTTCGGCGTGCTGCAGCTGCATTCCTGACAGACGAGTTCCAGTCTCGGGAAGCAATCACAGCCGACAACCTCTTCATCACACCTGGTTGTTCTAGTGCCTTAGATGCATTGGCCTGGGCGATCTGTGATGAAGGGGAGGGTATCCTCATTCCACAGCCATTCTATAACGGATTCAATTTCGACACTCAATATCGAAGCAACGCTCGAGTGGTTGGGGTGACGTATGGAGATGTAGAGGAATATTCAGGCTTGGATGATTTATTCTGCCCTGATATAAACAAGAGGGCTCTTGAGGCTGCCTTACACAGAGCGCAAAATGAAGGCATCACCGTTCGTGCTCTCTTAATCTCCAAGTGAGTTTCCCCTCAGGATAGCTAGGATATACTGACGCAAAGGCCTCAAGTCCACACAACCCTTTGGGAAGATGCTATGTTCGTTGTCCTCTTACCATAATCTATCTATTCAGCTGATTGGCAATAGCCCCCTGAGACAATAATGGAATTCGCTTCTTTCTGCGGCAAAAACGGACTGCATTTCATTTCGGATGAAATATATGCAAAATCTCTCTTTTCCAATCCCGCCATTCCCAACGCGACTCCATTTGTTTCTACTCTCGCTCTTGATCTTTGTGATGCTATTGATCCGTCTCTTACGCATATACTATATGGTGCAAGCAAAGACTTCTGCGCCAATGGGTTGCGTCTAGGTTTTGTTTGTACAAAGAATGAGGGCATCATAGGGGCAATGTCGAGTATTAGGTCTGTACGACAGCTGTACTTTTGCGAACATCCCATCTGACATTGTTGCTAGTATGTTCTCATGGTCGCCTCATATACTGCAGGATGTATGGGCCGTTATGCTAAAAGACAGGCAATGGGTGAACGATTTTATGCTCAGGAAGAGCAAACTCATGGCGGAGAATTATACCATCGCAACTTCATTCCTGCGTGAGCGTAACATCAGATACTCTGAGTCGTAAGCACAGCAATATCCTGCACGAAAATACTAAAGCTAACAAATCTTAGGAATGCTGGTTTGTTCATCTGGCTAGATCTGCGCCATTTGCTTCTACCCCAGTCGTCACTCCAGTCAGATTACGGCGTGTTGAGAGTTGCCTCTCCCGATGCTAGCATTTACAAGCAGCGAGAGATGCAGATCGCAGATATCTGTGCAGCAAACGGCGTTATGATTGCTCCTGGTCATATCTATATGCCGGAAGAGTGTGGATGGTTCCGAATGACGTTTACAGTGGGAAAGGAGGCATTGGCAGAAGGACTGGATCGTTTGGCCAGGTCACTAGAGCAGGTCGAAGCCGACATCCAGAATGTATAGGCTTTATAGCGATGTCAAACAAAGTCTACTCCTTCCAGACAAAAATGCCCTTTTCATACAATCCAGAGACAATCCCCAGTCCGCGACCGACGTCTCTCGCAGCCGTGCAACCTGTTCCGTACTCTGTTCCCACGTAGATATCTCTGATGACGCCCCCTGCATTTCCATCCCACTCTGCAACCCAACTGGGGGCTCTTGGTCTTTCCGCTTCTGGTTTGCCTTCACCCGTTCCGTCAAGGTCATAGAATTGATTCGTCTTTGCGACATTCTTCAAAAGCTTCAGATCGGGATGCCCTGCCATGAGCAAGTGACCATTCGAATCTGTACTCAGGTTGTCGACCATAAATGCCGGTCGCAGCTTAGCAGTCTCAGTCAACGAGATTGATTCGGGGTCAATCTTGAAAATGATAACTGATGGTTGCGCGGTTGAAGCTACAGCCAAATGTGTTTTATTCAAGGCTGTGACCCCATTCGCAAAAGGGATATTGGCAAGTTCCTTGTATGTGTTTGTCTTGAGGTTGATGTAGACAATAGAGCCACCGGGGTATGCGAGATATGTTTCGAACATTGATTTTTTCGGATGTTCCCCAATCTTCCACTTGTGGTCGTTGGTCATGTAGAGCTCATCGTCTGATACTGCGACCAGGGAGTTTGGCGCGTGGATCAGCGGATGCGACAGAGTACGCTGGTGCTGAAGGCTGAAGCCAGTCTCATCCTCGTTCAGTTTGAAAATCTCCACCTTTGGACCTGATTTCGCATGGTTGGATACATATACTGTGCTGGTTTCCGGCCAGTATTCCATGCCGAGTGGATGAAAGCCGTTCAATTGAGTCTCGTTGAAGCCATCGACTCGCAGTCGGTGGGCGTGTTCTTCCTGGCTGTCGAAATCCGAGTATTTATACACCCACAAAGAACCGGGGATAGTCGAATCCACGAATGTTCCCTGTGTACAGTTTAGTATTTCTTTATGAGTAATTAACTGATGATCTCACCATGACCGTATTCCATTTATCACGGCCAGGGTCGCAGCTGAGAATCGCAATACCGCGACTTTCATCAATCACAGCATCTTCGCAGTTCCGGACCTGGTCTTGCAGTTTAATCTTATAATCCGAGAATGCTTTGACGCTGGGCAGCCTGTCTGGCTGGTTGTTTATTATGACGCGGATGGCATAGTAGCGCTCATTGACAAACGCCAGCAGAGCAGCCAAGAAGAGTACAAACTAGACAAACAGATTAGAATGGGGCATTTGTCTGGATATGAAGTCACCCACAAATGTAGTGCGAGACGACACTCCCATATTGGCTAACTTGAGTGAAGTTGAAGCGAGATGTTTTCTTCAGCTGAGGATGGCCGAGTTTTATGGTCGATTGTTTTTGTTGGGCGGATCGACCCCGTATTCATCCAGTAAGGAATCGGCGCTATGACGTTGATATTTGAGAGAATCTCATGAAGCTGTATGGAGTGCGGAGTATCTGCACAACATATTCACTGGCTAATACATCTGCCAGTTAGTTTTCAGCATGTCGATTATTGGTTTTGTGAAGTGACACTGCTTTGTGATGCCTCATTCGGTTGGGGCAGGAGGAAAAAGCAAAGATCGACTCAATTGTCGATCTATTTTATCATCGAGATTCTCAATCAACAGATATTGTTTTATTTATTATTTGTTGGTTCTATTAGAATCCAGACCTTTTATAGTAAACGCCTCTCGTTCTGCTGCTTTCAGGCTTGATTCCAATCGTAGCAGTGGACAGCTACATCGCGACCGGATCCTACAACTCTAGGGTTTTATCATTTTCGCTAGATGGACAGCCAAACCACATGAGATAGAACATTATTCTTGAAATATTAGACTCTGATTGTCGCAGTTGCTCTTCATCATTCCAATATTGTAGTTCGCGAGGCTGTGTTTACGCACAAGGCTGTGGACGAACGCCAGCCCAAATTTATGTGTTGGTGCCAACACTCGATATGAGATTTGGATAATGATAAAATTTGAAAAGCCAAAGGAGCAACAGTAAAAATGGGCGAGTGTTTGGGATTCTTAATCTCGTTGAGGTAACGGGGAGAAAATATATATTCAACACGGTCTATGGAGATGACAACCTGAGGGAAGTAGAAGAAAACAAAACAATATAAAGGTAATTAAGACAGCCGAACAGTTCAATATTTACTTCCTACTGCGCTGTTGGAGATTTATCTACTACTGTTCAGTATCGCACCCATTTAAAAGTCCATCTGATGGTGCTTATTCTCCTAAGCTCGGCCTGATTGTTGTTCCGACCACCGAGGCACTTTTATCTGATTTTCCAAACCACGAACAAGTGCGTAAGACCTCATGCTGATCTCTTATATTATTCTTAATTTTTTGGGCTATAATACTAAATATAGTGATAAGCCTAAAAGAGAGCAATGGAATCCTTTCGCCCCCATCCTGCTGTATGACGTGTCCGACGGCCTCGTCGGGCTTCGGATAGAATGCGACCAGATTCGGCCTTTTAGCCCCGAGCGATGGATGGCTATATATTGCTGACATTCGTTGTACTGGAAGTATTCAGAGCATATCAGTCATCTGTATATGAATATATTTCATCTCAGAATCCCCGACAAAGGATCACTTATCATGTCTTCGATAATAAAAACCGGCATGGACCGCTCTTCCCACGCGATTAATCGTTTTTTCGAGAAAGCGTACGCCATCGACATCCACAACCTTAAACAAAATAGCCCGCTATTAGTTTCTGGCGCTCTGGTTCTCGGAGGTGCAGTCTGGGCTGTCAATGACTACCGTGATTGGGTCGCTTTTGGTTAATTTTTTCCTGTATTTTCTTTAATGATGGAAAGACTTACAAGTATACAGGAACCGGTGGAACTCCGCCTACTCCTAGAGGATACCTCAAGGTCACTCTGCTCCGCGTGGCAAACTTCTTCAGATATATCCTCGGGGATGACCTTCGAGATGCTTCCAGCTTGCCTCGTGGGGGACCCAAATATCTCCAGTCTCTACCGATGAGGAAGGGAGGACATCCAGCACTGAAGCCTAGGTAGGACATTTCAACCAGCGCTATCTTGAACTTTGAAGCTGATCTCAAAAGAGCACTGCCCCAACGACAAGAACCCGAGTACATCCCTTCGATTGTGAAAGAGGCGAGTTCCATTTTGCCAGCTCATATTTCTCGATCACTGACTGATAATAGAAACTATTCAACTTGATCAACGACCACGCATCCAAAGACCCCGACACTTTCAACATTGCCCTATCCAGAACCGAAGGAGGAACCGCCGATGCCATTTATCTCAACCCTGACCTCCTAGCATCCAACTCAGATGCAAAGGGCCTCGGTGGTGAAATCGCCCATGTCCATCCTTCTGAGTGCTCCCTCCATCTCCTTCTATCCGCGGAAGATGCAAGAACTGTTTTGGAGGCGAATTGGGGTAAACGGTTCCCTATATACTGGATTACTCCCCCAGGATGGGTAAGTGCTTCCTGTTGAGGATTAATATGAATGCGACTCTAATTCAAATATAGATCATGCTGTATGCTCCTCGGAATGAAGAAGAGCTTGAATTAGTTAGTCGGGTTGTAGATGCTGCTGTTCAATTCGCAAAGGGTACATCCTCTCAGTGATATGATAGAAACCAGTATTTGCTTGTCGATTGATCTGTAACTGTCATTATGTGTTTGAGCGAGATATTTGTTTACCATAGAAGTACTAGAAGCTTATAATCTAATTCAATTGTGTTCGACCTTTAATATATATTGATATGTGCGCGTTAATTTCATAGTAACATAAATAGTTCATGGACATGATATTTGGGAAACTTATATCCAACGAGTACTCTGCTATGTTGAACGCTGTAAATAGCAGTGTAGACCTCGACCATTCGATGGGATAACCGTTTATTCCCGTCGGGTCAACATTGCATTATCTATATTCTGACCCATTCCGCATCATCTCAACCAACTCGACCAAGCCTTCTTCCTCTGCTTGTTCTCTCGCACTCTTTCCCCGGCCATTCTTCAAATCCAAACTCGCTCCCGACTGTATCAAGAATCGCGCCACCTCGATATGTCTATCTTCAATTGCATGATGCAGGGCACTTCCCACATCCTCTTTCGTCATAGGATCATGAGGATGTTCCACCCCAACTTCATCAATATCAGCGCCTCTACCCAACAGATACTTTACCATCTCAAGTTTTCCATCCTCAGCCGCCAGCACAAGAGCTCCGCTCCCATTCAAAACAGCCCCATACTCCAGCAACAACGCTGTTATATCTATATACCCCTCCTCAGCAGCCGAAGCAAGCACAGTCTTATAGTCTTCGATCCGATTCAGATTCGGATCTGCCCCGTGTTTGAGACAAAAGCGCACTCTATCGCACTCCCCACTAGAAACAGCTATGCTGAGCATATCCGAGTAAACTTCTCCAGTGTAGTTTATATCGATGGCTCCAGCTTCGACGAGGAGTTGATAACTTGCCCAGGCTTTGCGCTGCGCGAAAAACGTCATGGTGGGCTCAACCACTTCTGCCTTTTGTAGTCTGGGGTGGTATATGATCGTTCTTGGAGGACACTGTCAAGGGTGTCTGCCTCATTCGACTCGCAGATAGAAAGGAGCTCCTTGTCTAATTTGGTCTCGACATATTGTTCGAGAGTGGTGCGAATGTACATGGTGTGTTTGCGGTGATCCGGTTGGAGCTTTGAAGAGATGATAGTGGTTTATTGAGACAGTTAAAAATTAAAGAACGAATATTTTTTCAATGAGTTTAAGAGGACATGCGATTGAAATTGAATGACTCAGGGATCAGTCTAAGATGCCTGGCAGTGCGCCTTGTCGCTGCGCCACACTAAATAAAACCTAGGAACTAATTAAATATCTTAATATAGTATTATATTTAATAGAATAAGACTAGAATAAATGGATCTAGTACTACTATAAGATTATAATACGGTTTATTATAAATCCTTCATTATATCAAATATACACATATCTAATTTAGAATCTCATAGTTTAGTCAGAATTGAGTCGGCGATTGCTTGGGGCCTGGATCCCGAGCAAGACCGTATATATTTAAAGTTATCGATGGAAAATGCAAACTAGAATATGCTAAGAATCAAAGTAATCTTCTTTCCATTCCATTGAAAATGTCGGGTATAATGCTTGATGAAAAGGTTCTCAGCCTGCCACACGTGCCGGCGGCGCCCGAAGATCCTCTCTATCGTCTGATGAGGGAATATCGAGAAGATAAAAGCGACAAAAAGATGGACCTAGGCATAGGGGCTTATAGAGATGAGACGGGGAGCCCATGGGTCTTGCCGGTCGTCCAGAAGGTATTTGAATATTAACAAACATGGTCCTTGAGCTGACTCGAAATGGAACCGTAGGCTCACGACATTCTGCATGGGGACTTCCAAACCAACCACGAGTATCTACCCATTAGGGGTCTTGATTCTTTCTTAACTGCAGCGCAGGCACTTATTCTGGGGCCAGACAGTCCAGCTATCGGAGAACAACGGGTGAGTGCTGCTTATATTTCACCTGAACAGTGCCTCTAAGCCGTCGAACTAGATATGTTCCTTCCAAACCATATCGGGGACAGGAGCACTTTATCTCGGCGCTCGCTTCTTCGCACGCTTCCATTCCGGACTGGAAAAACCAACTGCGTTTATCTCTAATCCCACGTGGCCAAATCATTATCAGATCTTCACCCAGTGTGGACTTGGTGTTGACTACTATCCCTACTACTCTCCCGGAAAGCAAGGACTAGACATCGACGCGATGCTTGAAACTCTGCGGAATGCCCCCAGGTCGTCCGTGGTGGTCCTCCAAGGCTGCGCCCACAACCCGACAGGCATCGACCCAAGTCAAGAGGAGTGGAAGAAAATCGCAGAAGTCATACGCGACCGGGATCACTTCCCCTTCTTCGACTGCGCATACCAGGGGTTTGCATCCGGAGATCTGTCGCGAGATGCATGGGCCTGTCGCTATTTTGTGGAGCAGGGATTCAATTGCTGCATTGCACAGTCCTTTGCAAAGAATCTGGGGCTGTATGGAGAACGGGTCGGGGCTTTCCACCTGATATCTGCTCCGGGGAGAAATGCGTCGGATATCTGCAATCGCGTTGCGACTCAGCTCGCTCTCCTGCAACGGGCTCAGATCTCGAATCCACCTTCCTACGGAGCTCGGATTGCGGGCCTTGTTTTGAACAACGAGCAGCTATTTTCCCAGTGGCAGGATGAGCTCCGTGTGATGAGCAACCGCCTTTGCGGGATCCGTGAGGAAATCCGGGCACAGCTTGAGGCCAGGAGCACTCCTGGTTCGTGGGCCTTTCTATCAAGTCAGATAGGAATGTTCAGTTATACTGGGCTTTCCAAGTCTCAGATTCTGTGTTTGAAGCACAAATGGAACATATATATGGTAGGTTTTACCCCGAGCCTAATGCTATAGATAGACTCGCTTCTAATGCCGTATTCAGGCCGAGAATGGACGGATTTCCGTCGCAGGACTAAATCCTCAAAACCTCAACTACTTCATCGATGCTGTCGATGACGTTGTACGATCTTGTACATAGATCTATTGCAGGACTGCTTCCTCTACATGTTCAGCGGGCAACCCGAAGAGGGGCTGTGGGTATCATTCGGCGACTGGTAATGATTTTGACTTGACCCTGTAGATACTGGGAAACTTGGGTGTAGTACCTTGTCCGTGGTTACAGCGTCCTGCAGTCGGCGATTGCCTTAGTAGATTACTCAATCGAAATGAAACAGCTTCACTCGGCTAAACTAGTGGTCTTGAAATGTCTTCCTTTCTTCTGTTCTACGCCGGTTGGCTCATGTCTTTGCTCTTTATTCTGTCCCAGGAAGACTCTCAGTTTTTATAGGAATGATCCTCCTGCAGTTTGTACATCCATTTTAAGAAATGATCAAATCGTCAACACTCACCGCGGGTAACCACCCTGCTTCACAGCAGCTATGCACCGGAGAGCAGAACAATCCCCAGGAAACAAAGTTATCTCAATGGCGTTACATTGTACAGAACTTCACCCCAGCGTATGTTCTCCATCCCAACCCTTAAGCATCTACTAATCAACCTTGAAGATGGTTCTCTGTCAACATGGGCACAGGAATTGTGTCAATCCTTCTCAATACCCTACCCTACAACGGAACATGGCTTTACTGGATATCGGTCATAATCTTTGCCCTTAATGTGCTGCTCTTCATGCTCTTCCTCACCATAACCCTCATCCGCTACATCCTCTGGCCAGACATTTTCCCCGTCATGGTGACTCACCCAAGCCAATCGCTTTTCCTCGGAACCATACCCATGGGATTCGCCACAATTATCAACATGTTCTGCTTCGTCTGCGTTCCGGCATGGGGTGAATGGGCTACTTATTTCGCATGGGCCATGTGGATCGTAGATGCCATCTTGTCTGTCTTAACTTGTTTCGGAATTCCCTTCATCATGTCAGTATTTACACCTTTATATTATACCACACCTAACACGATGACACTCCCCAGAATAACCCGAAAATCCGAGGTAACTCTCCCCTCAATGGGAGCCGCATGGTTACTCCCGATTGTAGCGTGCGTGGTCACAGCAGCCTCGGGGGGTATCGTCGCCTCGATACTACCACAACCCCAATATGCGCTGGCGACGATTCTAGCCAGCTACATCCTCTGGGGCGTGGGTGTTCCACTCGCCCTCATGGTAATGGCCATCTACTTGCAACGGTTAATGCTACACAAACTACCCCCGAAAGCCATCATCGTTAGCACATTCCTCCCTCTCGGTCCTCTGGGTCAGGGGGGGTTCGGGTGAGTCACACATCAATTCGAACAAAAAAGAAATATATACCTAATCTATATACGTATAGAATTCAAAAACTCGGCCTCAGCGCCCGAGAAATATTCCCACTAACAAATACCCTCCACCCCGGAACTGGCGAAGCCCTAAACGACATGGGATTCCTCCTCGGTCTGCTGCTGTGGGCATTTGGGTCGCTCTGGCTGTTTTTCGCCGTGGGGTCGGTGTTACGCATGAAATCGTTTCCCTTTAATCTGGGGTGGTGGGCGTTTACCTTTCCGCTGGGGGTTTATTCGACTTGTACGGTGCAGCTTGGGAGGGGTTTGCCGTCGACGTTCTTTGCTGTACTGGGCACGGTATTCATTCCCCTCTCTCTTTCTCGTTCTTTGATGAACTTGGGCACCGATGCTAATTTTAATTTGAATGATATTTCTAGATTCTCTCGCTGTGTGTGGTCTTGCTGTGGGCTGTTGTGAGTGGTTTTACACTTCGTGGGATTTATAATAAGACCCTTTTTGTGGCGCCTTGTTTGAAGAATCTTGATGAGAAACGGAAGAGGGATGTTGAATCGGAAGGACGAAGGTGAAGTAAGGTCGTCAGTCGACGGTCTTGATTAGGGATGGATATCATCACAGTAATTTGGATCTAGATAATGACAAATTACTAGATCATATTGGGACCCGGGACCACGGTGAAAAAGGGAGAATTGAAACAGGCACGATCAAAGAACGCTGGCGGTAGATCTGTGACTATCAGGTCTTGGCCATCCAATCCGGCCGAGCTCGGCCGTGTGGGATCTGTAGATGCCGACCGGGACAGGATGACTGGATTTAAAGTGGTGGTATTCCAATGACACCGTTCGATCGAATCGGACATGAGATCGGCTGCGGATATTCGAAGGTTCCGGTATGATGACTCGGCCAATTCCCAGGTTCGCCGGGCGCTTTTGAGGCAGCCGAGAATCAGGTTCACGCGGTTACAATGATGGTCAAAACATTCGTCGGAATGAACTGTGCAGGTTGCCAGCTGGATCATACCGCAGAGGGAAAGAGAGGGGATTACAAAGGGACTGTGTTTGAGGATGTTGGGGCAGACGGAGATGGAGTCGGATATTTGTCGCGAGGCTTCGGTGGCTTTGATGCTATGCACCAATCGAGTCGATGTCGATGACAGCTGGAGGTGACTTGATGGCCCTGGCCAAAACTGCCTCCGTTCGGGCTGTGCCAGCACCGGCTGCAGGTTGCTGCGAGGGAGGTGAAGGAGCATTGCGGCATAGGCGATTGTGAGATGGGCCTGGAACATCATTTCGTCAACGTTACCGTACGCATCGACGATGTCGAACTTCTTCGCGGGCAGATGGTTAGTCCAGCTAACCAGTGCATTTTCGGCGGCTTGCACCTGGTCGCGATGGCATTCGGGGATGGAATTCAACACGATGACTCTGCCTAGAATCATCGTCGCTTCAATCCGGTAGCTGTAGGACGAGAAAATCGGATCCTCGGCTGCAAGGATTCGCCGTTTGAAATCCAACATCCCGCATGGTGCAGGAATGTCTTTCCCCCGATTGTAGATGGATTCCTCGCAGGGGAGAGCTACGTCCGGAGCAAGGGCGCTGCAGCGGCCAGTGAAGGTGCTGAGAGAGAGGGCCATGTGGACTTCGGTGATGTGCAGCTCCCACCACGTCCGTCGCATACTCTCGGCTTCTACTGAGTATTCTCCATGAGAGGAGGCAAAGTCTCCCCGATTCATCCCTAGCTTTAGAGCCAGGTCAATGCCCTGTGTTAACGCGGACTGGGCTTCGCTTGTCTCGTTGCGAGCATTCAGAACAATCGCGTAGATCAGCCACGCCTGGACTGTTGCCGGTGAGCTCTCGTTATTCGATGCTAGGTGCTCGACAACTTGCTCCTTGTGCTCCTTAGTCCGACCCGACGGAGTGTAGTGGGATCCGACAAAGTGCACTACCGCCTGAAGGTATGCAGGATAGTTTTGATCGCTGTACAGGCTGCTAGGCACGAGGACCGGGTGAGCAGCATGGAAGTTCTCATAGTACAACCGACGCAGGCGGTCATCGTTTTCAATGCCCGAGAAGCCACCAGAAACGTCATCGTTGGCCGGTAACATTCCAAGCCAGGAGGATCCATCCCCGGCAGCATCGTTAAGATCAGTAGCGCTTAGTCTTTGCGAGAACGTTGTATTTGTGGGCGTTGGGGCCAGTACCGGGGGATTGGCTGCGTCAGAAGGGGTCCTCGGAAACACAGGCGGGATCCCATAAGAAGGCATTGGGGGAACACTCTCGCGATAGGATGTGGAAGAAGCAATTGGGTCCTTGTGATGGGCAGGTTTGCGCCGTCCACCGCGACGCGAAGCCACATATTGACAGGGGAGGTCGGTCTGCAGGCACCGGGAGCAGGAAGGGCGCTTTGCGTCGCACTTCAGGTGCTGCTTCCTGCACTCCGTACAGGCCACTGTGGTCAGACCGCTGTGCTTGGTCGGTCGCAGAGGCATAGCAGGGCCTTGGATGACGGAGCCGGAAGTATTTCAATTACTGGAAAGGGTGAAAGGCCTACGGAGGGTAGGAGATGAACAGGATGATGATAATGATGATGATGAGTACGTGGTGAAGATGGAGCGCTAGTTAGTCGCCGGGCCAATTAAGCGCCACCTCGTCTCGGCCGGGTGGGGAAAGCTTCATTATCATATCACCGGACATATCACTCTGTTCGAATCGTGCAGAATCAGGCTTCTCTGCATCTGATTTTCGCTCAGACACTTTGACCCTCCAGTCAACCATGTCAATCATTTGACCGCCGGAGACCTGCAGGCAGTCGCCGAATGGGCGATGCGATCGGCGATTGAGCCGGTGCAACCACAACAGACCGCCACCCAAGATAAAAGCGTTAGTATACCCGGACCTACTCGAGAGTTATCCCATGTTCATCAAGTCACTTCGTTACTGACCTCGCCATGTCTATTGTCTCAACTGCTGCGTTGCCCGTGAATAGCAAATTCACCCACCAACCGCTTCCCGAGAAATACTCTCTCGACGATCTAGTGCACGATATCAAAACCTACCTCGGCCACTCAAGCGGAATCTCCTCGTCCGATGTTGACTCGGAATACCTGATCTCACTAGTGCGCAAGTACGAAGGTAGCGACGGGGACTGGACGAGGTTCTATCACAACGATCCGCAGAAAAACTATACGCGAAACGCCATCGAGAACATCAACCGCAAAGCAAACATTGTGAGCAGCCCCTGGCTTATTCTTTTTCACCAATGCAGTTGTCTAATCGTTCAGCTCCTCCTCGTCTGGAACCCACAAAAAGGCTCACCGATCCACGACCATGCCAATGCCCACTGCATCATGAAAGTGTTGGCAGGGAATCTGCGAGAGACCGTTTACCGCACTCCTGATCAGGGCGCGGAGGGCTCTGCGCCCCTGCAAGTGCTGTCAGAGACAGATCATGCCCCAAACGATGTCACCTATATCGCCGACGATATCGGTCTTCACCGTGTGCACAATCCACATCCTACCAATGTGGCTGTTTCCTTACATTGTATGTCTTCTGCCTTCGTTTTTGAGAATTCGCTAACATTTGGGAAGTATACACGCCGCCAAATGCAGCTGACTACGGCTATCACGTATTCGACGGAGCGACGGGCAAGTCCAGCTATGTACCGCAGGCCCGGGCATATTTGGCCTCGAACAAAGAGGAGACAAAGTGATCGTTTGACATCTTTCTAGTAACTGGTTGTTATCTAAGATCTTGTAAATAGTGCGTTTGAAGATATCCCCCGTGCAGGTATTTTAGCCATCTCTTGAATGACAAGCATATTCTCGCAGTTTTCTACATTTATTTTCATCGCGGAGGAAAGAATTCCATATAAGAAGAGCGGTGGGAAGGTTTCACTTTGTTATAATCAGCCGGCTTTCCCATGTATTCCCTTCATCCAACACTGACATAATTCTGGGCTGAATTTTGACCACTCGTTTCATCCCCTCCGCAGCTGCACCAATCGCGCACCCACAAGCTCTTACACTAAGAGGGGTGTATCAAGTACTTGACCATAGCTAAACAGTTCCTGGAGACTGGCTATATACTAGAAAACCCAGCTAAATGTAATATCCTCCCTAAGATAAAGGGTATTAGGTAACTTGTATAAGGCGATGAATAACGCAGAGTTGACTGCTTAGTATAGGCTAAGCCTTATCAATGAGCCACTATTTAGTAGGACAAGGTGGCTTCTTGATATCTGCGCATCCTGATGCAGTAGTGGCATTGATTTGAAGTCAACTGGAGTATTAAGCACTCATTTACTCCATGTAGTCGCTAAAGTGTATTGTCCCAGTTGGAATGCTTTCAACGTCCGCACTAAAAGAGGCCTGGTAGACATACATTCCGAGGAATTTGTTGAGCTGCAAAAACACTTGAATACGTTCATTGCTAGTAACAAAGAAAGAAAGATTGGCTTGGTGGGAGAGATAAAGTTGTTGGAAGATGGCAAGAACCCAGTCGACCGCAATGAACATCCCCAGCGCCGCCGCTAACCGCTCTCGAATTACTCCAGGATCACACCGCTAAGTCCAATCGCCGACTGATTCGGGGTCATCGAAGAACTGTATGTGATTACCGAATACAATGTTCACCCAGTTGATCTGCGGATTTTCAAAATCTATCAAGGAACAATCCATCGAGTTGTCGGTATGGGTAACGTGATACGTCAACGCAAAAGTTCCTTTGTTTTTCATTCTTACGCGATTAGATCGACATCGAGTACGACCTCAAGCCATGGTAAGAACCTCGGTGCTTCAAGTCCATCATTGCTTCATCAGTGCTAAGTAAATGGAACCAGGGTTCCCTGGGCTGTGCTTTGGGAAGGACTACGCGGTTATTCTTCGGCAAGAACCATAACAGGAAGACCGCACCATAGATGCACGACTCATACTGTGCCTCCATACAGTCTGTGTTGTCCTTTTTGAGTCCAGGGCACAGCAAATGGGGGTTCTCAGCAAGAATGATGGATTATATAGGCCGAGTATCACCCACCGAAAGAGCGGTCACTTGATGTTTGCTTTGGCAAGCTTTCAACTGTGTCAATGCCTCATGAATCATGCGATGCAGAAGTGGTCTGGTGAGGCTCCATTGGAGGGGCTTCGGAGTTCCTATAGAGAATGGTCCATTTATTCATTCCCAAGCCCTGAGTAAATTGCTCATCGATGCCAAAGAAGCGCAGTTCGGGTCTTCTCCCTACGTGACAGGGCGCTTTATATTATTGGCCAGGCCCAGGCTGAAGGCATAAAATGCCTTAGGATGCTAGATATGTCACCGTGGAGTTAGCAAAGCTGTGCATTGAGAAAATTGATGGTATTCTGGTTGACACAGCCTTAAAATTAGCGAGCTGAAAAGTGTGGAGATCTTATATAAACTAGTTGCAGATCATCATTTCCCCACCTCGCCTGCGGGTTCATATCTGCCTTTTAATCTTGCTTTGAATGCTTTATCAAATTTCACCAATGAACCATGGCTGAATTCTGCTTTCCAGTCCGAGAACTGTCAAGCGACAGAGTCAAATTAACCCCATTTAACGTCAGTCCCTCCTTGGTCAATAACCACACTACTAACCAATCCAGCCCACCAAACATGCCGCCCCCTACTTCGCAGGCTCAGCCAACCACCCTGAACTATACCGCTACATGTCCCTGGGTCCCTTCCAAACAGAACAGGAATTCACTACCTGCTTTATCGACAACATGATCAGCCAGAACCAATCCATGTTCTGTTTCGCTGTAATCGACAAAACAAAGCCTGCCTCCCCGGCAGACCCAGAAGGTCAAGTCGCCGGGATGGTCTCATACATGAGCGCCTCACCGGTGCATCTATCCGCCGAAGTCGGGTTCATCATCACCCTGTCTGCCTTTCAACGGACGCACGTTACGACACACGCTGTCGGGCTGCTGGTGCGGTATGCGCTGGACAGTCCAGAACAGGGTGGACTGGGACTGCGGAGGATGCAGTGGCTTGCCGATACGCCGAACACGGCATCGTTGAATGCGGCTAAACGCATGGGATTCCAGCAGGAGGGGATTCTAAGGTGGAATCGGGCGGTCGTTGACGCAGATGCGCGTGGAAAGGGCCATAATGGGCGGGAGCCACCGGCGTATGGGAATCAGAAGGATCGGGGTCGGGATACGGTGTATTTATCACTGTGTTGGGATGACTGGGTGGGAGGGGCACGGGAGCAGATTGAGCAACTGATGCGCCGATAGTTATATCGCTATCTGACATGGCGCAGAATGCCTCAAATCAGCACGTCTATTATCTTTTAGCTATAGACAAAGATCATGCTGAACAAAATGGTTCCCCACGCGAATTGAACAATCATATCGATTATCTTTCTATATTCAGCGCCGAGTACATGTCATCTTGACGCATTTAATGGCTTCCATTTTACCGATGGGTTAATTATTTGACCCCTGGATCTAGTTAGGATATTCAGACCTTCATCATTCTTCGATAAATACACATGGCGAAACATTAGCGAAATACTCATCTCCATTATCAGTTGATTGAAAGATCATTGGGATGACCAGAGAAACCCTAAAGTACTGCCCTAATCGGTAGGTCACATGATGAAATGAATGATCAGATACAGCATGGCCAATAGAATGTGAGAAGCAGCTGTCATAGGTACTTATGTACCTAGTGGATACCAATATTGCAGACGGAGCATAGCTCTTTCATACTTCTATCTATGCAAAATGCAATGTTTGCAGCCCATGAAGCCATGGTCTTACTCGCTTAATCTTATCGGAGTTAGATACTGACGTTGTTTGTTAGCTGTAGCACAACACATGACAGAGTATGGAATGAAAACACTCTTGAATGATAGATAGTAGTAGTACTAGCAAGGTATTAGGAAAAAGACATAAAAAAGACAAAAACATACAACAGCAGGGATTCGCTGGTGGTCACCCACCCAACTACTAACCTGCCGGCGTGTGGCTTAAGTACGGCTGAGCGGACGGGAAGCCCTGTTCTTCACACCCTGTGGTCGTAAGTACTGAAAGATACTATAAGAGGGGTTTATAAAGTGCCTCATTATGATCTCTTGACCCAAGACAAAGTTATATTGTTTCGTTGGTCCTTCCATAGAACCGATTGTTTTCACTCCTTCAAATTATACTCATATCAACCGAATATAGCAATGATATCTACACATCCCCAGAACCAGGAATCTTCGAGAGCCAAAACTTCTTACTCCACAACGCCAGCCAAACCCTTTCCATGAAGTATCCCACCTCTGGATTGGCCACGTCTTGCCCATCACTGGAAAACAGATCCAAACACCGCTTGTACAGATCACGAGGATGCTGCAGAATCGCCTCCCTGCGCACTGCAAATACAGCACCGTGCGTAACGCGGACTGCGGCCGGATGCTCCTCCTGGAATAGCCGTTGCCAGAATATCGCCATATCATATGGAGCATATGCAATTGTGTTGAGCTGGCTGGGCGTGATCCAATAACCTTCCGCGGGCGAAGACCAGTTGATTTTGCTCCATTCGGCCAGATCGCGGATTAAGTCATGGTTGTAGATTGTGACTGGGTCGAAGTCTGGCTCTGGAGGTTCGAGGGCCTTTTTCGACCATTTCCTGTGTGGTGTTGGTCTTGGGGCTGAGATGGTCAAACGGATCGCCCTGGGTGAAGATGATGATGGGCTGCAAGTCATCGTAATGGCTGTAGATGTGGTGGCAGTACGTTCTGCCCTCGCGGCCGGTGTTGGGGAGTTCTTCATATAGTTTGAATGAGTCGTGGGGAATGCTGTCGTCTTCTTGGGGAGTTGGATACTTCGCATACACATAGCTGTTTGCTGCCACATCGATCCAGGGATCAAGCACTTCTCTGTATCGAGCGACCACAATTCCAAGATCATCTGGCGGTGGAACCCAGTATGGGATGGAGTAGTTGACAGCTAAAGGGAAAGCGAGGCTGGGCATTATGGTGTGTTGATGGGAAGTAAGTATTAAAGTAAGAGATATCAATGGACTGTCCTAAATATAGAAAAAACGGAGATGATCTCCTGAGTTTGGAATTCTGAGCCAAATGCATTCTTGTGTGACGGTGCCTTCAGCTGAAATGCACATTGTCGATCTTATAATATTCAGCCAGCCACTGCAGGCAGGAATGGGAGGTATCCAACCCCTTCAAAGACTTTGATATTTCCTGTCAGGCAGATTTTATAGTAAAGTTCCATCCATGGGGGTTTAATGCATTTTATAAAGTTTGTATGATAATAGATAAGATGTAAGTAAAATTAGGTAGTAATCCGAATACCATTAACTATCTAAAGTTTTTCTCGCAGCTATAATCCAATAGTCTGTATGCCTGCATGCCACTATCACACACACAAGTCGCATCACCAGAAGAGCATCTTTCTGTGTGGCTGGCACCGTGCACAATGCACCAGCCTGATCAATGCTCACACAGCGAAAAGCTGCCTTGGGAAAACAACTCATTACGAACGTCAGAGACAGCCGACCTCTCCTTCATCAGCTCTAACCGCAACTCCTTCGCCTCTTCCATAGAAATGGGAAAATCCCCCAAATGCTCAGTCACCATGTTCTGGAGCTCCAGTGGCAACCTTGGCCCCAGCACATCCCGCCGCACATTGATCGCCTCCTCATACCAATCCTCTCTCTGTGGTGGCACGTTCGCCGTAGAGGTAATTCGAATATGCGGATCAACCAAGAATAAAGCCAGAATTTTGCGATGACCAGGTTTAGTTGGATCGGCCAGGTGAAAAGGCGACACGCGATGCTGGAGGATGTTGGGGAAGGTGAGCAGACGGCCTTGGGGACAGGATACACCACCGAGATCTTGTGACTGGGCCGTCCTCTTCGCAGCCGAAGACGGGCTCGGTCCATTCGACGTGGCCTTGCTGGTAACCGATCTGCGAGCCCATACAGGTAGTGTTGAGGCGCTGGCGGAAGCAGAGAGTGTTGGTGGTGATGTTGTCGTTGGAGTAGTAGTAGATGGCGGTTGCGCAGATGTGTTCGTTCTATATTGTTAGCTGATATACTCGTGCTCCGATGGAGAAAGAACATACCAGCTGTCCTTCCACATGCCACGACCCGCCAGCATAGTGTGGCTTTTCCGGGGTAAGTTCGATATTCGCCAGTTTAACAATAACCTGCAATCCTGTATCCTTGAACGCAGTCTGCAAATCAACCTTCTCTTTGTCGTCGCCAATCAGTGGCCTAAACGCCCCAATCCCAGGGGGTCTCACAGGACGTGAATGCTCCCAATCTCTAAGACGGTCCCAGAAATCATCTTGATCGCTCTCATCAGTTTCCGACCCACCGTCCGAGTGGAATATTCTCTTCTGCGTAGGCTCTGGGGTGTTTCCGCGCGAACAGTCGACATAGGTGTACTCGATTCGATTGTTGGAAAAGTATAGACTGTCCAACACAGGCGTCAGGGTTGCATTCCAGAGTGGGATTGTGCGGGTGATTATCTGCTGTATGATGTCGTAGAGCCCGCCATTTTTGTGGGGATGAAGGTTGTTGATGTACGAGACAATCCGGCAGTCATTGCTGTCTTTGTTAAGCTCGACATCGCATGGAAGCCACTGGAACCTTTGGCTGAATGGATTCCTCCCTGGCGTATCTCGCAGCTGTCTGTGAAACCCATCCACCCTGGTCTCTTTTTCTGGCGGGATGGGCACAACATCCCCTTTCCCAGGGTATTCCATAAAGCGCTCCAGCGTGGTAATCTTATCTTTTAGCATCCTAGACCGGCCATAGACGAGCGGAAACAAAGACGGATGAACAAGATCAACAACCTTTTCATCCGAGAAAGGGTGATAATCTTTCTCCTCTTCCGGGACCTCCTCCAATGGCCGCACTGCGCTCATCAGCGCTAAACGAAGCTCCTCAGGGATGGCAGAGTCAGATTTGACAACATCAGCATCGAATGCAGTCACCATTCCGGTCTGCTGGAACGGACTAGACTTGTACTTGAGTTCTTCAAAAATCCAGTCGATCATTCCAGATGTCAGGTCTACATCGCTCGCAGTGAGCTCCTCTCGCCATTTCTTGACGATTCTTTCGTTGAAGACCTGTGTAGCAAATAGTATTACAATATACTTCTCATATTATACGTTGGGGGAATTAACGGACCTTTTCATACCACTCAGGTTTGTCTGTGATGCTATTCATAATCTGCATCATGCGGATCTCCCAAAGCGTTTTCTGCGTTCTACCCTCTTAGCCATCGACCTACATGAGATCTCTGAGTTACTAAGATAAACTCACCCAATATCCTGAATCTCGCCATGATCCAAGGCATTCTGAAATATTCCCCCCTTCGGCTAGGATAGTCAGATAGGTCATCACAATGTTTAAAAGGAGAAGCGCAACAAACACGGAAGTTTAGAGGGAGATTAAGTCCAGGTAAATCAAACTTGGTCTGTTGAGAATTGGCCGCTTCCATGATGATATCAGTTCTGGAATTGTTGTTCTCTACTCTTATTCTAGACTCGTGTTCTGGGACTGACTGCCTCTTATAATATACGAGGCGGTGCATGCCGATCCTAATTACCAGGCAGCAATGCAGACACGACAATAACTTAATCAAGTGATCTGCAAGACAGCATTACAGTGGATAGACAAACAGCTTGTTCTCCAGGTCTGTCAGATCCAGCATGGCCAGGTCGACCTTCCTCCTCACCACGGCCCCAGACTCATCCACCTGTTCGACACATCCCTCCCGTTCATCATCGCTCAACTCAGTCAGCCACTCCCTTCTTTGCTTATTCCTCCTGGCAAGAATAAAATGAATCACAAACAGTATAGCCGGTGTCCCCGCCCAACTAACCACGATCATCGAAATCCACGCCCCGTAATACCTCGGCGCAGCGCTGGGAACCCATATCTGCGGCGACACCAGGTTGCCAACACTATACCCGACCATGAACATTGCATTCCGTGTGAGCTTCTTCGTATATCCAGCCGCAGAAGAAGTAGCCCACCCGAGCGCGATGATATACGTGATGCTGTATGTGTTTTCAGCGAGGAGAATGCACGCTAGCAGAGCCAGCTTCTTGTCCCAGGCGATCGTCACCATGCCGATACCCCCTGCCATAGCCAAAACACACCAGATCAGGCTATGCAGAGCGAGGTATTTGGGGAACCACTTTAAGGCAAGAGTGGCTACGATGCAGAGTACAGCGCCGAACCCACCTCCTGCGGCAGCAACAAGCGTGGAGCCGAGCTCTGACACACCCAGAGAGGTGGTAAGGAGGTTCTGCTGGCCATAGTTGAGATTATTGCAGTACATGAGAGTAAATGCCTGCAGGGCAAACAGCCACGACACAGAGTCACGCAGAGTCTCGATAAACTGGGGCCTTTTGAACTGCTTCTGCTCGATGGAGCTCTGGTGAGACTGGTGCACGCGATGGATGACGTGCACCTTTTCTTCCAGAGATAGGAATGGCGCTTCAGATGGGTTATTCGGGTAGCGGAACCAGATCCATATCGAGAGTAGAACAGTCACGCCTCCAATGACAATCATAAATAGCTTCCAGGGAAGGATGGCACCGTGGCTGAATAGTAGCCCGTATGAGATAAAGCCAGCTGGAATGGGAGCCCCGACACAGGTGATCCACAGAATGGGCTGCAGAAAGGATTGTTCCTGGCGATTGAAGAACATGCCAATTGTGATTTCTATCGCGGGGACTACGACGGCTTCGACAACGCCTAGGGCTAACCGGAGAACGACCAGTCCCCCGTATTTGGTGGCAGCACAGTGAAGGAGAATAATGGCACCCCAGAGGAATACCATGCCGCTGACGAACTTTCCAAGAGGAAGTCGTTGCATAAGGTAGTGCCCGGGCCATTGGCCGACGAGGTAGCCTGTCTCACGTTAGTGTATATACATCAACAGTATGGGTTATCATACCAACATAGAAAAGACTGTTGAGGGTATTATACTGCGACTTGGATATCCCCGTCTCTTCAAACAGCCCGAGGATTGCAGCATATCCAAGTGTCGATTTATCCACCTATACTACTTAGACACGAGTCTTGAATGGATAGAGGCATTCTCACAAACAAAATGATATTGATCACAGACACCAGGCCCATAATATGCAGATACAGCTTTCGTCTGAGCTTCTTTTCCTTTTCGGGCGTTAAAGGTTCGAATTGATCGCCATGGTCTTCGATGATGCGCAGAGTGACATCTGCATAGTTCTCTTCCACTGTCCTGGCGTGCGAATGAGTTGTGATCTGGGGTCCTTCTTTATCACGCATGCTGGTGTATATAGGTGATTTTGTTTATTTTCATTCTGATATATTGCTTCTTACGGTATTTAAATACTCTCATGGTTGACCTCTCTGATTGTACCATCTATAGCGTGATTGTGCCATACATAGTGAATAGCATCACTTTTAGTGCAATTGCATCATCTATAAATCACTCACCAGAGCTCTTTCTAACCGGGTCTGATCCCTGCTTGGGGTTATATCTCCATTAACCAAAGCCCGTGCTGTGAGTCATGGTAAATGCTTTATTCCCCCGCAAAATAGAAACTCACGTTATACCTAAATTCTGAGGAGCAGCGATTTTGAATATTCTCCGACCGTGATCTGAACGACTAGTCTTCCTGATAATGACAATATTTATTCTGATAACCTTAAAACAAAGGTCTACTCTGCTCTTTCCTCCCCATTATCCCCATCGGCCACAGCTTTCTGTTCGTTTTCCTTGACACTCTTCTACTCCGTCCCTAGGGCTCCAACAATAGTCAAAGAGCACAATCATGATATAAACAATAAAGCATTCCCGAATTGTATACCTCGAGCACTATAGATGCTGTCTCCGAGCTATATAGCTTCGTTACCATACCCTTCAGGCCAGAAGCACCGTTTGAAATGACGAGTTCGGCGTTGACTTCCGGGGTGTTTGTTCTTAACCCACCGAGCAATTTACTTTGAACAGATTCTGTCAGACATAGTACACAACGATAAACACATCTCCATGAAGAGTGTCCCACTGGCGACTGATCGTTGGCGAATGATGCGAAGGGGTAATAGGCCATTATCACCTTGCACGTATTGTACACCAATCCATCAGGGAAGGAGGAAGGCGAAGACGCATAGGCAGAGAATGATGCGCCAGTTATTCCGGGGATATGTTCCACCCCACTGCAGAGCAAAGAGGAGAGAAATAATCAGGGGCATCAGGATAGCCAGTTGCTCAGGGAACACTTCGATGCAGCCAACCGTGTCAGTGCACCCAGATGTATGGTTTCCATGGACAGAGCGCCCCGCTTTACCGGATATTCAGAAATGTTCAAAACAACGAGGGACTGGTTTTTATCCAAGATTAACCCGGATGTCACACAGTCATCAAATCATGGATTCGGTCTTTGCGCATAGTGCAGAGCAGCATGAGGACTTTGAGTTTTGGCAGCAGCTGGAGAAATTGACGTATGGATTTGCTCCTTAGCTGTAAGAGATTTCAAGGAGTTGAATATAATTTACTTCTATACATGATCTGTAGATGCCCCCCTTTCTATGGTTAATAGTCCAAAAAAAAATACCGTTTCCCAACTGCGCGGCTCTGGCTATACCCTTTTTGTCGGATTCATCACGTGGCCCTCGCTAAATGTGGCAAAACGCGGGTCTTGGCGGAGCCAATAGAGATTTAAGCTCAGATAAAATGAGTGCATTGGCCAATCAGACAGGCCCAAATGAGCACGCATGTGGAAATCTAAAGATCTGATGCTCAACATTCACAGAAACAGTAGCAGATATCGTGTAAATTCCTAATATCATATATAAATTAGTTCAATAGACCGTATTAGCTATACTCTAGACTGACTAGGACTTGTTTCGGATGTCTGCTGTGCTGGCAAAGTGCACAACCATCTCGATCGACACTGCAGAATCGAAGATCCAGAGTCGAAAGTGGGTCATTTGTATTTTCTCGCTGTCTTTTCCCATTTTTCCCTCTTTTTTTTTTTCTTCGGATTTATTGCCACCGTAGAATTCCACTCTCAAACAATCCATTCTTTCCTAATCAATCCTCATCCGGTATATATATAACCAGTATCACAATGGCAGTCGGTATAGCCACCTCGAATACAACCACCATCCACAAGCCAAAAGCAACAACCACCACACAGAATAACAGCGTTCTCCCATCCAACCAGCGCTGGATCCACCCTCATCTCTCGCCCAGCCATGATCCCCTCAAAGGCCGCCGACTCCAAGCAACCGCCCCAATCAAAGCTGGCGAACTGCTGATGGTCGATGTTCCGTATACCGTGGTTCCAGTAGTCGATGATCCCCAGTGCAGCAATGAACTCGTATGCAGTAACCCTCACTGTCGCCGAAAGGTGCCGCGTCATGCACCGGCCCGAGTTGGCTGCCCGAATAGCTGTCTGCCAGAGGTTGTCTGGTGCAATCGGGATTCGTGCTATCGGGCTGGGAAGACGTTGCATGATTTCGAGTGTGAATGGTTGAGAAAATACACGCATGTCCTGAGAACGCAGGAGGGTGAGTATTTCTTTAGTGTGTTGTGGATGATTGTGAGGGTTATTGCTGCGAGGTATATCGAGGAGCAGTCGAAACATTCAGTCATCCTCAACCAGCGCTTTTCAACGGGATACAAAGCTATGCAAGAGCTCTGCGACAATAGAGGCTTGTGGCCTGCACAAGACACTCTCGATTGGAAGGATCTGGCAGAAAGGTTCATCTGCAATGATGAATCACCACTGCCAGACAAGCTGCCTGTTGAGGAAGTCTTGAATCTGTTCTGCCAGCAAGAATCGAATTCCTTTGGACTGTATCCTCGTGAAACCGGCCGTATGCCTCAGCCCGGCGAGTTGTTCCATGAAGTCGAACAATATGCAGCAGCTGTATACCCCTCAGCTTCCCTGGCAAATCATTCCTGTTTCCCAAATGTAAGTCATCTATCGGATATCACTCATACCCTGCTAATTATACAGATTGTCCGCAAACCAGACGAATATGCGCGTATGACATTTACCGCCATGAGAGATATTCCAGCAGGAGAAGAATGCTGCATTTCATATTTCGATCTACGACAGACGGTCGATTACAGTGATAGGCAGCGATATCTTCGCAATCGCTTCTACTTTGGTTGTTTGTGTGAACGGTGTGAGGAGGAAAAGCCTTCTGAACAGGAGATTTGGGCGGCGTTGCCTTTTGATCTATAATCGGCCATGGGTCTTTCTTTTGTATATAAATAATTTGTATAGACATATGCACCCTGTGCATGGATAACGGGAAATACTATCAAGAGATGTGCATGATTCTGTTATATTCGGGTACAGCGTCATCGTTCCGGAGAGTAATACTATCCCCCATGTTCGGCGATATAGCTCACATTTGCAGCGATGTCTATATCATCCAGCCCAGGAAATTCAGAATCGTCCTATCAGAGGGAGATACATCAATTAACACCCCACGGTCGTTCAGTAAAAATGAAGAATGCAATGCTCTGATCAGATAAGATTATTTATAGAATGGGCTAGCCGCATCGGGTCTAGTCATATAATCCTGCCTCGGCCCAATTCAGGCAAAAACCTCAAGAGTTCAACGCCACCACGTTGTCATCAGCAACTATCGTAGCATCACTCTGATCGGGAATATATCGCATAATGCTGCAAACACCAGTATCTAACACAGAAAACGATGCATCGAGTGAGAAAGGCCGACCTTGTAAATCCGCGACCGGCGCACCAGATACAGTGGGTTCGCCGCCGCCCTTTTCTTATTCTCTATTCTCACGATAATTGGTATAGATACGACGGAAGCAGGTTCGAGATGCACAGAGAGCTTATCGATCTCGACAACAATCACTTGTTGATTCGTTGAAGGCTCGTGTTTCTCAGTTGGAAGATGTTATGAGTCATCTTGGACAGATTGTCGAGTCTTTTAATGACCAAATCATCAAGCCAGGGGATTCACTGCCCCAGCCAAAGCTATTTCAGAGCTGCCAACTTCTGCAAGAGGAAATCACATTACAGTTGAAACGGTCTGATCGCGATGCCGAAACAAATCAGGGGGATGCTGTTGTCACTGGCCAGGAATTCCGCGATAAAATCGACAAAGTACTCCAGCAGCCTGAACAAGAAACTTCCATCGCAACTCTCCCAGCTATTTCGACCCCAAGGATACTACTGGAAACCGAATCATCGTCCAACTTCTGGCATCTATTCCTCGGCTCATCAAATGCGATCCTCCCATCAACCAACCCTACAACATACGACGCCTCCCTCGCCACCATCCCACCATCTCTAACCCCGAACGATCAAATAATCGAGTACACAACAACCCCCTTCACCAAAAAGCTCTTCCACGCCTGCACAGGAACCGGATACCGATTCATAAGCGACCCATCCGCAAGCGACGCAACCGTATGGCCGTATTTCAAATTAGTACTAGAGAACCAGCCACGACGAGAATTTGCCGCGTACTTCAAACGAGTTTTCGACAGGAAAGCATGTAACCCGCTCTTTGATCCTCGGTTTCCGTTTGTCAGTATCGGCGGTGCAGGCACGCATTATCCCGCTGTGTCTGGGTCCAAGTTCCACAATTTGCTGCCCTTTCAGGGGACGAATGGGGTCACGCATGTTGATAGTGAGGAGACGTGGTTTGATGTCCATGATATAGAGGGGTATTTGGAGGAGCAGGGGATACAGGTTGTGAGTCATGGCAAGTATTTACGAGCAAGGCCGAGCGTTAGCCAGACGGAGAACATGCCTCCATCCTCGGGCTTTGCCATTTCCAATCTGTTCCCTAATTCTGTACCGATGATTTTTGATGAGGAGGCTCTTATATACGGTAGGTGTACACATTTAATCTCCCATATTATAGCATTTACTGACTGCTGCAGCGTTGAGCTACACCCCCGTCGGTATTGGTTGCGCACCTGGTTTCAGACGACGTGATGTGGAACGAGTGGTATGGCAGCAAGTCCGGTGGATTCCAGTATAATGAATGTCTATCAGAGTATATAATACAATACTAATCAATTCCACTCGGCGATGTCTTCCCTCTTGTTTGCTTCAATGCCTCACCCCTTGATGGAATCCTTGTGGACCATCTTGTATTCCCTCCAGTACCAAACAGCCGCAATGGTTGCGCCTGGTCCAACGAGACAATAACCAGCAATTAATCCAACAAGAGCACTCAACCAACCCACGTTCGAAACACCAACTCTGTACATATCACAAACGCTAACCCAGGATCCCAAAAAGGCAGCAAGAGCACAGACCAAGAAGTCGTTCTGGAAGAAGATAAAAGCTCCTTCTGCCACTGTCTTAACAGGGGCAAATGAGTCCTGTGGGAGGAATAAGCGGGTAAGGGAGAGGTTGTCGGATACCAGGCAAGCGAAAACAACCGTAAGATGCAAACAGGCCGCGGTGACACCGGTTCCTTTGTAGATACTGGCAAGATGGGGAAGATCGTTGTTTTTGCTCGTCTCGCTGTCGTTCTTTTGCTCCGATGTATCCATCCATCCGATAGCTCGAGAGAAGATTTCCGTTAGGATAACGACCACCACCGGCGATGGCTGCCACATGGCAAAGATAGCCTGACGGGTACTGGTATCACCAATTGGGAAGAACATAAGCATCGTCGGAATTACATATCCCAGCAACAGGGCTGGAAGGATAGCTTTGGCTGATAATGTTGAAACGCTTCTACTCGTTGGTAAAAAGTACGTTTTCTGACGGGACGTAAATGCGGTCACTAAGAAGTAAATCGGAGCGATGAACCCAATTCCGCGAAGTTGAAAGGCAACACCCCATAGGATGGGACTATTCAGTTGTTAGAAATGGAATTTTCATCGTCAGCGAGAATTCTTGACGTACCTTGCAAGAAGAGTCCAGCTGTTTCTTTGTCGATAGGCTTCCACCATGATTATCGCAATCAATGGCAACACGGCGGACAGGAAGTAGAGGAGTTGTAATGGTTGTTCTGGCGTGGATGGACTTTGAACCACCGGGAGGAAAAGTGTGATCAACGTTTGAAGTAACATATCAATGCCTTTTGCTCCAGTGTACACCTGGCGAAGGGGGGTATCCATTTCGATGATCGACTTTGCCTGGAGAGAATCACGGACCAGAGACCAGGTACCATTCGTATCACCAGCGACAAACAACAAGCGATGAGCAGCATATGCCATGAGAATGAACGCGGCATAAATCAAAGTCTGGATATACCCCCTTGTCGTCGGTTTCCGCAGCAGTTCATCATGGTAAGGAATCGACCGGGGCCTGTTGGGCATGGGGAGCATGTCCAACGAAACGGATGGACAATACGCCTTCGATAAGCCCTGCTGCACTGTCTGATGAGACATGTATGGAAGGACGTATTTAGCGATGAGTTTCATCAACGGCGTTTCGAGGGCTTCCAGGCGCTGTCGAGCATGGCAGTCTTTGATCAAGCCCGAAACACGATCTTCACGTTGGCGTTGGACTTTCTCAAAGATAGAGGAGGTTTCCGCCGTGGACAGTGAGTGATATGGGCTTTTTTTAAGAGCAGCAATGAGGTGGTTGGTGAGAGATGCGGCTGTTTCTATGCAGTTATTTCCTCCTTGTCCGGTGAGCGGATGGAACTATTCTCTTGTCAGTAACATCCCAGGAAATATGATTATAGACGTACCTTGTGGCTGGAATCGCCAATGGTCATGATCCTCTGGAAATACCACTTTTTATACACATACTCGGGCAGACTCGTATACACCGAGGCAATCTTGTTTTCGTAAAGGTCGGAAAACCGCGCATCGGGCGTGATACGGTCGTTCCAGTGTTCTTTGGCAAGTTTCTTCTCGTCCTCTTTGGTGAATCGTGGAATCTCTGAGCCGTGGACAGTTTTTCCGATATTCTGGAACAAGCCCCAGTATGTCCTGTCGCCAGGGCCATCAACAACGAAATGGGAGAAACCCTCATTCAAGACAGATGTAATCGAGTGCTTGTCAAGCCCTTGGACGCCTCTTGATATGGCGAACAGACACGTGTAGGTCGCGGGAGGAGCTTTTCATTGTTAGTCTTGCAACAGCTTATTCAGACTGCAGACATACCTTCTTTCTCTGCCGGATCTATCCACGTTGGATCAGATTTGTTGGCTTCTTTCCACATTTCCTGGCGGACAGTCGAGTGAACACCGTCTGCTCCCACGACAATATCCCCTGTATAGGATTTGCCTCCTTCGGTAGTGACAGTGACATGCGAGTCGCTATTCACCACACTGGCCACTCTCTCAGAAGTGTGAACCTTGGACTTGTCTTCAATCTTATCGTAAAGAATCTGAATCAACATCCGACGATCGATGAAAACAATAGGATATCCATGCCTGCAAAGACGTCAGATCAGAAGCGAAACAGAGTAGAATTGACAAACCCCTCTATACAATTCTTGCCAAGGGCCTCATAAGAATAGAACTTCCGAGCCTGGGAATCTCGCATATAAAAGCTGTCGATGGGATGTTCGGCTATTTCCATCACTGCCTCATAACAGCCCAGTTGGTCCAGGACGCGCAGGCCATTTGGAAGAACTCCAAGACCGGCGCCAACTTGGGGTGCGATGCTAGGATAGCCTTCGAGTATCACATAGTCGATGCCGTTCTTTTCGAGCATCAAGGCCAGGGATAGGCCTGCGATGCTACCACCGGCAATGATGACTTTGAAGTTTTTCGACGCCATCGCGCAGGATGAATGTGCTGTTCGGAGGGATTATGCGTCATGGCCGTATTTATACATGCTGCTGCCCCAACGCTTTCCACATCCCTGCCGTCGTTTCTTTCATTGTCTGTGAAGAGTCATGCGTCTTCCTCGGCCCCCAAGGCCCCCAGCCAATCCAGGGCTGTCTTTCTGCTCCCTGCCAAGACCGGCGTGATCCTCCTCGGCCAAATCAACAAAGATCAATAATCAGGCCAATCAGAACGCGACCTAAACACAATCGGATGAATCCAGCGACCCACTCGGGGGACTAAAATCCCTCCGATCCACGATTATTGGCTGTGCTTGTGCCCCTCTTCTCCACTGATTATGGCATCAAGGTTCCCGCTAGACATAAAAGGCAATACGCATCCATCATTCAACTGAGGTGAGATGAGCCAACGCATCCCAACGTATCTCATCTGTCAACATGGACTTCCACGTGGTTTCGAAAGTGGACAACAATATTCATGAATCTTTTTCCTTGGACAGATCGTCCTATCCGGAGCCTAAGGAATTATCGCCTGATTCTGCGCGTGTCCAGCCAGTCGTTATCAGTCTGACGTCCAACAACCTGAGCTATGCGCGCTTTGGTGATTTCCTCCATTGGTATTGCCCATACAATATACACTCAATTAATCAATTATTGACTGTATGAATAGGTGGGATGCATACCCAGTCCCCGCAACAGCCCCAGCTCCCTACAATGACAAAACCAAATGGGGCATCGTTCCAGCCTGGGGCTATGGGATCGTGACTGAATCGACCATCAACTCTCTAAAGCCAGGAACTCTTCTCTTCGGATTCTGGCCAACATCGTCTGCTCCGGTCGACTTGAAGCTTTCTCCCTCTGAGCCCAGCGGAAACTGGGTTGAAATCTCCGAGCACCGCAAGCTACAAATGTCGATTTATAACGAGTACAAAGAAACAGGCCACTACGACCTGCCAACCTCCGGTACGGTCGACTGGCCAAAAGAGCAATTGGATAACATGGCCTGGACGGCCCTTCTTGGCACAGTCTGGCAGACAGGATACCTACTCAACAAGTATAGCTTCACCACAAACCCAGAAGTCGACCCTAACATCGGTCCTATGGGCGCGTCAACGCCGTGGTCAAAGGAAGATGCGGATCTTTCCGAGGCAGTCCTGGTGAATTTATCAGCATCCGGTAAAACGGCACGAGGCTTTGCCTGGCAGGTTCTCAACAAACGATCCCGCGGTGATGGACCTTTGGGATTTTTGCAGATTACGCAGGCTCCAGAGACGATTGGCGAGGTTGCAAAGAGGTCGGCTCAGAATTCTGGTACTCCTACCAAGGCGTCTGGATACTCTGATATCGCAGGTGGAGTGGAATGGGCGGCAGGTTTGAAGCCGAAGAAGCTGGTTATTATCGACTTTGGGGCCAGAGATAATGCGGTGAAAAAGCTGGTTGAATCGGTAAACGAGTCACCGGAGCTGAAGGAAGTGAAAACTGTTATCATCCATGTTGGAAGTGAACAAAAGGTACGTTTTCCCTTTGCTTATCATCAACCATGCTAATGTTGCGAAGGTCTACTCCAAAGAAGAAATGATGGCATATCTTCAAGATATGCAGATGCTCGGCAAAGTGCGCTGTAACACGGCAGACATTCTCGACGCTGTCGTTGCCTCTATCGGCAGACAAGCCTACCAAGATGCCGTCCAGTCGAATTGGAATGAATGGAGTCAGGAAAGAGAAAACAATATCCCTGACATGAAGCTCACTTGGAGTGACAGTGTCTTTGGAGAACATGGCATCCATGGAGGCTGGGATCGAGTTACTACGGGGTCTCTTGCGCCCCATGAGTGTTTGGTTTTTAAATTCCGGTAGCTTGCCAACCATTTGTTCTTTATGATAGGATTGTTTATATTCAGTCTTGAGTTCAATTAAATGATTATTCCTTCAAACAGTCTGGGTATATACTTGCAAATCGGTGGTATGAATGGTGGTATAGTTGAGGCCCAACTAGTCATCATCATCGTCACTGCCGCTGTCGCTGCCACTGTCGCTGTCGCTGCTGCTGCTATCACTGCCACTGCTGCTCCCATCCTCCTCCTCCTCTTCTTCTTCTTCTTCTTCCTCCTCTCTTTCCTCTCTCTCCTTCTCTCTCTCTTCCTTTTCATGTTTTTCGTGCATCTTCTTTTCGACCTTCTTCAGAAGTTTCGAAGTGAGTTTGCTCGCTTTGGCTGCCTTGTCGCTCTTCGGCTTCTGGGCGTCTTTTGACTGCACGACCTGAGGTTGGGCGTACGGAGCTTGAGCGTATTGAGGAGGGTACTGAGCCGGAATGTGCTGAGGTTGAGCAGGCCTGGACATATGTTAGAATACTCCTTCAAGGGAATTCAATATGGATAGAGGTCGACTTACTTCTGCTCCTCGTGTTTGTGGTGATGCCAGAACATTTTGTATGAGATTGTATAGGATTGGCGTGAGAAAGGTTTGATGGTTGCAGTTTAGAAATCGTTCGAACTCGACTTAATGGTAGATTGTTTTAGATAAATTCTTGAATAATAGATGGTATTCTACAGTGACAGACAGTTTAAATAACCAAAGCTCAACTGCCATCGACAATGTTGATAATTTAAATCCGTGGCAGTGATGTCTTGGCAAAAACGCCTAATTAAGCTAATCGGAGGCATCCCACCAATCAGAAGCCCCATATGTGCCTGCCAAGCCCCTCCAGGATGCTTGTCTGGTTAACTGGGGGCCTGAGGCTGTGCGCTGTGAAGGATGCAGACCAGTCGATCGTTGATAAAACACCACACACTGCCCCTGAGGGCTGTACATGGTTGATCAGTCCTATGTACAGTTGGTTAAGTCTATCATTTACCGGTATGGGAGCTTTGGCTAGAGCGATGACGAGTCGGTTAGTATTATTTAGCCGACTAGATTTGTTTGTTGAGATGATCTTGTAGGATTGGGGGCTTAAAAGTATCAGCTTCTCTATCATGATGATAATTCCAAATCGTAATAAATATGCCTTGTTTTTATTTGGGTATCAACTATCCGATATATGATCTGGTTGTTGAAGTATGGCCTCAGAGCGGATATCACAGGATATATATCCCGCGACCTAAACTCAACACATTGAGATATTTAGGTATGGTAACTTGACTGCACCAATAATATTCGTACTGAGTACAATGAAAATATAAAGCAATATTGATATTATCAAGTACTTTTAAATATCTATCTAAAAAGTAATTTCTTATCTGTCTGTTTGACGTGGCAACCGGCCAATCACACGCCTCCCTGCTAGCCTGTGGCCAATCCAGTCTAGACCGTCCAAATAAAAATCCCCCCACCAAAAGAATTTCTCCAGAAAAAAAAAATTTCGAACCTCAAATTTCCTCTCGTTTTATTTCTAAAATTCATTTTTTTGACGATCCGCTTTTTGACATAAACAAACAACGTCAATATGGGTAACGTAAGTACACTGTAGTCATCTTCCTACACCTGTCGGAAATAATCATGATCAATCATGATCGGACATGATCAAACTGACTGTTTCCAGGGAGCCAAAGCCGCGTCCAAGCGTGACAGAAACGCCAAAGACACCAAAACCGCAAAGTCGCAGTTGAAAGTCGTATGTTGGAAATTACCTGCATTCAAGTCATCTTCATCTTTCTAACGTGTCTCTAGAACGAGTCTGCCAAAGATGTCCAGTGTGTGACATGCAAGGCGACCTTCCTCAAGACTGTCCGCAGCGCTGCGCTCACTGAGCACGCCAGCAACAAGCACAGCAAGACGCTGCAGGACTGTTTCCCCAACTTCGTCGAGGTTCCCAAGAAATAAACGACACGACACGGCATGGGATGTATTGCATGACAGCGATGATTCTTTTCAAGTTTGCATGAGATGTGTTATGAATAATATTACCATTTGATTCTTCTGCTTATTTCATTCCTTTGTAGTTTGTTAATGTCACCTCTGGTGAGAGTAGGACTCCAGATTAATAGTGGATGTGTTGCCTTGACTTAGACTAGGCAGCCATTCTGCAGATCTCCCAAAGTAGCATAATTGAATCGCCGAGAATGACTCCGTCGAGTATTATGTCTCGGAAGTAACGGTGTTAATGGCGACGAAATAGAATGGTTGGGTTGGAAGGATTCGAATCCTAGATAAAGGAACTCATAATAAGCAGATGATTGGCCAATAGCGACTTAATTATGGATGCTTCGGCCCAATTCATGGCTCCGTGGTTTAACTCCAATCTCCTTGCCCTAGGCATCATAAGACGATCACATGGATCAAAGTTATAAAGGGACAGAAAACGAAGGTTAAAATTGTAAAATCCGAAGCAGCTTGCCTTGAATTATCGTGATCATACGAACAATCATCCATTACAATGCCACCACCAAGAGGATCCCAGAATTTTCTAGAAGGACCAGGTATGGATATCTCTATCGTTTATGGAGCTTTGCTAACTCAACAGGCGACTACGATGTCACCAGCATCGTCCACAATGATACATATCCCGCCATTGATCCCACGAAAGCCGACCTCTCGGGAAAGTCAGTCTTTGTAACAGGTGCATCCAAAGGTCTCGGTCGAGCTATGGTGCTCTCTTTTGCAAAGGCGGGCGCCTCTTTCATCGCCGCCGGTGCGCGTTCAGACATGTCGCAGTTGGCCAAAGACGTCGAGATTGCGGCATCATCTGCCAACAGACCTATGCCTACATTTCTGCCTGTCAAGCTGGACGTGACAGACAGGAAGAGTGTAGAGAATGCTGCAGCCCAAGTGGACAACGCATTCGAAAAGCTGGACATCGTCATCAACAACGCCGGTGTTCTGGGCAACCTGGGCATGATCACCGACTCTAACCCAGACGAATGGTGGGAGGTGTTGGATGTCAACATCCGCGGTCCATACTTGGTTTCTCGCTCATTCCTGCCGTTACTTCTCAAAGGCAACGATAAATATCTCATCAACGTTGCCAGTGTGGGCGCGCTTGTGGTCAATCCTGGCCTGAGTTCATACCCAGTGTCCAAAGCTGGTTTGTTGAAATTCACACAACTCACAGATGTCGAGTATTCGAATCAAGGGGTTATCTCGTTTGCCATCCACCCAGGCAACTGTCCAACAGATATCATGGGAGGACCTGAAGGGGTGCCGGATAATATGAAGCATAGTAGGTTGATCCACCTTCGAGAAAAGTATATACTAACACCCGCAGTCTTTGTGGATACACCTGATGTCAGCGCCGATACACTTGTCTTTCTGACCTCTCAGAAACGAGCGTGGCTGGGAGGAAGATATATCAACTGCACGTGGGATATGCCGGAGCTGATGGCCAAGGAGGAGGAAATTATCAAGGAGGATAAGCTTAAGGTTAAATTTGCATTCTAACGTAACATCATAATGGAATATCGCGAATCATTCATATACTCCGTGTGTTTTAAACTAAGAGATACTCCTCGTATGGCTGCCTTTTGAGTCCGGCAAGCATCGGCGTCTCTGGGCCTTGATTCTCTCCAATACCGCTCACAAAAGCGTGGCTCACAAGTTTATAGTATGGGTGGTTCACACCACCCCTGATTGGGTCTCTTCGCAGGACAAATGGTTGGTCTGATGAACATGCAATCTATGAACAATACTACAGGGATTATAGAAGACTTTGAAAATGTTGCTTTATGCTAGAGAGTATTTATGGCGGTTGAATTGTACAAGATGCAGTTATGCTGGATATATAGGTGCCTGACGTCTGCAGATATCACATGGGAAATAGCTTCTTCCCATAACAACCATCTCAATCAGCGAACAAACGCGCTCAGAAAATAGATCTGACCTCCAATGCAGCTTCATGAAGGAGACAACAGAATTCATCATGTTGAGGATGAGTGCTTATCACACTGAGACGAATGCTAATGCCGAGTTAGTTGGATGACGATGAAACAGCTGCCAGATTCACATACCTTGAGTCTCGAAGGGTGAACGAAATACCCCATCCATCATCAACCACGGGATAGAATCCAATCTCATCACTGCTGGATGCCAATGAGGTCGTGCAAAGGGTGTAATGACTGCCTTGGTCAAACATAGGGTCGCTGAAAATCGCTGGCACCTCTCCCTCGTGGACCATGCGCCGCAGACCCAGGAAATGGTTATCAATGCCTTGGCCTTTTCCAACTGATGCGACAAGCCGGTTGTGTTCCTTGATGGCGTTGTTTAAGGAATTTCTACAGGATTGTATATCTCGATCTTCCTGCACCATAGCACTGCAGGAGGACTGCACTTCGTCCGTTACTACGCGGCAGATATCGAGTCGGCCTTGATGGAAGGAAGCCAACGAGACAGGCTCGTACGTGGCGACAGGCCGACCGTAGAGCTTGTTAGAGGCCAGCTGAAGAACCATGTTCACGAATGCATTGGGGTTGTGTTTTTGTTCCTTGATGAAATTGGTGCCGTATTACACACAGTCCATCATCGTCAGACGGAGCCCGTCCATGCCGATGGCTTTGTTGAATCCAGACTGTAATGCGTCGATTTGCGACTGGACTTCCTGGCTCATGGTCATTGGGAGAATACTTGCTCGGAGAGCGTCCGTCGTCATGTTTGATTTCGATGCAGAGCTGTTCACGACGAGGGCCTCTATGATGTGTTCGTTCAAGCGGCGGGTGGTCAACCCGTCCATCATGGAATGCTCTCCGACAAATCCGGATACTTCATTATCGCAGACAATCAACCGAACAGGCTTGTCGTACCATCGGTTGGATCCATCTCCATACCAGACTTGGTTGGCTCGTTTCTCTGCTGTGGCAGGTGCCGCGTCATCTAGACTGTCCTACGCCCACGATGGCTTCGTCATGGTATGCGTTGCATGTCTAATACATATGAGCAAACATGCTTGTCAGCTGGAACCCAAGGGGACATACAGAGCGAACCGTTTCATATTTCTTATCAAGTAGGCGAGTCAAGTCCATCGCTATTAATAGATAGAACTTCGCTGGATACTGGCAACTCACGGCCATTAGCCATAGGACTCCACGGTGGACAGCCAACACCGAGCTGCTTCAGCAAGGGCAGCATCTCTCGCTCCGCCTCTCGATACAGGAGACTGTAGAAATTCTGACAGGTGTTAATTCGTTTGAAATTGTGTTGTCTGATATCTATGGTTCGATTCGATTGCAAATATCATAAGATATAAGAAATACTTTGCATCGCATGGAAATGCCATGCCCAGCAGCTGCTCATTACAATGTAGCGCACGTAGCCTGCATGGCATCATGCAAGGCTTGCAGTGTTTCTTCGACCTAGACGGTATTATAGGATATAGAGTATCATTAAGATCAGATGGTAGTCCTACGCGTGTGTCGTGTCGAATCGGTGAAGCTGCAGTAAATTCGTATCGCATGTCCGCTTTCTGCTTATGTAGGCTTACCGCGGTCAACAGAAACTGCAGGCGATTGAAGCCCATATTTGTGGATAGTTCATAGCAGTATTTGGTATAAGCAAGGAATGAGCATTAGCATTCTTATTAACTAACAACAGTGGTAGGAGAGATGGTAACCTGAAGAAGCGACAAGTCCATCTGACTTCCCCGCATTTTTCCCCTTTACCCTGTTTGTCCGTCTATACAAATCTATCGTGTGTATAAGAGAAACGAATATATCTAGACCATAGGACAAACCCAGATTGATTTTATATTTGACATCTACACGGATATTGATCTATCAAAAAGGCTGCAACAAAGTAGGATTTCTCTCCTCAGGCGTATCACACATTCACCCGCCACGCCGGATCAAACATGCAAGAAATATAATTTCTCTTCGGTAGATGCTTGCCAGCACAGCAGACAGGACGTCCAGCTTATGCCTGGTGTCTCAACGCGAGGGAATTCGTTTGCATTCCGGATATCGAGCGCTGCCACTATCATCCATTGGGTATAGCTTTTTGTCCCAAGTGTAGAGTGGAAAATGAGTACTGTCAATTGGTTGATGATAGACCACGATAAGGGTTAGGACCCGCCTAGGCCGGCTCATTGGCCAGCCATGGCTAGCGAAAATGGCGTTCCGAACCCACCCTGGTCATGGGGTAGATGCATCCTGCCGGTGTACTGTCATTATCAAGGTGAGATAGGACCGAACGAGTCTACGGCACATGTCCCGTGACCACATCAATTGGGCAATTCATATAAGACTGAACAGCCCCCAGACAACCCGCATTATATATCTCGCTTCCCACCTGATGCTTTATTTCTGCACACATTTACCCTCTCCCCTTATCTCCATTACGGAATTATATAGCATTCTTAGTACCACCTCAGTATATTTATCATCTTATACCGACAAGTTATTAAGCATCATGTCTAGTCTAGGTCGCCTCACTGGCATTATCGGACCATATCGGCTCGTCTGGCCATCCATAAAATGTGATTACCCCCGATATACTTACCTGTACCACCATACTTACCTCGAAATAGTTCACTACGAGGCTCTCAAAGAAGCCCTTCGCAACGACGGTCTCGCCGCGCTTATACATCCCCAACGCATTCGAGACGCTGCGGTAGCAAAACTCTTCATCACAACATGTAAATTCCCAATCCTCAACCCCAACTTCTACATATTAACTGTCGTACAGCCACTGGTTTCATCGCCTACGAAAACACTACCATTGTCCCCCATCTCGTCCGCTCCGCGCAAGGAAAAATCCTCGAACTCGGCCCTGGGGCAGGAAACCAAATCCACCGCTATGATCTATCCGTCGTAGACTTCATATTCGGCGTTGAACCTAGCCCACAGTATGGTGATGAAATTGAGGCAAAGGTTAAACAGCTTGATCTTGAAGATAAATATAAGCTTCTGGTGTGCGGAATTGAAGATAGCGATATGCTGATAGCTGAGGGGATTACAGATGGGCGTATGGATACTGTGGTGAGTATCCAGGTGTTGTGCGCGGTTGGAGACGTAAAGGGTGTGATGAGGGCTGTGTGGAAGTTATTGAGGCCTGGTGGCAGTTTTGTGTTCTGGGAGCATACGAGGAATAAAGATGCTGTTACGGCATTCGCGCAAGGTATATACTGATTATCATGTCAAAGGTGTGAAGCTAACAGGAGAATATGCATAGCTTGTTGGAATCCAACCTGGAGCGCACTTGTTGGGTGTTGCATGAATCGGGATATCCTCGCGGATATTCTTGCTGCTGGGGAGTGGGAGAACCCCAGTGACATTGAGGTGGCTGATGATCCGTTTAGCTGCTTGCCGAGGATTTCGGGCGTGCTGAAAAAGAAAGCCGAATAGAAATCCTCGCATGCCACCCAATTGATTTCATTGAGATAGTGTTGTATTTATGGACCTCTGTGTGTCATATACTAAGGTGGACTAGCGTGGCTGAGAAACAAAGCGGGGTGTATCTTAAAATAGACAATGATAAATAACCACTAAGACCAAAGCATCCTTTTATCTCACTACAGGATGTTGCACCGTATTATATCACCAGACACAAGGACCCCAGATGATGTGGCCTGGGAACAGGCCGAGGCAACATCCGACAATTGGCTTCTTCAATTCCTCCAAATCGACACCTTAAGACCGATCGCCGATTTCATCCTCATCCACAACAGAGGCGAGGCTACCGATCTGCCATTCTCAGAAAGGGCTCGTATAACATCTCCTTACGGATGAAAGACGAAGATGGTGCCATCGTCATCCGTCTCTCACAACCGGGTGCCCTCTTTTTTCGTCGAGGAGAAAATGGCCAATGAGGTCGCTATGATGTGATTTCTCACTGATCAGACGTCGATTGCTTTTCCTTTTATTCTTCATTCCGGCACGAGATAGGAAAGTCCTCTCGAACTGAGTTCGTTCATTATGATGGAATACATCGAACACGAGACTATAATGTGGGATGCGCTCAACATACCAGGGTGCCCGAAGCAGGAGCCTGCAGCCTGGCATCTTGGATCCTAACATTGATCAAGACAGACTTGAGATGCTGTATGAACAGCTGTCGGGTATTCTACTCCAGCTTCCTATACCATCCAATCCCTCGAATTGGGTCCCTTAGCCAGGCTGATGACTTCACGTGGAAAGTAACACGCCAGCATTTATCAATGAAAGAACATGCTCGACTGGGAGATTTGCCTATCAAAGCTTCCCGATAGGAATTCTACCTATGAAACTACTTCTTCATATTTCGAAGACCTGGCAGACCTCAACGTTAAACATCTAACACATCAAACGACGCTGCGCAGTCAGCAGACGACTGTCGGCGAAAGTTCATAACACGATGGCCTTTCCAAAAACTCGCCAGAGACCAGAAGCTCGACCATGCTTCACTCGACAAGGGGCCTTTCAAAATCTGGTGCAATAATCTACGACCGGCTAATGTACTGTTCAATGGAAATTCGCACATCTCCGGCAATGTGGAATGCTATCGATCGCACCCATTCCGCCTTGCAATTGAGCATCTTTTTACACTTCCCAACATCTACATTCTAGAGCCGTATGAAACCGTCATTTACTGCCGTTGTCAGGACTGATCCCTTCTTTGAAAACACAGTCCTATGGAAAGCTGTACTTTTATCTCCTCTTAGTATCTGTATGCACTGTCCACTCCGCGTGTCCCATATACGGCAGTCACTGGCTGTTGAAACCAACATCACACCGTATTTCGAGAATGCCATGCTTGGTTATGGCGCCTCGGTGACCTTCAAGGGTATGTAAACATTCTCCAATCGGGGGATTCTACAGTTTTATCGTTTTACCAGATGTTAATGCTAGCATTGTAGTCGTTTCCGAGAATGAAAGATTTCCTTCTTCTTCATCGTGCCCTTCCAAGGTTTTGAGATGCTTCTTATTTGGTAGATCCCAAAGATTGATTGTAGGGTTCCTACATGATGCCAACATGCGCCCGTCAGCTGAAATTTGCGACTGCATGTACCCTGTTTCGAAAGCCTCGAAACTCCCTGAAGACTGACGAACTCGTAGATTACAGAGGTATATGACCTTGGAAGATCCACATGCCAGGATACTTTCATCTGGTGAAAACGAAATGGTCCAGATGAGTTCCCCATTGGTATTGACGGTGCGGGATATCGTGCCAGTAATTCTGTCACAGACCTTTATAGCATTGTCTAATGCTAGGGCTATTGTTGTGTTATCAGGTGAGAAGGCAATGGCTGTAACAAGGAGAACATGGAAATCAAGTGTTGAGGCAGTCTCCAGTTGCTGTATCAAACATCCATACTCGAACCGGGACTCTATAGCTCGGGGCTAGCACCAACGCCATTACCTTTCCATTATCTGATAAGACAACCTTCAAAACAATCTCATCACTGTCAACGCTAAATCTACATTTGCAGCTTTTGGTGTCCAGAGTCCAGAGCCTTAGAACAAAGAGACCTACCCGTGAGACCATGGTTCTCTTGTCTTTTGAGGGCAGCATCGTCAGGAATGGTTTATACTGTCCCCTGAAGATCCACGTGAACTGTTTGGTTTCAAGATTCCAGAAATGTGTAGTGAAATCGCTTGATATAAATATCAGTGCTTCTCCATCCTCAGAAAAGCCAATCGCGCCTACAAGAAGATAGCACTGAAATTTATGTAGGCAATTTCTGGTTGTTGGATCCCACAGACATACCGTGCCACCGGAAGCGGTGGCCAGTAAGCCTCCGTCCTCCGAAAAACTGATTGTCTTGATTGGGTCCTCATGAACTGCCAGCGTCTGTAAGCATTGGCCAATCACCAAATCCCAACCTTTTATCGACTTGTCGGATAACCCTGATGCGAGAATTCTTTGGTCATTTGAGAACGCAAAGACAGTCACTCTGTCACTGTACCCTTCAAGGGTGTGTAGTATTACACGTCCCTAATCTTCTTTGACATCAGGCAGGTACTCTAGCCATTGGTGTGCTCCATGGCCAAACATGGCTGGGAGAATACTTTTTCGTGGTGCAAAGGCAAGTGCACTTAGATAGATCTGGAAAGATGCTTGTTACATTATTCCTTTGTTGTATCCAGGATAAGGTCGTAGAATTGAGGACATTTGCTGAGCGTTGAGGAACAATTAGATTGGGACCCAGGAGAGAAGTTGGTTTGGTCGATAGATGATCATTGCGTACGGGGAACCTGCTGAGAAACACAAGTCCTCCATTCTCAATGAGATACTGTGTTGTCTGCACGACAATCTGCTCAGCCGGCTTGTCGTAGTCCGGTGGATATGCCTCTTGAGCGGAGGAAGCCATGGCGTACGCCCCATAAAACCGGTCTCGAGGATTGGCACACTGTTGATGGTGTGACAACAGTATCCTTATAGTATACAGTTAGTAATGATTTGCAACGTAAAATATTACCCCCAAGCACCTCTGGCTCCCGGTGCTTTACATTTATAGTAATGGGTAAATTAGCTAACCCATTTCTCACTAATTAACATATCTTCAGCTTTAGCGTTTAGATAGCTTTAATTTTTTAGTAAAAAGAGGCTCAGCAAGATAGCATACTTTTAAGATTATAAGGGGATAGCCATGGGATTCTATATCAAGAATCTTTTACTTCAAAGGCAGCTCCCCAGTATTAGAAAGCTTTCTTAAATTAGCTTAAAATTCATTACAAGATTTGATGCCTTTTAGGCGTAAGGCGGCCTGTTAAGGCGCTTATCTTAATACTAAAAGTAGCAGCACAGGCTTATTCTAAGTGAGTACTACTCATAAAAGTTCCAACAACAAGCTTTAACCTCTTATCTCTAGATAGCATATTTATGCCCCTTTCTATGGCGTTAAAAAGCTTCAGTTTTCATGAATTAGTTGAAAGGTAAGTAATGGCGCTCAGGCCGCCGGGGCGGTTCGATGTCCCATTTCTCCCACCACCTCAATAAATACCCTTGTCTACCATCCCCCGACAAAAGGAAATCCTGGTCCTGTTTGCACTTTTATTCAAGATTCCATTTCATCTTCATCGCTGTTAATCCGCCCAAAATGCTTCCCATCGCAAATGAACCGATACTTATTGCAGTCGGAGCCTTCTTTCTGGCGGTTTTTATAAATGTATGTCCCTGTTCTTAGCTATATCTAAGCTATCTAACCAAACAGAAAATGTGCAACGTCTACAGGAAACAAATATCCTCAATTCCGGGACCATGGTACTCCAACTGGACAGATCTTATTCTGGAATATCACTGGATCATCGGAAATAGACCCAACTATGTCCACAGTCTACACCAGAAATATGGTAGATCTGGGTCTATCTCTCCCTATAGTCTCAGCCAATACTGACAACTCCATATGCCCCATTGTCCGAATTAGCCCCAACGAAATTGACATCTGCGATGTGAACGCCGTCAGGGACATGTCAAAGTCCGGCACCAAATTTCTCAAATCCGCCTGGTACGATAAATTGGCCGTGGGAGGAGCAAAGAATATCTTCAGCGTAAGGGATCCAAAGGCCCACAGTATCCGGCGGAGATTGTTATCGTCTCCCATGGCGGATGCCTCATTGCAATCGATGGAGCCGGTGATTAAGGCCAAGGTGAAGCTTGCAATTCACCGGATGCGAACGGAAATGAAAGATCGAGGGGCGATGGATATTTTCAAATGGTGGTATTTCACATCGACTGATGTCATTGGGGAGTTGACCTTTGGAGAATCATTCCAATTGCTGGAACAGGGTGAGGTCTGCACATCTCTTCTACCTCTACATATGGAAAAGAAAAAAGATGGACACTGATTTATGTAGAAAACGCAATTCGCCATGGACTTGGAGAGACTCCCCAAGCTGGGAATGATCGGGACGGCATTTCCCAGTCTTCTCCGGCTTGCGCGTCAGCTACCAGTGCCGTATTTCCAGGATGCCCTGCAGGCGGGAAAGAGAATCTCCGAATACGCAGAGCAGTCCCTCATGTCGTACAAGGAATCCATCACTCAAGAACCATCGCATACCAAACCGACTCTTTTCACAAAATTACTCCATGCCAGCAACACCACTGACGGCCTGTCTGATGTCAATCTCATCAGTGAAGCACGAGGCTACATCGTCGGAGGAAGTGACAACACGGCCGTCACTCTGACCTATCTCGTCTGGGCCGTCTGTCGCAACGAAGAAATCAAAAAGACTCTCCTGCGTGAACTGGAGACCCTCCCAGATGATTTCGGGGATGATGAGTTGAAGAAACTCCCGTTCTTGAATCACGTCGTCAATGAGACCCTGCGTCTTTATGCCTCGAACCCGTCCAACCGGCCTCGCAATGCGCCATCTCCGGGTGCCAATCTATGTGGGTATTGGGTTCCAAGTGAGGTGACGGTTTCTACGCAGGCGTATAGTCTGCATCGCGACTCGAAGATATTTTCTCACCCTGAAAGGTGAGTTGCTCACAGGACAGTTGACTCGACAAGTTAATGCTAATACTTCCTGTAGCTTCAATTCCTTGCGATGGGCCTCTCCGACAACAGAAATGAACCGGGCGTTCGTGCCCTTTGGTGGAGGGTCTCGAAGTAAGTGGTCAGTCATTTAGCTGGGTGTAATCAATGCTAATGGCCGTAGTTTGTCTAGGCCTGCATCTGGCAATCCGGGAACTTCGCTTGGGCGCTGCACACTTTTTCCGTGCGTTTCCCAGGGCTCGAATGTCAACTGCGGAGAAGATGAGCGATGGGGATATGGACCAAGTCTGCTATTTCATCATGTCTCCCAAAGGGAAGCGATGCTTGATGGAGTCAATGTAATAGTAACGTAGCAAATATTACAGTAATATCCACTGATCTACAGTGTTTCTTGTAATACATCGATGCACCCATCGTTTATTACACTAAATACACTAACAATACAACGCGATGGATTTACCGCTTGGCGATTTGAGGGATGCCCAGCTGAAGTTCAGCTGATTTTGCTTCTCTGAAAACATAATTTTGGACAAGAACGTCCTTGGGAAACAATTGTATCGCGGCACATCAACATGGCGAATCATCCCTGGGGCTCTACTTGGCGGTCTTCCACTGCATTCATTATTGTTTGCATCACCACCGCTCTTTTTGCTGGTAAGTCTCGGTTTCCAAAGTACAAGAAAAGGAACAAAGGAAAAAACATTAACCAGAGTATATTCTAGAGTCCTTCCTCTATGGCTTCATCGTCCCGATCCTCCCGTTTATCCTCGAAGACCGATCCCATGTCGACCCGGCCGATACCCAACGATTGACCTACCAAGTCCTCACGTTATACGGCGGGGTAGCAGTGGTCTCCGGCATCGTCATCGGCCAACTGGCCGATCGAGCAAAGTCCCGCAAGCTGCCTCTGATTGTCGGATTGGGCATTGCGTTTGTCGGGACGTTGGTTCTTGCGACGGCCACAGGGTGTATGCGTCTATCCTTTACTAGTCGAGAATGTGATGGATGAGGCTAATGAGAACGATAACAGTGCCAGGAGTTTTCGTCGGTCGATTTCTTCAAGCCGTCGGTGGCACCGCAGCATGGATTGTTGGATTCGCTACACTTCGGGATACGATCGAGGCGAAGGATATTGGGAAGACATTCGGTCTAGTGAACAGCTTCGTGGGCGCTGGTGCTCTTTCCGGTCCCGCGGTCGCTGGTCTTTTGCTCCAACTGGCAGGGTACTGGGTGACTTGGGGTACAGTGTTGGTGGTGATCATGTTGGACATTGTCATGCGATTCGTGATGATTGAAAATCCGAGGAAGAAGCGAGACCAACAGAAACAAGATCAACAGCCCGGCGTAACAGAAGAAACGGAAGAAGCGACTGAAAATAGCGCCCTCCTGGCTGGTAGCAGTCAACAGCAGCAAAATAGCACTCCCTCCGTCCTCTCCTTTTACCAAATCATCCTCAGCCAGCCTCGGGTGATTGTGGGACTGCTCAGTTACACCACATACTCGTCTCTGGCCGCCAGCTACAATACGACGATCCCCATCCATGTGAGAGCGTCCTTTGGCTGGGAGAGTCTGCAGACCGGGTTGATCTTTGCTGCTCTGCAAGCACCGAATATGCTTCTCAGTCCTCTGTGTGGATGGCTCCGCGACAGAATGGGGACCCGCTTGCCCACTGCCGTGGGCTTCATCTTGCTGTCTCCTCTACTCTGGCTCCTTGGAGCGGCTGACCAAACGCAGTTCCCTTGGGCGGCTCACGCTCAGGTTGTGTATATTGTTGCTATTGTCATCATTGGATGTGTCCAGAACTTGCTCACCAGTGTCGGTACTATTGAGATTACCTGTAAGTGTTCTAGTCCCCCCCTTTTTTGGGGTTGATTTTAGAATTACTAATGGGCGTAGGCGCTGTCGATGATCTCGAGTCCAAGACTCCCGGAATCTTTGGTCCCAATGGAGGCTATTCCCGAGCTTACTCACTTTCCAACGTGAGCTTCACCATGGGATTCCTCCTTGGTCCCCTTTTGTCTGGCTCTTTGGTCGACGCTTTTGGATATTATACTATGAACTCGGTGTTGGGTATGTGTATGTCCCAGGTTGATATCGACGTATGCTAATATGTATTCCAGCGAGTGTCTGTGTCGTCCTGTCGCTTTTGGCCCTGACTTTTCTGCATGGGAAGTCGTCGGTTCGTGGACAGCAACCGCAGCAGAATGAGAGCGCATAAGGGACAGGGAGATTCAATAAACGGAAAGACCAAGACTGGGCCGGGAATGAAGTTTGTCGCTTTCGTTGGATTTAGAATTTCTCCACAAGTTACTCGGATGCACATATTGAAAACTGAGCTATTTACCAAGGTATAAGAAATGAACCGGTATAGGCGCATCACAGGTAGATGTGATAAAGTCATCACTATATTTCAGTCTTCTACTCGAGCTTTTGGCTATTCTATCCTGGCATGTCGAATAGACCAAGGGCAAATCTACTTCAAATAGTCCGAATGTTTAATCTATTCATAACATACTCTCATTGACGTCACACCTATCGATTCACAATCCGAATCAGACGAATATCTCCGAGTCAAACAATCTCCTCAAATCTGAGGTGTGCGTGCGTTCGAAAAGTAGTGGACAGCGTGCGTGTTTATCTCCTTTCAGGGGCTGAGTGCTCCACACATTGAGGAAATCTCTCACCAGAGAGCATTTGCTATGCATTCAGTCTAGCGTGCTGGGGCTGTACGCTAAACATGTCTCGACGGGAGCTCGAACTCCGCAATCCCTTTCGATATATCTTGTTTGAGAGATCGACGAATAAATTACAGTACACGTTCCGCTGGCTTGCGTGACTGCCAAGGCTGCTCCATCGTTGGGTATTTCAGTTCACAACAGTACGTTACAGTCCCACTCAGTTCAAGGTAGTCGAACTCCAACTCAGCTTGGTGATTTTTTTTTCATAAAGTCCTCTAACTCCCAATGTAGCCTAGCGAAAACTATCTTTGACCCAATCTGAGTAATGTGTAGAACTGCTCTCTTGCCTTGTGGTCATCCTGTAACACTCCAGTCATGCTGTACGTGATGGTCATTGCCCCCGTCTTTTGGACTCCCCTCATCACCATACACATGTGGGTGCATTCGACGACGACTGCCACCCCCTTTGGTTGGAGCACCTGTTCAATCGCATCGGCCACCTGCTGCGTGAGACGCTCCTGAACTTGCAATCGGCGTGCGAAGACTTCTGCAATCCGTGCCAGTTTGGACAGTCCCAGAACACGGCCATTGGGGATATATCCAATGTGGATCTTTCCTGTTAGCAGACGAAATAGAAGAGAAACCAGAAGGCAGTATTAGATACCTTTCCCATAAATGGCACCATGTGATGCTCACACATGCTGAAGATGTCGATATCCTTGACGAGAACCAGATCATGGTGGTCCACCTCAAACACGGCATCGTTGGCCACCTCGTTGACATCCTCGGAATACCCCTTGGTGAAGAAGAGAAGAGCTTTGGCGTATCGGTCGGGGGTCTTGACCAGCCCTTCCCGATCAGGATCTTCACCAATGTGTTGCAGCACTTTCCTCGCTGCATCTGCCAGTCCCTGGTGACTCTCGGAGTCGTCTCGTCTGGGCTCGGACTTGTCTTCTTGACATAACGATTTGCTTTGTACATGCACGGGCTGGTACTGTTGATTCGACGTTGGCCAGAGAGGAAAACTGCTACCTTGGTCTTTTATTTCGGTCAATCTTTCCTCTGCTGGGTTGACTGAGGTTGTCGAATTGACAGTCATTGTGATTGTCAAGTTGAGTATCAATTAGGTCAGATGGAACGAATGCTGAGATTGCTCTGGGTAAACCGTAAGCCGGATCACGAGCACAGCCAGGGACATTTGTATGTATGGAGCTGCAGCTCCCTTGGTCTTTTAGGAAACCCAAAGTTCGCTACTGTATTGCATTACCATGTACTGTCATCCCCTAGCTGTATGTATGTAATACGTGTAAGAAAGTGGCCGTGGTTGATCCTGTAGATCCTGTATTCTAGATTGTAATACAATAAATGAAGTGGCGCGCAACGTGGTGGATACCTCAGCTCAGCTGCCCCAGATAGCGCATATTATAGTTTCTTCAGGCGGAATACGATTCCCTCAGATACTATAAATTACACTGTATTTTATGCCTGGATAGATGAGAGCTGAGTTACCCCGCCGATCGGGCTGGGAAAAGGTGGAGATGCTTGATGTGAGGCAACTCCAAGAATATACTAGCTCATACGTGGTATACAGTACCGTATCAATAAATATCGAGGTACTTTTATCTAGGTAATGGAATGGCCTAGTTGATTACCCAGCTGAGTTGCCATGATCGATCCATTTAAAACCTTCAGATCACTAACAAACTGTCCACACTTCGCAACCTCAAATATTGTAACCTCCGACGATGGGTTCTATTCAAGACAACCAAAACCAACAAGGAATCCTCGATAGCCTCGATGCCCGCACGGCCATCGATGGCTTCATCCGAGGTCTCCCCGCAGAGGCCAACATCCTCCTCGTGGGCTGTGAAGCATCGGTTCCCCTCGCTGTGAAGCTCACTGAAGCTGGCCATCATGTCTGTGGAATTGATATCTCGAAGCCTAGCAACAGAGATGCAATGCTCGGGGATCAGTTCTTCCAAACAGCCGATATGAGAGATTACTCGACCGGCAACTTGGACGCCATCGTGGCGGTCTTCTCCACGTATCATCTCACAGGCGCCCAGACATATTCGCAATTGTTCAAATTCTCCGAGTGGCTCAAACCCGGCGGCCGGATTCTCCTTGGTACCTCGGTAATCGACAGTTTGAGCCTGAACGGCTGCCACGACTGTGTTGATGAGCGCGTACGCTGCTATCCCGTCCAGTGCCTGGGGAAGCAGATGGTCGCGGCCACAATCCTGTCCAAAAAGGGCTGGGCTGGCATGGCTAGTAATGCAGGCTTGTCTGTTGAAAAGGAGGTGGATGTCGTCCTGGGACAAAGTGAGCGTCATTATTTCGTGACTTTCTGCAGGACGGAGCAGAAACACCCCCTCATGGGGCCCTATCCCCTTCCCCAGTCGTATCGGGGCCCTCACCGTCTGAGCGAGGCGGCCTGGCATCCTTTTGCTTCCCGCCTGGTGCGCGATGAGTTTGATTTCGTCCTTGACGTGCTCAAGCATAACCAGAAAGTATTGGATGTCGGTAGCGGATATGGAAGTAAGTCCCTCGTTCGTGTCCGACTGATAGTATCACACAGTCTAACAGTTGACAGAACTGCCCAAAGAAGTCGCCGCTCGCACCGGCAAAGCATACTCGATCGAGCCCAATCCCGATCGAAATTCGATCCAAGCCACCAACGCCGAAAATGCGGGCATTGAGCTCGCACAAGGAACTGCGGAGAACATCCCCTTCCCGGACTCAACCTTTGACGCAGTCGTAGCAATGTGGGTGCTGCACTACGTCGATGATCTTGAGAAATCCCTGCACGAGATGGCCCGAGTCGCCGATCGCTCCGCGCCCAACGCCCGCCTGGTGGTCGTCCAAGGCGCCCCGGACAACGAAATCATCCATCTGATGAACACGGTGTGCCCGCCCATCAGTGCAACGAATGGCCGTCCCAACCATCAGGGATATCTCCTTTCGACGGCAGCAGAGATATTCACCAAGTGTGGGTTCGAGGATGTTTCCGTCCATCGGGTCGATGCGTTTTGTGAATTCCGCGACGAGGATCTGGAAGAAAGATGCGACAAGGCGGCCGAAGTCGTGGCGGGGCTGTGGTGCTTGGATGACGCCAAATTTGATGACATGAAGCAGGCTCTTGTTCCGCGGCTGCGGTTCCATTTCCTGGACCGGCAGTATGCGGTGGGCGATCAGGCGGTTGTCCTGGTGGCCAAGCCTCTGTAGACAGACATTGATATCATACAAGCCAGTTACTATCATAACATATTGATCTACAACATATTTTCTCCGTTTCTGTGAATCTCGAAAGACTATACAAATATGTCCTAATTCTTCACCCTCGCAACAAAATACTGATGGTCCGGATCCGTCTTATGCGCCTCCCGGTCATCCGACGCAAACTGATACCGGAGCTCGGATTCCATCTCGAAGCCCTCCCCGCGCAAAGCATCATACCACCCTTCCACCGTCGCCGCACTGCCCACAAAATCATGGCCCATGAAATACATCGGTTTCTGATCGATCCACTTGCCCGACTCATCGTAGAGCGACCTATCGTCGAACATGCAATCGCTGGGAATCGTCGCGATCACCACCCTCCCCCCGGGCTTCAACCATTCCCTGAACTTGCCCAGCATCTCCATCGTCTGGGCGTGGGAGATGTTGAACAAGGAGAAAATGGCGAAGATCGCATCGAATCTCGTCCCGTCCGCGGGAGTATACTTGGTCATATCCGTCTTTTCAAACTCCGCCTCCAAGCCGGAGGAGCTGACCTGGCGTTCTGCGATCCCGAGCATCTGCTGTGAGATGTCGATGCCGGTGACTTTGTGGCCGGCTCTGGCCATCCGGAAGGAGACTGGTTTTCCGGTGCCGCAGCCGACGTCGAGAATGCAGGAGTTGCGGGGGAGGAGGGGGAGGACCCGGTCGATGATTTGGTGGAGGCTTGGGTCTTCGGAGAAGGCGGCTTCGTAGCGTTTAGCTATTTCGTCGAACATGGTTTCTGCCATCGTATCCATTTTGTCGGGTGAGCTGTCGCGGCTGGGGGGATGATGCTTTGGAGAATGGTGGTCTCGAGCTGGGGATTTGAAACAGCCTCTATCTATTTAGTTTGTTGACTGCAAGGCACTATATACATGGATACATCAATACGGTAATACCGTCAAAGTCAATCTATTACGTAGACACGCGAATTGTTTGGTACGATCGACACTTTTCCGCTGGGTACCTGGGCGAGCTGGACAAGCTGGAACCGTGAAGACTTCCATCCCAGAATCGCGGCGCCCTTGACCGACCCACACGGTGCCTCCAGGCGACTTGTGCACGTTATCATGACTAGCCAAATACCAGAGCCCGAACCTCGATGCTCTCTCGATCCCTGGCGCCAAGCGGGGTTCGCGGATCCTCAAAGGCAGAATGCGGCACAGCCACCGCCACCTCGGGGGCCTTGGTGGAATCAAAACACTTCAACAACAAACACTCATCGTTCTCCATCCCAGACCAATACAGCCACTGCTGCTGGGGATTGTGCCGGACTCCGACAATCTCGCCCGTGCGATGCGGCAGGCGGAACTCGATGGGCACCAGGTCGGCCGGGTGGACATGGGCGCCACTGGCGACCGCCAAGGGACAGGATTGCACGGCGCCATTGATCGGCTTCCACACGTTGATTATGCGGTAGCGACCCTGCAGAAACTGCTCGGCCTGGGCTTCATCAGAGACAGACAGTCTGACTCGCCGGGCGGCGGCTTTGGCGGTTTGATCCGCGTGCGCGGTGAAGAGCGGCTTGGTGTGATCGGTATTCTGTTGTCGGCGGATCACATGGTCGAAGATGACGATGGTGTGGGCGCCAGGAATCCGGTTGAGAAGCAGCTTCTCCACTTCCGGGTAGTAAACCTGTTCGACCGCCTCGTCGGAATCGAAGGTCTCATATGGGATGGTGGGGAAGACGTGCTGCAGGGTCTGCACGGCATCTTTGTCGAGGGTGTACTTGTCTTCCTGGCCGCGCATGTCACTGAGAGACACTGGCAGAGCGGGCTGGCGGTAGTTCAGCATTGGTGAGCCATCTTCGGGCTGCTGGCCATACTGGTAGGGGACGGAGCCATCGACGGGGTATTCGAAGAAATTCAACGTGGCCTCGACGGGGCCACGGGGGATGTAGTCAGAGTTGGGAGCAGGCATTGTAGATGTGAGTGAATGGGATGCTATCGAGTTGACAAGGCAACTTGCCTGAGATGCTAATATATGAGGGGAAACTCAGAACAGCCTGTAATACCGCTAGTAATAATGAAATGGGTATGTTTTTCGTCCAGTGGAGCTTGGTGTCTTGTTTAATTACTCTGTATGATCGGCAGCTGTGGGCCTGTGAAAGCTGCCCTGTGTCTGATTTCTGACCAATCACCGCAAGTCAATTTTAGTACTGCCAGTAATAATCAAATGGATATATTTTCCGTTCAGCGGAGCTTCGTATCTTGAATTAATGACTCTGGACTATCGGCGACTGTGGGCCTGCCAAAAGCTGCCCTGCATCCCATTTCTGACAGATCGCCGCGAGTCGATTTGCCCTCTCTTCTCCATAGTACCAGCTGGCGGCCATCGAGCAATCGGACTCCCCGATGTAAGCGCCCACCGAATGCAGCCTGACTCTGGCCATCACCTCATCCACCCAGGCCCTGTACCGTGGCGCCTCACTTTCAGCTTCGCAGATGGAATATATGCAGAAGTGATGGTCTGACTGCATCCCAAATGCCATGTCCGGGAGCGTCCGTCTGCTATGCGGATACATGGGATACCAGAAAGCCGACGATTTCCCCGGAGGGAGGGCCATAAAGGCCTCTTCCAGCGTGGCGACAACATTGACATCATCATCCAGAAACACGTTGTCCGTGTAGTAATAGTGCGAATGGGGGTTGGCCTTTCGCTGGTTGCCGTAGAGATTGCCCAGGCTGTCTTCCTGGCAGACCCATTCCGTGATGGCGCCGGCTGGTCTGGTGTCCTGGACTTGTTGCAGGATTGTTTGCGCTCGGGCGATGGTGGCTTCCATGGACACAAAGTAGACCAGGAAACGGAGGCTCTCGGGTGAATTGCTGTTCCCGGGATAATGAGCTACCATGACCACCTCGGTGTTGTGGTCGGATTCGCGGATCAGAGACAAGACCCATTCGAATGCTGTGCGATATAGGGAGCGAGGGTAGATGTAGCCTGACGATCGAATACCCTCTGCTGGAGCCGACCTCAACTGTAAATGGAATTTGGTGACAATACCGGGGAATGCTATCCGTGTTAGATCAATCATGCCAGAGAAGTCCTGTCCAAGGCAAGGAGAGTAGAAACTGCTTACCAGGCCCTCCCCCTCTTGCAGCCCAGTAGAGATCCTCATTCTGCTGGGCATTGCAAAGCAACAGCTCACCCTGCGCGGTGATGACCTCGACAGCCTCGAGGCTTTCGCATGCCCAGCCCCAATTCTGAAAGATGATCAGGATGATGAATAGTGAAGAGGGTAGATGGTACCGTGCATACCCTTGCATTCAATCCCATTCCACCCTGCAACATGAATCCTCCCAGACCAACATCCGGACAATGGCCTCCAGGAAATACGAATCCATGCTTCATTGCCGCATCATTCAACTCCTCGCTTGTAATACTGGGCGTGGCTGTTGCAATCCTCTTCTCTGGGTCCACGGCCAGCTCTTTCCACTTGCCTAGATCCAGAAGAATGGAACCATCGTGGAGACTCCAAACCGCCATGGAGTGACCCCCAGAGCGGACTGCAATCTGGCATTTTCGCTCGTGGGCCAGTCGAACGCCTTCAAGAATGTCGTCCGTGCTGGTGACTTGGATCACGGCTGATGGGCGATGGGGAGGACGTCGGAGATTGAAAACACCATCCAGACACGCCGTCTCGTAGCTGGTGGGATCTTCTGACTCAGAATTGAGGATCTGCATTTCAACGGATGGCTATGACGAGAGGTGTAGCACACGAAGACATCCAGCGTTCGGAACGGATTGAAGTATTCTGGTTGACGCTGTGGGTGTGCATTGTGATTGGCTCCTCCACTGACCCCACATCTACAATTGTTTCTTTTTCTCCTCAGGTAAGCAGCGATTGACCATCACGGATATCACTGATAGCTAGACAAGAAACCAAAGTCTTTGCCAGTAAAATGTCTACAAACACATCTGGGATCAACACCAACCCCCGCCCCCCAATTGTGGACACCATCCAACTCCGCAACATCCAACTCTCCTTACCGGCAGCGCCAGACCCATGGCATCGTTCTGCATATCCGCAAAGCTGTACAGCCACCCTCAAGCTATCCTACGCCTCGTCTGAAGCATCAGCAGAAACGGACGATGTCGGTCTGACCATCGACTATGGAAAGCTGTATCGCTCGTTTGCCAAAGACCTCGGTCGTCTGGGCAAAGAAACGGACGCCGGTGCTTTGATATCAAATGGAGAAAGAGTCGTCAACCTTGATGGGGTTCGACTCGAAGATGTTCTACGTGGAGCCATGGGCGAAGATGTCCGATTGACTGCGGGAATCATCGCCAATTGCTGTCTGCAACAGCTGGATGAAACTGCCGTGAGTTATCTTCCTTCTCCCCGGTTTCTCGATATTTCATCTCATCGTGAATAGCTACGTGCAGCAGGTATTACAAGCAATGCCTCTCCACCTGCCGTCGAGAAAGATTTTGGCCGATTCCAAATCCGACTTGCTTTCCCCAAGGCCATCCTCCGTGCCGACGGGGGTCTTCAGTACCGCTGTGTCACGGAACTGGGCCATCTTGAAAGCGAGGCCAAGGAGCAGAGCCAGCGCCGGCTGGTGGTCTTGGTAGAGGAATTCAGAATTGTTCAAATCCGAAGCTACTGCATCCTCGGCATCAATCCTCACGAGAGACTCGAAAAACAGGCCGTCTTCACTACTTTGCGATTCCAAGGACCTGGCCTGCAGGAGTGGAGTACCAAGTTTATAGACAACTACCAAGAGATGACTCGGGTGGTAGCAGAGGTAGGTTGACTCCTCACAGGGCATCCAAATTCAGTGACTTGCAGTTATTGACTGTCCTCTAGCGCGTTGAAGCCACCTCCTTTGGCAGTGTGGAGGCACTTGCTACTCTGATTGCTCGGATTGTGACGATGGAGTTTGGCCATGAGGAAGTGACCGTTTTGGTACAGAAGCCGAGTGCGCTGGGATTCGTCGAGGGGGCCGGTTTGGAGTGTACTCGCTCGCGGGCATATTTTGAGAAACGATCGTAATCAGCTGGTCTCATCAAGTCGTCTGAGCATAGGCGTATGTGATGAATGTGGTTAGGTGGGGGTTATGGGAAATGCATCCGGATCTCTACATTATGGGGTGCCCTGGATCCACCATTATTCATGCCAATCGAACCTCACCGACATTCGTATGTAGAAAACCACAACAACTGGCCAAGCTCTTTTTGTCTTACCTTTGCGAAACTTTGGGATTTGATTGATCGACGATTGTATCTTACAAGGACCCACTGTGGAGATTGTAAGATCAGTACCTACCGTAACACTGTAATTCAGTATATTACAATAGTGGTAAATGTCCTCTTATATGTGGGCAGATACTTGCCTGGTTGGGCTGTGAAATCAATCAGAGATTTATCTCCACAGGAGCGGAGCAGTTCAGCTGTTGTACTCTGTGCCGTTCACTCCGCACACATCATAATAGCATAGTAGGACTGAACATTTTGAGCATCAGATGCAGCGTTATCAAAGTCAATACTTGTCGACCGAGCACAATGGCAGCCAACGACTCCTTTGAAACCCGCTTATTTATCAATGGCGAGGTAAATCCCTTTTCCCTCCTCGTCCGTGCAATCGCTGATATCGATCTAGTTTCGACCGTCCAGAGACAACAAGCAGTTCAAGGTCAACAACCCCGCGTCCGGCGAGTTCATCGCCCAAGGTGCGTCCATCTCTCACAAATCGAGCACCTGTATTACTAACCTCACCCCCCCCCCCCCAGTGCACGAAGCAAGCGAGCAAGATGTAGACGATGCCGTCGCAGCAGCAAAAGCCGCATTCCCAGCCTGGAGAGACCTCGGCCCCGCAGAGCGAGGAGCCTATCTTCGCAAATTCGCCGACCTCATTCTGGAATCCCACGAGACTCTGGCCCGGATCGAAGCCCTGTCTAGTGGAAAGCCCGTGAGCCAGTTCTTCGAGAGTTTTGTCGCGGCGGACTTCTTCCGCCACTTTTCTGAGGCGGGGTGGAATGCCCAGGGGACTACGAGTCTTCATACCAAGGATCATTTGAATCTTTCTGTGAAAGAGCCATATGGTGTGGCGGCTTGTATAACGCCATGGAATCTGCCGATTCTGCTTTTTGCTTACAAAGTTGCTCCTGCGCTGGCGGCTGGAAATACAGTCGTCCATAAGAGTAGCGAGAAGTCGCCGCTGGCAGTAAGTCGCGTTCTTCTTATCTTCCCCTGTCAACCTGTCTGACATGAAAAAGGCAACACATCTAGCAACGCTTGTTGGGAAAGCAGGATTCCCACCGGGCGTGTTGAACATGATCTCTGGCTACGGATCACCCGCCGGTTCCTCTCTGGCTGCTCATATGCAAGTTCGCTGTCTCAGCTTTACCGGGTCACCCCAAACTGGCCAGAAGATCCAGACTGCTGCTGCTGCTTCGAATATGAAGCATGTGCACTTGGAACTGGGTGGAAAGTCGCCTTCACTGATCTTCCATGATGCAGATATCCAGGCAGCCGCGGAGCAAACCGCAATGAGCCTGACCTTTCTAAGTGGACAGAGCTGTATCACCAACTCGCGAATTTACATTGAGGAATCTGTCTCGGATACGTTCATCCCATTGTTCAAGAAAGCCTTTTCGTCTTCGAATGCGGGGAATCCTCTCGACCCCACCGTCTCTCGAGGGCCTCAAATCGACGAGCAGCAACAAGACCGAATCAAGGCCTACATTGACATCGGCCGACAAGACGGCACACTCACCATGGGCGGTGGCTCCGGGCCAGGCCTATTCGTCGAGCCAACCATCATTGAAGACGTGGCCGAAACCTCCCAACTCATGCGAGAAGAAGTCTTCGGACCGATCGTGACGATCAACCGCTTCAAGACCGAATCCGAGGCCGTCGATCGGGCCAACCAGTCCGAGTTTGGACTTTACGCATCCGTCTTCACCAAGGATATTGACCGAGCCATGCGGGTATCGAAGCTTCTCGAGGCGGGAACTGTGGCGATCAACTGTACTAGCCCTACCATGGCGATGGATATGCCGTTTGGCGGGTACAAAACGAGTGGTGTGGGCAGGGAGGGGTACATGCATAGCTTGGATAACTTTTTGGAAACAAAGTCGATTCTCATGCGTGTTGGTCGGGCATAGTGAGTGAATATCGCATTGGACTCAAGACCAAACGGATTGCATCATATTCATTACGAAATTACCCGTATTGTACCGTAATACACCCCCCGCCAAAACCATAATACCCGACTGTTTACCTGAATGTTTCCATGTATTCACGCTATGAAAGATTGAACCTCTCAGCTGGATGTGGGATGGCCACCATGAGTGATAAATGATCAGCAGTCCCTCCTTCATCTCCTCTTTTGTTTGCGCATCGAGCCTGCGAAGCCGCAATATTCTGACACCATGGCCATCCCAATTCCCGCGCTGTCAACGTTCAAAGATTTCGACTACGTCATCGTCGGCGGTGGAACAGCTGGGCTGGTCCTAGCTGCGCGCTTGTCCGAAGATCCCACGATCACCGTGGGCGTGCTTGAAGCGGGAAAATCGAGGTTGGGAGATGAGAATGTGGAGAGTCCGGCGGGGATGGGCAATTTGCTTCATAATCCTGAATATGACTGGGTTTACGAATCGACGCCTCAGGTGTGTTCTGCTTGATTCTCTATTATTTTTCGTGGGTAGCTGATTGAATCCTCCAGGCAGGAACAAATAATACGGTCCATCATATTGCCCGGGGAAAACTGCTCGGCGGATCCAGTGGCATCAATTATCTCGCCTACTGCAGACCAGCAGCCCAGGATATCGATTTCTGGGAACAGCTCGGAAACAAAGGATGGAATTGGTCTGAGCTCCGGCCGTATTACCATAAAAGCGAGAGTCTCCATGGGAAGGCCGGGCCCGCGGTTGAGAACAAACCGGACTTTTTCGCCAACAATCCTCGGTCGCATGGGAGCTCTGGGCCGATTCAGACCTCGTTCGCGCCCTGGAGAGTGCCCGTTGAAGACTCGATCATTGCGGCGTTGAGCGAGCTTTCCGGGGTGGAAGCCTCCAAGGATCCTTGGGATGGTGATCATCTAGGCATTTATGGATCCCTCTCTGTGATTGACACTCGCAAGGGGGGAGGGAGTCGAAGTTATGCCGCGACGGGGTATTTGGCTCCTATCATCGGCCGTCCGAACCTCCAGGTGTTGACGGATGCTACAGTGTGCAAGGTTCTACTCGAGCAGAGCGACTCGCTGACTGCGCGTGGGGTAGAATTCTCTTACGATGGTGCCACCCACTCGGTCCATGCGAGGCAGGAACTCATCCTTTGCGCGGGAACAATCCAAAGCCCACGCCTTTTGGAGCTCTCGGGCATCGGTGATCCGCAAATACTCGGCGCAGCGGGCGTTGAATGTGTTCTCCGGCGACCAGAGATCGGGAACAACTTGCGCGAACACCCCATGACGTCCATCACCTATGAATTGGCAGAGGGTCAGATCTCCTTGGATTCTCTGTTCAACGAGTCAACCGCTCTCGCCGCTAAGCAGCAGCTGCTAGGCACCGACGGCGGTAGTGATTCGTTGAATGGGGCCATGGGGCTGGCAGGCTTCTTGCCATATGCCAGTCTCGTCTCGACCGAGGAACTCAACAGCATGGTGTCCCAGATGGACGACGAGGAGGTTTACCCCATCGAGGAGAAACAGGACCTTGCTGCACGACTCCGGAATCCCAAATACGGAGCAGTGCAGGTTGTCGGCTGTCCGGCCAATTTCGACGTGTCAGCTGGACATGCCGACCAGCGCAGGCTGATGGCCGGCCCCCCACCGGGTCGAAACGCCTGCTACGCTTTTCTCCTGAGTTTAGCCACCCCGCTTTCTCGGGGCAGTTCGCACATCACCTCTGCGGACGCATTTGCTGTCCCTCAGATCGATCTCGGCTTGCTCTCCCATCCCATGGATGCCGACGTTCTTGCTGGCGGCCTAGACTTTGCAGATCGCGTCTTCCGTTCCTCGCGAGTCGCCGACAAGGTCGCTGGACGAGTCGATCCACCCCCCGAGATCAACCTTCGGGATCGGAGACAGGGCCGTGAATTTGTCAGAAGCCATACAACAGTATTCAATCACATGCTGGGAACCTGTGCAATGGGTCATGTCGTGGATGAGCGGCTGCGGGTGAAGGGGGTGAGCGGGTTGAGAGTGGTGGATGCAAGTGTGTTTCCAACGCAAATTTCGGGCAACATCATGGCAACGGTGTATGCGGTAGCTGAAAAGGCCGCAGACATGATCAAGGAAGATCACTTCAAGTAGAGGAAATGCGATTTCCTTGTTTTTAAGGACATAATACACTTCTTTATGTGGGTTCAACGGAAAGCACATGCTGCAGGTCATCCACGGTTCGTCACGCTTCGGCACACGCCACCCATGCGAGTCCTCTTGAGGATTCCACTTGCGAGTTATTACGATCCATGACCATATCGTATGCGCTATGTAGGGGTCTGAGGTCTTATGCAGACCTTAGAGTGTATTGAGAATAGCGCGGGCGGAGTGTGCTCCTTTGAGGGATTCTAGATGTAGTCAATATACCGCACCGCACTGCGGGTCATGAGCAACAGTATCCAGCAAGTGCTCGACCATCACTGCTGTGAGAATCGTCTTGCCCGCACCAGGCATTCCTGGGCAGGCGCATCACGGAATCGCCCCTGCAATTTGCACACCAGCTGTATGCCGGTCAGAAAGTCGCCTACACCAAACCCGAAGCTCATTACCGGCTTAATCATAAAAGGGCAAAGTTTCAGGAACAGGTTGAAGTCTCTTTAACATTTCGTCTTGTCCGACGGGGCTGTGCATTGATAACAGCTGATGGGATGCGGGGTAGCAAATCGCTGAGCAATGATTGGCCAGTTGTATTTAAGGCTGCTGAATATTTTATTTTGATTTACGCTCACGATGATTGATTATTATGGAATAAGTATCTTATTACATAGGTGATCGCAATCCTGGTCATGGAGATATATATCAGCAGCAAAGGCGGGATTGTGAGATATCGAAATTAAAGGACGATCAGATAGAATTCATTATATTTTGTTATTCTAGTATGTACAAATTTAGCATCATCTGTGTTCATAAACCACTTTCATTTCCCCTAGATGGCCCCTCCCTCGTCCTCAACGACGACACATCCACATCCGTCGTGATCTTAATACTACTCCCTCCCTCCCTCCTGATCAACTCCTCCTCGGACTCCGTCAACGTCGCCCCAGTGACACCCCCTCCTCTCTGACTCAATCGAAACGCCCCATTCTTCTGCCTCGAAGACCTCTTATTTCCCGACGGCAACTCATGGCTACTCGGATACACCTCGTCACCACCACTGCTACCCACAAGTTTCGTAAAGAGCGATCGCATAGCGGGCAAATTGACAGCGACCACGGCGACTTCGATTTCAATCGCCGCGACGATAATCATACGCCCAAGGACGTAGGGCGTGTCGGGGTCTGTGATGAGTTGGCGCTGGACTTCGAAGCGGCAGAAGGCGGTTATCACGGCTGTGGCGCCGAAGCAGATGACGCCTAGCACGGCTGCTTTGCGTTTTGCGCTCATTTGGAGGGCGAGGACGGTGGGGATGGGGAGAGTGAGGATGATGAGGTCGGTTATGATGTTCTATCTTGTCAGCATTCCGTACTATAGAGTGTGTTGAGTACGATGGGGAGGTACCAGTCCGGTCGGGAGCATGTTGAGGACGTAAGGATCGATGCATTTTGCGTTTGGGTATGAGGATTTGTAGATGGCTGCTTTGAAGGGCTTGCATTGGAGGAAGGCGATGAGCCAGTTGGCGATGGTGAAGAGCGTGTTGAGCAGCATGGTGGCGTAGACAACGCGGCGGAAGCGTTGATCGGGAGAGAGACGGAGGTAGAAGAAGAGAAAGGCCTGCTTGATGGTCCAGTGGACGAACATGTAGAAGACTTCTTCGATGAAGAGCCACTGTATTGTTAGTACTTATCTCAGTATAAATATGTTGTACTTACCTTGGTCATGCCAGTCAATTGGCTTGTTGATAATAATTCCTTGTGTCTGAATGCCAGTTAGCGACGATCGCATACAAACCCAACCACTTACAATCCACAGCCATAGTCAAGAAAGACGTATAAGATCGTCTGCTGGAATGTATTCACGGCCTGAATATGTTAATAAAATTCATTAATCCGATCGCAGACTCACCAGGAGAAAAACAGCCACGACATCATCCCATCCCAGCGTCCCCAACCGCCATCGACAATAAAGACGCAGGAATATCGACGACGACCCAACGGCAAAGGCAATCGAGATAACGGCATAAGTCAGCGGCTGCAGGTTCTCAATTGCCATCTTGGGATGCCTTCAAATATCCATGGTGTAATGAGCAGGAAACACTGCACAACCCCTTCATTAATCGGCGCAGGATCATCCCTTAAAACCCTCAACGTTGGCCATATTTTAGCCCTGGAAACGTCAAAATTTGTCGCGAAGATCGCCTTCCACCCTGGTCGGACGGCTCGAGCGACCGAATCCTCCCTGCAACTGGAAAAAGGAATATACATGGTTAGTTCCATCGCCTGCAGCACGACCTGACCATTGGTTTGCAGCTGGGTGAACGGCGGAGACCAAGTCGTGCAGGAGACAAAATAGCGCAATCCTTCCGGCAGCCCGTGAATGTTTAGGGCATTCGGAGAGCGCGGATTATGGGGCGCCGCCGGGATCGCCTGTTTGGGCTGTGGATAGCACGATGCTTGATGCGTTAGCGATCGCCTCGCCAATGACGGACAGGGCAATCAGATGGAATAACCGATGGTTGACAGGAGAATTAACATTAAAAACGTTTACCCCTCCCGGACAACCCCCGGACTTCTTATAACAGTCTGGCTCGCTGCGTTGCGTCTGCAGGTCGCAAAAATGGCCTCGATTGCGTCGGTCGGACTGACAGAGGCACTGCAAGCCTCGCCGTGGATGCTGGCAGGGTATGCAGCTGTTTTTGGGCTTTCGCTTCATGTGACTTTGTTTCGTCCGTCGCTGTTTATCGTGGAAGAATATCTCTACAAGTTGTTGGGGCTATATGCGACTGCCGTCATTGCTGCTGCTTTCGCATTCTTTACCGTCACTGAGTTTTCTGTGCTGCAGATTATCGCAAGAGTCGGTTTAATTGCACTTTCATTCAACACCGGCTTCATCTTCAGTCTCAGTCTTTATCGATTATTTTTCCATCGTCTGCATCGCTTTCCAGGCCCTGTTGCGTCCAAACTCACCCGCTTTTACGATGCGTGGCTGGCAGGGAAGAATGTGCAGTACAATGTCGAGATAGACAAACTGCACAGCCAATATGGCGACTTTATCCGGACTGGTAAGCTCTCTTACTATAATACAATGATAATGTTAACTGAATAGGCCCCCGCGAAATCTGCATCGTCCGCAAATCCGCCGTCCCTCTGCTGTTTGGCCCTCAATCCGACTGCCTCAAATCGACTTATTATGCGCAGGCATCGCCGGACCCGAAGAAATGCTCTGTCCATCATACGCGCGACTTCGACGATCACAGACGGCGACGGAAGGCGTGGGATCGGGGATTCAGCATTAAGGGTGGGTCTCCATCCATACTGAGACAGAATAAAGAATAACAGAAATAGCGCTGGGAACATACGAACCACGAATTAAAACCAAGGCCGACCTGCTCGTTTCACACATCGAATCGAACATCGACAAACCCCTCGATGCAACTCCCTGGTCGATGTTCCTGAGCTTCGACATTATGGGCGACGTGGGCTTCGGAAAGGACTTTAACAATCTCACAACTGGAATTGAACATCCGGCGATCAAAGGTGTGCATGACCATATGGCTGTTTTGGGTGTTTTGGGCCATGTTCCGTGGCTGCTGAATGTGCTGGGCTGCATTCCTGGTGCAACGGCGGGGTATTCGGGCTTCTTTAAATGGTGTGCGGATGAGATTGAGAGTAAGAAGGAGGTACGTTTCCCTTCCAGGTATTTGAAGAGATGTTCTAATTGTATAGCGGTGGGACTCGGAGGAATATCCTCAAGATGTTGTCTCGTGGTTATTGAAGGCATTCGTAGAGAAAGATGTTTCTGCTGCTCCGACGGAAGATTGTCTGCATGAAGATTCGCGAGTTGTCATTGTCGCTGGAAGGTATGGACCATCATCTGCTATATCCTATATAATCTGACTTGATAGTGAAACAACCGCAACGACCCTCGCCAACGTGCTCTTCTATCTCGCCAAATACCCAGCTGTCCTCACAAAACTCCAACATCTGCTCGACGAAGCCATGCCCGGTGGCCCTGATGACTGGGATTACAAAAAGATCAAAGACATCTCCTTCATCGACGACATCATCAATGAGACACTCCGTCTCCGACCCGCCGTCATGACGGGTGGCTATCGCGTGACTCCTCCCCAGGGCATCCAGGTCGATGAAGTCTACATCCCCGGGGACGTGAATGTCTTTGTGCCAGTGCAGTGCATCCAGACCGACGAACGATACTATAAACAGTCAAAGCAATTCATCCCGGAGCGCTGGGATGAGCGAAAACAGGAATTGGGGACTGAGGGAGCTCCGTTTTTGCCGTTTTTACTGGGTGAGTTTCATCTATAAATACTATGGCAGGTGCATTATCTAACATCTTTAGGACCATATGTCTGTCCCGGCAAGAATCTGGCCATGATGAGTCTTCGTATTTCCATCTCAACATTGGCCCAGAAATACAATATTACTTTTGCGCCTGGTGAGACCGGAGATGCGTTCGACAAGGGTGCGCTGGATACGTTTACGACTACGCTGCCTCCATTGCAGATGATGTTTCAGCCGAGATAGCCGTATTAGGAATATGGGGTAGATGATTCTATGTTTGTATATTGATGTTGATAATGAGAATGTTATTGATCATGTTTATCGGCTCTTTTTCTGTGGATAAGTGGATATCAGCTGCATGCCAAGGCTATTCTGCAGCTTTGACTGGATGGGATTTAGAATGTCTCACGCCCTGTATGGTGATTGGATGGGTTTTGTATACTTTACGAGCTTACTGCATTAGACTTATCCAGCCTGTAAAATGTCTATATAACCATCGATTTCTTCAATTACCATCGACCATCTCATCAATATTCCGAATATAACCATAATCATAATACAATGGCACTCTACACCCTCCTCCTCGCCCTCTCCATCTCCACTACTTCCCTCACCCTCCATCCCCGCTCTATAACTCCCCCCTCTGGCTGTCCCATCCCCACCTGGCGCGTCAACAACTTCCACTGGTTCAACAGCTCCCATAGCCTCGACTGCATCCACAACGAAGCCGACATTGCCGCAAAAGGCTGTCTCTGCGGCCGCGCCTGGTGCGAACCCAACCCCGCCACCTGCAACGGCACCATGGCCAACGTCTGCTACACCGGAATGCCAAACTACGAACCGTGGGGGTACGGACCGCCACAAACCCTTGACATCGAATTTGACGACGGCCTCACCTGCCACGATGAGTACATCGGATATCGGATTCACGATATCGGGCATGGGGAGAGTAACTGCGGGTATGCGGATCGAAGTCTAGGCAGGATTGTAGCGTTTTATGGGAGCTCGAACGAAGCCAGTTCCGTGGGGAGGTTGGAGTATACGTTGGGGAGTGGACATGCATTGAAGTGTGAGAATGGGAGTAGTATCACGTATGGGGGGAGTGTGGAGTTTGGGCTAGATTGTGTGCATGATGAGTTTTTTAATGCGACTTGTACGGCGGAGGCGTTTGAGGTGCCGGTGTTGAGTTATCAGTGGGTTTGATTGTAAGCAGTATAGGCATCCTATTTGGATATTCCGGATGAATCTCGATAGGGTCCAATATACTCCTCCAACTTAGGAAAGCCAGATAAATCTAGAGTGCACTCTTCAATCGGCGGGCTCCCGATAATCTTCAGTGGCCTTTGTATCTCCAGCACCTCCAACGAATGTTTCTGCTTGTCCAAAGCCGCAGTAAGGCCCTCCATTGTAGCACATTCCCCCGGCATGTCCTCGTATCCCTCATCATTGACCTGATAAATACGCACATGCAACAACGCTTTCGGAAACGAGAGCATATTACACAGCGCCTGCGTATCAATGCACAACCCACTCACATCCAACATTTCCAGCTGCGTCTGTCCGTGATATTTCTCCGGATTATCAATCTTAGGATCATCCGGGAGGAGATGAACACCGCTTATGCTGAGCTCCCGCAGACTGTCAATACAGAAAACAACCCCAATCTCACCCAGGAACCACTCCTCCGGTTCCCATTGGCCCCAGATATTCAAGTTCACTGTCATATTAGCGACCATTACTGCCAATGGTTAAATAGCATACATACAACACTGCAAGCCCCTCACAATCCTCCCCTCCAAAGGTGTCGCCAAACTCATCTTCCGAAGCACCGCCGCCGCCTTCTCTACATACCGCTCTTCCCTCGTATACGTAGTATCATACGTCCCAACCATATCCAGCACCTTCAAATTCGGAAACCGCTCAATCCAATGCGCTTCCGCGAACGGCGGGAGACAGTCGCACCGTGCGCCGTCGTTGCCATTGAGGTAGAGGTGCTGCATGTGGTGGTAGTGGCGGGTTGGGAGGTCGGGGTAAGAGGGTCTGGCTGCGATCTCGTAGTGCCAGTAGCTGCATAGTTTCTTTGTGGCGATTTCGTTGATGAGGTGGTTGGTGAGGGTGAGTGATTTGAGGTCTTCTGTGGAGGCGTGGTTTATGATGGTGTCGAGGAGTTCTGGTGGGAGACGGAGGAGGGGGGAGGTCATTTTGGATCGATGTATCGTTATGAAGGGTATGATAGAGATGGTGGAGTATTTATGTAGATGAGTGTGGCTATGCATGCCAGCGCGTCCTTGTATTCGAATATTATGGAATGTTCTATTGAGTGCCCTGCTGTACGGCTGGCCTTAAAATGCTCTATGGCATGGTTCGTTTTCTATTCTTATTTATCTTGGTAACTGCCTCTATAAGTTTAATATATAGACTGATAAATCCGTAATACTATGACAACGATATATACAACAAGACTCATGGACACAATGAGTCTATCTATTCAGGGCTGCATTAATGAGCTTCAATATCAAACTTCCCAGTTGCCTCAGGCTCAGACAATGCCCACTTGATGCCCTGATACATGACCTCATCGTACTTCTTCGATGGAGACAGTTTATCTCCATACCGTCTAAACCCATGAGGAAGTCCCTTGAAAACATTCACCTTGGTTGGAACACTGCACAAGCCGTCAGTATATCAAATCTCCTCAAATTGAAATGAGATACTCACCCATTCTCCGTAAGCAGCTTCCCATAAAACAATCCCTCATCTCTCAACGGATCACGTCCCGCAATACCAAACACAGCAGGAGGCAATCCCTTGACCTCGTCAGCCGTCGCATTACCAGGGTTAACCCGTCGATCATTATCCTCAATCTTGACCTTATCCACCCCCATCAACTTCGAGAAGAGTTGCATCCTAGCCACGGGTAGAATAGGCGCGAATTCATTCTGTCGATAACTCGATACTTCCGGACTAACCAGCTGCTTCAGCTGGGTTTCGTAGGCGTCACCAATCACAAGAGGCGGGATCATGAGAATCTGTCCCCTGATCTTGGGCCGTTTGGCTAGTGAGTCATCGATGCCGAGGTTTTGGATTAATGCAAGGGATGCAGTGAGCAGTGCGCCAGCGGAGATACCGCCAACGACTATTTGGTCGCTGTCCCCGCCGACTTGGTCGATATTGTCGTGAAGCCAGTGGAAGGCGTCTTCGGTGTCGTTCCATGCAATTGGGAATGGGTATTCGGGTGTGTGCCGGTAGTTGATGTTGAATACCACGATGGGAAAGTTCTCCTCAGCTAGAGAAGTCACAATACGAGAGCAAGTTGCATCTTCGGAAGAAAGAGTCCCGAAAAGGAATCCACCACCGTGAAGGTGGATATAAACAGGCAGAGACTGGGATTCAGGCACATTCGATGGCCGATAACTCCGTCCCTCGATGGAGTAACCGTCGCGTCCGGGGATGTTGTGGTCGCGGATTGTCACTCTGGAAACAAAGTCTACATTTTATCAGTTTTATCATATTAAATAGTATGGAACATACCCTGGTTAATCATCTCTTTGGCCGCAGTAGCCTCGCGGTCACTGTTCATCGCCTTTTTCAGCTCATCCAGACCCAGGTCTGTTGGCGGCTCTGGGAGGGTCGCTTCGAGAGCGATCCATTCTTCTGTTGGAATACCGTATTCGCTAAAGTCGGCCATTTTGATGGATGTGATGATGTGTTAGTGGTAAGAAACAGGGGATGGGATAATGGTTCCACGGACGATGAGGGGAGAACGTGGCATGTGGGGTAATCGCGTGATGTGCCTCGGCTGTCGGGATGCCGAGAGATGTGGGGTTATCAGATGCCGATTATCGATTATGTATTATAAGCAATTTTATTGATATCTAGCTAGTATTCGAACCCTCCTTCTAGAATTAAATTCTTCATGAAATCAATGGAGTCAGCCACGAAAAGTCGCGGATGGCAGCAGTCTCTTCCCGCATGTGTTCAAGCAAGAATGCTATCACTTTTCGATTGCTGTGTCTGTATGCATCGCTCAACGCCGGCCAGCCATAACGGTTTGTATAAAGAAGGTCAGCTTGCGCTTTCAAAGAACAAATCAAGCTGACTTCTTCCCTCAACCCAGCCCAGTTCAAAAGGGTCTTTCCATCTCGATCCCTAATCAGTGGATCAGCGCCGGCATTCACCAACGCCCTGACAACCCCTTCATGCCCCTCCTTTGCTGCAGCAAGAAGAGCATTGTAGTTAAAGTTGATTCTGTGATCAACCTCGACCCCTCTTTCCAACAACATCGTGACAATTGTCGCATTCCCAGTCTTAGCAGCGAGCACCAATATGGGACAATCGCCTGAATCATGTAACCCTATAGGATCAGCACCGGCCGCCAGCAAGAGTCTGACAATCTCAACACGTTGCCTTTTCACCGCTTCAATCAGCGGAGACAGCCGCCTTTTGCGCACACGGATGGGAGACCTGAATGGATTGATTGCATCTGACTCGATTCTCCCGTCGTGACGTTCATCATTAGATAAAGGATCAATGTCAACATCCTTGCGCTCTAGAAGAATCTTAACCGCTTCCGTCAATCCCATCTGCGCCGCCAGAAACAGCGGGGTCAACCCATTATGGCAGCTCAAATTAACATCTGCTCCATATTGGAGTAAAAACCTGAGTATCTCCGTATTCTGATATATAAATGCAATAACAATTGGTGTGCGCCTGCATCCGTCTCGAACATTCACCGGCGCGCCATGCGCCAGGAGAATTCTCACAATGCTTAGTTTTTTATACTTCACGGCTACGCACAGAGGCGAGTATTCGTACCAGATCATGGACATCTTATCTCTCTTCTGCTTCTGATGCGATTCGTACCTACCATCTGGTCCGACCTTCAATGGACCAATATAAGCCCCATGTTGGAGTGCCTTTAACACGGTGTTCTCTGAGTTATCCATGATTGCCCTGTGCAGTGCGTAGCTTCGAAATTGAGAAGCATCTCGCTGGTAGAGTAGGCTATCGAAAATCGCGTAGAGTCTGGTATTCGTCCTGGCTAATGCGTTGAGCTCACATTCTTGTGGCAGGTAGCCGGCAATTATGAGAAGGAGTTCGTTTGGGAGGGTACTGAGCGACATTGTATCTCAGATATCTTTTTTTTTTTTTTGACTAAAAGAATAAAATTCTCATTTTGAGCGGATGGACTGAAATGGTCGTAATTTTTGGATCGAGCGGTTGGTGATATGAGTGAGATATACCGGACTGAGTGATGCCTATAATTCCCAAAAAGGAAATATTGCCTATTTCGAAAGTATCATTTTATCACAATGATAACGACATGTAATCTGCTCTTACCTGGCATGATACTAATTACAGGCATCACACTGTCATGTTCATGCATATCACTGCTCGGCACAGTCAAAAAGAGGCTGTCCATGGTCATGGAAAGCACGACACCATAACGCTCAAAGACGACTGCAACTGTTTACCCCTTTCCGCGAAGGTTGCTTATATACTGATAGCAGAGCCTTCTAGCCAAGAGAACCGTGGCCTCGATTGCATCCTCTCTTTACTTACCATGTGCAGGGCCGATTTACCGAAACCGAGGAGGCGCATGCCTAGGCGTTTGAGTCTAGAATGCACCGTTGGCTGACTGGGCATTTGGTAGACATAGCCTACAAGGGCACAAAATACATATAGAACTAGCAAAGCATTAATATTCTGGTAGACTAGCCTCCATATACCAAACTAATATATCACTGGACGCAACCACGAGTATTCCTTCGCAAAAGTAGTTGCCTCCTGCATATTCTCAAGCAAAGCTGACTCTGCCTCATTATTGCCATACTTGTTTGCCATATCGATTGCTGTCATGCCCTCTTGATTAATGGCGTATAGATTGACTCCTCGAGATAGTAGGAATTAATCAGTCTCTCCCCTCCTTTCCTCGCCGCATGGTGCAACAGCGTCGACCTATCTTTCGTAGCCTTCATCTGCGGGTCGATTTTGGTGGCCTTCAGAAGCAGCCTCACAACACCGTCGTGTCCACATATCGCTGCATGAACCAACAGATTGTGCGAAGTATAAATCAGTGTTGGCTGAATCTGCACACCATACTGCAGCAGCATATTGACAATATGCACATTGCCAGTCCCAGCGGCTACCGTCAACACAGGAACACCATCAAAACCACATAATCCTATAGGATCAACACCAGCTTCCGGTAAGATCCGGACAACTTCGACGTGCTTTTTTTCTATTGCAACCAAGAGAGGTGAGTCGAACATTTGGCGAGCATGATCCTCAACTGGCTTCTTCGCGTTCCTCAAGGCAGAATTGAAGGGATCGTTATGAACTCTGTAAGGTACATAATCGAGGTCAATTTCAGGATGCGCAACGAGTAGTTTTACTGCTTCTACATAGCCGTCTTCTGCTGCATCATAGAGTGGGTGCCCAAAATATTGAAATTCCTGATTGACATCCACACCGGCGTCGAGTAAAAGTTGAATCATCTCTGTATTCCGCCTGTGGAATGCGAAATATAGTGGTGTTCTTCCTTTACTATCTTCCCTGGACGCAGATCCACCATGCTCCAGCAGGATTTTCAGGATATCCACTCTCCCACGATGGGCAGCATAGCATGTGAGTGGAGCTTCACGCCAGCCCGTGCAGACAGTGTCTGTGTCTGTATCGTATTCTTCCTACTCCAGAGTGTTTGATAACGGCCCCATAACTGAGTAGTTTTAGAAGAGTGCTTTCCGGCCCACGTCCTACTGCGTAGTTCAGCGCATCGCTTTCAAACTTATGTACCTCTCGGTAGTACAGAATAGGGTCAAAAATGCTGTACATTCTGGTGCTCGTCCTGGCTAGTGAGTTTAAATCTTCTTGCAAGAGCACATATTTGCCGATGATGACAAGAAGCTCATTTGGTAGGATGGTGAGCGACATTATGCCAGGACTCTGTATTGAATTTGATGTGACAGTCTGACGGTAAAGGTGACTTGCATTGATGTAGAAGACAGCCGTATTGTGTTGATATTCCGGTGGCGTTGACGCGTACAATCCCAAACGTTGCCTACAATAGGGACAACTCTATCATTATGACCACCACACATACCTACTTTTCTCGATAAGAATTCAGGCTACAACTTTTTCCTAGAATTAGTATACTTCTTTACGCTATCTCATGAGCTCTACCGTATCGCAGTCACATACACCCAACGCAGAGCAAAACACTACATATTTTATTCTAATTCCCCATTTACCAGATCATCACACTTTCAAGCTAGACATCCCGATAGAAACCACAAGATACTATTTCCTGACCGCCAATCTACGAAATTCAACAACCGAAACACCCATCGAGTCCCCCCACCACACATTAACGTCTTACCATGCAGGAATATAGATTCTCAGCCATCCAGCTTTTCTGGTACCCATCTATCAGGGAATGAGCATGGACGGACTGAAGTTGCCAAGTCAGACATTCTACCAGTGACGATCATATTTGGGTAGATCTGCTGGATCGATACGAGCAGGTGTGATGCTAATTTTATACAAGCGATGTAGAGAATACATATATGATGAAAATCCTCACGCTCAAACATTAGAGCAGACTCCATCACGCTTTTCTGTAGCGACAAAAAAGTGGCCAAACACAAATCCAAAAACATTAATTACAGAAAGATGACAGACGCTCTCAGCTAAGAACCTATCGTGACGCCACTTGAGTCGAATATGCCCGTAAATATCCTATCATTGTTAGGGAAGCATTGTTTTGATTTGGCCAATGGATAACCCATTGAGGCCCAGTTGTCAAATGGGTCGAAAGGCCAGGGCGAGTCACCATTCTCAGCTGTTAAGGATGGAGCAGCATCATTGATGAGACGACTCTGATCTCCATTCATCCCTGAAGTAAAAAACCCAGATGCCATTTCACTGTGTTTCAACCTGCCCCGATCTGAGGAATGCCCTCCCTTTTCTAGTAGGCCCAATGAGGCCAAGACGTTGTGGGTCGGTGGTTGCTTCCCTAATTCCGGCTGTGAGACCATTCAGCGTGGCATATCCATCGGTACAATTTCCGGAGTCCTTGGACGAGCCTATCTGATGTTGCCCAAGCATCTCCACGTATCTAGCCAATTAAATGCGAGCAGTGAAGCCAGTCACTCAATCTCTCTATCTCAAATTGCATCTACGTTGGTCTAAATCGCCTACCCTTTCGGATATATGCGATGAACTGTTCTCCGTAGTTTGGTAAACGTGAATTGTACATCATTCATTCGACATGGACCAGAAGGAGTGGAAATATCGCACTGTGCTCAGTTAATAGGTGATCCAGATACTTGGTTCGATATACATAATGTTAGCACATTCCTTAGACTTTTTCAGTCGGCATCTATCGCATGCTTTGCCGACTCGCTTACGACTGCCATGGCCGTCATTAGAAGTCGACTGATGCGATTGATTTGTTGACGCGTCCCGACATTCCATGATCCTGATATGAAGAAAATGGGGGGTAAGATATTGACCATGCTTTCCCTCTTCGCCTAAATATGAGGTAGCCGACATGACTCAGTCCCTGGGTCTGTAGATCACGCTGTAAAAACATGCTTCATGGATGGAAGACTCGGTTCGGAGCAAAACGACGCTGGTAAGACAAAGGTAGGTACTAAGATTCCGTTCCGGGATGTGGATCTTGAATTGGTCCGGGCTGTGAATCTCGGATTCCCGCTCGGATACACGGACCAGCGAGCCAATCAGAGCTGTATCTCCCTTCCGTATAGATCAGGGAACAGAACAACAAACGCCGGCATCCTCTCGCTCGGAATTTGAACTCATAACCACTTTTTCGAGTCCAGAAGATTTTTCCTAACTGTTTTTCCTTTTTAATTCCAAGTACGGGACGGTTATCATCTCTTTATATTCCCCCTCCTTCCTCTTTGCTCTGGCATAGGGACACACCACGAGATTCGTTACAGGAACCCACTCTGACATGGTTCTAGTCTCTGCAACTTGGTTTGCCTAGCCCAATCCCAGGATATTGTACATCTGTTACCCACCGACTACCTCAGTATGCCAGAAGATTCAGTAAGTAAACAAGGGCCAAATGGTAAATTCATGTCACACTAACGTGTGCAACACGAAGCCCTCTCCCATGGATGGAGATAGGGATAGGAAACTACCGGTGTATCGGCCTGATGGACGTTCCCTGGGCATCACATTCTCCAAAATCACGGCCATTGGCGCAAGCGGCTCCTCCCAAACGGTGAATAACCCCACTTCTCTCAAATGGCGCAGGCTAGAGACTGTCTTTGAGGCCGGGGTCGGGTTGATATTCAGGTCGGCTTTGGCTGACCGCTTCTTGCTGGTCTTTCACCATTGTGGGCAATTGTTTGGTGTTTCCCACTCGCTTGCTAGATGCGTGTCGGACAAAGAGGTCGATAGGGGCAGTGTCAGCCGTGAAGAATTCTAAGAGTTTACTTTTGCGAAGAATAAGATTTTCGCCATCGTGATAGGCTTTGATAATCCGACCATGCTGGCCCATGAAAGATAGAACAGTGACCTGATTAAAGGTGTTAGGAATCTATTAGCCCAGAATCAACCATTCCCAAGGGAAGGGTACAGCATACCGGAATGACCAGATGCTTCTTGAACATATCATGTGTGAGTCGGGTTTCCATAGCGGCCAGGATTATCAACAATTCCCCCCGTAGTAGTTTGTCCTCCTTGACCAGGTCATTCTTCAGGAGTAAAATAACGTGAGGCGCCTTCTCCCCTGGTCCCCTTGACTCCCATACACCTGTAGCGCAGAATCTAGAGTATACCCCAGAGAAAGTCGAGTCCCAATAGTCGTCTTTGAACACCCTTTCCGTAAATCCTCTAAGTCGATCAGACATTCAAAGTTAGCGATGCTGATTTTGTTTGGAAGACAGATGCAGCTTACTCTTGATGTCGCCATCCCGTGAGTGATGCAAGGGTTTTCCCATGTCCTTCGGGGATAGCGATTCTTTTTGCGCCGGCGGATTGCCACGCGATCATCGTACACAGGCAGTCCGCCGCACTGAAAAGGCCGAAGCGAGTGAGATCACTAAAACAACCACGCTAGATTGAGTGTCCTTATCTTCTGACATCGGATGATTTTGCAGATCGTCACGAGAAAGCGGCTCGAAGAAAGACCACGTCGATGTGTCTCCGTGATCGGTGATGTCAAGCTCTTCAACTTTGAGACTAAGGTTCTGGATATCATCGTCGTTTAACGTGGGCTTGAGGGTCTGTTTGACATCCCGGAGTAGACTGATAACCGAGTATATTAGACGTTCCTTTTGTGACTCTTTTTGGATATCAGCCTCTCCGGAAGGTACGGTGTCGTCTGGTATGGCTTTGGATGGAGTTTCCTCGAGGACGTGGTCCCCTTCATGGCTTTTCGTTTCGGTTGATTTCGGCATGGCGAATGCGAGAGAGGAGTGGGAATAGTATTGAGGCAGTGGATGAGGTGGGCTGGTAGTGAAATTGTCGACTGTACTGGGTAGAATATCTCGGTAAGGAAGGTCAAATGCTGGCCAACTTTCAAAAGCAAAGGAAGAAGATGGGAAGAGATAGAAGAGGAGAGAAAGTGGAAGGCTGAAACGGTGTTTGTCTGCCTGCAGTGAATGCGCGGATGATGCGGAAATGACAAGCACAGTCAACAGCAATTACGATGGAGATATAGACTGAGAAAGGGTCCAGCTATAATTCTAAGGTCTTCAAGGGCCTTTAAATAATACCAAGCTCTGTTCATCAACATGGATGAACCAATGGATAATGGTGCCACATCTCTATACCCCCATCAATTGTAATCAACTAGACTTGTAGCAAAATGCCAAACAGACTCACACAGCCAAATCTTCCTAGGCGACCTTGATCCCTTCGCCAAAAGACATTCATACAAAGGATGGCAATTTTTCCTCCATACCTTTCAGCCATTCAGGTCTTAATTTCAGGGTCCATGCAACTACATGTACTGTCTGGCATCTTTTATGATTGTTCTTTCTTTACAATTTCGGGCAGTTCGCCAGTATTCCCAACTCGCTTGCTAATGGTGAAACGAGAAAAGAGGTCAATGGGCGATGTTTCAGCGTTGAAGAACTCGAATAATTTGCTCTTACGAAGGGCGAGATTGTTGCCATCGTGATACGCCTGGATGATCCTGCCGTGCTGTCCCATGAAAGAGATAATCATGATCTATATGGAAGAAGATTCATGAGAAAGAGTTATTATTGGGATGATAAGAGGCATACCGGGATGATCAAATGATCCTTGAAGATCTCACTCGTAAGTCGAGTCTCGATGGCTACCAGGATTGCCAGCACTTCGCTGCGAAGCAGTTTTTCCTCGTTGACTAACTCAGTCTTCAGCGTGAAGACGAGGTGAGGAGCCGTATCTTTCCCTCGTGCCTCCCATGAGCTTTCGGGGCAGAACCTGGGGTTGCGTTCAGAGAATATCATGTTCCAGTAGAAGGGTTTGAACATCCACGGTTCAAATCCTCTTAGTTAGTTCAAAATACAAGGTTAATGGATTTCTTTCACTATAACTAGTCGATAGATTAATGACTTACTCTCGATATCGCCATTTGTTAAAGGACGCCAGAGTACCTCCAAGTCCCCCAGGGAGGTCTGGTCTCTGCGCACCGCTGGAGACCCATGCCACCTAGCCACACAGGCAGTCTGCTGCAGAAAAAGCACCAAATAAGGGCAAAACCTCAAACCCTCCATTTTGTGCTAACAGCCATGACTGTGTAACTTCATCCTCTGAAATCGGATATTTCTGCAGATCTTCCCGGGAAAATGGTTGGAAGAAAGGTAGCCACGTAGTCTGACCTCCGTCTGTGAGGTCAAGCTCTTTAATCTCCAGTTCTAACTTGGAGATATCATCGTCACTCAAAGTTGGGCAGGGTATCTGCTTAACCTTGCGATAGAGAGTGGTGATCGAGACGAGTAAATGCTCCCTTTGCAACCGTTTAGTTCGAGCCTGCCGTCGAAGGCGGCTTTTGCCTACTGTGGCATCTAATGATTTTGCCGGCAGCAGGCATAACCGCGACATCCAATATGGAATAGCTTTCATTATGGCCGATATAGACGATGAATAGAGAATGGAATTGGGAGTGTGAATTTGAGTTTGTCTGGCTGGTGATGATATGGATGGATGATGCGGATATGACAAGTGCAGCCAGAGTGAATACCAGAGGAGGTTTAAATAACCCAACAGCTGAGCTACAGCGTAAAGAAATCAATAATACAAGAACACCCTGAAGCGTGGCTTTATGTTGTTAACCAGGGGCATATCTCGCAATGGAAATGTCAGCTATGCAGGACAGGAACCAGACGAGAGGAAGACGTGACTGACTCAAAACAGCTGTCTTTCCATTCCGGAGATTAAGATAAAGACACATGAGCCCTCTATTCAAGGATGAGGTCGTGAACGCTTTCACTACCACGCTGATCAAGAGCAGCCAATGACAATGCCCGATGGTTGGTGAGTGCCCCATTGCAGAAAATCCTATCGTTCCTTGGAGACAATTCTAACTATCTTTCACTCGTATTGGCTTCAAGACCGGAACGAGCTTATCCACATCAACCGGTCCATCATGGATGCATAAAACAAAAAACCGCCCCATGCCACGTCACAAGCATTATTATCAACCAATCAGTGTAAAAGATTCCGCGAGGCTGAACATTACCTGTTTGGGTTGGTAATCAAAAGATCCACAAAGGCGAAGATCAACTGCATATAAGTTCAAGACATCCACGTTTATTCTCCCTCTTCAAACAACAACCGTTATCCCAGTTCACAGAATGAATCCATCACAACCATCGCTCCTCTCAGCCGCAAAAGACGGCGACGCATCAGCGGCGCAACTCCTCCTGCTGGAAAATAAAATCAACCCCAACAACCTCAGTTCCATCGGAAGAACACCCCTCTCCTGGGCCGCAGAAAGAGGCCATGAAGCTGTCGTCGAGATATTACTCCGCGATGCCCGAACAAATCCGGACACAAAAGACTTCTATCGTACTGTCGCTGAGCGAACTGCCTTGGAGACAGCAGACGCCGACTGGGAATTCAATCGCAAAGTCGATCTGGACTCGGAGGAAACCAACTACCGGACGCCACTATCGCGGGCAGCAGAGAATGGGCATGTGGAGGTTGTCAAGTTGCTCCTTCAAGATGGGAGGGTGAATCCCGACATGCACGATTCGCAGGGCAGGACGGCATTATCATGGGCGATGGGGAAGGGGCATCAGGATGTTGTTAGATTGTTTCTGGGAGATGGTCGTGCGGACCCCAACTACCAGGTCTCAAAGGGGAGAACGCCGCTATCGCTCGCTGCAGAAAGAGGCCATGAAGAGGCCATCAAAGTGATGCTGGAAGATAGCAGAGTCAAACCCGATATTCCAGACGCCCGAGCCAGAACAGCATTATCGTGGAGCGCAGGGGAGGGGCACGACGGTGTGGTCAGATTGCTTCTTGCAGATGGCAGATCTGATATCAGTAGTCAGGACAGGCACGGAAATTATCCACTCTCATGGGCTGTCGAGAGGAATCACAAAGGCGTTATCGAAATGCTTCTGGACGCTGGCAGTGATCCTGACTTTCACGACACCGACCGAAGAACGCCGCTGCTATGGGCTATGCAGAACGGCGAAAAGGAAATGGTCAGACGATTGCTGGACGAGGGTAAAGCGAATCCAAACTGTCAGGATTATAAGGGCTTAACACCGCTATCATGGGCTGTGGATAAGGGGTATGACGATATGATTCGATTATTCCTCACCGACACAAGAGTCAACATGAACCTGCAAGATGCTGAAGGTCAATCACCACTTTCACGTGCCGTGAAGACGGAAAATACGGATATCTTGCGGCTGCTTTTGGCCAAGGATGGCATCGAAATCAACATTCAAGACCAGAACGGCCGATCTCCATTGTGGCTTGCCGCGGATTTTGGACATGAAGCCAGTCTCAACACACTACTAGACCAAGATGGTCTCGACATTAACCTCAGAGACAAAAAGCACGGACGAACACCCTTACTCCGATCAGTCGATAAAGGCCACTCCCGTCTCAGAGACCGGCTTCTTGCTGTCCCTGGTATCGACGTGGAATCGAAAGACTCCAACTACGGCCAAACAATCCTCTCCTGGGCAGCCTGGAGCGGGGATAATACAAATTTGGATCTCTTCATGTCAATGCAAGGCATCGATGTCAACTCCGCCGACAATGACGGTCGAACACCTCTATCCTGGGCCGCAACGCGAGGCCACCGCGAAACCGTCAAGAAACTTCTCGCGAATCCAGCTGTGCGGCCTGATCTGAAAGATACAAAAAACGGCCAGAGTGCGCTATCCAGAGCCAGCGAAAAGGGAAAACATGAAGTCGTACTACACCTCCTCTCAGAACGACGGATCGATCCAGATTCCAAAGATAACAATGGCAGAACACCACTCTCATGGGCCGCGGGGAATGGTCAACAGACCGTGATGGAAATACTGCTGGCAGACCCCCGCGTCAATCCCACCTCCGAAGACCACGAAAAAAAGACCCCATTCGCACACGCCTCAGCCAACGGCCGCGAACGAGCAGTCTCCCACCTCCTCCAAGACCCCCGCATCAACCCCGAAACAAAAGATATCCACGGCAACACACCACTCGCGCTCGCCTCGATTCTCGGCAAGGAAAGCTTAGTCGAGCTCCTCCTCGCCGACCCGCGCGTCGATCCAAATTCAAGAAATAATAAAGGAAGGCCACCGCTCTCGCTGGCGGTGAAGTATTACTCGCGGAGAGCGATCGAGGTGTTGCTCAGGGACTCTCGCGTCGATCCGAATGCAAGAGATGATAAATGGTATACGCCACTTATACTCGCTGCGAAGTATCAAATGACGAAGGTGGTAGAGATCTTGGTGGAGGATGATCGGGTTGATTTGAGGCTTGTGCAAGGTGGGAGATCGGCAATTTTATGGGCTTCGTGCATGGGCGACAAGGAGACGATGAACATCTTGGAGAGGAAGCAGCTGGAGAGACAATCGAATGATACTGGATAAACGGATAACGGATTTTGTGGAAATACACTAAAAGGAAAGCATGAGCAGAAAAGATGGAATATACCGAGTTCAGAAATAACATGACAAAATATTATTCCAAATTATGCACTGGTAGAAATCCATACATGCACTTCCATGTAAGGCAATATGTGTACATACAATTAGAGATCACAGCCACATAACGGCGTAAAGCAAGGGCGCAACAGCCTCAATTCGGCCGAAGGTTAACTTCCGGGAAAAGGATCCGGGGAGACCAATCAGAGAAAGGATAATGATGCGATAAAGAATGGAATGAGATCATGATCAGGTGGGAAGAGTTGATGCCTGAGAATGAGGCTCTATCCAGACGAAAGAAGGGATGAGTTATCTCATGGTGTATGCACCATCAGAGGCGCCAAGTGAAAAACGGCAGGCAGAAGAGACATACAGAGCACGAATGCAGGCAGAAGAACAGCTGTTGCCTGTCCTTGCTGTCTATATAACCGCCTTTCTCGTCATGGATAATTGCATCAACTGCAACGATCTCGAAAATGGCGGATTCATCCTACGACCGGCTAACAGCGCACTCGTTGAGCCACTACACCTCCAAACCCGCCTTCCTGCACGATGCCCCTGTCGTCGACCAAGACGGCTTTCTCATCTCCGCCACACGGGCAGGAGGACCTTACCTATGTTCACTCCCAGCCACCTGCGACGAAATCTTCCGCTGGGGAAAGAGAGACGAAGCCCCGCGGGTGGAGGTGGACGTCCAAGCCATCCTGCGCGACAGCAAAATCAACTACCGATCCGTGCAAGTCACCGGTCGAGTCTCCAAGGTTGACCCGGAACCTACACCCGTTCCAACCGTGCTCGTGCATGCCAGAAGACGGTCTATCCTGGAAGATTGGTGGGGGTTGTCGCGCAAGATCCACGCGTATGTCAAGAAACAGCTCCCAGGATTCTGTGTCGAAATTATCGAGGACGCAGTAGATATCGAATCTTTCTGCTACCCTGTTCTGCTGTCGGACACGATCGTGGAAAAATGGCCAACAATCAGACAGACTATCCTGGTGGAATTGCAGAACCAGCTCTGGGACTGGACGGCGCTCGAGTGCTGGCGATTCGGTCGCGATGAGAAGAATATCCTCAATAACCCGGTCACTGTGATTGTGAGTGTGCTCAAGAGAGCGGATCGAAGTTTCGATACAAACATGCAGTGTATCCGCGATATTCTGGCGTATTTTGACGAGCCAAATGTTGACGTTCTGTTTATGAAAGACGAATCGAAGGACTACGTTTTACTGCCCGAGCATGCATTGTCCAGAAACGCTCAGCCGGGAGTCAGTATAGGGATCAGGAACTCCTCCGCTGGTTCGTCTACCCTTGGTGGAGTAGTCGAAGTGAGATTCCCAGGGAGCCCACGATGGAACCCATACGGGCTCACATGCTTCCACTGCATCTATCCTCCAGAGGAAAATCGGGAAAACTTCGCCCTCACCACCGAGGAGGAAGAATGTGAGTTCATAACCCTTGCATCCCGATTCAACTACTTACACGGTGATAGGCTTATCAAAGTGGAAGCTTTCCCCAGTCGAATTCAGCGACCCAATGTCTCAAAAGCTTCTCCAGGTCGATCACCCGAGCCAAAGAGATCTAGACGATACCATCAGGGAAAGAACCCGGTGTATTAAAGCCATCCCAAATGACGACTTCAAATATATGACCCATTGTATAAACGAGGCAGAAAAAGAGTCGAAACAGCCACACTTCACCAAAAGGGCGGTGAACTTCTACAACAGCACCATGGACAGGATCGACGCATTCTCAGCAAAGCTACGCCCGTTTGAGAGATTACGATACACGGGCGAGTTCTACCTTGGCGAGGTTATGGCTGGGAGTGGGCTTCATCGCACTAAGCCTGCGTCTGAGATCTATCGTTCGAGACGGGATTGGGCGCTTATTAAGATGGCCCAGGACAGAGTTGGTGATAATAAGGTACGTTCTGGTGAAGCCGTATTCTGTCTGAACCTCTGCTAACCATCTGTCATCTGTAGCCTTCGGTCGTGTCTGGCTTCAAATACTGCATCAGCCCAGACCTTCGCTTCAACTCCGCGTCTCCCATCCATCCAGGTCTTACCGACTTTTTATTCAAAGTCGGAAGATCCACGGACCTGACTCGTGGGGTGTACAGCCCTCTTGAACAAGTAAGGATAGCCAGAGAACGCGACGCTGAGGGGGAGATGGCTTTGATTGCCACGTTAGAGCATGCGATTACCAGTAAAGGGGAGGCCAGATTTGCCGAGGCTGGAGACTCTGGTTCCTTTATCTTCACGAGGAAAGGAGACGTGGTTGGGATGGTGATGGGTGGGTTTGAGAGGAAGAATACGGTGTATTTTACCCCGATTCAGGATGTTTTGGATGATATCAGAGAGGTTACGGGGGCAGAAGCTGTTAGGCTCATGTAGAATAAGCGGAATTATATGGAACATGTTCTTTGTATCAGCAACTCCTTGTAGAAAGTTTCTCTGGCCCGTGAAATGCGACAGATTCGGTGTCATTTCTTTGGCTTCTCTGCTATAATTCCAGAGATAGAGCATTCTTCCCACAGCAGGCTCTCGCCAACCAAACTACAACCTAAAACTCTACAAAGAAACAACAAAGCAAAGAAGATAGCGGCATCAAGCCATTTCATTGAGCTAAGAACTAGCCAATCGTAAAGAAAACCATCATAAATCATCTCCAAGTTTCCCACGAATATCCCCACCGATATCCCAGGTACTATCCATCATCCACCGTGCCAAAGCAAAGGTCATCGTTATCCGATTCCGATGAATCGTTCGCAGTCGTAAGACGCTTCAAGGTAGCTCGACGAAACATCGTAAAATCTTCGACAAACAAAACATTAGCACAAGCAACAACCAAACATCAGAAAAAGCAAACTCACTCGGGGTGTCCATCTCGACCGTCCATGTAGACCGTTACAAGCAGCGGTGGTTCTTCAAGTCGCAGCGGCCACTCTTGCACTGGATGTGTCCGCGACAAAAGACGCCCGGGTCGAGCAATCCGATGCAAAAGTTGCCGGAGCAGTGGTAGTCCTTGGGGCAGTCTGCATCGCCGTTGCATCCGGCGGCTTCGCCACCAACCATGAGGATGTTGGCGTCGGTGTCTAGTTGGGTTGATGATCGTCAGTACGCAATGTAAAATTGAGATGGAAGTTTGAAGGAAAGAATTACTCTTGTCAGCCACGTTTTCGGTGGAAACGACAGCGGCGCTGGCCATGCCGACGACGGCGAGGAGGAGAGTGGAAGTAGCAATCTTCATGGTGAAAAGTTGAATGTGGATGTGAAGTCACAAAGAAAGAGAAAGTAGATGTTGAAAGGAGAAGCGATCGATCGTGAGCAAAAGATCAGAGAGAAGAACGGTGAACGATGAGGATGGATGAGGGAGAAACAAAGAAAGAAAGAAGAGGGGAAGTCCAGGGATTTTATAGACAAGACAAAGAAATGCAAAAATCTCCTACAGAGTCACTGGGAATGAAAAATTTTTCTCTCTGAGCAGTGAATGAAGGTGAATTCTCTAGCGCCATTCAGTCCCTCGAAGCTATTCCCGGATCCAGTGATATGGCGCAGTGGATGTCTGCCAGCTGATCCCTGGTGGGGCAGAGGCAATTCCCTCGACCTCAGGATCCTCCCAATCAGGAAGGCCTACAATCCCGGTGTGAACTTAAGGAGAATTCCATGCCAGCTCCACTTCTGTCAGTCCATCACTCTCTTATCTCACCCGAATGGTGGAGTTCGACTGGGTGAATGGCTACTGGCCAAGCTTGGTGGCGTCGAGGATGGACATCAGGTCGAATCCGTACACTGCAGGGAATCGTTGTGCAGCGTCTTTGTTTTGGAGATATGGGAAGGAGACTTTACGCCAGATAGAATAGGATTTTGGAACACTGATTTGTTTACATTGAATCGCAGGATAGTAATACTAGATGAAGGGAAAACGCCTAGCTCCTCCTACATGGATTCCTATCGAAAATACTCATTCCAACTCCTCTTCTCTATGTCTTCTTAGAGCAACTTGTCTATCTTCGCCTATATACTCGACGTTCTTTCAAATCACCCAATTACCCACCATGACGACCTCAATTTCCCTCAAGCTTCTGGTCATTGAATCACACTTCAGTCCCCATCATCGATAACAGAGACGATAACTCCATGGTACCTTATATCGACCTCAGATTGTCCAGCAATGGGTTCTCAGATCCAACATCGACGCGTGCCCGTGACTGCAGAACCAGTGCCATATCTATCTGGGATTGATTATTCCTCAATACCTTCCAGCATTCCACTCAGTCGTTTTGAGGCCTAGCTCAGGCAATGTCGTCGATCCCGACTCTACCTTTACGCTCGTCTCTGCTGGGTTGAGCCCGGCTTGTATGGCTTATCGGGAGCATTCCCATGTCTGTGTTGACAGTACGGATGATGCAAGCCATGACATCACCGACTCTCAGTCCAGTCTCTCCGTCCACCCTGAGCAGCATCCAACAGACAGCTCTTTGGTCGACCTTACAATTGACTTTGGCCCACAACAAGAACAAAACGAAGCAATCAAAGGGGGGTCAGTCCCAGTCTTTACAGACTTACTCCATCCACAGTACTCTTGCTAACTCCTCTACCTCTCACGATAGGAAGATCAACCGTTCCAAGTGCAAATGGGAAGTTGCACCTATTCGAAATTTTTTCAATCGAGATACTGACTTGATGAGACACATCAAACACATCCACGTTTCACCTCGAACATACTCATGTAATATCAATAGATGCCGCAAATCATGCAGCAGGAAGGGCAACTTGATGCAACATATTAGAACTCACCAGAAGTCACACCGAGCCCAGCTTGACTTGGTTAATGGGTCTAGTGTCGAATAATCCACTCCATTTCAACCAGTTGTTCTGTCTGCCTGGATATAAGCAGTGCCAACCTGCAGTATCATCGTTCTATATGCCTTCTGGCTAAGAAGTCTGGGAATGGGACTGTCCATGAGTGCCGGGCAATGACAAGGCTGGGATGACCGAGTCCGTGATGCGTGGCCCAATCACATCAATGATCCCACGGATAGGCGCAATCGCACCTGCGAGCCCAGTGGGGATTGCATAAGGTGTGATTCGTCTGTTTCAGGCAGTGTCCGAGGAAGTAAGCTCTCGCAGAGGTTCATTCCATAGGTAGTCCTGATATTGATGTGTTGTGCGCCTGTATTACGCTGGCATAGGGCGGGGAGAATTTCTCTGGTGGAGACGTCATCCTGATGGACCCCAGTGGGTAATTCGGAACCCCTATTTCTAACCCTCTGATTTGTAGAAAGCGCAAATGGAACCATTCGTGACAACTAACCTGCAGAACCTACGTGGCAAGGGAAACGGTGGCCACCTAATGCATGCAGGTCCCTCGTGAGCGAGGTAATCTTGATGGCGCTGACCATCATCGGGCTAATATAGCGATTGTCTATTTTAGAAGTTGTCAAACAGTCAGTCAATCCAGCAGAATACTACGAAATCAAAGTCCCATAATCGCTATTTTGAAAATGAATACCAGGCATCACTTGACTACATCCTGCTATTAAAACAAACAAAAATCTTCCTTCCATCCACGTAATTTAAGAATGATTCCATTTCCCGACATTTTGCCAAACCCAATAGACCTATCCAAATCCTAACCATGTCTCATTTTGTTCCATCGAGTGCCTCACCAGGCAATTCATTCTACATTGACCCAGCCGTTGTTTCGTCTTTCATGAGCGACAGCAGCCTCGTCATATCCCCCCAAGGCTTCGGCAACCCGTTCCCCATCTACTCCGAACCTGCATCAAACATCTCAAACAATACCCCGATGCAAACTGAAGACATGCTCCACCAATCCATGTCACCTTATCTAAGCCATCACTTTAGTCCAAGCTTTGCACATGCTTTCCCTGTCCTTGATGGATCGATTTCAGGCTACACCAGTTTTGGCTCGGGGATCTACGATCCAGGCGCTGCCAGTAATAGTGTGATCGACAATCACCCCAGCACTCCTACCCATGCTCAAGAGGATGAGGAATCGAGAGACGGCTCTGCAGTTGATTCTCCGATCTTCGAATCTGGCACTGAACAGCAAGATGGAGTCTGTCAAAGAAGGTTTATTTCATCTACCCTCCCTGCCCTTTTTTTTTTTTTTTTTTTTTTTGCCAATCGCATTATTTCTAATTCCTTCAATAACTATCAGTCCTAGGAAAGCTCTCCGATACCAATGCAAATGGGAAGGCTGTACATCCGAAAGGACATTCAACCGCGACGCAGAACTGATGCGACACATAAAGAATATCCACGTACGACCTCGCGCGTATACCTGCACCGTTTCTGGATGTCGTAAATCCTGTAACAGAAAAGACAACCTGAAGGAACATATAAAATTGCATGAGAAGTCACGGAAAACCTAGGAGTGGTTGAGAATCTCAGATTCCATGCTGTTTTTCGGGTGATTTTGTCTTTCTAGATCTTCTATTTTTGCTTTTACGTCTTTTCGTTTTTCGTCGTTCCCTTTTTTTTTTTTTTTTTTTTTTTTCCTTTTCTCCGTATATTTATGATTATGATTTACGCATGTGCACTTTCAGATTAGTCGAATACTACATCACTTACTTTCTAAATTACCAAACCCTCAATCGAAGATACTATCGAGACAACGAATCCCTTGGTTATGTAGGAGGCCGGAGGTACGAACAAGCGGAGACAGCAAGTGGGGCGGAAAACGGAAGCGGGAATGAGCGAGCGGAGAGCGGAGCCCGGGGAGAGTGGAGACACAGAGGAGCGGAGTCTACGAAGGGCGGGAAGGGACTGTTCTTTTCTGTCTTATATTTTCTCGGGACAGGATATGCTGTGCTGGGTAACGGACTGCACGTCGAAAAGGCTACTAGCTGGAAATCCAAGTGGCCTAACTGGGATCCTGCCTATACCCTCAAACCCATATGTCCCTCCTGGTGTCCACTGGTCTAGGCTTTGAAAAGACAAGTCCCATACTCGTAACCACATTTTTCCACCCAATCTGCAATCCGGATACCACATTTCCTCTTATCCAGTCCCCGTGGCTCAAATGCCTGTAGTTCTCTGTACCAAATACTTCAATATGCCCGAGAGTCAACATTCGACCTAGACTTGTCCGGAACTATCGGCACAATTAGCGTCCAAACACTCGATACTATGTCCGAAAAGATTGGGGTACTAACCTGAACCGCGTGAAGCTTCGATGTGTAATTTTGAGATTCATCACTGCCGAACAGGAGGTTCATCATCTTAATTCTTTCCTGTTCGTCTGTTTGAAAGTCGATGGTATGATTGCTGCATTCATGATGATCCTGCTCACCGTTTTCAACTCCGGCCACTTCTTTTGAACCATCGGTGAAGTTAATCGTAAATCCACTGAATTCTTTCGGTCCTGTTGCTGCCAGGGACTCTGAAAAGTAATGTGCCTGGATGGAAGTGATCTGTCGTTCTGCGAAGTCGAGAAAGAATACCGGAGCACCCACACGCAAAGGACCTTGGCCATGAAATCTCACAGATAGATCACCCAACCTATTGCCAAGGCTGTATTCTGGGGGAGGATAGCGGCCAATCCACCGAGTATGGTAATAGGGATTGGCGCCTATTTGGTAAACCATGCTGTGTAGATGTGTGAACATGATGCCAAAAGTCGTTATATTTTCGCGCTATCATAGTAAACATGCATTTTTTGACCTTAAAAAGGGTAAAGGGTTCCTATCCTTACATTATATTCACCTGTGATGCCAACGACTTGCATCCCATCTACGGCGCGAATTATTTGCACCAAGTCCAGGTCGGTCCATTTACCCAGTCTGTGTTTAGGCTCCTTCGGGCTGTCTTGAGTAAGAATGCCCAATCCATATATCGAACAGTACTTTTCTTTGTCAGATTGAAATGGGCCTTGTGATATCAAAAATCCGGTTATCACGGTTTCAGGGTTGATCGTAACGCTTTCGGTCGAGGTGCTCCTATTTCCGAACAGTCGGCTCGATTCTTCGCCATACAAAGCGAACTCAATTCCAATAATACACCCGTCAATTCCAAAGTGAGCTGTTATCGTATGAAGCTCCTCTGGTCTATCAACACTAGGGATAAAATAGACGTCCGAGAAGGCCTCAGGCACAATGCTCGTTTCCCTGGAAATAGGCGCAAGTCGATATTTTGCCAGATTCTTCATCTGAGTACGCACACGTCCAGACTCCTTTCGGGTCTGTGCAAAACGTCTCTCAATGGCACCTAATATGCGTTGGCAGTTGAGCCAGATTCGATGTCGATTCTTAATCTGCAAATAGTCTGTGGCTCCATCGTTACGACCAGGCAAAGCTGATACGTGCTTCAGCAGATGGAAGAGGTGACTGTATTGGACACTCTTCTTTTCCTGCTTTATTTGATTCCGTAGTGTATCTTCTTCGTACCAGGGCATGTCAAGGAAGATTCGAGACTTCCAGAAGCTGCCCGTCACATTCTGCCCCGTGTATCTGAACGATGGGCTGGCTATAAATAAGTTCATTGCAGATGGAGATGGAAGAAAATCCAGTATGATCAACCGAATATCATGAGGAAGACACTGGAATCCATCTGTATAAACATTTGGCCCTGACAGAGACTGCTGCTTGCTGTGTAAATTGAGTGTTGTTGTGGTTTGATTCCTTGACGATGCGGATATTAGAGACGCAAAATCAAAATCTGGAAAAGGGTCTGCCACAAGCCACTGTCTTTCATTAGCCACCAGATCATTTCAAACGCATTTCACTACGCAAACCTCGAATCCTGGTCGTGGATCCCATTCCTGATCTTGAAATCTCCCGGTGCCGCCATAGTTGCCATCATCACCCCACCTAATAACCGGCTCTTCGAAGTCTCTCACTCGCGAGCTCATCTCAAAGGAGAATTCACGAATACTGAATGGTCTTTTACGCGAAACTGTTTTTTTGTGGGCTATTCTCAATATATCGAGGCATGCGTCATGAACCAGATATGCCTGTCCGCTGTGAATCAGCTCGTTGGTCCCTTCCGGTGCCAGCTCGAGGAAAACATCACCAGCCTCAGGAGCATATCCCTAGTTCAGATATTAGCGGACATTCGTTTTTGGTTCTGGTTGTAAACTCACAGGACATGAGATCATGCTGGGGTCTTCTGGGTCCGGGTCATCAAAAACTGGCAGATGGGCAAATACCATCCGGGTGTGATCGAGCCACTGCATCAGAAAGGCATATTAGGAAGGTTTATCTTCAAAAGGTAATTCTATGTACCTCAATCTGATCCCAGTGAAGTATTGTCCCATCGTATCCGCTACGCGATCTGCAGAATTCATCATGTTTATCTTCAAAGTCGTCTGTTCTACTGTTGCTATTTTCTTCTGTTCGTTATATCATTAGCTAGAACGCACCTATTTTATTTACCATGAGACCTAGTTTTTACCTTCATTGCTTTCATCTGAGTCACTTGCGCCACAGTCGCAACTGTCATCGTATGCGTTCCAATCGTGGCCATCAGGGAGTGTACTGTATTTTTAGAGGTTGAGTGAACAGATAGGACCCCCGCAAATATTGCAGAAGTAAGACATGTCATCATCCATTTTGACTTAAATCCTTCCAGGCCCATCAGAGGGTGGGGAAATATTTCCATGGGATCTTCAGAGAAGAGAAAACGACATGTCCGAAGAATGATGTTTATCGCTGGTTTTGAGCAACTGGCTGTGATTGGCTCGCGTATCCGCTGCTGTTCACTGGGGCAGCAACAGCGAATAATCGACAAGGTAAGTTTCCAGTTTCTAGGAATAACAACCAAGAGTTCAGAATAATGATTATATTTGATGTACATATATTTGGGTATCATAAATTATTTCCAAGTACACTCCTCCCAATAACAAAGACTATTTTCTTGTAGTTGCCTGACGTGATATCTCTGCACTCGTTCTTGGCTCAACGGTTGAAAGACCATCCCTGGTGTAGATGAGATGGTCCGATGATAATACTCGAGGAGGCGACAGTACATGTACTTGTGATTCGCTCATGGCTATTTGACGAAAAGTATTCTCTTGTGTAGCCACATGATATCCCTCCCCTTGCCCAAATTCAGACTGCTCGCTTCCTCGCCTGGGTTCGCCAGTACTCATGTTGTGATCAGACATTAGAAGATGAGGTCCAAGCCGGAAGGTCTCCTCGGAGGAACACCATGCAGGGAGGTTTTGGCAATTGCAAGGACATTGTTGGACCAGGTTGAGCAGTTTGTTGAGAGCGTAAAATTCCAATTTCAAGTTCAGGCTGTAGCAGAATGCTGTATATCCCACAGCGATGGTGCGAAATTTAGCAAAGGCTACCATCATAACGGTTGCGTTGACAATGACGACGATGCCGTTGGCGATGATCAGGTTGAGAATGACCTGGCGTCCTGCGCGGCCTTTGACGGCCAGCACGGGTTTGAGTCCGCAGACGGCTTCGTATATGTAGATACCGCAGATAATGAACTCCTGAACACTTAGGCCCGTGGCCACTAGTTTTATGTAAACCTGTTCGGGATGGTAAAGACGGGGGTCACCACGGGTTATGAGGGCGTAGAAGAGGGCCATGACTGGAATATGCAACACCAAGAAGGTAGCAATTATCATGTACAGCACCCATCGAATCTTCCGAGAGTCGATAACAACAAGATGGAGTCGCGAATATAGTGCCACGGCTTGGCCTGTAGTCATGGCCCAAAGACCGATGAAAATGCCGACTGACCACCCTATGGAGGGATCCTTCAAATAGACGTATATGATACCAAAGGCTACATTCACGATGGTACCCCATGCCGCAAATTGCATGCTCCAGAAGTATAGTCCATGACGATTCTTGAAAGTGACGAATATCCAGAAAATGATCTCCAGCGAATTATAGCAGGCAATCGATGCAAAAACAATAGCCACCACAACGGAGGGTTCAGACACGTGGTGGTGTATGGGAGCATCCATGTCTTCAGGCTAGGGTATCCTTGCAATGTGCCTTGAATCTTCGATCAATGAGGGAACGAATATTGAAAACAAAAAATCAAAGAACAGAAGCAAAAAAGGCACCCATGTCGGGGGCCAGGAATGAATATATGAGGTATAAGATTAAGTCCCTACGGGATGCATGACAAAGAGCTTGATCAAGCTTTCCGATTTGGAGACGATAGCATCAACGTCCATCGGGGTAACAGTGACATCTGACAAGGATATGGATCCATTGGCCAATCGCCACATACCAGATCTTCCCCTGGTACGGGGGGCAAGTTGAGATCCACCCGAATCACGATGGGATATGTGGAGCCATCTTGCCTTCATCATGTTCTTCGCAGGTCGAGACATTATTTAGAATCGATCAATCCCGTCCCTGTCAAGGGACTGTCCATTTGGGATTTGCCATTAGTCAGTGGTGGGCGATAAAGTTAGCCTTACCTGAGTCAGCATTCGGCGCTTTTGATGCTCTATCGCTGGAGAGGCTATCAGAATTGCTGCATGACACGTCCAAATCCGAAAGATATCACACATGCTGCGGCGCGATCTAGTCTAGTTTCGAGAATATTGACCAACGTTCAAATCTCTGATGACTTGGTGCAATCATTCTTTGGATGTCATATTAGCGCATACAACAATTGCCTTATCAACGTCCAAGTGTCGCAATACACAGAGCAACAGTCCTAGTGCGCGACGGTCCGAGACAAGAAGCAGTGAGCTTAACAGGAGACGGACCACGGATTGTGGGTTTCTCCTGAAAGAGCATGTCCAAACCTTATGGGGTTCATGACATCGAGGTCGGCGGCTGCGAACAAAGAAACGGCACGACGTTACGTTCTTGGCAGCACATCAGGAGGCCGCCACTCAACAAGACAGCAGATACAGGACTTTGATTGCCTTGGTCGAGGAGGCTAGCTAGGCAGAATCGTATTTAGAGTAATGATGACTCCATGACTCCCAATATTGGTATTTTTGGCCATTCACATTGCACCCGACAGTATGGATGAGAAGAGACCATTTGATACATCAGCATTTGGGCTCCTCTGGCTGTTTCTTCCATCAATCACAATCAATACTGGTTGTACCTATTCCGTAAAGGTCACGAAAGAGAATTTGGGGTAGTCAAGCCGTGTGTTCTGGATTCCTCCTGATCTGTCAATCCACCTCGAGCCGATGTCGCATCACAGCAGTGTGAGGTGGGCTTCCTGCCCTGCCATCTTTCAAGGACTAAGCTGAAGATGATCTGTTTATTCCTGTCTACTGCGACTCGGTGTTAGTGATTTTCCTCCTATTCTTAGCACCGGTAAGTCAATGAAAGCAACAGGAATAGTTTGCCATTTTGAGTGTAGCAAGACTTTACTAGCAGAGTGGGATTCAGTCCATCATTCTCTTTCAAATCCAGAGCCTGAGAACACCATCCTCATCAGATGAATCGATGACTTGGAGCGTGAAGATGATGAAGGTGCAGAGGAAGAAGATGCGCACCAGACACGACCAAAACGGCAGGTGGTCTGTGCGGGAGCTGCCAAAACGCTGACGTTGTTTGCATCGCTTCATCATCGCCCACTTCTGCCTGTCGCCAACCCACCGCTCATTCCTTTTTCCTTTCTTTTGTGTTACTCTCTCCTTCATCTAAACTTGGAAATGCCCTTGCATTGATTACTTTCTCTTCCTCTGTCTCTCCCTACCAACAAATCGGCCATGGTGTCTCTCTGGCCCTGGAAGGTACGTTCTCCGTGTCCGCCGAGTCGAGGCATAGAAAAGCGGTCAAAGACTCACATCTCATGCGCAGGGCGAAGACAACTCTCCAGCGTCCTTTGAAAAGGCACTCTCGAATCTATCCACCAAGATCACCCAGGCGACCGCACGATTAGACGTCCATCGCCAACATGCCCGTCGCTTCAAGGCTCTCTGGACCTTATACACTTCCTTTGCCTACCTCCTTTATTCGATCATTCTGGCGTTGGTTTTAGGGTGGCAAAATTGGGGGATCGTTGAATACTCCGCGGTTGCTGGTGGCCCAGTCTTGTATGACTCCTACAAAACCCTTTTTCCCTGGCGCAATTTCTGATTGTTTGGTCAGGATCTACACCGTTCGCACAGCAGCAGGTCGGTTCTTCGACTACCGCATCTCCAAAACGCAGCGATATCTCGACGACCTACAAAAACAGCGCGAAGAGACGATCGAGAAGCTCAAGGCTGCCACAAAATACAATTCTACACAACAGCTGCTGGAAAAGTATGGCGGGGACTCGCCAAAGCCGTCGCGTCCCAAGGGCGGTGACGAGAAACGGAAGACTGAGACAAAGCGCAAGCCCTCAGCACCGCAGCCACCGGTAGCACGAACAGGACTCGCGCCCCCACCGACCGCTAATATTCGAAGACCAACCCCTAATCAATCGCCCGTCCCCTCTCCGAACCCTCCTCCCCCTATTCCTCCGTACGCAACCCAGAACCAACCTCAAAACTTCCCTCCACCTCCACCCGGCGTTGATGAGCCTGGGTTCGCTCCGAATGCTTTTTCCAACTCCGCACAATACGATGAACATCCCCACTGGTACGACCGCCTCTTGGACGTTCTCTTGGGCGAAGATGAGACACAGCCGAAGAATCGGATGGTCCTGATCTGCGGTACTTGCAGACTAGTCAATGGCCAAGCACCACCGGGTATCAAAACACTGGAAGAGCTCGGTCGTTGGAGGTGCGGAAACTGCGGTGCATGGAATGGCGAAGAGAGCGAGGCAAGAAAAGTCCTCGCGGATATCCGAGGTCACTCGCAATCTGCCACAGATCCTGCCTGGGAACCGGTTTCCAAAACTGAGACCGATAATCATTCCTCTGGGGATGAAGTGACAGATGATGGGGTCATCGTTGCGGGCAGTGAAAACGATCAAGATGAATCGCACAGCTCCGATACGGGATCTCAAAATGAGCCAGACGAAGAGGTTCAGAAAGAGGAGGAAGCGTCAGAGCCGGTTGCCCCCAGAAGGTCCACTCGTGCACGTTCCAAGGGCGGTAACAAGAAGGCATAAACCTGTACGACTGTATAAGCAGGAGATATATTCATAGTCTCCTTCGACTTTTGTATTCTTTGACCATTTAGTTCTTTTGTTTTCGGCCGTTCACTACTCGATGTTTATCGAGAATTAGCTTTAAAGCTAACCCTCCCTATTTCAATTATACGATGCTACAGACTGAGCTTTTTTGATACCCGAATTGTATATCTTTAAAAACAGGAAATTTCAACAGATATTGCGTTCCATAGCCTTTGTCATTTCTTCATCAATCATGAGTAATCCATCATTTCATATCCAGTGGCATGAGACCCCAAATCAGACTTGACCTTCCAAACTGCAAATCACGGCGCATTGCCATTTTGCTGGTTCATCTCCATCAAAATCCTAACAGCCTCATTAGACGCAGTAACTTCAGCATCTTCGGCTGTCAGACAACCCTCGATATGAACGATTACAGCCTCATTCAACGTGACAACGCATTGGTAGCTGGCATTGTTGGAGTCATGCTGTATCCGCTGAACCTTGAAAAAGACCTCACCCTTGGACAAACGATCCGCCATGTTCTTGGGATGAGCCATGTTTATTCCTTGTGATAGCACACGACGCAGATAAGGCAGCAGTCCGATGCGTTCGACAAACATCTCACACACGGCAAGATCACCACCGGAATCGACAAAAATTGCACCCAGAACGCTTTCAACGATATCTGAAAAGAATTTATCGGCGCCCAGACGGGCAAGTGCTTGCCAAGGGTAGAAATCTGCATGTTCCAGGCTGGATATTATCTCATCGCGCAGGGCGTGGTGCCGCTGAAGTGTTGCGTCACGGCCTTTCTTGAGTTCCAGGCCTTGACATCTCATGAACCGCCATAGTTGGAGGTAGTCTTCGCCGGACTTGATTGCGAAGCGTCCATCGGGTACTTGTTCAACGTCGGTTCTTGTTTCCGGAATGGAGATTTCCATGCACAGGAAGGCGAGCAGGTTGGCGTTGACGAGGGCGTGCTTGATCAAAGTCATGTCACCTGGGGAGACTTCGGCTGGGTGCTGGAAGATAGCAGTGACGACGACCATGTCAAGGACTGCGTCTCCGAGGAATTCAAGTCTCTGGTACGACTGGGAATGCGCATCATATTCGCATGATGGGTGGGTGAGAGCTTCCACGAGCAACGACTTGTCCGTGAAGCTATAGCCTATGTGGTCTTTCAGCCTTTCGTTTGTGGTATAGTGTAAAGGTGGAGGGTTGGGGTCTTTGTGTGGTGTTTGAATATCCAACGATTGCAACTTCATCTCGGGTAAAAAGCGACGAATGCATGCCTGTGCCTTTGGATGGCCGCCATCCATATAGGCTGCTCCGATGAGTGCCTCAACAACGTCCGCCAGTACCTTTCTTGACATCTTTCGTCGGCTGGCTTTTTGTGCCATTCTTTCTGAGATCAAGGGCGCAGCCCATTTGCGGGGTGTGAACATCCTTTCAATGATAAAGGCGTCAAGGCCTAAATCAAGTGCCGCTCGAGCAAGACGAGGATTTTTCACAATCACATTTCGATTTTCGGAAAGATAACCTTCAGGCCAGTTTGGATGTTGAAAGTAGAGCTGACATGAGACAGTAAATTTGAGGACTGAATCACCAAGAAATTCATACCGCTGGTAATTTGTCAATCCCTGGGCGGAGGGGGCCGTGATTGCTGTGATAACATGATCGATGCTCGCGAATCCAATAGGTTTTAGAATAGTCTCGCGCAATCTAGCTGCGACCAAAAGAACCTCCAGTCTATCCACAATCACCGAAATAAATAAGCCAAAAATGGCACTCGCAAAAGGAAGTTTATCAATTGTACATTGGTTTGCAGAGACAATCCGTACTTTCGCCGTCGGCTCGAGAGCTTCATCATCAGCACCATCAAACTGCTGTCGATTGGCCAAAGTCTGACGATGCAAAAGATTCCGCCGGCGTGGAAGTCGGTGGCATTCCAACTCAAGCGCCGACGGGTTTTGGTTTTCCTCAGAGACGACCCATCTTCTGAAAATAAGTGGCTCATTATAACGTCCCTGGTCTCGAACTATTCCCATGAGAACGGGACTGCTGCTTCCGTTGGTGTAAGCTTCTAGAGCTGTATGGTTGCCTCCATTTGTCTCGAGCCAACTTCCCAATTGGTCTGGACTCAAATCTGGCCCAAAAAGCGCCACAAAATCGTTTCCCATGTTGTTTATCTTCGATTTGGTTGCTTGGATGTAGAGAGCAGTTATTCTCCGCATGTACTCGACACTTTCTGGTGTCACCATAGGCGCTTGCTGTGCGGGCTCAAAAGACAAGGTGAACGTAGTCTCGCTATCCCAATAAAGCGTCATTGGTTCAAGATCAGGTAGAATTGTTGGTCCCGTCAATATCATAGATAGCCTTGAAGAACCCGCGAATCCATTCTGCCGCACGGTTATCCGAGATTGATGAATATTTGGTGTAGCCCATGAATATGCCAAATCCACCCATGGGTCATATTGTTCTGATGCATCCACCATTGACGGCAAACTTTCAAAGTCATGTATCCCGAGCTCTGGTTTCTTGGTCAGTGGTAATAGATTATCATTGACGAGGCCGAATTCGTATAGGCTTTTGTACGCCTGGAATGCCGTTTCCTTCATAGCAGCCCTTTCTGTGCGCCACCATCGTTGACCTCGAGTACGACGTACTTTTGGATGCACACAGTTTGGTAGAATAACGGTCCCTTTTACCAATCCTTCAGAATTGTTCTCGAAAGAGAATACGGGCCTGTTATCGACATATGGTTGTTGAGGCAGCACGGCGCAGAAATGGTGTAAGTGTCCGGTTGCACTATCTTCTGTTAACAGGGCACTATACCCACGTGTTAGCAGTTTCGCAGTGCAGGATGTCTCCATATCCTCCTACCATGTAGACTCCACGGCGAGTCTTTCTTTGACGTCTTCGTCAATATTCTCTAATTCCGACGCCTCGCGTAGTCGCCTTTCATCATCCTGATACGCTTCGATCATGGCCTTTTCCAACTCTTGCCATTGGTTTAGATAGGGAGACTCGTCATCCGTGGGAAACATGATTGCGTAGGTAGACTGCCTCTGCCGTGCACGTCCACGGCGTTGAACGAACGATTTCAAGTTGGGTGGTTTGTCATAGCAGATCACCATGCTGCATGCGCTGATGTCGATACCCTCCTCCAGCACATCCGTAGCCACGATGAGGTTCTTGCTTCCACTGCGGAATTCAGCCAAGGTGTCTCGCTGCATGTCCATGCTGAGAAGCTCGCCTATAACATCTTTGCTATTGCCGCTCGACCATCCCACATACGCAGCACATCGGAAGCGATCCTTGGTGCCGGGATAAATTGAGAGCACTTTTGCGAGTATGTTCACAGTTGCCCTTCGTTTTGCGAATATGAGGCCTGAAAATTCTACTTCGTTCTCATGGCGTAAGAAGGCAATCAATGACTCGAGCTTCGATGACATCGGAAAGTGGTCCCCAGCCGCAAAGTCAACTTGGAGATTTGGCATCGGTATCTGAGATAGAACCTCAGCCAAATAGATCTTCTCATCGTAGTCCCAATTTGCCATTGCAGAAAGCTCATTAACTGACGCTTTTATCTGCTCAATAGACGCTTGGATAAAGTAATCAGCACCCCAGCCACCCAGTTCTTCAAAAATGTGACCGCTTCGCTCGGCAAACCTTCTCAATTGCTCATTGCAGTAGGTTTTGCCTGTCGAAAGTACATTTTGTAGTTCCTTTGCTTCAAAGGGACTTTTTCTCAGCTTCTTGACGTACGGATCATTCTCGATGTTCAAGGTCCTCAGTGCGTGTAGCAAGGGCCCCAACATTTGACTCCCATCCCCTAGACCGTCTGGGACTAATGGTGCAAACCAGATACGGCATAATTGGGGACGGTGTGTATATGTCAGCAGTTCCTGTCTATGCATTCGGGGTGTCTTGCAGACTGCGTGAAGATTGGATTCCAGGGTGCTGTAGTCAATTGTCAAAAACGTCATCATAGACGCACGTGGGTACTAACATCATCTCTAGAGTATTCGATCTAACCGCAGGACTTGCTGTTAGCCCCAGGGTACGTGGCACTGCATCAATTCCGGAATTTGATAGAGCTGGATGATAAAAGTCTTGCATTATCTTGTTCGCTGGGTGACGTCTCATGCAATGATGAGCTGAGCAAAAAGCCACTGTCAGCAACGCTTTTACTAAGTGAGCAGGATGGGTGGAAAATTACCTTCATCGAAGATCAGAAGCGCCAATTGAGACATTTTAACAAAGCCATGGCTCAGCGCATCGGCCAGAACAGCATGAGTCGATACAACGACCCGGACGTCCTTCAAGACAGCATCCCAAATTATCTGCTCTGTCCACAACTCCACTTTATCCAACCCAGTGAGGGTGCGTGTTTTCACGGCTGGGAGCTGTGATGCTATCACCTCATGCTGCTGAAGACACAAAGCAACAGTAGGGGCTAAGAACCATATAAGCTAAATAAGACATAAAAATCAACAAACGATCACAACATAATTTAGTATTCATCTTCGTATGATTTACCTTGTCAGGGCTGCAAGTTTCAAGCTCAGACATAATTCGCAACACGGCTCTATAAAATTCTCAAGTTAATTCATGTCGAAACACATCAACTCAGCAGACTTGCTGTCTCTGTAAGAAAACAACGTACATCGGTGTCTTTCCACTACCAGTTTCCATCTAGGGTCTTTAGCATGGATTCTTGGATTGAAACCAAGACAGGAGCATACCGCAACTATGATGTTCTGCTTTCTGCTCGCCTCCAACATCTCAAGTTGATAGTTTCGAGGGCGATAAGCAGAGTCCTCTCTGCCCATCGGGACGGCGGATGTCATCCTGCCGTCCGACGTCCCCTGGGGCACTGGTGATAATCGTCGTGTTTATATGCAGAGCCAAATATGGGCTATTTGGGTATCAACATAGATGGGCTCGATGCAGAGAGATCGATCTGTGTATGCACATTGTTTGTTGTTGTTGATAAGAAAGATGAGGCTGGCTTTGTGTGGAGTACACAGGGTCGTTGGCGGGGTATTAGAGCTCCAGGATGTCTGCTGCTTGTTCGAGCAGCCCACCATATCGATAGACCCTCTGCCATTGCTTCATCGATCGAAAGCTATTCTATCGCAAGATTATGTATTGATTTTATATAATCGTTTGGATCATTCATGAAAAAAAGCATTCGAAATATCATGGATAGATGGCTGAAAGGATAACTCAATCTTCGAACTAATTACCCACATGTCAGGGCTATCCGAGAGTCAACTCACTTTTGTCGCGCATTGGACCTGGGGGATAAATTGCAACCCTTATTGTAATATGACTTAATCAGAGTACAATATGATGATATAAGAAATTTGCAAAAATGATAAAACAGCACAAATATAAGGACAGCGGAATGTCAGGTATGGAAGGAACAAGAAGCATAGCTCAACGCAGACAATAGATAATATCTGCTTTCCTCCCCTCTGGATCTAAGCCCCAAACATAGCAATGGAATCGAACCCGAGCGCAAGAAACGCAAAACACCGGCCACACCAAGGTCAAAATCAAGCCCGAATATAATCACGCCACAAACCAAATCAGAAAAAATACACGATAAAGATCGAAAACAGAGACCATAATCAACAGTGCGGGAATTGTTTGTTGTATTCAGAGATACAAGCACAACTAATGATGCATGTCAACAAAAGATACAATATCAAGTTCACTTCATGAGACAAGCGGCAGTCCATGCGCCGGCTCCGCCTTTGTCACATCCGATGCATCTTGCTGGTTCTCGTCATTTCGTGGGCGCTTGGTCTGGAAATTATTCGTCAAGTAGTTTGCCTCTTCATTGGGATGTTTGCGCATCCCAAGACCGGCTACGGCTATCCGATTTAGAGAGTTCATGTCGTCATTAGATCCAGTGGTCTGGTTATGAGAGGGCTGGGACTGCTGAGCAGCATTTGATGAAGGTGCCGATGCGGCTGAGGAGGCCGTTGTGGCCGGAGCAACGGGTGCTGGGATGGGGATGTCTTCGCGTGGCTGGCTCAAGTCGATATTCCCCGGAAGCTCCGGAACCTCGCCCTGCGAGTCAAGTAGTCGCGACTGCAGATTGATAATGTATTCTCGAAGCTGATAGTTTTCCGCCTGCAGGGCCTTGTAGCCCTCTGCCATTCGTTCATATCCCTTTGCTTCTTCCTCCAATTTGCGAATGTAAGATTCTTTCCGTTGCCTAAACGCTCTCTGCTCAGAGTCAGCGGAAATCCCATACTCTCAAGAGTATCTAACAAAATATCCACATACCTGAGCAGCACGGTTCTGGGCGGCACGTTTGGAAGTAGACAAAGGCCGCTTGCCATATGTCTTTGGCGATTCAGGGCCCGAGGGGTCAGCTTGAGGTGGGGTTTGCGGAGGACCACTCAGCATTGAGGCTCCCGAGATGGCAGGATCGATATTGTTCTGGTCGCGGGGGCTCGTTGTGTTGGGCTGCATGTGCTGAGGCTGCGTGGGAGGCTGCGGTCGCGTTTGTTGGGGGTGCGACAGGTGTTGCTGAGCAGCTAGGAGCTGGTCATGGAGCACTATCAATTACCATCAAGTCAGTTCTGCTATGCGAAAGTCTCCACTGGATACGGAGAGTTGGCGGGGATGAGTTCAGGTTATATCGTCGACGGCCTTCGCAATAGCAATAAGTCGACCGACGCGCCTTGTCCTCCTCAGGTACATCAACTTACCCTGGTCTGCATGGTCCTATAATGGCAGTCAGCATCATCGCTTCAGGACAAGGGTGGTAGACGCCGTCAGCGCGACCTGGAGAAGGGGCTCCGTAATCCATCGCGGGGGGTTGAAATAATCCCAACACGCGACAGCGACAGTGACGAGAACTCCGAGCGCCAGCAACGCGACAGCTGAAGTTGATCTCCAGTCGGGGAAGGGCGATCTGATGATGACAAACCGCGAGAGAGATAGGCTTGCTTACCTGAGCAGAGGTTTGCATGCTTGGATGCGGCGCTGGGGCTAGTGCGGGCTGCATCGAGTATGAAATGTAATGATTATAGAGGACGCGCCGGAAAAAGACACGACCAATTCACTCTCGTTACGAAGCAGAACAACCAGGCCCGATTGATATGCAATGTTTGGCTTGGGGGGTTGTTGTTAGAGGGAGAATGCAAGAGGAGGATGAGGTAAGCAGTTGGACGTGGGATGGGGGGGCGTTGCAGTAGATGATGTTCTATTGGAGATGGAAAATGATCTCGTAAGCAGGACTGAGGAGGGAAGATTACTTAAAAGATTTCCGGGAAGATCAGTCAGTCAGTGACGTGGGAAAAAATGGCGAGAAGGCGAAGGGGAGGAGGGAAACAAAAAGCAAGCAAAACCACGCGCGGGTGGCAGGGAAAGCGAGAGAAAGAGCTCGGTGTCCGGCCATTCCAGGAATGGCCGGTTATTCTTATGCCATTCATTACGAGTGTTATGCCAATGTGTCTTGGGTAGCGCTACGCCGGCCGTTCAGCTCAAAATCACCACCACTTTCCAGTTATTATCATGGCATAAATTATCTACATCTTGCCAGTCCCATCAGCATCATATCTGAGCTTCCTTGTTCTCCGCTCAACGGCTGATGACTGATCTCCCGTAGGAGACGCTGACTCATGACTCCATATTCATGTCTTGTTTCTCGCCTACTCCGACAGCCTACAACCCCATGATATTATCATATCCGACATTCATACTTTTCTCAATTCATTGAATCAATGTTCTTTCAAATAAAATTTTAGAAAAAAGAAAAACAGCGCCTTCAGCGCAAAAAAATAACGCCATACGAAGTATCCGAAATCTCGGACATTCGGAGTTGGTGAGTCGCGCCTTCCGGTGGAGATGATGAGTAAGAATTATGTCAGCCCTCGGAATAATCAAAGTTCCAGTGCCACTTTTCTGCTTTAGTGAAACACCGGGATATCTCTCCCCCGCAGCCTGTCTAGGTAGGTATGGTCGTCGGTGTCTTGGTATCCAAGTCTTTCAATGATAACTGATTTATTGTGCTATCATCTTGAAATTGAAATGAGGATTTGGACTCTTAGATACGTCCTGTTTTGAGCTAAATTTGAGAAATAACTTCATTTCAAATGTATTTCTACAGGCTATATATATATGTAGTGGACTGTCCACATGAATAAACACAAAAAAAGAAAAATAGTACACTCATTTGGTCCAATACCGGCCTCAAATCGTACTATTTTGGTCCAGTTGAAGTCATGCAGAGATACATCTACTGCTGCTTCTTCACAGCCGGTTTTGTAGCCTGGGCCTGGATGATACTGGAACCGATCTTGGCAGATTCCCTCCAGCCTTTCTGTCGCATCCAAAACCGCTCTGCAAGGTCTGTACCATGCGAGGTTGCCTCCCTGGCATCTTCCTCCAGAGACTCGCGAGTGATTTCGGAAGCCTCAGCTGAAGGGCCTTCTTCAGCCAGGTTTAGATCATCCTCGTCATCTTCTGCGCGGAGGGTGGTCTCCAAATATCTTTTGCGCATCATGTAGCGCTCAGTCCGCTCCTTCCGAGCGTTTGGTGGCTCCATCTTAGTCATGGTCGCTCGCACAGCATATCGAACCATCAGGTAAAGGTGCTCGGAAAAGAAGATAGCCAGCAACAACGCCCAACCTTTAATGGCGGTTGGCTCACCGTTAGGTCCAGCATGGCCGTTGCTGAACATATAGACAAGAGCTGCACTGGTGATGCTTCCAACCCAGGAAAGGAAGCCCAAACTCTCAAGCCAAGGTCCGATGGTGTCTGCACGCTGAGGCGTAGGCCGTCTGCACTCAACACAGATCTTGAAAAAGTCAGATCGAAGTTCGACCCAGTTGTTGATCAAGAAAGAGACGGGGACAAGGGGCCAAGTCGGCGAAAAGAGGGCCAAATAACCGAACTGGATACACATTTCGCGCAGGTCATCCGTCACATCGTATTCCGATAGATCAGTTTCGTTGCGAACCCGAGCGAGAAACTTGACTTCGTCCGCTGGATCGTCAAAGGCGACTGGAGCAGCTCGCTTCTCTGCCGAATTTTCCTCCTCTTCGGCCTTGATAGACCGTCCTTTAGAAAATGCCTTGTATTTGCGGAAAAGGCGCTGCTTGAGGAACGGGACGATGGTTTCCATGGCAAAGCCCACGATTTGTGCCGTGACGGTGAAATAGATGACCTGCTTCTTCAGACGTGCCGGATCAATACTGAACTCCCCGCGCGTCGAAAGAGCATCTTCTTTGGAAACAAATGGCCGGACGGTTAACTGGAAGACGTCAAGATATGGCACAATAAGGCTAGCAAATGGCACATAAATAAAGGCCGTCAAGAAAATGGGGAGATATGAAGTAATAAAGTTGATGACGAAAATCTTCTGTGTCAATGCCGCATCGTACGAATCTTGGGTTTCGTAGTTCTCGTAGTCATTGAGCCTAGTCGCAACAGATACCAGGACGGCGCTCATGGTCGGCACGAGGGAGGAGAGAAGGATAGTTGGGATGAACACCTGTTCCGTCAACCTTTATACATAGCACGAGAAAACGAGCACAAGAGCCTACCAGGTATGTCTTGAGCGGTCCATTGTAAATTTCGGAAATGAAGATTTCGATCGCAAAGCAGGTGGCAATGATCAGGCCCAGAGCAACTGTGGCAAGTATAGCAAATGGAGCCTGGAGAAGCTGTCTGTAAAGCCGCTTGGTCGCGGGAAAGACTCCGTGAGTCTCTCCGGTACTTTCGTCTCGAACTTCTTTTTCGGGTTCAAATTCTCGCCTCTTTGCACGAAGAGCCGAGACGCCCTTGGTTTGCCATCGGCAGCTGAGATCAACCTCTTTTGTCTTCCAGTACTCGACGAATACGATACACCACAGGCAGTTAACTGCGGTGTAAATTATAGAGAATGAGCCAAGCAACAGCCAGCAGGAGAACCCGAAAACGGCTGGAAATACCAAGAACTTGAAATACGACTGCAAAAAGGCAAAGTAGAAAGCGACCTGTAACATCACATCTGTCAGCTCAGGGGTGATTCAACACAAAGCCTGCTCGCACGTACGTTTTCTCCAAACCTGTCACGAATCAGCTCCAAGTCATCTGTTGATAGGAAAGTCTTCTTGCTCCAATCCCTCAGACACCGCTTGTTGATCTCTTCATCATGCAATGGGAAGAGTGCAACCACATTCTTCCAATCTCCATGGTTGGGAGTGATCCCCGCGCCACCTTCTTCCTTGGGCACGGTTATCATGTGATTGATAGCACGGAGGCGCTCAGCCTCTGTCTGGGGCTCAGCTGTGCCACTGGGTTCGGGTTCAGTATTACGGAGGCCATAAAGCCAGTCACGAACACTTGAAAAATCCGAATTAGCGTAATAGTTCGAAAACATGTTATACTACTCAGAACGTACCGCGACCGATAAACAGCTCGCCTCAAGCTCTTGTCTGATGCCCGGATAAAGACGAGCAGAGAAGACTCATCTCCCTGCCTCACCTCTGTCTGCAATCCTACCTCAGACAGTTTGCGAAGCAGTAACTCAAGTTGCTCCGTTGCTTGGGGGCCATCTGAAACATTTTAGAGCGTGTCGGAGTAGGCTCGAATAGGAGTAAAGCTTACCCTGAAAGCTGTAGCTGATGACGTAGTCCACATGGTTGTTGTGTTCAACAGCGCTCTTCGCCGAGGCAGAAGCCATTTAGAATTGATCCCAAGCTGGATGGGATGTCATGAAATTGTATGGGGGTAGAAAAAGGAGAGGCAACAACAGAGCTCAGCTGAAATGGTTGTCACCGCCAGCTTTAGCGCTTCGATACGATGACGACACCTCGAAAGCTTGACTAGGGCTAGCCCTCATGCCCAAGCCAGATCGAGAAGGATCGACAAGTAGCACCACAAGGATAGCAGATAAGGTCGATCGCAAGGGGCAGAATCATCGATCAGTAGTATGTAGCAGTTCAGACAGATCACTGCATCGATCCATGCATTTTCTACATCATTGTTTTACTAAATTTCTTGTGGAGACAGCATTAGCATATGCATGTTACATAACCAGCTAATGTACGGATTGCGTCGGGATGATACTGGACTTGACTAGGTACCTATACATTAGGTCTAAATAAAGTACGCTGTCACCTTGGATCGCAAGATATTAAGTCAATTACAATGGATATCCAACATAGGCATGGAATGTAGACTCTAGCTTTTCTGGTCGACTTAATAGGTCGGTATAGGTTGGTATTCTTTGTCCTTCACAGTGCCTCAGCCAATTTATTCAATGCAGGTCCTTCGACCATCATCTTCATCCACTCTTCCATCCCCTTGGCTCCTACTTGCTCATAGAACTTGATACTGGGCTCGTTCCACTTGAGCACACTCCACTCCAATCGTCGTCCCTTAACCTCCAGCACCTTGGCAGCGAGATACTTGAGCAGTTTAAACCCATAGCCGTTTCCGCGGGCGCTGGGCTGCACGTAGAGATCTTCAAGGTAGATTCCTGGAGCCGCCCGCCATGTCGAGTAATTATAAAAGAACAGTGCCATTCCAACGGGGATCGGGGTTGGGTTGGCAGGGCTTGCGGGAGGGGTGATCAACGCGGTGTATACGGCACCTCGCTTTGGCGGGGTATCGGGGAAGGAGAGGGTTGCGAGGAGGGATTCGTTGGTTGCTTCGACTTCATGGAGGGCTTTTTCGTAGTCGGCGAGTTCCCGAATGAATTGGAGGATTAAAGGGATATCTACAGAAAGCTAGTTAGGGGTGGTTCTGACACGGGCTGATTGAGCACAATGCGGAGAAATCATCTGGAGATGATGATTAACATGATGCGGGGAGATAACGAAGCACTTGCCTTCGGGAGTCGCGAGTCGGATGGTAGGCTGGGCAGACATGACTGCAAAGAATTATCTCAGCTTGAATACTTCTTTTTCTAACGATTTGGTGGTTTTATCCAGGTACGTGGCGTTGATAAAAATTCCGAAAGAAACGGTTTCTTAGACAAAGAGTCGGGACTGACCCCACAGGGGTCAGAAAACCACGCCCTTCTATTGACATCGATTAACTAATAATTATAGAACGTAGAAGGGGATAGAAATATTCTGGGTGCACTGGGAAATTTTCAGAGCAAAAGAAAATAATAATATGCTATGTAATTGTATGCCAAATATTATTACACATGCCCAGCAGTCAAGCCACCGGGTCTAGGAAAGACGCTTATTTGGTCGATATGGCGGCCATCCACTTCTGCTCATCGTTTCTGTGGCAGTCAGTATTCAAATCCATAGGTATAATGCATGTTTTAGACTCACCTGTCGAAATGGAGCAGCATCCCCAGAACAGGGATGAGCTGCTTCTGGTAGTTCTTATCCTTCTGCTCCAAAAACTGAAGGAGCACGTTTTTCAGATAAAGGTAGTCGATTGACGGACTTCCAGGCCCCGTAGGCGTCTCACTCCTCCGGATAGTCGATGAGCTGCGATCTTTGGACACGGGGGAGCCAACCGCTCTTGATCCCGAATCAATCGACGACCGGGAGGACTGGTTGCCCGAGTCAAACCCGCGCACCTTGGGGTTCTGCATAGAGCGAGACTCGTCGGCCAATGCCTTGTTAGACTTGCGTAGCTTTTCCAGTCGGTTGTTCGTTTCCTCCACTGACCGCCGTAGCTCTGCCTTTTCTTTCTCCAGGTCGCGCACCAGCTTCTCGCTTTCATCCAAAGCATCGCGCAATCGGACCATGTCTTGACGAACGGTGTTGAGTTCCTTGGTCGACCTCTCAGACTGAGAATCGAGCTCGTCGCGCCTACGCCTCCATTCCTTTTGCGAGTGTTCAAGTTCTTCCTTATCCTCCGATGCAGTCCGCAAGGCTTTCTCGGCCTCCCGAATCTTGGTCTTCAATTCCTCTATCTCACGTGCCCGGCGCCGGCCTTGAGTGCTGGCCTCATCCTCTGCGCGGTCTCGTTCTTCAATGGCAGTCTCCATGCGTTCCTTGAAATCACGGACCTTGGCCTCTGCGCGGCCCTCGATATCGTTAAGCAAGCGTCGCATCGTCTCGCCTTCACGGGTTCGTTCGCTGAGTAGACGATGAGCATCTGCCAGCTCTTCCTCCAAGCTTTCACAGCGTTCCCGGGCTTCCTTCATTTGCATCCCAACCTCCGCGACTTGGTCGCGCATGTTGTTCATAAGGCTTTGCGCGCTGGCATGTTGAGCTGTCTTCAATTGAATCTCTTCTCGCAGGCCGTTAAGCTCTTTGTTCAGTTGCGACACCTTGTCTTCGAAGCTTCGAAGCTTGGTCCGAGAAGTTTTCAGATCATCTTGAACCTTGGAGAGATTTGTTGCCATCTTCTCCTTTGCTTCAAATGCTTCCTGTTTCTTGCTCTCTGAGTACCTCAAGTCTGACTGAGCAACCGTCAGTCCCTCTTCAGCTTTCAAGCGGCTATCCGTCTCTTGTCTGATCTTCTGGTTCAGTGTTTTTGCCTCAGCATCTCTTTCCGATACTGTAGATTTGATTTTCTTTAGTTCTGCACGCAAATCGTCGTGCTTGCCCTCGAGAGTTTTGAGCTCGCTTGCCTTGCCTGTGAGGGTTTCTTTGGTTGATTTAAGTTCTGCAGACTCCGCTCGAAGGTTTCTCAGTTCGGGCTGCAGTTTCTGGAGGGTCTCTCGCAGATCTGTAAGGTCTTTAAATCGAGTCGCGGCCAGTTGTTGGGCCGCAGAAAGGTCTGTCTCCAGTGTGGCAGATTTGGCCTTGATCGTTTCATATTCTTCTTTCAAGTCATTGTGCGCCTTGTCGGAGTCGGCAGTCTGAGATGCACTTCTTGTTCGCAGATCAGTAATTTCTTTCTCGAGTTTGGAGATTGTTTCTCCCAGAGCTGTTTTCTCGGCGGTAAGCTCCTTGATTTTGTCCTTGGCCTCAACGTGCTCTTGGCCAATGTTGAGAATGTCGTCCCGGAGAGATTCAATTTCTTCTTTCAAGTCTTCTTCTCCCTTAAGCTTCGCGCTGAGACGGTCGATAGCCGCTTCCTTTTCGCTCAGCTGCACAGTAAGCGCTTCTATCTTTTGCTCGAGTTCACTCAGGTTCGGAGATGTTTGCTCAGGCTCGGGGTTTGATTGCTGAGTATTTTCAGGGGCGGCTGCATTGGTGGGCTTGCTGGTTTCTTCAGCACCCTTGCCACCCTTCTTTTTTTTGTTGTTCTTCTTCTTTTTACCACCACCTGCACCAGCAGCCGGACCAGCAGTTGAGCTAGCAGCCTGAGTATCCGGTCCTGAGGCCTCTTTAGCCACCTCCGGCGTTTTCTGGGAGGGTGTCAAGCTCTTTCGGAGTTCATCAAAATTGGCCTCCTGGCCGCTCGAAACCTTGGCTCTGGCTGACTGCCAGTTTTCATTGTCCTTCAAGTTGCTATCCAGGAAACCAACAATGTTCTGCAGCTTTGTAAGGTCTTCCGCCTTCTGGCCCATATCTGTCTTGAGGTCCGAAACTGCCGTTTCAGTGTCCTTGAGCTGAGATCGAAGACTATCTACCAAGCCCTGTAGCACACCCAGTCGCTTTTCGGTGGATTCCTTTTCTTTCTTTGCTTCCTCAAGTTTGGCATTGAGCTCTGAGCTCTGGTCCTTGTCGTCGGTTTGCGAGGCCTGGGATTTAGCTTGGTCCAACTCATCCGTCTTCTCCTTCAACTCGGTCTTCAGCTTTTCGACCTCAAAATTCGTTTTCTCTACAGCAGCCTCGGCCGTCATAAGTTTAGCTTTCAAGTCATCAAGCTCGCCCTGTTTGGAAGTCTTAAGGGCTTCAATCTCTGAGTCTTGCTTGTCCTTGTTGTCGCGCAGTTCCACCAGTTCCCGAGTAGCAGATTCTAAGTTATGGACCATGCCTTCAGTGGACTCACGTGCAACCGAAAGATCACGCTTGAGCGTCTCAGCCTGGGACTTGAGGGTTTCAACTTCTTCTTGTTTTTCCTTCAATTCAGACTCTAGTCGCGGAAGTTCATTATCAAAAGAAAAGAACTCCTCGCTTTCTTCCTTGGGAGGCGGAGATTTCACCGTGTTCTGTTTAGGGGAGAGGAGACTGGTGAGAGCTCCAACACGTGAAGTGGTTGATGGCGTGGGGGATTTCACTGGAGCGTCCGAGGAACCTTGATTTGCTAGGGAAGTGTCAACACCCAGAGGATCGGTTTTCGCTGCAGAGTCCTCGCCATCTTGGTTGAGATCTGCTTTCTTGATATTGGTTACTTCGTCCCACGCTTCCTTGGCCGAGTTTCGTGCTTCTTCGAATTTCTTTTTGTAATCATCCCTGTCAGTTGTGACCCGCTTAAGTTCCTCCGTGACCATGTCCCCTTTCAAAGAGATTTGATTCAAGTATTCCGTTAAAGCCTTGGGATCGCCTATAGACGTCAAGGGTGTGTTCTCCCGTAAAGCTGCTTCGAATGGTTCGATTGACAAGACACGGGAATGCGCCATCCGATATGCCTTCAAAAGTTCTGTATCCCACGACCCATATGTCAGTACGTCGACTGTATGCGATCGCGACCGGGGCTACCCCATACCATGATATCGTGATTCCAGCCTGTCCAGCTTCCGAAGCTTCACCCTTACCTCCGCAGGCATCTCGGACAGAGACTGGGTCGACTCCGTATTAGGAGCTGCCTCCTTCCCAGTTGACTCTGTGGCGGCTACCGTTTTCTCCTCAGCATTTCCCTCTGAGGTCCCTTCAGCCCCTACGGATTCCGCCTTTGGAGTAGCAGATCGACTTGACCCTTCATCATCCCCAACGGCAAAGTCTGGCTCGAATTCGTTGGGATCGGGGCTTCTTATAGGTGTGCCTGTATTGCGTCGCGGACGTCGTCTGCTCGGGGACAAGTTGCGGGCGGCGGGACGACGAGCGGAGTTGGAGCGGGAGAGGGACTCCTGACGAGCCTGTTCCTCTGCGATCCGAGAGTCGATGGCGTCGCGAAGGCGCTGATAGTCGCGCGAATGTTAGATTCTAGCCAAATAGCACACGAGGGGGTCGGGGAATAATCGCCAAGTAGTTGGAACGCTCGTACCTGAAACATCACCGTGGCAAGTCTGTGGGCCTAGGCCACAGCACGATCAATAAACGAGAGACAGAATAGGAATAAAAGGGAGAGGCAAAAAAGTATTAGAAAAAAGACGGTAGAGAAGGGGCATGGGGATCATGAAGTGGTGAAGCCGGCGTCCTCAGCAAGGACATGGGGAGATTTCGGGATCCAAAGCCAAGAAGAACAGCCAACAGGAGCTGCTGGGGAAAGCCCGGGCCATGGGCGATTGACGTGGAAATAGAGCCTCGTTATTCATTTTTGATGCAGAGAGCAAGGGAAATGAATATATTTGCATTTATAAGAATATTCTACCAGTTTAGAAAAGAAATAAAGATTATTGTATTGAGTTGAAGTGTTTGACCAGATTGGAGTGGAAAGCCCTCGTGCCAAATATAGACATTGAACTATCAACCTTCTCCCACCAGCTCTACGTTTGATTATATTAAGAGTTGAATGATTATTATTTTTAATTTATTTCCAGGTGGATTTATATACTACCGTTTTGATTCATAATTGAATGGATATCTATTGGATAAATTGAAGGCTGCGGAAGACCATTTGGATCGGAGAAGACACCGAAGTGTCATAATATATATTCCAAGGAACAGATGGAAAGGGCCCACACCAAACCCAATATGCCAGTGTCATGGTTATTAAATATTATTATTCTATCTATTTCGATATAAGACATTATGATTTGTTTAAAATAAGAAAAAGAATAAAATTGTGGATGAAATTGACAGACTCCATAACCTCGTAACTATAGACAAAATAACCACCCACCACCAAAAAATAATCAAAGCGAATAACACCACATTTGATATCCACGAGTATCATCTAGAATTCTTCAATGGCTGATTTATTATCACCATGGTCAGACGGTACTATCGGCTTGAACCTTGAAAAACCTTCAACACCAACTCTCGTACTGAGCGCCGATCACCTGCAAGCATCGCCAAGTGCGTCTGCTCCCCCCCTCTTTCTAACGGTCGACTCCTCCCTCCATCATGACCAACTCGACCAACCCAACCACTTGCCAGGAGACTCAAATCCATTAAACCAACCAGCCAGCAGATCGTCTGCCTGCACGTTGTTTTACCTCGCATTAGGATGGTTGCCGCCAAGTTGCCCTGACTCCGTCAACATTATCGGCCTCGGACCTGGGTGACCTCATCTTAGCTACCTTAGCTTGCCTAGCTACAGCGTACCTTGGCCCGATTCTTCCCAGTCTCACATTCCGCCTCCACCCAAATCAAACACCAAACAAGGAGGGAACATGGCCGACAGCGGAGCCCTTGGTGATGTGTCGCTTGAGTCTCCGAGTTTGAGTTCTCTTCTTCACGCATCTTCCTCAGCGCCTTCGTCGACCAACTCTCTTTCTGTCGCGACACCGTTCTCGCCCGCTCTAACCGCCACTCTTTCCTTGGGCCCAGGCATCGCTGATTCCTATCTTCCTCCCCCGCCTTTCTCTCCCCCAATACCTTCAACCATGGCGGGGTGGATTGGATGGGTGTTTTCCTTCATTTTCCAGGTCATCCCCAGTGTGCTATACTGGGTGATCACTTTCTCTACCATAACGCTGCCAACATGGCTCTTCACACTCTTCTCCATGAGCCTGACCTTCACCATGAATTTTACGACCCTGTAAGGCCTTGATTTTCTCTGACTATTTGTGCTTTTTATATTTCTATTTTCTTGCTCACCGTGTTTGCTGACCGATTGATTTATTGATACATAGGCTACTGATCGGATTGGCCCTTTTTTCGACCATTAGCTGGTTCATCCGGTACCGTTTCCTAAACATGTACAGTCGCTTGCCCCCCGAGCCTCAGCGCAAGGAACCGCAGGTCGACCTCTTCCCCGATGTTCAGGAGGGCGATTCGAAGCCAGGACTGGCCAATTACCTCGATGAATTTCTCAGTGCCATCAAGGTCTTCGGTTATCTGGAACGGCCAGTGTTCCACGAATTGACCCGGACAATGCAGACCAGAAAGTTGATTGCCGGTGAAACACTATTGCTAGAGGAAGAGAAAGGATTTTGCTTGGTTGTGGATGGGTTGGTTCAGATATTTGTCAAGTCCATGCGAGAGGGGAAACATGGCCCAAATGAGGAATCGAATGACATGGGAGGCGAGTCTTCCGACGATGAATACCATAGCATCCATGGCAAGCAGGGGTACCAATTGCTCACAGAGGTCAAAAATGGAGCATCAATGTCGTCCCTATTCTCCATTCTGTCGCTGTTCACTGAGGACATTGAACTACGGTATTCCGAGGGCTCTAGTTCCAACGAAACTGGTGCAGATCTTGGTGCAGGCCGGGGTGCCGATTCTTTTCCAGCAAGTCCCGGTGCACCCAGTCCGCAGTCCACTTTCAGGTATCGCAGTGGCTCTGCTCAATTCAATAACAGCAGTGATTTTTTGCCTTCAGTCCCTCCATTGAACCTGGAGGAAAACCACGCCCCGCCAGGACAGGGCCATAATTTTGAGAAAAAGCGACCAGAGAAAGGACAACGAAAGTCCGTTCATCCCGATATTGTGGCACGAGCTATGGTGGACACGACAATTGCAATTATTCCAGCCAGTGCTTTTCGCCGCCTGACAAGGGTATACCCAAGGGCGACTGCGCATATTGTCCAGGTCATTCTTACACGACTACAGAGGGTCACTTTTGCAACGGCACATTCATACCTAGGTCTTACCAGCGATGTCTTGGGAATTGAAAAACAGATGACGAAGTTTACCACGTATGACCTGCCAAACGACATGCGAGGTGCAGCTTTGGATCGTCTAAAAGACAAATTTATCAAAGAACGTGACCGCTTGGGCACCGAGGAAATTAGCAAAGGAATCGCGTTGCACAATCCTTTTGCGGGTAGGAGGCCCCATTCGAGCAGTTTCTTGCGAAAGGAAGCTGCCATTCATGCGAAGATGGCCCCAAGACGCCCTTCTTCTGCTGCAGGTCCGGACCATATGATCAATGAGCGTGAAGCCGCAGGAGTTAGTCCAGGGGATCTTTTGTCTACTATCCAACTCTCCCGGTTCGGGCCTAGGCACGACAGCTTTGCCCCCAAATTGCTTAGCCCTCTTACTGAAACCGAGCATGCCCCTTTTAGTCCACCTGCCATGCCTTCTCATGCCTCTCCTTTTCGCCATCGCAAAGAGTCCGTTGATGAAGACGCCCTATTCCGGGATTCTATCCTAGAATGCATCATGAAGGGAATCGGGCTCGCTGGAAGCACTCGTGATGCGTTGAGAAAGAACAGCTATTCGGGCGATGCATCTCCAAAACTCCTCTCATACGACTCGAGACGCCAAAAAGCGGTGTTCAGTAACAATGCATTTGGATTCATTGACCCATACGATGTATCTGGAGATGGCGAGACGGAGTCGATGATGTCAATGTCTGTTACCAGTGCTGGTGGCACATCGCCTATCATAAATCTGAAGGATGAGCTCCGAAACGATATCGAGATTGTTTACTTTCCGCAAGGATCGGTCCTTGTTGAACAAGGAGAACGCCATCCGGGTCTCTACTATGTTATTGACGGTTTCTTGGACGTGGGTATGCCCGAGAAAGATCGAGGTGAAGATCTTGTAGGGTCATCCAAGTCCGTGTTGGGACAGCCACACGAGGAGCTTTTCCCATCTCTGGGGCGTACAACGACCGGATCGTCCCGCGCATCGGCCACCACAGCTACGAATGACCCTAGAAAGAAGAAGCAGTCGCGCAAATCACTTTACATGATCAAGCCTGGTGGAATTCAAGGCTATGTGGGATCTGTCGCATCGTACCGATCACACACTGACGTTGTCGCTAAAACGGATGTGTACGTGGGATTCCTTCCTAGAGCATCTCTGGAGAGGATAGCAGAACGGTACCCGATTGCTCTGTTGACGCTGGCCAAAAGAATAACAAGCCTCCTGCCTCGCTTGCTCCTTCACATAGATTTCGCCCTCGAATGGGTACAGGTGCATGCTGGCCAAGTTATATTCCACCAAGGCGATGAAAGCGATGCTATTTACCTTGTCTTGAATGGGCGCTTGCGTTCAGTTCTCGAGGGTCCCAATGGGAAAATGACTGTCATTGGCGAATATGGTCAAGGAGAGAGCGTTGGTGAGCTGGAAGTTATGACAGAATCGACGCGACCAGCAACTCTGCACGCAATTCGGGATACAGAATTGGCCAAATTCCCTAGGTCTCTCTTTAACAGCCTTGCCCAGGAACATCCCGGAATCACAATCCAGGTTTCTAAGCTCATCGCGCAGCGGATGCGAGATTTGGTAGAACATCCGGTGTCCGAAAAGGGTATCGAATATGCCAATGCTGGTGGGGTCAAGACAGCGACATCTACCGTCAATCTTCGCACGGTTTGTATCTTGCCAGTAACGGCTGGTGTTCCTGTGGTCGAGTTCGGCCATCGATTGCTGAATGCCTTCCATCAGGTTGGGGTAACAAATGGGGTGACATCCCTGAACCAAGCGGCTATTCTTAACCATTTAGGCCGCCATGCCTTTAGCAAGATGGGAAAGCTGAAGTTGTCGCAGTATTTGGCTGACCTGGAGGAGAAATACGGAATGGTTTTGTACATTGCAGACACCAACGTGAATTCACCATGGACCCAAACATGCATAACGCAGGCCGATTGTATTTTGCTCGTTGGGCTTGCCGAATCATCGCCCGTTATTGGAGAATATGAGAGGTTCTTGCTTGGAATGAAGACAACGGCTAGGAAGGAGCTTGTGCTGTTACATTCAGAGCGGTACTGCGCCGCTGGGTTGACACGCCGATGGTTAAAGAACCGAGTCTGGATCAATGGAGGGCACCATCACATCCAAATGTCCTTCCGACTGACGACTGAGCCATCACACCCGCAGACTAAACGCTTTGGAACAGTTCTCAAGCAAAGAGTGCAAGTCCTCCAGGCTGAAATTCAAAAGTACACTTCGCGGCGGATCCATCAATCACCTCTATACTCCTCGCAAACCCCGTTCAAAGGAGACTTCCATCGTCTCGCGCGTCGACTTTGCGGTAGATCTGTTGGACTCGTGCTTGGAGGCGGAGGTGCTCGTGGTATCGCCCAAGTGGGTGTGATCAAAGCCCTTGAAGAAGCAGGAATTCCTATCGATATCATTGGGGGAACCTCAATTGGATCATTTATTGGCGCCCTCTATGCGCGGGATGCTGATATCGTACCAATGTATGGTCGTGCGAAGAAGTTTGCTGGCCGCATGGGTAGCATGTGGCGTTTTGCTCTGGATCTGACTTACCCAACTGCCTCATATACGACAGGCCATGAATTCAACCGGGGTATTTTCAAGACATTCGGAGACAGCCAAATTGAGGACTTCTGGCTGGAATTCTACTGCAATACTACCAATATCAGCCGATCGCGCCCGGAATACCATTCATCTGGCTACATCTGGCGCTACGTCCGTGCTTCAATGTCACTGGCGGGCCTTATACCCCCAATGTGTGACGAAGGAAGCATGCTCCTCGATGGTGGCTACATTGACAATCTGACTGTGGCCCACATGAAAGGTCTAGGCGCAGATGTTATATTTGCTGTCGATGTCGGCTCCATAGACGACAACACCCCTCAAGCTTATGGGGACTCGCTTTCTGGATTCTGGGCCACGGTCAACCGCTGGAACCCCTTTTCCTCGTGCCCCAATCCACCAACTTTGTCTGAAATCCAGGCGCGATTGGCATATGTGTCTTCTATCGATAACCTCGAGCGGGCCAAGAACACGCCTGGCTGTCTGTACATGCGCCCACCGATCGATCCGTATGGAACCTTGGAGTTTGGCAAATTTGACGAGATCTATAAGGTTGGTTACGACTTTGGGAAGCAGTATTTGGATAAACTCAAGAACGAGGGCTCGCTACCAATACCAGAGGAGACAGAAGAGAAAAAGAAGCTACAACGAACCATGGCTCCACGAAGGGCAAGTATATAACGAGCTTTTCTTTCTTTGTGTTATCGTTTTTGCTTTTCTTGTTTTTTATTTTTATTTTTATTTTTTATTTTTTATGAGTGTGAATGATGCTCGATGACGTTATAAAAAGAGCGGGAGTTCCAGGGCAACTTTTCATTTGAGCGATTCTAGCCCTACGCATTATACCACTACCTGCTGCTGTTCAACACATTGCATGGAATTATTAAAATGCTGTATTTATCTGTCTTGCTTGACCGTCAATTTTTTGAACCTGCATAAAGCTATGTATGTGTGCCTGAACAAGTTGTATTGGACTGACATGCCCAAGAAGTTAACACCTTTTAGCGCCCTCAAGTAAAAATTATGGAAATTTTGAGCCATGTATCATGATTCAGATAAGTATGTAAAAGAAAGAATGGTATATAACATGACAAAGCAAGCAGGAATATTAAAGTAATATTAAACAAGAAATACGAAGCCATAAATGGCCTCACCCAGCCACTGGCTGGGATAAAAGAATCGAAAAAAGATCATAGATCGTTTCATTCCATCCCACATACACAAACCGTCCTCGTGGTAATGGATAGGATATTATATTGTACTTCGTAAGCTGCCATCATGCACGACAGGAGAACGATAACACCCCCTGCATGCTTAAGCACACCGAGTCGACGCTTAAACGGTGTCAGCTGGGCGATCAGCCGGTGCATCAAGTGGCGCCCGACCAGCAGGGGCGGGGTGACTGGCACCGTTCTTCTCACGGTGAGGATCGGGGGTGGCGTTCTCCCGACGGTAGGCCCAGAGGGAGGCGACCTCAAGGAAGATGGCAAAGAAGGTGAAAATACTGGTTGACTGGGTTAGATGGTTATGAAACAAGAGTATGATTCTGGGGAGCTTACAAGGTCAGGAACATGAATGCCTCGTTGGCCTTTTTCTTGGAGCAGCTTAGACCAAAGGGAGAGTTGACGAAGCATGAGTGCCAGTTGTAGTCTTGGGCGGCGAAGATGAATGCAGTCAACCATCTGGATAGGAGGGGGTGTTAGTAGCTGTTTTCTGATGTAGGTGTGGATGGGTAGATGGATGGACATACAAGTAGGAGAAGATGATGTCGATGGCAAGGACGAACTTGCTTAGGGCCTTGGGCAAGAAAGGAGAGACGAAAGCCGGCAAAAAGAAGGCGACGGACATAACGGCCTGTCAGAGGTCAGAAGAGGTTCGTTGGAGGAAAGAGGTGCAAGACGTACGATGACTTCTTGGTAGATGATATGTTGACCACGGGGACCTTTGCTGATGAAATAGGAGGTTATTCCCATAACGATGACAGCACTAATCCACTGCATGGCACGAGTGACGAGCTGCAGTGGACGGGCGATAGCGCTTGTAAACATGACTGCTGAGTTGGACTGGATATCCTTAAGAAAAATAGTTGATTCAAGTATATAAGAAAGCAGACCCCCGGGCCTGGAGTATATGTACTATATGATGCTCGTAGATGATAGGAAAAAGAAACGAGACGAGACCTGAGAGGGGGACTCAAGCCAGGCTTTATACGCCCACAGCTCGAGCAATAGGACCTCAACATCAACTACTGCTCGAAAACCCGACTGAGCCGGATCCAACCTTCCCTCTGCGTCAAAGCTTCTGGATCGTGGCGTTAGCACTAGCAGCAGATCCACGGTCGTTTAGCAGGGAAAGAGAAAAAAAAGCAAAGGGTATTCCGTTCCCCAGATGCGTCATGATGTGATTTGCATGTTGTAAGTCTGATTGTTGTCGTCTGATTTGATCCTCGCATGCCATTTGTCGACCCTAATTATTTCACTTGTCTAGCTTGGAGCCCAACTTGCGCCGTTTTTTTTCGCATGAGGTCCTTTTGGATGCGTTGTGTGTGTTCCCCTCGCGGGACTGTTTACCTGGTGAGGGGAAAGCAGGGGATGGACGTGCGTTGTAGATGTCAAGTTGTGAAGAGAGAACAGGGAGAGTGGCATAGGGAGCTGCAGGAAGCTCAACAAAATGGGATGTGATCTGCAAAAACAACGGGTTAGAAAACCATAGAGGGGATGAGTTGCAAGGGAGACTGAGGTTGTTCAAACCAGGGAGAGACATGGCGTTGCGTGACTTCGGGATTGGATGCCGGAGGGGATATGCTCGACAGTCGGCGGCGAGAGGTGAAAACAAAATGATAGTGGTATGATGGTAAAAAGGCAAATCAACAGGGAGAGGCAACTGAAAAAGAAGACCGAGAGGGGAAACCTGACGATGGATTGACTCATGGATGGTCGGTTGGCTGCTTGTCTGGCTGTGGCTTGTCGAATGGCATCAGATGATGTTCACCCCGCGCAGGGTTGCAAAGTACCGCACAGGAACAACTTGTTCTCTCGCTGCTCAATGAAGCTATTGCAGTGCTGATCCAGGGAATCATATCACCCCAGCCAGTCTGATGGGCAGAAGCTATCAGTCATGAATCACAACAATAGCAGACCCATCTGGCCCAATCTTGATTCCCCTTCCTGATTCATGATCCAAGGGATGGAAAAGAAAACAATGGGCTTCATCGAGAAAAAAGAGTGGACGCCACTGGTGCTGGGTGCATCATGTGAAGAAAAACAGCCCGTGGGTGCAGGAAGTAGCTGCGAGGTGGTCATTGGAGAATGCGGGCGATTCATCCAAGCTACTATTGAAGCTCCAACTAATTGGCGATCATCTTACTTGACGCCGGAACGCTCGGATTCTGGCGGTTGGAAGTGGATATCCAAGGTGGATGGATGCCCACAGGGCTGAATGGCATGATTTCATTCGGCGGTCATGGTTTACAGCATGGCATTATGTAGACACCCAAGGTGGAAGAAATTCTGGTGGAATGATAAAAATAAATAATAAGACTCATTGATATCCATTTGTATAACCCCAGATTTGACAGTCTTCGGATAAATCTTGTCTGGGGTACACAAGGCGGACAGTAAGGGGCATCAGATGGATAAAATGCTGGATGCACCTTGACTAAGTACAACATGAGTGAAATGCAAGGATGAAAAAAAAGACCATAATTCAGCAACTGCAATGTAACTTTAATGGAAGAACTTGATAAGCACTGAGACAACAAAGACTAAGGTAGTGGATATACAAATATGTTACAACGTAGATCGACATCTGGGAAATTACGACAGCTTCACAATGCAACTCCTGCTATTCAAACTTGATAGACGATGTCCATTTTAATCCCGTTACGCCTGATTCCCTGCGTTTCATCAGTCATCCTCCTTTATCCCTCGCGCCGTGGATAACATCATCGTGATCTAAGTCTTTGTCTTCATTTCAAGGGGCGATTTTTTTTTTTTCAACATTAATGGTGCATCAGTGTTGAGATGGCACAACCAGAAAACCACATTTTATCACGAAGTCACATTTCCAAGATCGTGTTCCTAGACGTTGGGTCAGCCATTACCTTCTCATCAGTGAATTCCGACATACCTTAATGTATTCACTGCCCTTCTCCAGGTACTCCTCTCGCGAAATAGACAGTTGGCCCAGCTCCGACCCCGACGCCCATTGTGCCGCTCCTTTCCAGGCATCCAGGACCGGGTCGGATGCACGGCGGACATTCAACTCTGTAGTGACAGGGAGCAATCCCCGGAAATCATTGCGGAAACGTTCATCGAATCCCTGGAAGAGCGTGTTTCCGCCCGTCAGGAACACATCACGTAGCAAATTTGTTTGGTCGGTCGGGTTGGTGTATCGTTGGTTGACAATGTCAGCAGCAATCTCGACCAATCCCGCTTGATCTACACCTGCGATGGACGGTTTGAACACCACCTCTGGCACTCGGATACGCTCTACATTCAGGTGAATCTGATGAGCCTCGCGTTGACTTTCAGGGTCAAAGGGCCAGGGACCACGCAAGAAGGCATGGACCAGACTCTTCGTCCAGTCGGATTGCGCAGCGAGCGTGTGATTCTCAGTGAACTCAGGATCGTACTGAAGGAGTTCGTTTTCGGCATTATTGAGCATCCCACCAAGGTCTTCTTCCTCCTCTTCATCACTTTGATCTCCAGTAGCAACGGTACGGTAAACACCCCAATCGTCGTCGTTCGCACCAAAGTCATCGTCGTCACCACCTCTCCGACGTTTCTTCGGTCCATCTGCTGCCAGATTGGCAAGGGTCTTCATACGCATCTGGCTTGCCAATGATTTTCGATTGCCAAGGTCGGCCTTCAGCCTGTCACGTTCCTTGATCCTTTGGAGTAGGTTCTGGTGGAATATTAGTAATGGTGTGCAGACTTCAAAAGCATAAACCTTACCTGTCGATTAGCCCTCCGTTCAGCAATCCAGTTATCAAAATCATTCTCTCGCCTTTCCCGATCAAGGCGCTCCTCTTCTTCGCGACGAGCCTTCTCGCGTTCCTTCTCCGCCTTTGCACGTTGCCGAGCCTCAACATTCGACTTCATAAGCCGCTGATGGCGTTTCTCCTTCAATCCTGCCTCATCCAATTGCTCATCTGGGACATCCAACAAGGGAAACGACATTTCCTCCGAGGGCTCCTCATTCTCTTCAATTCCAAGGTCCTTATTCCTCGATCGTTTGATAGACTTTTCTAGGTCCCGAATCAGTCGGTCCAGGTGTGCTTCATCTTTCAGGTCTTCGGCTTCCAAAATACGCCTGGCCTCCTTCTTGGTTTCCGATGCAAGGCCATTTTGTAAATCCTTGTAGTATTCCAACTCTTGCTCTTTCTTCATGAGCTTTTCCAACCGCATCTTCGCCGCTTGTTCTTGAAGTCGACGTCCACTCTCTTTTTTCCTCTCTGCTATACGCGCGAGTTCCTCCTCTGTTTTCTCTTGAACCACATGCTCCGTAAAGGGGTATTGAACGACATGGTCCCGGTCCTCGAGTCCAGTCCAGTCCAAGAAGCCACTCAGCTCCCAGTCAAAGTCTGTGGAAACATAGCAATGCTTATGCACGAGGTCCTCCATCTGGTGTTCTGTCATCTTGGCCGGGAATGTCGGGTACTTCAGTCTCATCAACTTCAGCAGGTATTCCGATGTCTGCATGCCGCCCCAATTTAGTCGTGAGCAATTCGCGAGTTGTGCTTTATTGTTCAAGACGGGAATTACATGCGTCGATGTATGAGACGAGGAAACGATAAGTCCGTTGGATCCACGGTTGTACCGATAGGAGAAAAGGGAGTCAATTCCGTAGGCAACAGATGGCGCAGAGTAGCACTCGAACAGGATCTCGTTCATCACTAAAGGAAAGCAAAATGTCAGCATAAAAAGCAACCACACACCCATTGACAACTTGACGTACTCTTTCTTGGGTAGTTCGGATTCGCAATAGGCTCCGTCATCACGACGGGTCGGTCGATTCCTCCGTTGGCCCCATCCACTCCCAATTTGATGAAGATGTAGTCCAGCAATCCTTCCATGACATCCCAGTTTCCAACAACACTGCTACCGGGATCGAAGGCATACCGGAGCTGACCACGGGTTGTAGCATCAACGTAGGCATCGCTTCCGATGAATTGACATGCCTTGTTGAGCTTTCGGTCACGGTATCGGCTCATCACAGGGGGAAGAGTGACCCGGGGGTTCTTATCGAAGGACCAACCGGCCTTGACGAGGCTGGAACCTGATGAAAGAAATAAAGTATTAGCTACAAACTCACAGCGACCCAGCGTGTAGGATTGTCGTTGTACTCACCATTATCAATGACGATGGCGCTCGTATCGGCTTTGGACCTGCTCTGTTCATACCCCTCCGGCTGCGGTGCATGATACCCCTTGAACGGATAGTCTATAGTATTGTAGAGCTTCGGTGCAGGTTTCGCGGCCGCTTTCTCGGAGGCGGTTATCGAATAGCGACCGGGAAGGATCGTCTGCTCTGAGATAATAGTCATGGCGGCCTTGGAGGTTGAAGACAGACTAGGAACTCAGGAGCTTTCGGATGGCGTCGTTCACCGCATCGCAGTCGGTCGCAGATAGTAATGTGGCGAGTGGGAGGGAAATAAGGAATATGAAACTGTTCCTGGTGACCTGGAGCTGATAAAGAGCCAGGATAATGCAGCAGTGGATGAGATGATTGTGGTGCTTGAACCCCAGGATCGCTCGGCGCAGTTGGAGAAATTCCGGGCGTTTGTATGCCGCCAAGACTGGCCGGCCTGCTGGGACTCTAGAGCATAACATCACCGTCACGGACTGCGGGCCATTGTGCTACACTACACTTGGAATTTCGAAGCAAAAAGAAAAGATGGTGTCTCCATTCTACCTATGTATGTCATTCCATAATCCAATATCTCATGCCTTCGTAACTGGGAATTAAATGTGCGCAGCGCAACTTTACGATGGCTCTTGCAAGTTCTCCGTAGCTAGATAGCGTCAATTAGATGCAAAAGATACGGAGATCGAGATGCCGTACCTTCTAGGTGGAAAAGAACATTTGACTGGTAGTTCTTGAACATCTGAGCCACGAGTTCCACGTTCATATTTTGAATGTTGACCTCCTAAGAAGCATTAGTCAGTTGCCAAAGCCCAACAGACAACTAGGGCAAATCGTGTACCTGGAGATTCTTGTTCATGACCATAACGGACTCATTCAGTTTCTCCTGAATATCTCTCAGTAATTGGACTTGGAAACATAGTTCGCTTCTGATGACTTACAATGTTGTTGGTGATTCGAGAAAGCAGCAAAGCCTGCTGATGCTCATGAGGACTCTCCTGCAAAGTCAAATATTAGCCATGAGCTTCCCCATGAGTAACAACCAGTCTTCAATTCTGTGCATGACTTACCATCTTGGGATCTTAATGAGGGTTGTTGATGATGGAAAGTTGTTTATTTTTGCTTGTGTTTGGAACCCGACCAGCAATTCGAGTCACGTGATTATATACAGAACAATGTCTCCTACCAATCCTGCTCGTTTTCAGCAAACAATAAAATCAAGATGCGTATTTTTCATTCAAAAATAAGATAAAGAAGGGCCTGGTGCTGCTACAAGAAGTTTCATCAGTGATGAGAATTTTCCTTGAGGTTCTGATACAATGCGGTTGCCGTACCAAGCAGCCGCCTCCGGTTCGTCTTGTGTCAAGATTCCTCTCCGCAATTGCTAACAACCGCAGCGACTTCATCCCAACATCTCTTTCTTCTTGACCTCCTAAATATCCCATCTACAGTTTAATTCACCATGGCCCCTCCAACACCTGCTGAGATAGAGGCTCATCAGCGGCTTCTCGATAGTCTCGACATCGCCCCGATTCCGCGTCCCTTCCGCAATCCCAACTGGAAACCATCGCAGCGCCGCAACAAGAACGTCAAGCAGCTCCTTTCAGAAAGCTCCCGGAAAGAAGCATCAGTGCTGGCAACGCAGGCCAACTCCGGCGCTACAACTCCTTTGCCTACTACCAGCACAGATGGTAGCCAGACCCCTGCTGAAGGCGCTTCACGGGATCCGAACATTGCCCAGGCGGCGCAGAACCTATCGACCCTCGTCCTGGAGAAGAACGCACGAGCAGCTGTGCCCTCAGGGCCTTCGGTCACTTATACAAACATTGAGTCGGCGCCTTCGGTGCATTCGTTCCATCAGAAACGCTATTGCGATATCACTGGACTGCCAGCCCCGTACACGGACCCAAAGACAAGATTGAGATATCACGATAAGGAGGTCTTCAGTGTCATCAGAACGTTGGCACAAGGTGTACCGGAAACCTACCTGGAAGCCAGAGGTGCCAATGTTATTCTGAAATAAGACGTACCCTTTACTGGGCGCTTCTGCGTTTTACGAAATTGTTCTTTGGGAAATAGACTGGTGAGTTATACACTAGAAAAGACCATATTCCAATATTAATTCAAGTTCATTTTAGATACTACTATCATAATTGTCCAATATGGGATATGTACGACCATCACAGTCAAGCCCTTTCCACCCACCGTGCCCCTCTCGAGACAGGTTCAAGAAAACGCTCCGGCTTATTCGTGATCTTTTAAATAAATGTCGATCTTCGCCTTGTGCTAGTTGCACTCGACTAGTACCGATGTTCCACCAAATGGAAATCAGTTACAGCATCCGGAGATGCTGTCGTCGCGGCGTGTTGTTGGGGCAGCATGAAGCATGCGAGCCTATAAGGGAATTGGACTCTTGGGAAATGAAATATCTAGGGCAGGAAAATCAGGGGCATGAGTATGGTTTGTTTTAGAAAACAGTCCCAAGCTGCCAGAGCAGTACATCTTGTATATTGCAGCGTTGTCATTGGAAGGCGAATATCATAATTCCTTTTCTCAACCAGTTATCATTATTCCTGGTGGCCAAAAGTGTCGAAATTCCAAGTATAGAATGATTGTAGGATTGGCTGGTGACTCGAATAATAAAGTCGGAAGAGGAAGAAATTCGTTGGCTGTGTGGATTTGAAGAGTGTGCTTTGCGGCCTGCAGACCGCCGACCAGATCGGGACTAGCACAATTGGACGCAAGACAACCGTGGCAGAATCGTTTGCGATGGGACATTTTGTTTACTGTGAAGCCTAACGACTGTCTGCAAACAGTGTTAAACTAGAACGACTCATTCTCATATCTCCTAATTCTTTTAGGATCTGATTTGACTTTCATTCAAATCGGACACCAAATCTCGCTGGGATTTATCATCACAACTCCGACGCGCACACCAAATTCGACATCCGCCTTCGACGCAGCTACTCCTTTTCCACTCCACACCTGACGAATTTCCACCCGCTCATTCGGCCTTGGAATTGATTAATCAACTGGTGCGATCCGATATCTATAAAGTATACGAGGCATTTCGCTGGGCAGCTTGCTATATTTATTGCGCATATAATTTCAACTGGGTAAACGCAAAGATGCCAACCATGTGGCTGTCCGAAAACCAAAGTATGCAGTGCCCTACTTTCGCGTGGAGGCCTTGATCCAAAGATTTTGGATTTTGGATATTGGGATGGTTTCAATCCCGTTTATGGTTTTTTTTTTTCCATTGCTAACCCGTGTTAAATAGAGGTCGGTGTGATCTTTTGCTCTGGTGGTAGGTGAAACTGAGGCCCTTCAGCGTTATCTCTTCATACTGGGGTGACTCTGTTTTCGATATATGTTTCTGACTATGATATAGGAGCTCTATTCCTGTTTGGCGGAGTAGTTATGTTCTTTGATCGTTCGCTGTAAGTTTGCATTCAGCTTCATGTCCAGCTTTGTCGAGTTAATAGGAACTAATGCGATATTCATTTACAGGCTTGCCATGGGAAATGTACGTTGACCACGCCCCTAATTCGATATCGAATATTAGCCCCTGAAAAACTTCCAACGCTCCAATTCGCATAGCTGATCTTCTCTAGATCTTGTTCCTTATCGGATTGACTCTCATCATCGGACTCGAAAAAACAATTGCCTTCTTCTCCCGCCGTCAAAAGCTCAAGGGCACCGTTGCTTTCGCATCTGGCATTCTTCTCATTCTCCTGCGCTGGCCTCTGACTGGCTTCCTCATCGAGCTGTACGGTCTCTTCATACTCTTTGGCGACTTCTTAATCACCATCGGCCAATTTGCTGGGAATATCCCCGTCGTGGGTCCATACATCCAGCGAGCCCTTGAGATATTGGCTGGCGGTAGAAGCAACGCAGAACTGCCGGTATAGTCGTTGTTATCGTTGCACAAAAGTTTGCATTAGCCCCTGCATGAGTTTTTTGGCGCAAAAAGAGACGAGACTTTGAAATTTTAATGTGTATGGATACGCGAACCCTTATGAGGCCTGGTCAGACGGCTACGGATTGATTTGTTACTATATTTGATATCTTGGTCTTATGCCTCTGCTCACCAGGTCTCAAATGGGAAACTGTTGTGTTAAATGTACGAGTTGACGTGATATGTGCTAGAGTTTTGTAATTACTAATGGCTGCTTTCTTTTGTTGTTAGTCTCATTCTATTCGAAGTAGCATGGTGACATCCCAGCTGATGATTGTCTCATCCGCAGCAAGATGTCACCAAAACTTGATGATATGCCAAATGATTATCCGAGCTATAATCGAATTCCATATTTTATTTCAGCTTTGGTGCGGTTCATTAAATGGTTTTGAAAAGTTGTACTGTGATCAGTACCTATTGAACATATCTACTGGGTTATGTTTGACATAAAAAAAGTAATAAAGAAAAAAAAAGAGCCACCATGATTTGCATTCCAGCAATGGTAGATGTGGCAATTGTCCTTTCTCACAACTCAAACGAATCGCTGCGTTTTCTTCTCGACCCCATCTATTGGGGCTTGTTGATGTAGTCAACGAGCCCCTCAACAACATTTGCTGCGTTGGGGGTCTGGACATCCTTGCCGTGGTGAGCGATCATGACTGCGGAGGCGGCCTTGACGATAACGATACCCTCCTTGCCCTAGAATCAAAGAAATACCATTAGTATCCTCCGTGAATGTGAAGACAAAAGCATCTTGCTAAGTTGTTGATTTGCGCGAGCTTGGGATGCGGGTCATTCGTACCTTCTTGCCGTATATGCTGCGGTCATCGGCGCGGATGCAGACGAACTTCTCACCTCCGACGGTGATACCAGTTCCGAAAACGGAGGAGGGGTCTGCGAAACTAGCTTTCAGGGCAGCGATCTCCTGGGGCGAGATCTATAGCATGTTGTTAATGGCTGATCTGATGATGGAAGCTTGTCCGACCGAAAAACCGAGGCTGAGCCCAGTTCGGCGACGTGTGTTCATCATACCGTGAACCCGGGAGAACCGGCCTCCAGGGCGGAAATGTCGTAGCTCAAGATACCAGCCTTGTCAAATTGGCCGGAGCCCATCAAACTGTTGAGGTTCGTTCGTCAGAATTGAAGAAAAGTATGAGGATGGAGGGGGTGTGAGATGATCAGAGCGGGGTAGATATGGAGGGTGAGATGGTACCTGGAGTCGACATATCCTGTTTGAAGAAAGAGACGTTAGCCACATATTTGACGAGTATTGAGAAAATGAATTCAATATGTAGTTTTCAAAGGAACTAAGGATTTCAATTCGATATCGTACCTTGCCAGATAGCAGAGTGAGCACCCATTGTGACGGTTGAATAAACAAGTGATCGGGAAGATCGGGTGTAAAGGAAAAGGGGATGATGACAAAAAGAAGGTTAAGTTCTCCAGGTGGAGGGAAGAAGAGAAGTACAAGAAATATGCAGGAGGAGAAGGTCAAGAAAAGAAAACAGATAAAGTCGGTGATCGGGATAAGTAGTAGCTTTGTTGTGGGTGAAGAGGGAGATAGACTAGGTGGTGAGTAAAAGGTGGGGTGGGCTGTGCTGGCAACAAGGAAGAAGAGCGCAGATGCCCCGCCATTTATTGAATCTCGTCTACTTATTCTCCTCCTCCCTCCCAATGAGAATCGTTCTTATTGATATATTTACCTAACTGACAGGAAAAGAGGTCTATACACATATCTAATTTCCTACATACTTAAACAACATCCACCTCTCTCAACAGTTTTTGCTGTCGTGATCAAAAGGCATCACGACCATAAAGGCGGTCAGCGGTCAACGGCGTCTACTACAGAGTGATAGTTACCCCACCAGCCGGTCAAAGTGCTACATATCACTAGAGCAACTTGGCCATGGGCGATTATTGTTTTTGCTTCTTGTCTCTGATTTCCCTTACCGCTTGTCCATATCCCCGTTCTGTATTTGTCCACCTTCTTTTCCCAATATGACCAGTAGAGCACGTGCCTGTCAGGTGCTGATCATGTGTAACGCCTTTCCATTTTGGGCGGCCATCACTTCCGCCCTGTATCCACCGACTCCTTAATCGAAGACAAGCTGTCCACCGTCACCAACATCGCAATTGTCGTTATTCCTACCAGAAATTCCTGTCTCCTGGCGTTAAATTGTCCGTTGTTACATAGCTACATGTTGGACACAATTAGAATGGCCTTACAGCGTCCAATTCTCTCGGGCAGACGATGGCAGAAAGCGGAGACATGAACTCGCGCAAAAGAAAGTTATGAACAAAAATGAAAGCCCCAAGGGCAGCGGCTCCTTTTGTCTCTGACCCTTGAGTTCTTGATCGATTGGGTTATTATCTACAGACATGGTTCGGGTGAAGCCTCGGTGGAGTCATTTTCTCAGCAATCCCGTGGTTTACTAACATCCCAAATTGGGACCGGTTTCAGATTTCTCATGATCTCGGCTCAGCACAAATATGCACCAGCATTATCCATCACGATATCATTTCATCTGCCTGTGGGATTTCATACTATGGGGTACTCCGTACATTCGCGACATAGCTATTTTCTAATCGGTGTCATACTACAACTTCTCAACGATCTTTGGGCACCTGGACTCTTTCAGGCCCCCGGTCATTTGGACGGACCGTCTCCGTTTCAGAATATTAATTGGTGAAACAATGGAGCTAATTGCCCAAGATCCAAAAAGCTGACGTCTTTCCCTGGCCTTTACGGAGTACGTACATGCCACGGAGCATTTCTTTGGCTATTTCTCCGCCATTGTAATTTTACTATTTTTGCTGCTGTCAACACTGATTCGCAGCCGCCAAAATAAGCATCCCACGCGCTCTTTGATAGCGCCGACTCGTTTCACCTCCTGCCGGTCATCCAGCCTCTGTTGCAGCCTTTGCGCCTCTCATTATCGAATGAGGCAATGATCTCGGCCAGAGTTACTGGCAAAGGGCTCTGTGTGACTCGTGTTTTCTGTCGCGCTCCAGCGCGCCAGTAAAAATGTCTTTTTCAGGGTCTTGCTGGACCACCCTACAAGGTTGTGGTGTTTTGGCCTTCATATCTTTGCAATTTTAAGTTAATCTAACACTAGCTGGCCCCTACTGTGTGTCTCATTTAGATATGATACTCTGGAACTGAAGGTCCACTTCATAGTTTCCATGCCGTGGCCCTGATTTATCATTAAAACCTCCTTTCCCTTCATGCCTGATGTGTCTAATTCCCCGTTCCGCACATTTGTCACCTGGGCCTTCTGGAAGGCTGTCCATTCTTTCTTTATTTGCTTAATTTTATTTCATTTCGAGATCTGGAAATCTCATTCACTTACTTTATGCTTCATATCTTTCCTTTTCTTTTCTCTACCACCATCACATTCCTCATCACACAGTTTACTTGAAACGAAATCCTAGGGAAATGGCCAGAGGAGTATTTGTAGGGAAATCGCGCGCATTTCAGCCATCAGATACCATATCGAGTCCCGTTTTAAACTATACCGATGCCCTCCCGAGAAACGACCTCCAGGCCGTCGAAAATGCTACAAGCCACGACCGAGCAGCAACACCTCGTCAAGCCGTGGCATACTGGGACTTTCAACGACCCAGGACATCAGAAAGACCAACACAAAACAAGAAACTGCAGGCCTCGGGTCCTGGGTTTGATTTTCGAATAACCGTGCCGCCAGCGGAAGCCGTACCATCACCGACGAATAATGAAAAGGGAATGAACGAGAACTTGATAGGTATTGCTTTGGGTAGTCCTAGGCTGGCTGATTCGCAAAGCACCCCTTCAAAGGCACAAGAACGGCCTCCTCTTGTTACTACCAATACTGAGAAACCGAAGCGATCAAACCTGCAGCGCAAATCCAGTAAGTGGAGGAAGATCGGAGGGCTTTTCAAGGCAAAGCATGCTTTGACATCCGCATCGAGTAAACCATTCTACCAAGTCCGAGTCAACAATGATGGCTGCCTACAAGGATCTTCATATTCAGTTGATTATCAGCCCAACAATCCCGTGAACAAAAGAACCCCGGAGAAGGACGACGATGGAACATGTGACTCTTGGCCGCGTATAGAGCCTGGAATCGAAGCGAAAACAAAGGATCAGCAACAGAAACCCGGCACTCGAGATCTATCCACGAAAACAGGACAGCAAGCTTCTGGTTCAAAATCAAGAAATCCTGGCCCCTTGCTACAAGTCGACATTCCTGATATTCAGCTGGAAAGGTATAGCGTGATGTTTGGTGGTCTTTTGGGTAAAGACCAACCAAAAGACCAATCACCTTCTTCAGCCAGAAGAAGCAAAACATTGAATGATATAACGGCCCCAAGTGCAGAGGTAGAGTATTTTCTTAACATGTGTTTGAGGGATGCTAAATAGACTTTAGTCGTCCGAAAGTCCATCAGAACTTCTACCACCACAACCGCGATCAGCTTCACCGTCCAGATCAAAATCGCCCAGCTTCACATTGTTCCCATCAACTCAAGTCAACAAAGCCTCCAAGGTTCGAGGATCCCAAATTCTGCCGCGTGGTTCTAGTCCTTTTCTCAGGAGCCAAACATCTTTAACGAGACTTAATACCGGGACTCCTACTGCGGACGAGAACAGGGTTCATGTGGAAACTCCGCCACCAGGAAAGTCCCCAGTGTCACATGAACCACATATGGAATCTTGTTTGGTTTCGCCCGTGCCTATTCTACCAGAAAGAAATGAGGAGCCTTCTTCGAGAAAGGCCGAGGAGATGCCTGAAACCCAATGCCATACACATCAGGAGCCAGGCCCGGAAACTGCCAATCAGGATACCTTAGGAAATGAACCTGCACAGGAAGCGCCCCCATCTTTAAAGATTCAAACAGCAGGACTGGTATCTCAACCAACCAGCAGTCATTCAAACTCACCTTCTTCGCTACTTAGCCCTCTTGATGCAACCAGGGAAAAGGTTGACCAGATCATGTCTCCCGTGGAAAGAAAATCCGCGGCCTCGCCAGCAGAATCCACCCGTATGCCTCTCAGCGATGAGCATGATGAGGCAGAAGATATAAATCCTGATGATTCCGTGGATCCGCTTCCCAAGATTGAGGTTTCCATCGCGAGATCTGTCTCCGTGTCGAAAGGCAAAAGACAAGTCATCGTACCAGTTGGACCGAGAGCCGATCGACTGAATCCAGACGAACGACTCATGAATAACCGGGCCAAAACTCCTCAGTTCATGGATGCCCAATATGGTCACCGGCATGGAAATTCTCAAGACGCGCGAATTGAAACGCTCTGATGTTTCCCTTCGCGCGAGGCGTGTTCATTTAGATACCCGGGCTGTCCAGCATTTTCTTATTTATAAGTCGACTTATTTTCTTTTTGGTTTCTTTATCTTTGCTTCATAACGCGGGTAGCCATGTTGTTTCTGGTCATGTTACTGACTCTTTCCCTTCTTTATTGCTTCACCTTTTTTCTACACTTCACTATTGCTCAGTCGTTGACGACAATATATTGCTTTCCTTTTCTTCATTCTTTCTTACCTTCTCTTTTTATCTACTTTGAATTTTTCGCTCATTTTACATACTCGCTTGATGTAGTGGGTGACTTCGAAGTGAACTACATATATACAGGCGAGCACTACGAATTGAAGGCTGCTTCATGTGGTTATATTGCAGAGTCAAATAATAGTGATCTCGACCTAGAACCGAAAGAAATATTTATATAAATCAGCCCTTCGCAGGGAAGCTTGACGATTCAGGCACAGTCTGTGTTTCAGGTGACAATTCCACCTCCACGTTGTTAAGAGACCATTCCATGCCAAGATAGGAATCACTGATAACCCTAACATTAACTTTGGCCTTGGAGACGGCTGCCTGCTGTGCCAGCCAGGCTTGGGGAAACTTGATGGACGAGCGAGTCGTAAGTGGGCCATTCTTTTGGTTGTTCCTGTCCGCAGCCTTCTGGCTGGATTCTCCACCACGGTTGTTCCTGTCCGCAGCCTTCTGGCTAGATTCTCCACCACGGTTGTTCTTGTCCGCAGCCTTCTGGCTGGATTCTCCACCGCGGTTGTTGTAGCCGTTTCGCTTTGCAGCTGGTGGCCATGAAACACGCTTCAGGGCGAGCATCTCTCCATCCGTACCATCCGGAGTCGCGGCGCAAACAATCAAGAAGTAACCTTCGGTCTGCGGCTTGGGGAATCGAGGAGCGTAGATCCTATATTCTGCATCCATTGGGGGGTTGCGGCGGGTCAAGAATAGATTGATGGCAGTGGAAGAGACGTTTGAAACGGAAATGGATAGCTGCGGCAAATACGACGTCGCTTTGGTAAACTGTGCTGCTGGCAAGTTCAACTTTCTGACTAGAGAAGACACTGAAGCTGCAGGAAGAGATGACAAGGCAACCAGGGACTCTGGGAGAGCACGAGGCTTTTCTTCGACGTTGACACCCGGAAGGATCGACAGTGGGTAGTCGTCGGGCCAGCGAGCAGATTTGATACATTGGAGCAAGGTCATGAGCATTCGGCAGGCAGGGAGATAACCCATTTCAGCCATGACATCGATCGATGCCTGGATGATACGAATACCTTGGTCAAGAACAGAGGTTTGATCACCGACATAATCGGAGATCGGAAGATCGATTCTCGACATGTATGCCTGGAGAAGTAAGAAAGCCTTCACATGAGGGTCCCACATGGGAAGATCTCCCATCGGCTCAACAGAAAGTGGCAAGTTTCGGGCCAGTTCAGCGTTGACCAGGTCTTCATTGTGCCGAACTGGCAATTCATCGAATTCAGTTGCGGAACACATCCAACTCAGCACATCGTGGAAAGTGGGGTTGGACTTTGAGTGGCTCATCAGGTATCGAATCGTTTTATGAGACAGATAGTAGTAACTCATGATCTTGCCAAAGGGTGTCGGGTCGACTTCACCAGTAGCGGAATCCAAAATCACGCAGGATGATTCCGCCAGCTCACCCAATGACTTATCAACCAATTCGATCATGTAGTCTTGGGCGATCGTCTGGGCAGCCATAGTATTATGCTCTTCCGCGGAGATCTCGAGGCCATAATACGAGGGGTTTTTGTGTAGTCGTCGGAAGAAAAATGTCCAAGTAAGGTAGTCAAGAGCATCTTGCTGTGTTCCAATGGTCCCTGCTGACACCTCGGCGCCCAGATGGTTGTCGAGGACCTTGTGTAGCGTCGATTCAACAGGGAAACCTGTGTGCAAGAAGTGCTTATAAAATGCCTTCTTTGCGTCTTGGGTGAAAATACGCGCAATACCCGATGTATCGAACTGTGGACGTCCTGCACGACCCAGCATCTGCAGAACATCTGTCAGATCCATATCTCTATAACCTTCGATCTTGGCGTCGAAGAACTGGGTTCCCTTGACCACAACAAGATGCGCAGGAAGGTTAACACCCCATGCCAGAGTACTGGTCGCCACAAGGATCTGAATTTTATTGTTTCCGAAGAGTTCCTCAGCTAGCTGTCGGTCAGATTCGACCAGACCAGCATGATGCAACCCAATACCGAAGCTGAGTGCTTCCCGTAACGCGTCGTCCTTGACCCTGGCAAGATTTAGTTCAAGATCCTCGTCAGACATGCGAACAAAACGGCGAGGGTTGTCTTCCATTCCGCAGTAATTAATCAAGTCCTTGGCTGTCAAGCGCGTCTGTCTTCGGGAAGCAACAAAAACAATCACGGGCTTCTCAGGTGAATGATTCTTGATGGCAAGGAAAGTTGGCCTGTTCATAGACTGCATAAGAGGACAGAACCCACGTTGTTCAGGGAAACCATCAATGAAAATCTCCAATGGGACAGGGCGCACGGAGTGGCGGAAATTGAACAGTCCTTCCTTAACTCCCAGCCAATTTCCTAGGTCCGACGCGTTGGCACATGCAGTAGACATGCCCATGAGCCGAACGGATCCCTTAGACTGTGACGCGATATAATTCATTCGAGAAACAATAATCTCCAGAATTGGACCACGATCACCACCCAATAAATGGATTTCGTCGATTATCACCAAGCTCACTTTTCGCACGTAGTCTCTGGTCTGCCAGCTACGAGAGATACCGTCCCACTTTTCAGGAGTAGTGATAATGATATCAGCGTCTCGAATTGTTCGTGTGTCGGGGGTATTGTCACCGGTCAACTCAACCAACTTCAATCCCATAGGCACTGTAAGACGCTTCTTCCAGTCCTGGACTCGCTCACGCACAAGGGCTTTCATAGGTGCAATGTACACGACTTTGGAGCCTGGCTTCTCTCTAAAAGCCCACCACATTGCCAATTCCGCAGCCACTGTTTTTCCACTTCCTGTCGGGGACCCGAGAAGAACGTTGGCTGGCGTATGATAAAGCAAGTGGAAAATCTGAGTTTGCATGGGATTAAAGAACTGGAAGCGCTGTCCGTAAAGTTCCTCGAGAATCGGGTTTTTCAAAGCCGCTATAGGAAGTGGCTGCAGGTCGAGAAGGTCTGTGTACACACTCTCCGTGTCTGGGCGGATCAGGTGCTGGAATGAAACAGGGGTAACAGTTTCCGCGCCCAACCACCTGTCCGAGATAGCACGAACATAGATCTGGCTCGGTAATGGATCCGATAATGGGATCGTAAAGTTAAGCTCATGATCGTCATAAAGCTTCTTTCGACTAAGGATGAAGTATTCATGGTGATAGATCTCCGAGGTTTCAGAGTTCTCTACCCAAATCCAGTATGACTCTGAGGCTCCATGATGCCTGTCATTCCAGCTGAACTCAGGATAAAGAGATAGGCGAATACGCAAAACGTCTCTGTTCAATGGTGCGATTTCCGCTTCCACGCTGAGGGTAGGGAAGTTGTCTAACAGCTTTGATAGTGTTTTCCCCATGCGATGATTGTGAACAAGTTGCCCAAGTTCCGAAGTTTCCATCTCTCTCATTGACTCAAGTGATGATGATGGTAGCTTTTCGTCCAGGTTCCTGAGGATCGGTTGTGGCAGATCGAATTGATGGAACGGATGATCGAAAGGCCAAATTTGCTTTTCAATAGACTTGCACAGTGACAAAAGTACTTGACACTGATAGCCCCAATGACGATTGAGTGCGATCATGAAGAGGGAGCGACAGATACGGGCTGCATTTTGAGCCACATAACCGGTATCAGAGACCAGAGCAAAATCCTCGATCCTCGCTCGAGAAATGTAAGACTGGAGAAGAATGTTTGTTTTGGCGTGAGGGGAATCATTTCCTCCCTCTACTTCTGTCTGAATGACCTCGTCACGTAGCCTCGTAAGCTCTTTTGATTCATTTTCTCGCGCCTGGATATTGTCAAATTCGCCACTCATACTGATCATCCTCAACACATCCGCTTCACCTGCCCGAGGTCGCATCATTTCATTGAAAATTTCAATGCTGTTCTGCAGGACATAGTACTGGCTTGCAATACGGCCAACATCCTTGGCCCGGAGGTCCTCGGTTTTCTCGTTGAAAATGATCATTTGGCTTTTCTGCAACACATGGGCTGCTTGGATAATTAACTGACGACGTCTTTGAACCAACATGGGATCATCACGTATTTCGGCCCAGTCAATTCCGTAATTGCGGGGATCACGTAGCATGCGTACAAAGAGATAGGAGTACCCAAGCCATTGCACTGCTTCCGGGACCGATGTGACAGTGCCAAGGGAGATCTCGGCATTGAGATTGTCTACCAAGCGACTAGAAAACCGGGATTCGATCGGCTGCTGCGAAGTGACCGCGGAGAGATAGTGGTTCAGCTTGTCATGAGTTGTACAGATAAAGCCAATACCCGTGTCTTGGAACTGGGGACGACCGGCACGACCAAAAATCTGCAAAACATCAAGGATGCCGAGATCGACAAATTTACCTTCTTGTGGGTTATATAATTGTGTTCCCTTGATGATTACAGCGGCAGCGGGAAGGTTGACACCCCAAGCAAGTGTCGCAGTACAGCAAAGAACTTTGATAACACCCTCAGAGAACATTCGCTCCATCAGGTTGCGGTCACTTCGGCTCATTCCAGCATGGTGTGCGCCAAATCCACCTTGAAACAAATCCCGCAGTTCTTTGGCACGAGCTTGTTTCATATCTCTGAGGGCAGCTGAATAGTTTTCATGGTCCTGACAGCTGAACAAATCCTCGCATCCATCCTCAGCAGCCATTTGCTTTAGCATTCGAGCAGTTAGAACTGTGTCCTTCCGCGAGTGTACAAATACCATGATTTGATGACCTTGTTCCAACATTGCGCGGGCCTTCTCAAAAGTCACAGTATCCAGATTTTCACGGGACTGCTTAGATCCCGGTTTTCCTTTGACTCCAACAAAGTGCTGTTCAAGGGGGACTGGCCGGAAAGATCCATCAAAATAGAATAGACCAGCCATCTTATTCACTTTGAGAAAATCGGCAACATCGACATAGTTGGGTAGTGTTGCAGAGAGGCCGACGATGCGGATAAGGGATTGAGTACTTTCAACTTGACGTTGAGTACGAGCTACCAAAGACTCGATAACTGCACCACGTTCATCATGAAGCATGTGGACCTCATCAATGATCAGCAGACGCACCTTCTGCACGAGTTCAGTGTCACCCGTGCTTTTGCGCGTCACCACATCCCATTTCTCAGGAGTTGTGACAATGATTTGAGTTTCCACAATCTCACGCTTTGACAGTTGCATGTCACCAGTAAGTTCGCGAACCTGGATTCCTAGCCACGCGAGTCGCTTTCCCAGCTTTTCGGTGACTTCGGCCGCCAGAGCTTTCATCGGAGCTACGTAAACGATCTTGAAATCATCGACTTGAACAGCGAAGTCCGTGGCATCTGGTTCTTCAAGAGGGTTGGGAACTGTGTTCTTTCCAATCGCGTTCAGGATGGTCAACATGGCAGCGTCAGTTTTACCAGCACCAGTTGGTGCACAGATCAACATATTCTCGTTCGTCTTGTAGGCCACCTCAAACAACAAACTCTGCATCCGGTTCAGCGTCTTATAGCCTTTGAAGGTGCCTTTACATAGCCCGTCCAGCGATGCGATTTCCACCAACTTCTGTCCAACTCCCAGTGTGCCCACCTTAGAAGCTGGAATCTCAAATTCGGTGTATTTCGGTTCATTGATTTCCCTACTACCCAAAGGCAGGCCGTATCTTTTGCCACCTACTGCGAGGAGGTTTCTCGAGTCATGTGCCTTAAAAACATGAGGATATTTTGGCTCCTGCCTCACCTGTGCCGGTGACAACAAGGCGTTTTTGTGCTCGTAGTCTTGAATCCGCAGGGCCTCTTCCCGCTCTGCTTTGGTCTGGAGATTTCCTGCAAACAGGCCATCTGTTTGAGCTTCAGTTCCCATTGTCTTACGCGTGAGGATTTCTCCCCGATGCGTAATCAACTCGATAACTAAGTCCAGGTCGTCAAATCCAACTATTTCGGCCAATGACATTTGCAGCTCATCGTCACCACTGTCGGCAGCTAGTGCAGCAGTAATCTGCTGCGCTAGCTCTGTGGCATCCAGTCCAGATTTCCGCAAAGCCAGGCTTCGACATTTCTCCTCCAGCCAGGCATGGTCGTAGGGGCTGGTGGTCGGCGGGAGGGCGACACCGTGAATATCATCCAGCTCATCACCAGTCTCATCGTCGGAACTAATGATGTCCCAGATATCATCCACCGTTCCTGGGGATGAATAGTCTTCATCAAGATCCAAATCCAAATCACTTCCGTAGCTGAGTTGATCTTTGGCGGGCTCTTTGGGGAGCTTCAATTCCGCAATGGCCTGGCGCATGGCCGCCAGTTGCGTCAGCCACTCGGACTCAGCGGGGGCGACTCCGTCCATCTTAACCTATTTTCTATAAACTTCAGTCCCAGAGTCCTGAAGCAGCACAAGAAGCAAAAAAGGTCAAGGAAGTAGATACCAAGGCGTGAATAAACATCAGCAGTAGGGAAAAGAAAGATGATAAATCAGTGGGAGGGCCAACGGCAGAATGGTTGACCGCCTATAACGGGTCTAGCCTATTGTGAACTACGGCAGCCTCAAGCCCTGGGTCAGTGTCTGCCTACATGGGTATTGTATTGGCTTGCGATAGGCCATCGGCATTTCTCATTCCCATATCCTTATGATATTCTAAAGAGTATGGCGTATCTTGAGATTGCCAGTCAGCTTTGAGTTTCTAAGATAAACAATTTGCTTCATTCAGGGTGACAAAAGCAGGATCGTAACCCGGGCAGAATCCAAAATATCATGTCTTGTTGGTCTTTTCAGTCCGCCGTAATGTCAGGCGGCGTAGAAGGCGGTGCCCTTAAGCAACCATCGTCATCATCATACCTGAGCATCAGCCTGATTTAATTTAGGTTATTATTAGCAGCTGACATCGGTATTTAATTATCATACCCCTTGCCAGTCGCTTCTTTATACTCTCGACGATACTCCTTGACACTGTGTTCTCTGCCTATTATCTCGGGAGAGCACAAGCCGCGGTATCTCCTGACATCAACCCCCTACCCCGCGATGAGCGAGTGATTTTCTTACAACTTACTCTCCTTATCTTTGACCAAATCGTCCACAAACCGCTGTCATGAGGATCTTTTATATCGGTGTATGTCTTAGGGGAATGAGCCTTCCTTTCTGTTCTTCCAGCGACCCTTGTGGTATTAACTTCTGTGTGTCCAGGTCTTGCGAAATGATTTGCGAAATGACGACGAGGCCGCCGTCGAGCTTTGCGGTGAGAGAGACCTCAGCAGCTTCTCGCGATTCACGCGTGACAAGTATGTCTAATATACCTCTTTTCACTTGAAATGAACTCGGAGCAGGCTCTAATGGGCTTCTTGCTTTGGACAGCTATAATGAATTTATGATGCTCTTCTGCAAAACGGTCGCTCAACGCACCCGCCCCGGTCAACGCCAGGATATCGAAGAAAAGTCATACACGTTCCACGCCTATGGGAGGACCGAAGGTGTGGCGGGTGTCATTGTCTCGGATGGCGAATATCCGGCCCTTGTTGCCCACCAGCTCCTCTCGAAGGTTGTCGATGAGTTTCTGGCCAAGTACCCCCGGACGTCGTTCTCGGATACCCGCGTCGAAAACTCGTGCCCTCTCCCTCAACTGAAGGAGTACATTGTCAAGTTTCAAGACCCAAGCCAGGCCGATAGTATCATGAAGATCCAGAAGGAATTGGACGAGACCAAGATTGTGCTGCACAAGACCATCGAAAGTGTGCTGGAGCGAGGCGAGAAGATCGACAGTCTGGTCGCCAAGAGTGATGGCCTGAGCGCCCAGAGCAAGATGTTTTACACCCAGGTAAGACCTTGACAATGCCATGGAAGCTGCCTGGTCGTCTACTAATGTCTTCTTTCCTCTAGGCCAAAAAGCAGAACTCGTGCTGCGTCATTATGTGATTTTTGTTTTCAAATCTTCTTTTTTGCCGATAATGCAACGCATACTGTTTTCCTCAGCCAGTCCTATTTATGCTTATTGAAAGTATTGACTTTGCAAAGTTTACATGGATAGTATATCTTGGTAGATCAGAACAGGCGTCTCTGCTTTTTACCTATCTCACTTCTTGTCGACTAATCCACCTGGCATAAAAACGCACATGCTGCCTTGCTACATCACTATGGCATCTTAAATGTCAGATTAAGTGGACTAGTATACTTGATCTTTATATCAATATATTGCAAAATGAAAATAACTAGATTCGAAATCCATTGATTCATACCTACACATCATCATTGCTACCATGAAATCCCCTTCTTTGCAGACATACTTCTAAATAAACTCTACGACGTCTTCGGCCTGTAGATGAGAAAAATCGTCTACGATTCGTTATTTCCATCACCCTCTAGCTGTGCCTAGACAGTTAGCTAGTGTAATTGTAGGATATTTTGCCATGTGGCCTGATCGTATCGTGCAATATGTACTGGCTTGTTGCCATTGTGGCTTCATCATTATGCTATCAACGGAAATGAGTCTTGTGCTTTGCATTGAGAAGGGGGAGGGGACCCTGTACGATTGGGATGCTGGAGTGTGGGTGTCACCGCAAGTAAAAGCTGCTGAGAAGTTGTCTTCTTTTCGCCCAAGTAGGCATGTTCCAGGGACTTTGGATGGCGTCATGTTTAACCCAACAAACAATTTTTTATACACCCACTATAAACATGCATTGCTATATATCTCACTCAATACTACATCATAATCAAAGAAAAATATAGCATCTATCTAAAAAGCAAAAAGCTCACCTCGGGGGCCAGCCCCTTGGTTATGAAACCCATTCAGCCTTTTTACATGAGCCCAGTTCCTTGGTAGCAGCCTCGATCCTTTCAGACATCCAGCCAGAAGTGACTCCAGCTTTCTTTCCTCCTCGTTTGGCCACCTTCGACGTCAGACATTTGCTCGATTCGAAGGAGTACTGGAGGCAGTCTGGGTTCTTGACGCATTGCGCTTCGCAGTCTGCAGGGCTCTCAGCCGTTTGACCACTGTCGTCTGCAGAAAGATTGTCCCAGTTTGATTCAGTCGCCTTGAGCTTTGGTTGGATGAGGTTCTCAAATACATGGCTATGCAAGAGGTTCGAAATTGGGTTCTGATATCTCCGTTAGTAACGAGCTCAATATCAATTGACTTCTTGCGCTTACCTTGGTGGACCAGTTCTCCTCAAATTCCCACATTTCTCGAACATCATCTGCTGTCAAGTGGTGGTATGCTACTGGAGGGATACACCATGGTTTCTTTTGATAACCTTCGGAGAAAAAATCAAACTCCCAAGGTGTCGACCCTTGTAGCATCGGCCATGCCCAGAAGAGTTTGACGCCTGCGTCGCCGAGGGCCTTCCCGAGCACACAATCACCAGCCCAATGGCCATCGGTAAATTCGTCCCATTCCTTGACTCGAGAAGCACGGAACTCGGATACTTTCTGCATAGCAGCGTGAGAGAGTACGAATCCAGACCCCCCGTGTCCAAAGACCACATCTGCAATTTGCATCTGATTCCCCAGGTATTGCGGTTTAATGTGATCGAATGTCGCCAGCCACGCCATCAGATTCGGCCAGACCATGTACGTGTCGGCCTCGACAAAAACATACCATTTCGCATTGTTGCGAAAATTGAGCGTTTCGTCAATCATCGGCAGGAACTTCCATTTGTCTAGTTTCCAGCCGGGATTATCGGGCTTTCCGAATGGAGTACTTTCATCATGGATATTGTCGTTTGATGTCAGAGCTTTGCGCCCGGACTCGCGAAGATTATTGTAAATGGCAAAGTCGGAATTTGTGCGCTTCACGGTATCCTCGACGCTGCGGAGAACATCATGGGCCCGAACACCAGCGATATCTTCCTCAAAATCTGAGAATACGACATAGTGGGGAATACATCGCAACGTGGTATTAAAGTGCACAGGAACCTTTTCCAGTGCTTCCGTGACTCCCGTCTTCAGGACAACCAGGACATCTTCGAGGCCAGGAAGATGAGGACACTCAAACGAGCTGGGCGAAACGCTTGAGGAACCAGCCGACACGTTTTCCGCTACCTGTCCATACGGCGTTGACCAGAACAGATAGCGCACCAGCAGGAGGCTCAAAGAAGCAGAAAGAAGGTAAATCCATCGGCGCGGAGGACTGCCTCGGGTACGTGAAAATAGCATGAATGAAGATGCTAGCCGACTTCCATTTATTCAATTTTGAAAACCAGAAAATTCTCGGTGTTAAACTCCAAGCTCTCAACAGTCTGCTGGTCTAGCATGGGTTAAAGATTTGACGTTCATGGGGCCAGATTTCCAGTTAACAAGTTGGAGTTGGCACGATGCCTCCATCTCGACACTAATGACGACCAGTCTTGTCGGGCCGACGATCACCGAAACGCTGATCTAATATCCAGAAATAAAGCCCCTGGTGGTTTACGACTGATAATCTTGCACATATTTGCATTGCCAGAAAGGCTGGTTCAAGCGCAACTTACGGAATGCGAGCAGAATGGCCAGTAAGCACGGTCACTGTGGTGGGACACTATCAAATCCATTTGTCTCAGTTTTCTCCAACCCACTTGGGAAATAAGCACTGGCCACAGCAGCCACCAATCAAGAACAAGACCCTGGGACCCTCCTTCAGGGCCTAAATATGGGGACATGAGGTTTCTTGGGCTGTCATCATCGATCCAATTCGGCTCTTGCGGCACTAAAATGGCGAAGTCAAAAGCCACAGCTAAATAAACTTCCCCGTCGTGGTTACGAGCTGCTAACTTGCTAAGCCCCATGCCCCTAGGGAACAATAGGAAATGAAATGCCGGGTTCCCACAGTAGGTATCCGGAAAAGGGTCATCTGTGGCCAATGCCAAATCTACTGCAGAGATTGACAGTAGATATGGAAAGTTTCTTACCCTGCCTCTAAATATGTTTACGCTCGGGCTTGGGGGATTTCTGGTTTTCTTCCAACCCAGTTTCCATAATCCTCATCGCCTTCTGCATCGTTTCAAACGGAGGTAAGACAAACCATCTATTCTCTGTTTGAAACAGCACGATGTGGACTCTCTGGGTCATCCCTCTTCTTGTTTCTTATTGTCTAGCAGCCTGTTCCTCCGAGCGTCTTCCCCTGCCCGGAAGCTATGCAGATGGCAAGTTTGACTATCCGGATGGAACTGCTCAGTGCTTCACGCAGGGCTCTTCTATGAACGTCAGCTGGGAGACCAAGTATAGCACCTCCAATCTATGGTTGATCCATGGTGATAACTACAACAATCCCACGGGCCTTGCCTGTGAGTATCATTCGAATCTGCGTTCGGCAATGAAGTCTTCTAATAAGATCTCCCAGTGAATACAGGAACCAATTGGTATGAGTGGAAGGTTGACTATAATACAAACAACCATTCCATGCCATTCTCTTTCCGAGTCGTCGACACCCAGGGAACATCAAAAGAGCAAGCACAAGGCGGCTTCGTGAGTGGACAATTCTATGTCAGTTTCAATTCTGCCTCATCCACCGCTACCACGACATCTACCTCGTCAGCGACAAACACGGGAACATCAACACGGGAACCTACCACATCACCCACTACTACCGATTCAACCAGGAGTGCGAGCAGTGGCAGGTCTTCCCATGGCACTACGCTTGGTCTAGGACTTGGTGTGGGACTGGGAGTAGCGGCTTGCATTGCTGGTGCCGTCGCTTTCTTCTTTTTTCACAGAAAGAACTCACCATCTAGCTCCCAATTCTCGAGTGTCCCCAACAAAGAACCCTCGGAACAACCTACAGAGCAGCAGCCTATATACGAGGCGGGAGGACAGAGTACCCAGGAGTTATCCGGAGACAATAGCTGGAACAGCGGCGCTGGACACGGGACAAACCAACGATTTGAGATGGCCTGATAATGGAGTGAAGATGTCTTGTTTCCACCTCACGATATCATGAGGTTGTTTCTATATATTATATACCCAGCAGCATTTAAGCTGCACGTACCTATATTATTAATGAGTTCAAAGCGTGGGCAATGTGAAATTTTTAGAATAATGTGTTTCCCATTTAATTGCGTTCGTATTCGGAGATATTTTTATATTTGGCCCCCAACTATCAGCCAGTAGAAGAAAGGATAGACAGCAGCAAAGATCTGAGGGTACCTTTCGTTCCACACCATATAGGTTACTCCAAAGACAATTTGAAATCATGCATGAGTACCCCAGTATAATAATTAGCATGATGGTTTTTTAGCAATGAGAATGAAATGAAAAAAAAGAAGAAGAAGAAGAAGAAGAAGAAGAAGAAGAAGAAGAAGAAGAAGAAACGCCCCCACGCAGGATTGACGCGGACCTCATGATAATCATGATAATACAAGTCATGCACTCACACTCCAAACTATGATATGAATCAATCCATGGCTGAGCTGCGCAACTCCATAAAATAAGTTCAAGAAAAAAATGCATTTATATAAGCTTTTGCTCCTACCTACCGCGGGCCTAGGATCTAACCAACATAAGTAATATCCATGGGGGTCACTGCCAATTGTACAGCATTCTCTGACTTTATTTAGAATAGTGCCTGGCTTATATTAAGCTCTGTATCAACACTCTTAGTAGTAACCTTCCAGGTACGCCATGTAAGATCCGCTTAATCACCAAAAGTGCAGCACCAGGCAGAGGCCCATCCCAATTACTCAGGACCACGTCGCCGCTGGACAGGACCCGTACGGTTAAGAATCTGCAGTGCTTGATCGAGTCATTGCCAAAGAAAGTCCTGGAAAGCCTAGTTAACATGGGCCATAATCTCCTACTCCTTCCAGTGACGCAGCTGGTTTACAATCTGCCTGATTGTTCTGCAGACATAGAGTTCAAGGACTTTCTTAACGGGAGGACCGGGCCGGGCTGTTAGAGGAGGAAGAAGAAGAGTTGATGGGTGGTTACTCAGGCTGAGCCGTTTGTAGGAACGCGTATCATCCAGCCAGAGATCCAGGACAGCTCAGAGAAAGCCGCGTGGGCCACCAGCCGGTTCCAGGGCAGTCCGCCACTAAGTAGCTTTTTTTTTTTAAGGCAAGACCTTTTTTTAAATAAAAGTTAGACAAGATCTGAAAGAATCATGAATTTGTTGATCTAAATTCATTGCATACATCCAAGATCCTATCCTGAAGACTTAACAAATCACTTTTAGGTTGTTAATGAGCCAGTGCACGTTTAACAATGTCTGAAGCGATATTTCAGTGTGTTGGCCGTAGGCTACTACCATCAATGCTGAAGGTCAAAACTCGACCAGATCGAAATCCAATAGCCACTTGACTACCTTGCACATCATAACTTGTTGGTCGGAAATCTGGTGGTAGCCGAAGCACAGGCACCTTTCCACAATATATCCACTCCTCCGTAATCCAGATATCTTTAGATGACTCCAACGCAGTGCCTTGTCTGTCCGCGAGGATGCTTTTGACTTCAATCGGACCGACGTCTGTCACAAGGTATGGAGCACTTGTTGAGAACTTTAAGGTGTCAATTGGCTCTGACGTTTTGATTTCCTGCCATGAACGGAATTTAAAGCGACTACTGATAGTTCGCCCAAGATACCGTGAGGCCTTCCGGCACCTAGCAGCGTCCCATAGCTTGATGCTCTGATCAACGGTTCCAGAAGACGCAATATGCTTACCATCTGGTGAGAAGGCCACAGCACAAACTGAATCTGAGTGGCCATGTAGCGTTTTCAGAAGGACACCTCTGACAGTATCCCATAGCTTAATGGTTTTATCATTAGACCCAGATATGATCTGTTTGCCATTTGGTGAGAAGGCCACAGTATTAATCCTGCTTGAGTGGCCAGCTAGTGTCCTCTGAAGCTCACCTGTTGCAGCATCCCATAGCTTTATAGTTCTATCATCAGATCCAGATGCAATCTGCTTGCCATCTGCTGAGAAGGCCACAGTATTAATGCAGTCCACATGGTCATCTAATATCTTCTGAAGGTTGCCTGTTATGGTTTCCCATAACTTAATGGTCTTCTTAGATCTAGATATGATCTGCTTGCCATCTGGGGAGAAAGCCACAGTATGAACTGAATCTGAGTGGCCATCTAATGTCTTCTGAAGATTATCTGTTGCAGTATCCCATAGCTTAATAGTCCCATCAACAAACCCAGATGCAATTTGCTTGCCATCTGGTGAGATGGCCACAGTATTAGCCCAGTCTGATTGGCTAGCCGGTGTCTTCTGAATGGTTTCTGCTGTAGCATCCCATAGCTTAATAGTCCCATCAGAAGATCCAGATGCAATTTGCTTGCCATCTGCTGAGAATGCGATAGAATAAATCCAGGTTGAGTGGTCAGCTAGTTTCTTCTGAACACTGTATGTTGTAGTGTCCCATAGCTTGATAGTCCGATCAAAAGCTCCAGCAGATGCAATGCGCTTGCTGTCTTGTGAGAAGGCCACGGCATGAACTTCATATGAGTGGCCAGCTAGTGTCCTCTGAAGGTCACCTGTTGCAGCGTCCCATAGCTTAATAGTTCCATTATCAGCAGACGCAGAAGATGCAATCTGCTCACTGTCTGGTGAGAAGGCCATGGCATAAACTTTGTTTGAGCAGCCAGCTAGTATCTTCTTCTGGTTGCCTATTGCAGTATCCCATATCTTAAAAGTCTGACCAAAAGTTCCAGCAGATGTAATATGCTTGCTGTCTGGTAAGAAGGCAAAAGCATTAACCCTGCTCAAGTGACCAGCTGGTAGTGTCCTCTGAAGATTGCCTGTTATAGTATCCCATAGCCTAATAACCCCATTATAAGACCCAGATATAATCTGCTTACTATCTTGTGAGAAAGCCATAGCATAAGCTGGGTCCGAGTAGGTAGTTATTGTCCTCTGAAGGTCACCTGTTGCAGCGTCCCATATCTTAATAGTTTTATCATCAGATCCAGAAGCAATCTGCTTGCCATTGGGTGAGAAGGCCAAAGCATAAACTGAGCCTGAATGGCCAGCCAGTATCTGAATCAGAGATTCCCAAGAGTCTTCCATATGTGGGATCTTTCTCAACCATGTAGGGGTTTTCCCCAGATTTTCTTTTCTCACAACACTTGTCTCAGGGCTGAAAATGATGGCAGAGCTATAGGTCTGTAATGGCCAGTTTGTGAGCATGTGGTAGTGTCGCAACAGAAACCGTTTCGTATCTTGCACTAGAATTGACAGAAAGGGGCTATCCTTTAAAAAAAATAAATGTTAATTAGAAATCAAAACGGGAAATGACCTATATAGAATACGTACTTTTGCCATACTTGTTAGGGCTTCTAGTCCTTCAATAGCGCGTGGTAGCTTGTCTAACAAACTTAGACATTCCAGCCATTCAAGTACTTTATTATGGAGAAATGTAAAAACTGCTCCTGGCTCAGCAAGTGCATTCTGTACTGTGATAGTTTGCTTAGCGCTCTTAAGATGTTGCACCCAGAAGCTAGCTGCATAATCCACACTGGCTAATAATGCGTTTTTTTTCTTGTCCAAAGCTTCTCTGGTCGAATCTGGTCGTGGTAGTCCAACGAGATTGATCACCAGCCGTTCAGATAAATGGGACAGGCAGCTCATTGCAATCTCATCATGCCCGTATCTTTCCTGCAAGTTGAGTTTAGATTGCCCAGCTTTTCCAGCTAAGTAGTCTCGAGCAGACTGATGAGTAAACTCAATGGTGGTGTCTCGCATCTTGATAAATGAAGCACATCGATCAATTAATGCCCTAATAGCCACCTCTTCATCATCATCCAGACCTGCCACACTACCCACTTCTTCCACATTTAGGGGTCGATATGCCATCATCATCACCTTTAGTAGTCGCATACACATCTTCACATCAGCTGGCTCACCCTCACTGAGCTGTTCAAATATCCGATGATAAAAAGGATGCAAACCTGGTGGTAAGGCTTGGACTATCATCAATGCATCATCCCGGTGCACACTCTCAAGCCTCTTACACACCAAGCTTACCCACAAATATGTTCCTTCAGCCTTTTCAAGCAGCTGAAGCGCTATCTTCTGTCGTAGCGTTTCTTGATATCTGTGGCGACGAGCGAGCTCATCTACTTTAAAGGCAATGTAAGCCTTTACAGCTTCAGAAATGTGTTCCATGTTGAGCTCTAGGCTGACTTGCACCTGATCAGATCCAACTAACAATTCCCGCTCCGCGCTGTCAAGCGGTCGGCTTGTTAAGACCCATTTGACTTTGGAGGGATGACTTAGTCCCGTTCGGACAAGGAGCTTGAGGAAACCCGCCATGCCATCATCCTGGCATTCATCAAGAGCATCTACAATCACGTACACTCTTGAGCACTTGCAATCGTTCAACATTTTCATGAAGATGTCCCAAAGCACTCGCCACGAGGTAATGTCCTTATCAAAGCAATTTTTCGCAGTATCCCAGTGGCGTCGGAGAGTTTCTTTGAGCTCCTCTTGTTGATTCACCAATTGCAGAATCAGCCCCTTGATAATCGCTGGAAGAGTATTGAGCTCATAGTCGGCATTTTGGCAGAAAAAATAAGTCACCACTGTAGAATCGTTCTGTAACTGTAGAAATTGCTCGACAAGACCAATTGATATCATGGTCTTTCCTTTGCCAGCGCCACCCTTAAGCCAAAGGAGACAGACTCTGTCTCCGTCTCGCCAACTGACATAATGAGGGTCTTGGAGAATCCATTCGAATGATTTGTAAAGTAGCTTATCCTTGCTCTCTATTAGTCGGTTTTTGACAACCAACGTATCAGGGCATTGTAAAGCGCGGAGACAAAGTTGATTAATGTAATCAACTGTATGTGCTACAAATTTCTATAAGCTTCAAACAACCACTTTTATTACAGGATCCAACATACAGGTGGTAAAGCTAACATTGTTTATTTGTGTAGACCCGGGCTGGGCAGTATTGCCTTGGATATCAATGTGGGGTGTCATAATCGCGTGCACAATTGACTTGGTTTTATAAAATACACAATTGATGACCTTTTTAGGTGACCGAAATGTTTTGTTGCAAGAGAGATACCTCTTGACGCTCGTCGAGTCCATCTGTCATTACTCTTAAATAAGACAAGATCGTGCTAGTCTTGTTGTTGGGGGATTCTTTAAGCGCCAGCCCCCATCAATCCTGAAACTAGACCAATGACAACACAACACATTGTCTGTTCTGTGACACTTCCTGCATGCCAAGGCCTCCTGATCAGGTGCGGGGCATTGTGATTGCCTAAATGGCTTTCATTTTTCGCATTCATGATTCTTTGTTCATTGTGGATTCTTTGTTCATTGTGGGTTCTTCGTTCATTGTGCTGCAAACTCATTATATTTTTATTATTCAAGTCTCCTGTCAATTCCACAAGATGGCTGAAGCAATCGGATTAGCGTCCAGCATTCTAGGTCTAGCGGTTTTTGCTTATGACACAAGCAAGTCATTATATGAAGCCATTTCAAGTTACAAGAGCCAGCGAAAAACCATCAGAGATCTTCAGACTGATATAAGCTCTCTTGTCACTATACTTGAATCAATCCAAACACAGGCACGAGACTCACAGGACGATAAGAGGTTAAAGCCCCTTCAACAGCCATTGGAATGTTGTTTGGAAACATGTCAAGAAATGCGTAAAGCGCTGGATATGTGTACTAAACACTCAGGGGAAGGACAGAATAGTATTCAGGATTGGCTCAAGATGCGATATCATGAAAAGAGTTTTGAGGACATGAAGCAACGGCTCGCCAGTTATAAATCGACACTTAGTATTACTTTTGACGCGATCAATATGTAAGCGGGTAACAATCTCTTACATACTGTACAAAAGCTAACTCTGCTAGTCGCGTTCAATGTAGCACAGAAGATTCATTAAATGATCTGAAAGACTCGATCCAAGGTACCAAAGAAGATTTGGAAGATCAACTGGATCAAGTGCGAGAAACTATCAGTTCTGCGGATGTTTCAGTCCAAGGAGTCCTTCAAGCTGATCAGACTCATTTGCAAAAAAGTCTTGAGAGTCTTGAGCGGGCCCAGTGGGTTATAAGTACAACTCAACCTCAAGTCATTATCAAGAGCAACCGAGCTGTTCAAGGCAGCCGCGCAATCTTTGGTACAGATGTATCTCAGCCAGAGTTCAGCATGAATGTGTCAGGTAACGAGGCCGGTTTAGGTGCTGTAGTCTCTGCTGGGGTCCATTCACCAGAAACGCTTCAAAAGCTGCTTGGGGATTCTCGGACTCAAAACTTCGCACTCTTACTCCAAGCACTACAGACTCAACCCCAAAGCACAAATGCTTCCGCTCTGCAAAATCTTCTACACAACCTACAACTTGGGCCGCCGGAAGGGAACCATGCTTCAAACTTAGGGATCTCAGAAAATTCCAATCCAGAAGTATTATCCAGACACCCGTACGATCCATCGGGCCAATACATGGGGAGGTAGTCGAGAACGACGAAAGTCATGGATAATGATTGATGGACTTTCGACTCATGTATATACCTTAACCCCTTTGATGCGCATAGCTTTCTCATATCCCCAAGAATGAACTTATGCGTCTTGTGATTATATTCGAGTTAGTTCAAAAGCTGCTCAGTATTAACCAAGTGCCTCTTCGGTTACCTATAATCGCGTGATTCAGCTGATTTAAACAGATGTGCTCTGCTGCCGGAGTCAAGCTGGTGCACTTACTTACCACCTTACTCCCTGCAACAGGAGTAGTCAGCATGGAAGGCTGAGTTGCGCAGGAGAATATTTGTGATGTTATTAGGAGGATATGTTATTCCATTTGTGGAGTGATTAATGCCTTTCTGACCTAGGCATCTTGACTAGCGATAACATGGTATCAAACATGGGTAGGAGTCGACTCTCACTGCGGTGGGAAAGAAAAAGAAAAAAAGGAAAGCCAACAGCCCGTTTCGAACCACCGCTCTCCTGGTAACAGCACGTGCGCCGGAACACTCCTACCTCCAATATAGCCTTGTAAGAGGAGCAAAAAAAACTGGTAGCTTCTCTTTGATTGAGCGTGTCATCCTTAGTGCAGGGGCCATGCTAATCTTCTCTGTATCGTTTCAAATTGACCAAATGCCCGAAGGCACTTGCTAATCGTTGAAGTGAAATATATCCCCTCCCAGCGGGACATCTAAGCGTTGTGATTGGCCGAGAAACACGTACGGGAACATCAAAATGAATGGCCACCGGGCATGCTTCGACTGGGCGGCGACAAGCAACTGGAACTGAATAGTTCTGGTACGGTAGGTAGTCTTATATTTAATATATGATTTCCCAGTGGCAAAGGAATTATTATGGCAAATTCATTTATTTTCTAATGATATCGCTGCGCTGCGACCATGAGCATGGCCGTTGCCAGTCGACTACATCACCTGATCCTTACTGGACCTCGAACTCAAGAATCTAATTTCTCGGAAAAACCAATATCTCCTGGCAAGATGGCCGAGCGGTCCAAGGCGCCAGACTCAAGGACTACCTTCGGGTAAACCTTCTCTTGCAAAGCAAAGAGAGTCTTCTGGTCTCGAAAGGGGCGCGAGTTCGAATCTCGCTCTTGTCATGTCTTTTTTGTTTTTCTTTTTGTCGATTCTCTTTTTTTCCTCTTTTTCTTATTTATTTGCACCATGCTTTATTTTCGATTATTGTTGTATTCTTTCCAACTGAAAATGTATGGAACTAGGTGAGCGTCGCAAAACTCAACAACCTGACATGGAATTGGAGATATATAGATTGGGTAGCTATCGTGGACACAATTATCGACGAAACGTTCACGAACAGAATTCATAGTATAAACCCCCTCAAGTCTAATGTACATTCGAACAAGGTTATATAAATATGCTAGATTATCAAGATAGTCCTTTCAATATTAGAATAGCAACCCATATGTAGATACCATTGCTATCCACAATCGAGTGACTCGAACCAGCCCTGTATCAGCGATCAGTTCTCAATATTATGCGATCTTCATAATTCTGGCAGGGCATGTTGGGGTTTCTAAGTCTAGTCACCCCATGGGGTATTATGAACTGACTTCCCACATAAACGTGGTGTTCCCTAGACAGCAGTTCCTGATCTGGATATATGCAGCGTTATTCTCACCACGGTTGATGCTTGTCAAGACCACAGCTATTGAAAAGTGCGATCCGAGGAACATCGCAGATGGAAGATAAAGATCTAAAAATAAACTGCATGAAGATCTTCAAACGCATGCAGTCTTCTTGGAAGAGTATCGTTCTTGGCCCTCCACTTCTCGTGTTTATTCCCCTGATTCGGATACGAGGATGAACATCGTATCAATCATGTTCCAATGATTTAACACGACGTTCTATTCAATATGAACAAGTACTAATTATATATTTACAATGACGTTTATTTCGTATTTAATCTAGAATCTCGTCCTTTTGTTCCTTTTTGAGTAGATCTTCATGCTATACGAGAACCAAGAAGGACGATGCTACCCCGTAGATGATCTGCAAGCCTCATTATACAAGATTTTCAAAACAATGTTTTGTTCTTAAATATCGCATTCCCACCCTCAACAGATATCACAGACTACACAAAGTCAAGTCAATCTCCATACCCAAAACAACCACAATGAAGTTCTTCACAGCAACCCTCCTCACCACCCTCATCACCAGCGCCGTTGCCATCCCCGCCGACAACTCGAGCAGCGAAGATGTCGGCAAGAAAATCCTCGACACAGCCCTGACTGCTAAGGGAACACCGTACGCCTGGGGAGGTGGTACTTGCAAGGGTCCATCGCACGATCAGCCGCCGTACAAGTACGGCGATGTCGGATATGACTGCTCTGGCCTTGTCTGCTGGGCTGTGTGCAAGGTGACAGGCCGTGATTTGTTCAGTGAGGGATTGCGTGTTACCTCGTCTATGTACTGTGCTCCTGAGAAGAAGCTGGGATACAAGTATGTTTCATTATTCCTATATCAGGACAGAGCTGACCGATACAACCAGGAAATACCCCTACTCCAAGCGTCAAGCCGGAGACGCTGTTTTCTTCGGTGGCAAGTGTGACTGCGACGATAGAGATACTATCCACCATGTTGGATTGATGATGTGAGTTTCATGTTATTGTAACTTTTGGCATCTGCTAATTATGATAGGGACTCGGGTGATCGTATGTGGAATGCTCCCAATGACCGCGTCAACAAGGTCCAAGAAAACAGCATCGAGAAGTTTGGCGAGAAGCCATGTCCGTATGTCATTCGGTTCACCGAATAGACAGGGATGAATAGATAGATATTCTATTATCTGGATATGTAATTAAAACACAGACGAACAGGCAATATCATTTGGTCATTTTGGGTATGAAATAAGATTAAATACAGAATATGACAGTTAAAAATATTAAAAGAATATACCAGACCAAACATTCTGAATCCATCTCAACAAATAAACATCACATCTCATCTATTTCCGGCTCTCTCTCCTCCTCCGGCGAAGGCTTCGACTCCTTTCCCTTCTTCTAACTGGACATCTGGAATCCTTCCCGATCAGCACGAACCTAACCCAAACATCAGCAAACACTCCATTATCCTGGAAATTCATATCAATACCGAAGCCTCACTCGCTGTAGCGTGACTCTCATCCCAATTCGCCTTTCCGTCTGTCTTTTCGGACACTTTTTGGGCCAAAGGCGATGACTCAAAGTCGTCAGGGAAAGAGGGTGCCACGGAGATCGGGGGAGCTTCTGTGGCGGGAGGTTGGTGCTGGGCGATTCCGTGGTAGGAGGCCCTGGAGAGGCGGAGGAGAGTGGATAGGTTGGTGATGCGATGGCGGACGATGGCGGACATGATTGAGGGTATTGTGAATTGTTTTATCAGTATTGGAATTGATGAATGTTATGAGGCTAGATGAATGGTAATTAATTGGTTTGATTAATGGAGGCTGAGGGTTGCGGCTATATCAGCGTTGGTTGGGGTGTCGATGTCATGATGAGGTCAACCATTTCCCGTGACTGGGACCAGGAGTATATTTGAACCTTGACAATGGAATCAAATGCAGAAATTAAATAGAATATTAGTTATTTATTAAGCTAATTCTTTTATGGTAGATAAATTGAAGCAGGTGCATTGCACATGAGATATCTTGACCGCTTCAGAGAGGAGGTGACACTATATATTTATTGTGACAAGGAATGCGCAGACTAGATGATCGGAACTTTATTCGTTATTGTGGCAATCGATATAAATAGTATACTATCTATTGATTATTCCATTTGATAACCATTCTAATAAATAACAAAACTAAAATTAGGCTATCTGAGCCATAACTCATATCAGATAACTATAATCTCGCCATATCCTGATGCAGCAACCCAGTCAAACACAAAACCCCCCTCATCAGTCACATATCCCGTATGCCCCCCAGCCAAAGTCACCAAAGACACATCCAACTCCTTCGCCAACTACCACGCAGGATAACTCGCCAATTCAGGCGACGTATCAGCCCCTCTAGCCACGATCATCTTGTCTCTATACCGCTTCAACCCTCCACATCAACTTTATGACAAAGAATCGCCGACAACTCATTATCGAAATAATACTTCATCATCCCTGCCGGCAGCGATGCTAACCGTCGACATGTAGGCGTGACTTTAAACCGCTGTCAGTCTGAGTGACCGTGTAGGAATGGCATGAGGAGACGATTCGCGGCCCCGATTCCGGATTCGCCGTATGTAGTTATGATGAGTGATATCCTGGATCGAAAGGCGTTGGTTTTGAGGATATTCTGGGATGGATTCGATCGTGATTGTGTAAGTGGACTGCGGAAGAAACCACGACGATCATACGTGACGGCTCTTAAATACGACGAGAGACTCGCAGCACAGGATTCGTAAAAGACCGCAGTGCCATTTCCGCCTGGGATTAGCACGAGGAGAGGGCCATCCTTTTGACTTCGTAGTAAATGGTGGCGCCATTGACTGGCAGTGTGGTTGCCTTCATTGTGAGCGTCTAGGCCAAGGAATAGCTTCCTGTTAAACGACAAACAGAGTTAAGGCTGACTATCGGTAGGTCGTATTTGGGTATATTGCGGACGGAGTGGGCGTTTCCCCGAGCTGAAAATGGCAGACAAATGGGGATATGCAAGCATCAAAGGTAAATCTGCATCAATAGTGGACAGACAGATCGTCCCAATATAGCAGTGCGGCCAATAGTTTTGGGACGATCCAGCGGAAAAAGGGATCCATTGGAGTATATCAGGCGCAGATGCATGCACTGACACCTGTTCTGTGGCTGATGGAGTTTGATTGCATTCACATGAAGATAGAACAGCCCATCCACCCCAATTTCTCACATATCTTATGATAATTACGCAAGAGATTCGAAATATAGGCAGAATACGAACTTGAACTCTAGGCATGAGACAATAGAATGGTGATCGCATGATGTGAGTACTTATATAAGATGGGTGGATAATTTCCACACAAAATGCCAGCCCAACAGCCAAAACAGGTCATCATCGTAGGCGGTAGATTTGCAGGCCTCACTCTCGTCCACTGTCTATCACGAAACAACATCGACTATATCCTCCTCGAGTCGCACAATGACATCACCGTGCGTCTATTGGGATATATACTGTGGAATTTCATGGTTGATACAGAGGTGTTGGATGTTCTACCGATGCCATTGAGATCGACTGCTGCCATGATGCCTTTCTGAAATAGGAAATATACGAGGTTATATTGGATTATGGACATCCTATTATTGATTTATGTACTCAATAGATTGTACCCAAATTCACTTAGCATAATTCTGATGCCACGTATAATCCGGATTCTCAATCAATATCCTCCGAATAGCCTCTTTCGCCCCCGTTGGCTCTCTCCCCAGCACCTCCTTCATCAACGGATGCGTCATGCTAGCCTCTCCGTTCGCAATACCCTCATACCACGACAAGAGCGTTTGGAAGAAAGCCGTTGGTTTCGCACCAGTATCATTATCTCCATTAAGTCTGACATACTCATCTGCCGAAACAATATCCAGCTTAACATCGCGCCCAGTCGTCTCGTTGATAATATCCACCACTTCAGAGAAACTGATACTCTCCTGTGCCGTCAGAAGAACAATCTCCTTTTCATGACCACCGGATATGATGAGGCGGGCTGTTGCTTCGCCCAGTTCCTCGCGTACTGTGAGTGCCATTCGCCCGTTGGATGGGAGGGTGATGGTTGTGCTTTGTGGATACCAGTTGGCGAAGAGAGGAAAGGCGTTGGTGTAGATGCCTTCGCGGATGGATGTGAAGGTAATTCCAGATCTACTAATTAGTTATATTCGATGGAAGAAATGGGAGAACTCACTTTCTCAACATCTCTTCTGTCATCAAATGTGCCTGCTGAACAGCCACTTTGGAATCAGACCGAAACCCACCAAACGCAAGCGACGTATACCAAACCTGGCAATTAGCATGAATCACTTCAATATAACCTATGGAAGAAACTCACATGCCCAACGCCAGCCTTCTTCGCTGCATCTACAAAATTCTGATGCTGCACTCGTCGCACCTCATTATCAAACGTATTCGTACTGACAAACAGCAGATTCTCCACGTCGTGGAATGACTCTTCTAACGTCTTTGGATCATTATAGTCAACATGTCGAAAGGCAATTCCTCGATCAGTGAATTGCTTCCTGTTTGATTCGCGCGATGATGCAGCTGCGTATTCGGATGCGGGGACGTTGGCGATGAAGTAGGCGAGGACTTGGGCTCCGAGGCCGCCTGTTGCGCCGGTGATGAGGTATTTCAATGTCATTTGTCTTATTCTGTATATTCTTGAATGTGTTTAATTTTATTTGGGAATGCCTATGTTTTATATTGCAGGAGTAATCTCTGGATTGGTAAACATTCGGATTAGAATCCGCGTCGGTCGATTAATTGCGCCGGTCATTCTGCTTACGTTCAATACGAGGATTATTAATGCATCATCCTTCTTTTCTATACTTTCTGAATCTGACAGCTATTAAGATTATAAATTATAAATTATGCATTATGACATCAACTCGCACTCAATCAAACTCTCCACGCTACTCCTCACAGTCCAAATATCCACAATCTTCAACCCAACACTCTCCACCAACTCCCTCCACTGCCTCTCTGTCCGTTCCCTCGCAGCTACATCCACCATCATAATCATATCCAGCCCCGTAGCCTGCCAATGGGCACCTGTGTCGGGGATGATGTTCTCATTTATGAGGATCTTGCTGTACCCGGGCGTCATGGCGCCGACTAGTTTCGAGAGGATTATCTGACACGACGAATCGGGCCAGTCGTGGAGGACAGAGTGGAGGTAGTATGCTCTTGCGCCTGTATTCGTTAGTATTTATATAAATGGATAGAGATGATATACCCTTGACAGGCTGTTCCGTGAAGAAATCATGCGCCATGACATCGACCCCATTTAGCCCTTCAGCCTCGTCCAAAACAGCTGGTATATCCTGCAACACCAACCTCCCACCTGTGCCTGGCCACTTGGATCTGAACTCGTCAGTATCATGCCCTTTATTACCTCCCACATCGACCAGCAACACATCCTCATCGCCCGTCCTGGCACCATCCAACAATCGCTCCTGAACAGGATAGAAGCCTTTATCCATCCAACTCGGTCGTCCCTGATGGTACACAGACATGAAATTGTTGAATTGCGTCGCGAGGGCAGGGCCCGATGAGGGGCTGTGTATGTATTCGAAGAAGGGTTTATCCGTGCGATAGCCCATCTGGAAGGGTGCGTTATGGCCGTCTGTAGGATCGCGGTAGTTGGTCTGTCTGAGGTAGGCTGGGAGCGCTTGGAGGGCGGAGTGGCAGCCGCCAGATCTGGTCGATTAGTCTTGTAGTCTTGATGATGATGAGATAGATATCGAACGTACATGAATGGCCACGCATCGCTGAATCGCTTTATGGCTAGTGTGGTTGAGAGTCTGGTGGCTTGGTATTCATCCATACCGGTTTCGGTGACGACGCCAACGGCAGCGAGATGTTTTAATATGCGGCCTTTCATTAGTCGAGTATCTATTTATTGTATAATGAGTACGAACCAACTAGAGCAGGCTCAGCACCCGATCTACTCGCCAGTTCCGACACTGGTTTGGGCTGCTCACTATGCGCGAGTAGCGAGAACAGTCCTAGATCGATACCGACTTCGATTGCATAAAAGGCCGTTGACTGGAATGTGAGAAGGTATAGTAGATATAGTAAGATAAAAGGATACCTGTGCCCAGCAATATCTCAACATCGCCTCTCGCGGTGTCTCCAAGGCATAAATCAACGACTGCGCTGCTTCGACCAGCTTCAGTCTTGCCTCTGCATCTCCGTCATTGTAAGCCTTTGTCTGCGCTGTGATTGTATCTACTAGTTGTGGGAGTTGGTGAGGAGCATTAGGGGAGATGGCGATGTTAGGATCGACGGTGTCATTTGGAGTGTTGGTGACGACCATTGTGGGCCCAGTGTAGAGAGGAATAATCTATATCAACCAGATGGAAAGTATCAAGAATATGGCAGATAATGGAGATCAGCGACCGGACAAAGGGAAGCATAAGTACGGACTATCAAAGTATCAACTATAGGAGAGAAGCTTATTTGCTAATGGTGGAACTATACAGGATAAGATAATCAAGAAAGATCTGGTGCTCTCAGTTGCTTCATAAAGTAGGCCATCTTTATGGCAGGATACGCAGAAATGACAGAATGTCGGTGTGACAATTTACAAAAAACAGCAAATGTCTGCATAGAGAGTGTGTTGTTCATAACTGAAAGAATGTCTGCATGAGAGATATGCCGCTATTAGTCATGGAGATCACTTGCTTCTCTTGGACGCCTTTATAAAGCAAACGGCCACAACGCCCCAAACCAGATCGACCTCCGATGGCTAAGCATGGGATTGGAATAGCCAAGGCATGAACCATGCACAGAATGTCAAAACACGAACGATCGAAGCCCGAATTCCTGCATGTAGAAACCAAAACCCACTCTTGACAAATTGCTACTCGTGCTTCTTTTTCCCCCTCCAATCAGAACACGAGAGTTCCTGGATATGCGGATTGACAGCACGAGCCGTTTCGGTGGAGCTTCAATAGTTTCGATTCGGGAGTCAAAGCGCATGCCCTGATTGCGTCCTTTTGGGGTAAATTGTGGATTGGATCGCGCCTTTTGGGTTTTGTGTTCAATAGTCCGTCATGTTGGTGGATACTGAACATCTCGTAGAGTTTGGGTATCTCCAGTCATCTGTCATCTGTCTGTCATGTCAATGCCGAATGCCAAATCTTGGCCAAGGTTAGTACTACCGCAGCTATGATAGACTATTGAATTCTCCGTAATTACCCCATGTGGACTACTTCATTGCCACATGGGATCACCATCCCGCCCAAACGGCCAGTCTCCGTCTGTCCGTTCGTCGTCATGGATGAATTCTGTGGATAAGCCAAAGTTTCTTTGGTGAGGGGATGATTTTCACCCCTATACCCTATCCTATATACCCTCCATCGCCATGTTGGCGACACCTTTCAGTGGAGGTCCAGGGCAGTCATTCTTTACACACATTCTTTTATATCCACCCTCGAAATGACAGGACAGGCGCCGTTGGTGATGGGTGTGGTGTGGGTGTTCACGGGGTTTACTGCATTCATCGTGATGGCGAGGATGTTTATTCGATCGAGGATTCTGCGAAATGTAGGATTGGATGATTGGTTGATCGGTATATCCATGGTAAGAAATCATTGTGATGTGATATCTAGCACAGGACTAAGAACTAGATCTTCGGCATCATCTACGCCATCACCACCACCATCAGCGTCTCATTCGGATACGGCCAACACGCCTCGACATTATCGCCCGACAACGTCTCCAACTCTCTCTTATGGTGCTATATTTCTTTCATCTTTGGCATTCTCTCCTTTGCAATTCCCAAACTCGCCATCGCGGCGTTGCTCAATCGACTCTTCAACCCGGGCTACTGGAATCGCATCTGGCTCTGGTTTCTGACTGGGCTGGTGGCTGTCGTCGCTGGAATCAATATCATCGTGCTGTTTACGCAGTGTACGCCAAAAGTGGCGATGTGGAAGACGGAATTGATACTCTCTGGTCAAGCAAAGTGTCGCGATCCGTGGATTTTGGTTGGATATGCGACTTTTAACGGGGGTGAGTCAAACTCCATCCAATGAATGAACTAGGCTGATGTAAATGGATAGCTTTCTCCGGCTTTGCGGATTTGTATCTGGCCGTCTACCCCAGCTTTGTGCTGTGGAAGCTGCAGTTGTCGCTGCGGAAGAAGGTGGCGTTGAGTGCCACTCTGGGCTTTGGTGCTGTGTATGTCTACCTCACTCTATACAGATGATATACTGACTGTCTAGTGCCTGCTCCATCGCCATCGTCAAATGCGTCCAACTCAAAAGTCTCGCCGATCTATCCGATCCTACCAGTATGTCCTACCCTTATCCATCTATACAACAAACTAACAGAACAGCCGCCACCGTCCCCCTGGTAATCTGGACCAACGTCGAAGCCAACATGGTCATCATTGCCTCGTGCATCCCAACGCTGCAACCCCTCCTTGAACTCATCATGGGCAAACGCAAACTCTCCTCCTTTGCCCGCTCAAACCGGTACCAGCAAAGCACGACCCAAGTCAACCACAGCAAGCAGTCGAATATCTCGAAAAAGAAAGTCAGTCACAAAGACGCGGAGAGCCAGGAGAGTGTGCTTCGACTGCCTGGGGCGGATGAGGGGTTTTATAACATACGACGCACGGATGATGTGTGTATTGAGTATGAGATGTATTCGCCGACGTTGGTGTCGCCGAGGGATCAGAGTAGTTTTGATTAGACGTTCTTTTACTATTTTCTATGATTGTTTATGTTGTTTATATGGATTGGAGATGGTTATGGATATAATTAATTTATAATGGAGGCGCTAAATTGCGCAATGCATACAGGGATGATAAGCCTCACCCGTCCTCTTTCATTTCATCAATCTTAATCTGTATGTCAGCAACATGCGCAGACGAAACGGAAAAGCGGTCTCATGCGAGCCATGTCGCATCTCCAAGATCCGATGCGATCATGCAACTCCAATTTGCGAGAAATGCAAATTGCGGGGTTTTGACGCCAAGGTAAGCAGCGACTGATAATCAGGCACCATGTTGATAAATGCAGTGTTATTATCATCCAGCACCTTTGACTCGACAGAAGAGAAAGGAGAAAGAGTCAGTCACTGGTAACAGGAACAATACAGAAGAGTCAGACAAAGAACGTACGACTGCCGGTTATCTCGGTTCGACAAGTTTCACATCTGTCTTTTCGACAGACTCGAATCGGGATATCGCTCATGCTGCACTGTTTCCATCGACCAGAAACTTGCTGAATGGGAATAACCCGAGTATCGAACAAAGTCTTGTTCAACTTGTCTGCTCTTCGATCTCGCTATGCGAAGAGCTGATCCGGGGCTATTATTCACGGAGTTACTTTACCGTCATTCCCTATCCGCTTATCTTTGAAACTGTTTCTCGTGCTCGACAATATCTACAGGATAGCCAGAGCGACGAAAACCATGCAGCCATAGCAGCTAAAATAACCCAAAACTCCAAAAAACCGTTCCAGATATCGCCGCAAACAACACTCGACGAATTCTACAACCTCTTCACAGGTCACAGTCTACGATGGGAATTCATCGGAGTCATATTCTCCCTAGGTGGCTTCGGTGCTCTCATCAACCCATCTCATATGATATCAATAAACGGCGACAGAACAAAAGCCCACGCATTCGCAGCTGAGATGCACACGGCAAGCAGTGCCTGTCTTGAGATTTGCGAACGACAGCCCTCCATGAATGATATCATCATCTGGTTGCGCAGCTCACATATGATTCTCGCTACAGATTTAATGGGTGATATCAGTATGTCTACCTCTTGATGATGGGCGTGAACTAATGATAAACAGACCATCCCTGTTACCGATTATTCGGAGGCCTAGTATTCGACTGCTTTGCCATGGGACTACACTCGCAGACTCGCTTTGAATCCGAACTGCCATTTTTTCTATCTGAAACTCGGAAGCGGATTTTTGCTGCTATTTCGCGGAGGGATAAGAATCTTGCAACGGCATTGGGGCGGCCACCTCTCATACATAGGAATTATTGTGATATTGTGCCTCCGTTGGATCTTGATGATGAGGATGTTTTGTTATCTGGGTCTGAGTTGACTGCTGCGTTGAGCAAATTGGATGATGAGGGATGGAGTAAAAGGTCCATTGAGGATAGGAAGTTCTGGCCGGCTACTGTTATAAGAATGAGATATCAGACGAGTGTCTTCCGAGAGGAAGTGTTGGAGGTGACGCTGGGAAAGGCAGACTCTGATATCCTATACGATATACAGAACTAATCTATACAGACAAGTAATCAACAACCGCCACACCACCTGGACATCCATCCCCCCTTTCTTCCACTACACTCCCACCCTCTGGACCCAACTCGATCCCACCGCGACAATGGTCAGCCTCACCATCCACCTCGAATACCTCCAAAGCGTCTTCCAACTGCACCGCATCTCCCAATCCCGCACGCACACCGACACCCCCGATCTGCTCGTCACATGCACCCAAATGCTCTCCGCCGTGCTCGACCTCACCAAACAACTCGAATACCGCGACCAGATCCGCGAGCGATACTCGTGGATCTTCCTCGTGTACGGATTCCCCAGCGCGGGTGTGCTCGTCAATGAGTTGAGGGCGTGTACGTTTAGCAATCGACCGCTGCCGGGTATTTCCCGGGCGGAGGTTATTCGGAATTTGTCTGTTCTGGTGGGATGGTTTGAGAATGCGTCTGTGCCGGGGAGGGGGGAGTATCAGGCGTGTGTGGAGGCGAGCAAGGTGGTTGGGGGGTTGTTGGATGAGATTTTGGAGTTTGAACCTACTGAATTGGGAAATTGGGATAATTCTGATGTGTCTGTTCCAATGAATAGCGTCAGTTTTGATGAGCTAGAGACGAGTGAGTTGTTTCTGGGCTTGCTGGACGGGTTGGATTGGGATATTGCGCTTCCTGGGTGGGATTTGGGATTGGATTCTACATTCTGATGAGACGAAGTTGATTGATTTAAACTGGTTTCGTAATGGATATTGATTATGCGAATAAGTCCATAGACAATCATCTCCTGAAATCCATCCGAATGACCAATCCATCCTTCAACATCAGACCCCAGGCATAATACATCTTCTTGGTTCTGGTACCAGACGCCACATCCACTGCATTTCCAGAACGTCGTCAGCAAGCTCCACGCATCTGATCTCCATCGATAGCAGGAACCTTTCCCTGATGGTGATTCGAAGAACATGGTAGGGTAGTAAGGTTATAGACAATATGAAGAGCAGCACAGGGAACCTATTTCTTCGAAGGCAAAGAGGAGTGCTTTTATTTATGCTGCCTGTAGGGTAATTCTATTCCATGCAGAACAAGCTGTCTGCCTTCATTCACGTGGAAATGTCGGACCTATGGATAGACAACCGCATAAATAGGAATTTTCTCGTAGGTTGGTTGTTTATCTGGTAGTCGTCCTTGATATGGGTTTCTGTTCATACCGTGGAACTCGAGGGGGTTCATTGAGTAGTTGCAAATAGTCTGGACTCCCATAGAATAGAGTGTAGTCAGCTTTTCTGACATTTCCACGCCATATTGTCTCATCGTATATGTTCACGCGCAGCGGTTTTGAATTGCAGGTCCATATCGTGGGTTCGCGATAGAAGGTCGATTGTGCGTAGATTTGCGAACATGATTGTGTCCAAGCTGAAGGCATAATCCATTGCAGATGCCCAGATACAGGAAGGATTTTTCCAAATGACAGTTATTCTGATCCATAGTTGTATTTTGAGGCGCAGAGCTGCAAACAGGCCCAAAACGGCACGACACCGTTTGCGTCCAGGGTTCCATGAAAGTGGTAATGCGCTCCGCCATGACACTGAGGACTGTCGAATGGTGATCATATCAGCACCCATGCACGTAGCATCTGGTGTAGCTGGTTTCCAAACTTGGGTCTTTGGCAGTTGTGCGGTTTCTCCGAAAATAATGATCCAGGCGTTTGCAACGATCTTCGAGCAGGCATTGAATCTTCATCTCCTAGGCCCAGTGGGCACTGAAGTCGACGCCCTCATAGTTGACATCATCGATTTGAGCATTATCGAAAAGGGTCACCATAAAGGAAGCTCCCAGGCAGGCACTGACATTCTGTGTTTGCGCATGCCATCTATAAGAATGGATAAGGTAGTCTGTGAGAAAGAAAGGAATATAAGAATGTTACTCTTGCGGAATGACGGCGATCAATCCGAGCGTCATAATCCGACACTTAGTGACAGATAGGATTGAGCATTGGACCTTTAAGATCAGTATATAATCAACAACGATGAGATAGTTGGATGTACCGTGAAAGTGCCGAACGGAAATAAAACCCGGGTTTACGGCATTCCGGATAGTTGCATGGTTAAATCTCCGATCGCGTGGCAGATAATTCCGAGGGAAAATGGAAGGATGACAGTGACGCAAAATGTGAGGTTGTGTAGCAGAATATGGCGAATGTAAATAATAACCGATATGAAGGAAATCATCAGTTTGGATTAGATGGAGTAGATGGAGAGAATTCGAGTGGAGAGGAGGAGAGAAGAAGGATTGGGATATTTATCATACCATATTTAGTGAATGTGATACTATCCAATGCAAGTGAAGCTCTATTCTAGATACTCGAGATGATTGTGAATGCCCTTGGACGCTCGCTGAGAAAGTATCAAGATAGCCATATATTGCTAGGTATGCGCCGAAGCGAATGCCATTATAGACATCTGTGCCTAAAGCTGTAGCATGTAGAGTATGATGAAACCATTGGATACCAACTACAAATGCGACTCCCTCTTAGCATCATCATTCCGACAAGCATCCTCAGCTTCTACCGTCTTCCTCCACACCTTTTCCACCTATCAAAATCAGCATAAGTACACTGCCGGATAAAGTAGACATACATCGTAATGGTAAAGCCAATCATGATCATTGTTCCACTTCTCAGCAACAATAACAGACACGGCCTCATCAAAGCTAGTTGCTTTCTGAATTGCTGCGTTCGATGCAGCAAAACCATCCAAGATTTCGTACTAGACTTATTAGACAGCCATACTAGGATAGAAATATAGATCTCACCATAGCATTGTAATGTGGCGTTCGGACTCTGTCGAATAAACCCAGTCCGTCTTTTATCGAATAGCCTCGACTATACGCCCATTCGACAGCGCGACTGAGGACGTAGACGTCTTCAAGTGCGAATCCGGCTCCAGCGCCTGGGAGTGTCAGTTAGATCACGTATAGATATATCTGACTTACCAAATGCCCCGGATAATGCTTAAAATGATTAGCTTCATGAAATCAGACTAGAACAAATACTTACGATGCGACGCATCACCAACCAACGCAATCGAAGCATGCGAAACGACCTTTTCCAATCGCGGTCCAGAAAAGAGAGCAAACTTTTTCACTTCCGTGATATTATCCAGGACACTTTTGAGCATTGGAGAAAAGTCCTATTTCATATTAGTATGTGTCCAGGGGTTGAGTAGCTGATATTCCTACCTTATATCTCCAACTGAACTCGTCAACACGCGCATCCTGCCCCCAACTCACCGGCGCACTCTCCTTGGTTTCTGGGACTCGTGCTGCAATCTCGTATACATTGTTATTCAGATTACATGTATACAGGCGGTCAGCCGGACCGTGCCAGAAGGTGACTGCGTCCGGGAAACCGGGAATGTTTAGGATATCCCTGGCATCGGCGAGAGCACGGTATGCCGTCATGCCGGTGTATTCGAGTTTGTGATCTGGGTATGCGAATTGGCGGACGACCTATATTCATTATTAAAAAGGGTTTATGTTCATGAATTCAAGAAGGACTTACTGATCGAACGCCGTCTGCTCCGATGAGAAGATCGACTTGGTCGGTGTGACCGTCTTCGAATTGTAGGGCTAGTCTGTGAGATGGGAGTTGAGTAATATGTGTCAGTCGACTGGATAATCTCAGTTTGGATTGATCGACTCCTTTCAGAAGAGCTTTCTGGAGAACAGATCGAAGCGCTCGAGCATGGAGATATCTGGCGGGAGTTCCTGGCTGTGTTAGAATATCCCATAATGGATGCTATACACATACCCTCCTGTCCACTGGAAAGCAGCAGCTCATTCGTTCTACCATTTCTACAGCAAATACATCAGCCCTACCCATAATACCAATTAATCAACCCACCGATGTTGAACCGCATGTCCATCCATCGCCCGAAACAAATCCTTCTCTTCCAGGTAATCATACACCCCCAGAACATCCAACATCCGCCATGTATTATGCTGAATGCTGATTCCAGCCCCCACCTCGCGCAGCTCGCGAGCCTGTTCGTAGATTTGCACATCGACAAAAGGCAGTTTGGCGAATTCAATGCCTGCGCCCAGACCTGCTGGGCCGGCGCCGATGATGGCGACTTTGAGTTTGGGTGGTGCTGTCATTCTGGGGTTTCAGTGTTTATCATGTATTTTGAAGGGGGGATGTGTCTAAAGGCCATTATAAATTGATAATAAGGATGGCGTGATTGGAGGTGGAAGTTGCGTGGAGGCACGGTATAGTGTCTATATTGAATATAATATATCGATGCCCCTGCACTGTAGACATGCAAGCTGCCTTGTGAAAACAAGTCCTAGATCGTCTGAAATAAGCCTTTGGGAAATATCATAAGGTGAAGCTAAAGCTGATTATACAGAAGCCCAGTTCTAATTATAGTGCACTTGGTTATAGGATATGACCTAACCCAAGTAGATTAGTTTTGGACACTTTCATCCTACACGTGACTTCCTATGTGAAGATGGTAATCTATCAATAACCATGTTAGCCAACATAGAAAACATCGGAAACCCCTCGGAATATCCGAAAACGTACATACCACAGATAGAGTTATCCATGACATTATCAGAGATAGCGATAACTGTAAAAGTATGTAGAATATGATTGGCCAAAACAGATGTAACTCCACAATTTGCAATTGTTATCTCGCCAATCTGACTAATTTTCAAAACTTGCAAAATGCACTCCATCCGTGCCGAAACCCGAAATCCCGTCGTCGAAATTTCCGGCTAAAACAACGCCGTTGATTTAGCATCAACGGTCCAAAATCTGTCATTCGCTTTCAAAATGAAATACATTTACTCATTAGAATTTACACCTAGCTTCCACTACTCATATCCCACACACTATATTTACTAGTGAGTGGTGGAATGAAAAATGGACGAGGAAAAACAGGTCACAACACACCAACAGCCCGTCGGCAATGCCTATGCGGGGCTAAAATGTGACCCTCAGTTCGAGGTCGTCTGGGATGTCGATGATCCTGAGGATCCTAAGAACTGGTCGGTGTGGTATAGGGGGTTTATCGTGGGTTTGATTTCGTTTTTGGTGACTTGCGTGTATGTTCACGGGTATACACCTACATTGTTTGACATAAAGTATACTAATCGTGGACAGAATTCTATACTCCACATCGTATACGTCCGGGGTAGCAGGGATCCAAAAGTCCTTCAAGATATCCTCCGAGACGATTGTCTTGCTGGGCTTGACGACGTACATGTTGGGTCTGGCGATTGGGTGTTTGATTCTGGCACCACTGACGGAGTTGTACGGGCGACGGCCGGTGTATCTGATCACGACGGCGTTGTTTGCGCTGTTGATTATTCCTGTTGCGCTGGCGCCGAATATTGAAGCCGTCTTTATCAGTCGGTTTTTCGGGGGGTTCTTTGGCAGTGCGACGATTGCCGGTGGGCCGGGGAGTGTGAATGATGTGGTGAGCAGCAAGCATCGAGCGCTGGCGTTTAGTTGCTGGAGTGTTGGGGCGATGAATGGGCCTGTTATTGGTATGTTTTCTGATCTGACTTGAAGGGAATCATGGCTGATGGTTTTAGGTCCCATTATGGGTGGTTTCGTGTATCAGTATCTTGGATGGCGATGGATCAACTGGATCGTTCTCATCTGCGTCGGAGTGGCGTTTGTGGCTCTTCTTTTCACGAAAGAGACATACGCGCCTGTTCTGCTCCGGGAGAGAAGACGGAAGAGACAGCAGGAAACCGGCGACATGCGATGGTGGAGTCGATACGACAACGAACTGTCTGGATGGGAATTGCTGAAAATCAACCTGACCCGACCATTCATCATGGCTGTTTCTGAACCAATCTGGTATGCCCACTCTCCCTTTACACCAATCAACACATGTTAACGAAGACAGCCTCTTCTGGAACATCTACGTGGGCATCATCTACGCCGTGCTCTTCCTCTGCTTCGTCGGCTACCCCATCGTCTTCCAAGAAAACCGCGGCTGGTCCGCTGGCATCGCAGGGCTGGGATACGTCGGAATCGGACTCGGCATCGTGATAGCCGTCACCAGCGAACCCCTCATCCGCAAACTCATCCACAACACCCCCCTCGACCCCGTCACCGGCCAACTGCCCCCCGAAGCATCCATCCGCCCAATCTGCATCGGGTGCTTCCTCATCCCCATCGGCGAGCTGTGGTTCTCCTGGACCGCCCGCGCGAGCATCCACTGGATCTGCCCGATCCTGGCGGGCGTCTCGTTTGGCCTCGGCAATGGGCTCGTGTTTATCTATGTGACGAATTATCTGGCGGGGAGTTATGGGATGTATGCGGCGAGTGCGTTGGCGGGGAATTCGCTGGTGCGGTATGTGATGGGGGGTGTGTTGCCGTTGGCCGGGTCGAAGATGTATCATGCGATGGGGGTGAACTGGGCAGGGACGATGCTGGCGTTGGTGGAGATTCTGCTGATTCCGATTCCGTTTGTGTTTTATCGGTATGGGTGGAAGATTCGGCAGAGGAGTAAGATGATTTCGAAGATGGGTTGACACTAGATTTTAGACATGACAAATATCTGAATGGAATGAACGTTTCACAGATGAGTTTGATCTCTGTACTACAGATGCGGTGTAACTGTAGCCGTGAACCAGGGTTTCTGTCACTGAATTCTATATTATAGTTCACCTTACCCCCCTGCGTTGTATGTACTAACCGTGGTACTTCATAGTGGATACCACACCTCATCAGAGTATAAAAAGCTACAAGACAGATAAAGCCTTCAATCTACCTTACTAGTATGAAAGCATCAGTCAGCGACAGAAACTACGCGACTCATCTCTTAACAATTCATTCTTGAATTCGTTATCCGTGGTGGATCAAATGTACCATCCAACAAGATTCCCGTAGGCAACTTGCCAGACAAACATAAGAAGCTTGATATTGTATTCAGGTTATAGTGTAATCGAGATCGAGAATTTATCAAGAATCTAAACCTTCTGGTCGTTGATGCCAACCAAGTGGACCTCGCTGGAAAGAATGTCAGTCTGGGTTATTTCGAGATTGTATTCGAGGAGGACACTCACAAGACGAGAGTAGAGTTGGCGGGGATGACAGGGGGGAATCCACGGGCACCGTAGCCGTAGTCACTAAAAACGATGCAGTTAGCGCTGTCCATCGCCTGGACGGATGATTGATCACTTACGGAGTGATGGTCAAGTAGGCCTTCTCACCCAGACTCATCTGGGGGACACCTTCTTCCCAACCTAGATGTTATCATTAATGGCTGCCTGCGAGGTGATGGCTTCCGGCTGGGAGCCCATACCTTTGATGACACGTCCGACACCGATTGGGGTCTCGAAGGCGGCATTACGCTTGTAGGAGCTGTCGAACCTGTTGATCACGGTGTGTTAGTCAGGCTGATAATAAAGCCATCCTGAAGATAAGAGTTGAAACGTAGACGTACTCGGGTCCATTGGGAGTCTCCAAGTGGCCCCTGTAGTGCATGGAGATATGGTCGCCCTTCTTGGGGAAGTTGACGCCGTCACCGGCGGCAGTGGTTTGCTTAGTGACACCCATTACGATTATGAATGATGGAGATGATTCAATTGATGATGGTTGATGATGGAGAGGATGAATTGGAGAAGAAGAGGGAGAGAAATGGCAGCAAGTGGGGTTGAGGGGTTGAGCAGCTGGTGTGGGGCTCGGCCGGAAAAACGTGATTAGGGTATAAACCAGCGATGCTGATTGGTTCACTGCGGCAGCTCTCGGGACGGAGTTGGATAGCATCATGATATTCATCTATTGATAGAAACAATTATACGCATGAGGGAATACCCACTGCCGCTGATCCTCCCAGGCATAGTCAGATGGAGGGCGAACATTTTCCATCCCCAGATTGCGCACCACTCGTAGGATGAATCTCGAACGAGCATGAGTAACCTCCATGGAAGTCGGGCAGTCCGGGCAATCAAAACGTTTGTCATGTGTGTACAGGAAGTCGAGTATGTCTCGATGAGGGCAGCAGTTTATAGACCTTCCACAGAGCGCCTTGCCGATATCATGCGGCCGAACAATATACTCCACAAAAGCAAGCAAGTACTGATCCTCACTCAAACCAAACGAAACCTCGATATCGACATTTGCCCATGGGTGATTTGTAACAGTACACTCATGCCATGTGACACGAGAAGCATATCTCATGCGCTTCAACATGCCAAAAACCTGGCGTTTTCCTCGAAGAGTCAAATGCAGACAATCACATAGAATCACAACACCAGGGTATCGACACGCTCTATCCTCTGGCTGCAGCATGCGCTGCTTGAAGACGAACTCTCTCGGCGGATGTGCCTTCAGGCAGGAGGAACAGTACAGCCAGTGTTTTGTCTGTAGGCGATGAACGAGAAGATCACGCCGTGCGCTGGTCAGATGGTTTGACCTGGTATAGCGCGCTTCGTCTAGGAAGACTTTCGGAAAGCCCAGTTCTTCATCTTTTAGTACCCAGCTGAATTCCTCGTAGAATGCTTTGCGGGTGAGTGCGAAACATGCCTGCGATGTCAAGGATAGGGAGTTGAAGATCTGTACGCGTAGTTCGTGGGGGAGTTTGAATATCGTTGGTTTTCTGCGCAGAGAGCTGAGGATGCGACTCACGATGTGCCAGGGTAGAATTGTCGATAATAGAGACATTGTGGGATGATGGTGTTATTGAGAAGATGTTAATTTCAATGTCAAGTGAAGAGTCTGCTGGATGACGACAGAATCCGTCATATATGAAAACAGCGATTAGACACCAATATTCAGTCTATGTAAAGGTATTCAACATCACAGCTTCGCATCAATCCGACAGATCATATAATTCTCCGGTCTAATCATCATCAGCAAAATTCAATATAAAATAGACCAGATACTCACGTCTCATTATACAACCGATCAAACTCCTCATCCGCAACCCCCATGCAATCCATCCCGTAAATCCCCCTCTGCACATCCGCATCCGCATACCTATCTGGAACAGGTCCTCTTGTATTCCCCTTCAACGCCGCAAATTGACGATCGCGCTCGTCCTTCGCAGCCCCCTCGCCTAGATACATCGTGCGCCCAGACGCAGCAGCCATTTCAGTGAGCGTGTCAGCCCGTCTTTTACGGATTTGTTCGTAGACTCGAAGAGCACGGCTGATCGAGTCCGGTTGTGTATCTGGTAGCCGGGAGAGCACGACAGCAATGACGGCTGCGTCTTCGATTGCCTGCGCGGCGCCTTGGGCGAGATGAGGCAGGGTAGGATGGCATGCATCGCCAAGAAGAGCAGTGCAGTGGTGGATCCAGGTTGGGATGGGGTCGTGGACGCGGAGTTTCCATTCACAGATTTCGCCGTCGGGGGCGTAATTGAGCATTCGTCGGACGAGGGGGCAGAAGTCGTTGAATGTGTTTAGCATGGCAGATTTCGAGCCACGGGTGGTATATGTTGCATCTGTGGCGGATGCAAAATTGGTATCTAGTTGTGTTGTTGCGATGTTGTAGATGGAGTGGTTGGAGATGGGATACGCGATGATCTGTCTCTTCTCGCCAATCCAGCGGGTGATTTGGTTTCTGTTGATGAGATTTAACAATTCAGGGTCATCCTTTATCTGGTCTTTATGCAGCATAATTCTATACGCAGCTTGGTTAGTATCCCGTATACCCGCTTTGATACCAAGAGCATTCAGCATCGCAACTCGAGTCTTGCTTTTCACCCCATCAGCACCGATGAGAATATCCGCTTCAACGCGATATGCAGGAATCCCGGAATCCCGAGGAAGAACAGTAAACGAAGGCAGCGGACCAAAGGAGTTGATCTCCTCTGCGCCAGAGGAGAAGTGAAATGCAATGGCGGGCTCTTTTTTACACCCGTTGAACAGAGCATTTGCCAGTGTTGATCGATGGCCAACCATATGCGGATATCCATATGTGGGCTTGATATGGTCGAACGAGACATCGGCCAGTTCGGAATTCGTCGATCCAACTGATTCGTTCAGTATAGATTCATCATATAGAATGTAAGAACCCACCCCGTACAACAGTCTTTTCAGCTTCAACAGCCTCCCGCTGGATCTCCTCCCACACGCCTAGACGGTCTAGAATGCGCGACATATTCGGTGCTAGATGGATGCCAGCGCCCACAAAGCCGAGATCGTGCGCATATTCAAAGACGTGGATGCTGGTGAAGCCTGACTTGGCCAATGCAAGAGCAGTAGCCAGACCACCCATGCCTATCGACATTAGTATAGAAGAATAGAGAATCAAAAGTACATACCAGCGCCAATAATGGCGATTCTCAAGTCCTGGATTGATTCTGCCATTTTGATTTCGATAGTCTACAGAGGGAAGTAAGAAAGAAATGGATGGATCGGGGAGTAGACTTATATAAAGCTATACCAACTTACATTAATGATCTCACGCACAGACTGGAGCCACTGGATTCAAAGTCAATCGTACTGAATAGACCCGTTGAAGTCAGAATGCCATTCCACAATTGACAGCAGATCCCAATTGCCAGCATTAAGTGAGCTGATTTCTGTGCATATTATCTGCTAACCAATATCATACTGACTAGACAAGAATACGACAGCAGAAAAAGACTCACTTGAAACAAGACACTGAAGACACCACGATATCTGAAACAACCAACTTCGATCCAAATCGACCGTTCCCCTTGGCATTTGGCAACAAAACGTCGCAAATCAAGATTGATAAAACTAAAGCTGTCAGCCATCGTGGACTTGCCCTACTTGGCTATGTCGGACACGGTTCATTCCGACGATCGCATTTTAATTTTTATCTGATAATCTGGAATGGATTCGGAATTGACGTGTGCCACTGATGAAGATAGGAAATTATTATTGGATGGAGATTGTCGATCACCCCACTTGGCGATGGAAGCTTGATTGATGATTTTTGATTAAATTGATTATCAGGGGCTTTTTTACCGTTGAAGCTGTTGTCTTGCCGATGGAACTGCCGATTGCTCCGAAGTCGGTGGCTAGTTGCCTTTTTCTTTCTTTTTTCTGGATAGTCTGTTTCAGATGTTTCATTTAGAATCCATTAGACTATTATTACAATTACATACTATTCTATCTAACTTATTTATTCTTGCGGTATTCCCGGTAGCTCACCATCATGTAGCACGTCGACGTCGCCACTCCCAGCACGGCCAATCCAATCCCCATATACAGAGCGCCCCGGTATCCCTTTAGAGTGTCCTTCCCACCGTCATTCACATGCGATTCGACGGTTCCGGCAAACCCAAGACCGATGGAAATCGAGTAGTTGACTGTGGTGGCGACGAGGGAGGCAGCCAGGCCCTGGTGTTCTTTGGGCATGGAGTTGCTGAGCAAGAGAATGCCAGAGGGGAAGGACATGTCCCTGTATATCGATTAGTGATGTTATAGAAAGAGGGGGAGAAAAAGAAAAGAACGTACATCCCCCACGGAGTAATCAAACTCGTAAAGAAGGTCTGACCCCAGTAGATCTGGTTCACTGGCACAGTGGCAAACAGGCACTGGCCGATGGTGAAGAAGCACATGGCGCAGAACATGATCATGCTGGGAGGCACGAAGCCCAGCAGAATGCCCGTCACCATGGATGCAATCGCACCCGATACGGCAGCACCAGAAAACTTGGCCGTCGCGAGCAGAGGCGAGTTGTTCAAGATGACCATCTCAAACTGGTAGTAATAGTAGACGATAATCCCGAAACTCGACCATCCTGTCGCAATGCAGCCCAGCACCCAGGCCATGTCGCCCGAGAACACTGATCGAGGCAGCAACGGGCATTTGGCCGATCTCTCGACAATCGCAAACACAGCCAGAAGCAGAAATCCGACAATCAGCAGCACGTACGTGTAGGGGTTCTGCCATCCCACGAGCGGCGCCTGGTTCCACGCAAAGTTGACCAGCACCAGCGCTGAGATCCCCGTCGCGGCACCCAGGAGGTCCAACCGCACAATCGAATTCAGGCCATCTGTGAACTTGGGAGGAGGCATATTGGGGATGATCAGCTGGCCGAGTGCAGCGAACACAAAGCACACAATCCCCATCACCCAATACCCCCATGGCCACCACACCCACTGCGCGAAGATGGACGAAAACACTCCGCCCACGATATACCCTCCTGGCGCGGTGGCCCCGAACAAACTAAACACCATCGCCTTGCGACGACCGGGAGGATACGTCCGTGCAAAGATCGCCACAGCATTGGGGAGAAGCAGCGCAGGCCCAATCCCCTGAAATGCACGGCAGCAGTCGTAGAAAAACCGGTTCGACCACACACTGAACCCAGCCAGAAGCGACCAAAGCCCAAACCACACAAAGCCGATGATGAACATGAGGCGATGGCCGTAGACATCTCCCAGACGGCCGGCGACCAGAATAAACGTGCCCACAGTCAGACTGTACGCAGCTGGAAACCAACTCAGCTCGCCAGGATCGGACGTGCCAAAACTAGGCCCGATGATATGCGCCGGCACGATTCCCACTGCCAGTCCAGCCTGCGTCATGAACTGTCCCATACACACGAGTGCGACAAAGACGATCTCTTTCGACAGTGATTGTGGCGGTTTGATGCTGGATTGCGACGTTTCGAATCGAGTGAGCGCTTCGGGATCCTTGTCGCTGTCATTCTGTTCCTTCTGAGGCGTTGGACTCGGATCCGAGTCTGATTCCGAGTATCGCTGGGCGAAATTCTCTTGGACGGGCGTTGCAGTGCCCATTTTGACGACTTGGTGAGAAAGTGGACAGAGAAAGAGCAGCGAGACAAGCGCAGATTTATTTATATATTAATTTATCATCAAGAGGAAAAAGACCCTAACGGTCTGAAGCCGAAGTGGAGCGGCGCTTTTCCGCAAATTACCAAGCGACCATCGATGGACTTAATAAGACGTGACGAAGAAATTATCAGTAGTGGATGCGGTCGAAACACGGCAGAGATCAGGCCAATTGAATATGCAGCGTTTACGTGGAATTCATTTGTACTGCAGGAAGAAAAAAGAAAGCGAGAAAAAGAAAGGAATTTTTTTTTTGAAGAAATGGAGCTTATCTCCGGTCGTGGCAATTGATCTCGATTTGTTCACAAAGAAAGATGGTTTTTTGGTGCTTGTGCAGACTGAGTAACTGTGTAGTACAAGAATATTTTACTCTGATCATCTTAATTATCTGATTCATTATTCGTGTCATCTAATATCATCCATTGAATATCTGGTCTGATCTAGATTGCCAAAGGGGGATTTCCGAGACTCCCTTTCCCCTAGGAGTGCTCCGTCCTCGTATTTTGCAAACTTTCTGCAATTTCTATTCAATATAACTATGCTACCCATATTTTATAGGTTTAAATATCCAACTATTTCAAGAATGTAGATGCCATTAATAATCTTTCTTATGGCGTGTGGCTACTTTTCATCATCGTGTACTAGTGAGTTGTGCTAATCTGAGTCCCTGCATGCTGCATCTGAAGGACGCTACTATCGTCACCATAAACGGATTAGCGACTCACTGCTTAAATTGATTTCATGCTTGATATTATGGATCCATTGCAATAGGAATAGTAGTTTATTTATGAAGAGTGATGGTGAGTATTGTTACTTGCCTAACACATCTACTAATCCTTCCACATACTCCACTAATCTCAATATCCATCTCAACTATGAAATTTACTGGAAATATTATATTTGATCTGATACGTCTTCTAGATCATATAAACGTGTGACATCAGATAACTCGCTAAACAGTTTGGATCCGTTGTGGACACAAAAATAAACTCTTTCTTCAACTGTAGTGTAACCATCATCATCTACACAACATCATCACCACAGTGGCAACCTGCCCAGCTCGCTTCGGATTCGCCGTTGGAGACGCACTCATCAAATACACCCATTATTTCCCCACCAATATGACCGGCCTTGCCGCACAGTCGCGAAGGTACGACCCACAATACACGCAAGATTCCTTCGTCCTTTTCGAACTCATCACGGACGCACACCTCGACGAGTGCTGAGATCACGCAGACACCACATGCTGCAACTGTGACAGCGCCGCCAAGCGACTGTTTCGACCCCGCTGGACTTTCTGCATGTGGTGGGCGATCCGTTCGTGAATATCTTGATCAACACGACCTGTAATAAGGAGGAGTGTAAGGCGCAGATCGCACGATCCAGTCGCGCAGGGCCCAGGTGACGCTGGCGAATCTATATGGTTGGCGAAATACGATCCCGCAGGCTACGATGGGGATCGAAGTCTGTGTTGTTTGAGGTGCAACGGAGGGGGTGAAGAAGTGTGGGCGATGTAAGATTATCGTACTGTGAGAGGGGGCATCAGATGTTGGATTGGGAGGAGCATAAGAAGATTTGTGTCGCAGATGCATCGGATGCAGAATCATCTCATCGACTTCATCATCATCAGCCGAAAAATCTGACCCGCTACTCTCTCCCGGCGCCACAGCGGGTATCGTGAGCGGCAGCGTCGAAGCCCTCTTCTTCATCTGGGCCCGATGACATCGCTAGAGATTAAACACTGACTCTACGGTGAAAAGGCCAGTCAAATATCAAATGTCTGCTCCATTGTTCAATAAAGAAAATCGATAGTATGCATGTTGCTGGCCTGGCTTGATATAGTGTTCTCCCGCCATCAAAATGAAGAGCAAGCCATTTACATAACCACCCAGGAACTAATGTGCCATAGACTCATCATCATTCATGGGTCAACCTGAGCCTAACCCAATTGTCCAGTTGTTCGACAGATACTGGCATCTAGATCGTATGCGGTGCCGGCGTCAACTTCACCATGAGCTCCGGCTTCTCCCAAACCACAAACGACAACTGATCAATCCAACCACGAGACTCTGGTGCCAGTTCCATATCGAAGTTCCAAATCATGCGCGCGAGGATCAGCCGCATTTCAGCGTACGCCAAACTATCACGTCGGTTAGAACAGACTGCGCAAAGAATTGATAAGAAGAAGAACGTACTTGCGGCCAAGACAATTCCGTGGACCAAGACTGAACGGTTGAAAAGCATGTCGCTTGTCCGAGTCAAACTCAGGCTCTCCGAGAAACCTTTCTGGGATGAAAGAGTCGGGTTCTTTGAAGTTCGATGCGGACCGCTGCGTTGCCAACATCGGGACTCCAACGGATGTCTAAACAAGAGACCTTGCCGTCAGCAGATATATAAAAGTATTCCTGGCTTGTCAACTCACACCACCCGGAACCCATTTCCCACAAATGTAGTCACCCTTTCCTTCAACCATACGAGGGAAACCGAACGGAACAGGAGGATACATCCGCAAGCCCTCGTTGAGCACTGCCAACGTATACTTGAGCTGGTTGACAGCCGACCAAGTAATTTCTTCCTCAGACGAGAATGAACCTCGGATCTCTGCTTTGAGTTTATCAAGAACACCAGGCACAGTGAGGATATAATAAGTCACCCCGGACAAAAGGGTCGCAGTTGTCTCCGAACCAGCAATAATCAAAACATAAGAATTCGACACGAGTTCATCAATAGTCATACCCTTCTCACTACCATCATACTTGAGTACGTTGCTCAGAAAATCTGGTCGTTCGGTTTTGTTTTGAACCCGCGCTCGAACCTTGGCCTCGGTGAGTTCGTTCTGAGCTTTCTTTTCTTCTTGTACCTTATTGGGGACAACGTATTTCATCAAAATCTGTCCACCGGGAACCCTTCGGAGGACATTCGCCCACGCAGCCGTGCGGAAGTGGCTGAAGATGACCGCAACCCAGAAATGGTATTGAGAGGTATCCAAACAGCCAAATGATTCGCCGAATGCTAGATCGCCAATGATGTCGAATGTAGTGAAGTTATACCAACGAACCATATCAACATTAGCATCTCTGCTGACGTTGTCGTTGATCTGTTCGCGCAACCGTTGGATAAGAAGATCAATATATCCCTTGACAATAACCTCTTGTTTTTGAAAACTGCCTTCAGAAAATCCATGGGACAGTGAGCGTCGATAGCGACCATGGTTATAGTCATCGGTCCGTAAGATGCTTGGTGTACTGTTAGGTCCGACGGAGACATGGCGCTGATCCTTAGGTCGTTGTGGTTGACCAGGACGGATCCCATATACCTCTTTCCATGCCTCGGCATTGGTAAAGGTTACATGGTCAGGACTGAGACGAACGGCCTCACCATATTCTTCATGTAGCCTTTTGGCTTTCATTGGAAGCTTTCCACCCAATATTATACGGGCAAGCGGTATTGAAGTTGCTGCATATAGCTTTGGACCAGGAAACGAAGCGAGAGGATGGAGGTATAGATTGTAGATGATGGTTCCGACAAGGTAAAATATCCCCTATAATATTATCGTTAGTACAGATTATGGAACGATAGGGATTATACACACAAGCAAGATAAATAAGCCAGGTAACGCAATAGCCGGATGGACACCTGCTGTATAAGCTTTCGCAAGCTCCGCAATGTGTTCCACGGAAGATGTCATGATGGTTGGTTCACGCCGCAGTCACTATGAGAGCAGCAACAACAAATAATCTTTGAATGTGTCAAACCAACACTAGACAGTGTTAATGCCAGAGAGTTCCTTGACCGTGAGAAAACCGTTGCGGATTTATATAACAGCTGGTCTGTGTCAACCCCACAAACTCGGCGACTGTTGTCTTCCGAAATCCACCAAGTGAGGATAGATGCATATAAAATACACTCTCGGGCCATTTGATTCGGAATTTCAGTATCGGAATCAATTCTAGCCGATTATGCCAGGGTAGTAAGGCTTGATTGGATGTAGGTAGCCCGCATATATCAAGTTCGCCCACCTTTCGGTGCCTTGTTGACGCCGAGCGGCTCTTATTCTCCTCCACGTCGATGGAACTTGCAATCATTTGCTTTCTATGTAGCTTCTTAGTCGAATTTTTTTCAGGTCCACGACGCGGAGAAGTAAATCATACACCCCATGCAATTAAGAATAACCAAGCGAATCGAGGATCATGAAGTCAGCTGCCGATATGGGTAGTAACCCAAAATTATCATCTGGCCAAGAATCCAAAGATCCCAATGAAGGCATAGGTGCAGACTGCATTGCATTTGAGCTGTCGTCCGAGGAAACAAACTGATCCTCGCTGATGATTCGGCTAGGCTGATTGTTGCAGTGACTTGCCGTTCTTCTCTGCAGCACTGTTTGGTACCAGATTCGAACACTTTTCCACTGGTTTAATAGACTTTGGAAGTAATGTGTCTGCCCTTGAGGTGTGCTCGTCATTGAAAACAGTTCCTGGGTGCGCGTGTAAAGCTGTCCGAGATAAGAGTCCAGTTGAGCGATACGAGCCGTGGATTCATTATCACAAGCAACTACGTCGATAGTTAGGGATATCTTGCTTGCTAGCATAATCATATAAGTGAGCTGTCGCCAGTCGAATGCAGTCCAGGTTTGCATTTCCACGAATGGAAGTGCTACGGTGCGTTTCATGTATTTCTCTACATATGCCAAGCAATCGAACATAATGGCCACGCGGGTTGCTGAGAATGGAGGGTTTCGAAGATTCCCGTGGAGCCCGATTTCATGGGCATATGCTCCTACAAGATCTCCCCAGGTATTGAGTTGTGCTAGTCATTCGAAGTCAGTATTTCAGTGCTTATATATTAATAAATGTGAAACGCACCATGTTGGGATAGTTCAGGCAAAAGGCTTGCTCTCCATGAAGTGAGCTGGCCATCTAACGCTCTAACCACCATTTGTACTTTGTCATCGCTCATGGAAAGACTGTGGTCAGGATCACCGTAGTCAAAGATGTTATAAACTTCATTGACAATCCGCAGAATTTGAACAAAATAGACCAAGGCCTTGTCGGAAGAGACTTCAGCATCTTCTCGTATCGAGGTAGCACATTGTTCCAAGTAGGTTGAAAATGCGAGTGGTGACTGTTTTCGGCACATGAGAGAACAGCTTTCCTTGTGTCAGCGAATTCAACATATAGAACAGTTTAAAATGAGAACATACAGTGTAGAGAGAATATAAGCTCCTACTAGAGCCCTCCTAGCTTCGTGGCTCCAGAATCCGGGTGTCTGATGTGCCACATGCTCTGATTCAGGCTTCGAATTTAGGATCAGATCATGCTGTGTCGTTCCGCGCAGTGGCTTTCTATTAAGACCGAGATCAAATATCATTGTAACACAGAGTGAAGCCAATCGATATGCCTGATACTGACTAGATTCGGTGACGTTGAAGTGGTACCTTGAGCGGTTAGCATCACAAAGGAAGAATCCAGAAACAGTTACATACCAAGCTAAGTATACCAGCAGACCCTGCAGTATGTCCAAGTTCCGTTCACCATTAAAGAACCTTGTCCCCAGATCCTTTAAGTAAAACTTCTCGAGTGCAATCTGAAGTGTCCTTTTTTGCCATGACGCGACAACAAGTATGGCTTGTAGCAACATGGGCCGCTCTTGCTGCAGCTCCACTACGCCCAGCCTCTGGGGAAGAATGACACAGGGAAAATGCTTTTCCGACATCTGTCGATAAGTCTGACATAGGATCTCCGCTTCAGTAAATGTTATCAGTCCCTGGGTTAGAGGATCTTGGTTTGTGATACTTGATTCCCTCAAGGCCGACGGCGCAGTTAGGGCTGGGGGTGTGTCTGGCAAACGATGTTGCGGTTGGTCCGACAATCTGTCAACGAGACCACCCACCATTTCTTCCAAATTCATCATCCGAGCATGCACTATACCCAGGTCAGATTATTGCCGTGCAATATTAACTTTATTGTTCGCGTATACTTACATCGGCTCTGTCGCTGTCGTTGCCGAACTTCCGGAATAGTGCATTCTTTACCATTTTGATGGCACCTATCTTGGCATTCATAGAGGATCAGCCTGATTTGCCACAGCAGAGAAGGAAGAGTATTGGGGATGACTGAATAACCGACCTGTGACAGACGCCAGCAGCCTCTCGACTGGCTACACATCGGAGCTTCTTCGCCTTGCACTCAGCGCAGGCGCGGCGTGCTTTATGGATATTGCTTCGTTCCATCACACCCAAGATGTCATCATTCTTTGGATAGCGATAATACCACGGATAATGATACAGTCGACAAGCTGGTGATGGTGTCTCGACTCGGAGGAAAGTGCTCTAGAGCCTCCGAGGCCGGGGATCCGGTCACGTGTGCTGTCATTCTTTCGGCTTCGGCGACAGTTTAACCTCCGAACCTTATTTTGGAGGGTCACGTGGTTTGATACCCTGCATACATTCACTCAGAAAAGAAATCTTCAACAACAGAATCACCAGAAGAAAGCCGAAAGAAGCCCGATATTACCGGTCGGGTAAATGAGATTCTGTATATAAGTGGCAGTTCTCTTTAAAATGAGTAAGTGAACGACCTTATCACTGGCGGCTACGTTCTCGAGTAAATATATCTTGGAGCTAACAAGATGGAATTATCAAGCAGACCCATCGCCAGTTCGCACAGCCTGCCAAAAAGACCATGGCGAGTCAACGTGACCGACTTTCAGAGAATCGTCGCCTATCCATATCGTGGTAGTGGCACAACCGATGATCCATACATTGTCGAATGGCTTGAAAACGACCCCGAGAATCCCAAAGACTACAGCGAGACTCTGAGATGGAGCGTGACGGCGTTGATAGCGACAATGACACTCTGCGTTGCACTTGCATCGTCAGCATATTCCGGCTCAATTGGATCTCTGCTTGAACAATTCCAGTGCAGTGAAGAAGTGATAATTCTGGGATTATCTCTTATGGTTCTAGGATACGCCGCTGGACCGCTGCTGTGGGCTCCTATCTCCGAGTCAGCTGGACGTCGCAATATATTTCTTCTTTCATACGCCGGATATACCATATTCACAGCGGCTTGTTGTGCTTCGCAAAATGTCTGGACTTTGATTATTCTCCGGTTCTTCACTGGTTTATTCGGATCCAGCGCCTTGTGCATTCCTGGTGGACAAATTGCCGACATGTTCTCAGCAGAGCTTCGTGGTCTGGGAATCGGTGTCTTTTGCCTTGCTCCATTTATTGGACCAGCGCTCGGTCCTATAATCGGCGGATTTTTGGGCGATGCAGGGGGTTGGCGCTGGGTGATGGGCTTGCTGGGCATCTTTGCGGCTTTGTTGACGCTTCTAGCATTCATCTTTATGCCCGAGACATATGCCCCTGCGCTGCTGAGAGCAAGAGCTCAACGCCTTTCGCAAGCTACCTCCAAAGTCTACCTGACCACTCAAGATGCTGAAAATCCGATCGACTTCAAGACCTTGGTGAAGCATGCGCTTTTACGACCATGGGTTTTACTCTTTCGTGAACCCATTGTTCTAAGCCTCACGGTTAGTCTTTCTCTAGCGTATTGAAAAATCATTTACTAACTTGGAAAAAGGTCTACATGTCTGCAGTCTATGGCACTCTGTACCTATGCTTCGCCGCGTTCCCAATTGTGTTTCAAGAGAAACGAGGCTGGAGCGCTGGTATCGGTGGCCTAGGATTTACCGGAGTTTTGATCGGTTTACTGGTCGGAATCCTCATAATCTGCTGGGATAACAAGCGATATGTCCGGATATATCGAGAAACGGGTGGTTTCGCTCCACCTGAGTGTCGTTTACCCGCCGTTATTGCGGGAGGAATTTCAATTGTCGTTGGTCTTGCCTGGTTTGCAGCGACGAACTCTCCCAGCGTGCATTGGATCGTTCCTATTCTGGCTGGAGCACCATTTGGAGCTGGGTTTGTGCTGGTATTTATATGTTGTGCCAATTACCTGTTCGTGGCCCTATACTTATACAAAACCATCTGCTAATACTACCAGAATCGATGCATATGTGATCTTCGCAGCTTCAGTCCTCGCAGCCAACTCGGTGATGCGGTCTCTCTTTGCTTGCGTCTTTCCACTGTTCACGACTTATATGTTTAACGTACGTGGAGCATTCAAAGTCCCCATCGAAACTCGAACTGACTAGGATTTAGGATATTGGAATCCACTGGGGCGCCGCAGTCCCCGGTTTTATCGCCCTTGGATGTTTGCCGTTTCCTGTCCTGTTCTACCTGTACGGTGCCAAGATTAGGGCTCGGTGCAAATATGCTTCGCAGGCAGCAGAAAATTTAAAGGGAACAAAGACGCAACTAGGACATCAAGACTCTACTGAATTTGAGGACAACATGGCAGGCAAAGTCTGAAGCGTGAAGTACGCGAAACGACGGATTGCATGGAGATATTGGGGTTAATATGGATGCGATTGCGGTATACGTGGGATAGCCTTGACTGTCTAGATAAAACCCGGGACTCTGGATCGTTAGAAATAGATTAATAGATATAGATATCGACAAAGAAAATAGAATTGCGTTGAAACTGAATATAGCTGCTGCCTGAGGCATGATAGCTGTGACGTCTTCCCACACGCACTAGCCCCGATATGGCTAGACCGATATCCGGTCTTCTACAGGACATCCGGACATCACCAATCTTGCGACTGATCAGCATGGTAAAGCATGATAAAGAAAGTTGAATATGGCTGGGGATATCGATCAGAAACAGTCAGAAGCAAACGCTGCATCGGCTAGTCTATCCAGAGACACATGTCTACTCCTGAAACCACCAAAGAAATGGACCCTCGAACACCTCCAGATAGCCAGAGTCCAGCAGGAAAAAGTCTCTCTGGACAAAATCGTCGATTTGAAATTCGTACCCCATGATGATGATCCAGGTAGGTCGTTCGCTGTCCAATCTACGGCATCACAACCTGACACGCATCAGAATTCCAGCGTCTGGAAAGCTTACTCTGCGATCCAAGCATGGAAAGCCGCGACAAGGACGATCTCCCATTCGAGCAAGACCCATTCAAATTCTTTTTCGGCACGTTACGTAGCTATGGCGGCTGGTGCGATTCCATCGAAGACGCACGTGGCGAAAACTTTGTCAATCACGTTATTAGAATGATTCTGCGTGAAATGTATCCAGATCTTACCTTGTGCGTTTTTAACCTTAGGTCAATGCAACGAAACGGGGCGCTTTCTGACATTTGTGTAGATATGCGACATCATACATGCGGCTGGGTATTGATCTTCCTTTCATGAAACCGAGGAGGAAACAGTGGGTTGATGGTTGCATATCAAGATTCTGGAAAGACGAAGGGTTATTTGGTGTCCCTCTTGCTCTTATCTCAGTGAGTTGTCTACTATTACGGTATCATTCATGGTCTGAGACCTCGGCAGATCATACGAGAGTCTGGCGATATTGGAATGGCAAGATACGAGATCCCACAAATTTTGATGCAGGTGAACATGGCCTACAACCAAAATCAAAACCTGGAGGAATACTCCGGATACATAATCAGCATTGATGGATACCGCTTCACCTTCGGCAAGGCTACCGTATCCCCAGAATATGTCAAATGCATCTACTCTGGCAAGCCTGCATGCGAAGACCTGCAGTTTCAGCGTGGCCCAAGCTTTGATATTACTGATCGAGCTGAGAGAAAGGAAATCCTGAGGATCATCATGGGCTTGGCTCGATATTTTGTTCAACGAGCAGAATTCTTCTTTGCGGGACATGAGTTTTAAGGAGATTCGATGTCATTCACCAAGATATCAAGAACCAGAAGATACGTTCATTCACAGCAATAGACTAATTCTACAGAATGCAAAGCAAGAGAATTGATAAGTAGTGAATTAAGAAGTTCAGGCGTGCTCCACATTACCAGTGAATGTGCCTCGCTGCAGCTCATCCAAGATGTTTTGCATATAAAAGCCCTGAATCTCAGGACCCTGAGGAATCTACGTCCCGAAATAGTTTGACTTCCCAATTGTTCGAAGATCAAGAAAGGATTTTGCGGGATGGGAGTAACTGCAACGGGGCCAGAAATGGCCGCAAGGAACAATCTCAACAAGAGAGATAGCATGAACAAGCAAAGCCTGCATACCTCAGGATCGCATTGGGACATGGTCCATTTGGATGCACTGCATGCCTATCGGGATGACAATATCAGTCTCGATAGGTTCTTCTCTGATGAAAACTCACAGTTTCTCCCGAGTGATAACGACCCAGGTATGTTTTGAATGACAGAAACTTCATGACCTCTACTCACATAATGCAAAGTCTACCAGGCCTTGAGAGCAGAGATCATCCAGCCCACTGAGCACGATCTGAGAATATGGGAACTGAGCCAACCTAGATTTGCCGGCAATCCGTTCGAGGACTTTTTCGATAGTTTGGCATCTGCCATGACAACGGGCCCGGCAAGTGGCCAGAGCGGAGACTCAGGATCAGGCTCTTCTGGTCAGGAAGAAGACGAAATTCATTCCGAGGATGCTCTCAAGGAGCTTGTGAGGGTGGTACTTCGGAGGGAAGGCGGCCGACTCAATGGCACCTGGTCGCTCGCAATGTTCGGGAATACCACTACCCTTCGAAGCCATTTATCTAACAGTGCTACAGGAACCGCGCGCACTTGAGCACTCCGCTTTTAGTGGGAACGACTCACGAGCCCCGTCATGCGATCAATGATGGGGGCATCACACTGGCGCGATCAGGTCATGGGGGCCATATCCACCTGGGACACCGCCCGATTGTATCCTTTGAGGTAAAATTCCAATATCAAGAACATGGCAAATACTCAACTTTTGACTTGCTTCTAGGCAAAGAAAAGGAACCCTGCCGGGAGGCACTACCCCACTGACCAGTCGGAGCCAGCTGTGTCGGCCATACGCGGCCAGGAGTTTTCGGAACTGCTGGGCCAGGCGTTTGTGTGCTCTGAAAGAGTGGACAACAAATGGCAAGACCATGATGGATGGTTGATCTCCATCCACGGGACTAGGTTTAGACTCGTGAACGCCTTTTTCTCAGGTTCGTATCTGGGCCAGGTCAACAGTCCCATTCTTCGTGAAAATCAGCGTGCTTTTGTCTGGGGTACCCGCCATTATAACCTCAAGTCACCAATCGATCGGTGCCAGGCTATCAAGGCTGTGATCGGATTGATCCGGTTCTTGAAGTTGGGAGATGTGTCCAACCACCGTCTACGCACAGCTAGGGGATAGCCTTTGGGAAGGGGGCCTTTTTTTTTTTTTTTTTGTTGGAATTGTCGATTATGGTGATATTATGAGCCCCGGTAAACCCTGAGACAGTAAAGTTTTGAAACATATTCCCGTAGAGAGCGAAAGGGCCAGTGAGGATCTGTAGAGCCGGCATGGTGAGGTTCGATATATTGCGCACTGTCTGTCGTCTCGCCGGTTGTCTGCAGATTAGGGAAATGCGCAGATAATTTCAGCGGGTTACCAGCGAGGTGGAGACTGTTGTATTTTCTCAAACCTGGCGTATTAATCGTGTCCATCTCAGAATTCTCCATAAGATTAAGACGGCCGACGCTGTCCAACGCGATACCACCCAGATTCATCAGCCCCGTATTCGTGATATCGATGTTCGCCGCCTCATTCAATCCATGGTCAAAGCCGAGTGTCCGCAGCTCAGGCAGAGCAGTGAATTTGATACTCCCCACGCTGACGAGCAAAGGAAAACTGAGAGTATAGAGAATTGTCGTACTATCGATTTTGAAAGTCGACCCGATCGAGGTGAGGTTTGGGGCGGATATGGAGCTGACGTCTGCGCCATCACAGGTGAGGCTTCCTGTGATTTTCTGAATGCCGTTGAGTGTGATATCGCGGCTGGAATGGGAGCTGATTATGAATTCGCCAGAGACCGGTGCTGCAGGTTTTATGTGCTATTGACTGGAAGTGGCTTACTATGCTGGGTGTAATTCCCTTGTTAGGATCTGTGTTTGTGGGTGAAGCTGGAGTATTCAGATTCTATGGAGTGGTGTTACCAAAGGTTAGACACTATGATTTAACACGAGTATATCTTCACTTGCAATACATATGGTCAGCATCAACAATATGATATTCGATCCCGGGCTCCTTGAAGAGATGATCACTCCGCCATCTCCGCAGCCTCAGATCCCGCGAATACGAGCCTTAGACTTCAATACAACTGGATCCTGGTAACTCTATCTGGACGAACAGACCTTCCAGAAAACCCATCTACCCTGGTTCTCGGGAAACCCCTGGATATGGTATATTCTACATGTCACATTCATCCCGCTTTCCACCGATCTGGTTGTAGATCTTATATAAACCGACGCAGAGATAGATAAATAGATAGACATATCATAGATCTTATTATTAAATATCCAAATACAGTCCCAATACCCAAACGCCATAGCTAATAGTAATCATCTCGCATTCTCATCTCTCCTCTCCTCCTTAACCTCCCACTGCACCTCCTTGACAATCCTCACCTCACTATGCGTACTCTCCGGTCTCGCCGCCAACTCCACATCATCCTGTAGCATTGTAAGACCCGGCTTGCGACGTCGCGATGAGCTGCCGTAGGTGTAGTAGTTGTTGTACCGGGGCGCAGTGCTGCCTTGTTCGCCGATTAGTCCGGGGGCGTGCCGGCGCAGGAATTGCCGGAAGAAGGGGAGACAGCCGCAGATTATGATAAAGTTGGATTCGATATTACTAGATACAGAGGTTAGAGGGGTAGGTGGACGGATGGAGAGGGGAGACCTACGCCCAGAGCTGGGGCATGGAGATTTTGTATGTTGGGTCGTCGGTGTTGAGGAAGGGGACGATGACTGCTAGACGGACGATGCTTGTTACGACCGTTCTACAGGGTCAGTATACAGATATCCAGAGATGGAGAGGTGTAGACATACGCGCATCCAATAATAAACATCAGCAACAATCCCACCTTCTGCACAGTCGGCATATTCAAGTTGGTCACCGTGCGAATGGGCAGCCCGATCAGAAACACATCCGTGACGATATTCATCGCCGCCGTAAACACGTACAGCGATTTCTGATCAATACACCCTCCGTCCGTGATGGACGCATCCCAACTCTTCTGAATAGGATGGCAGGCGAAAATGAGCGCAAACATAATCGCGAAACTGTACCCGGCGACGACAAAGGAGAGGATGTAGAGTGCCCAGCGGTAGAACTTTTGTTGTGCGAGGATGCGGTAGTACAGGATGATCAGGCTGATTTTGGCAAAGGCGAGGGCGGGCACGTAGACGATTGCTGCGATGAGGACGACCTAGAGGGTCAGTATACAGCTTATGTTCTAAGATGAAGTTATTGGGTGTACCTTTTGGTAGATGTCGAACATTTCCACCGTCAAGTCCCATTTGTGTAATCCGAGTCCTCCTTTTCTGAAGCCATCTGAGGGGTTAGTATACACCAATTATAAAGAAGAGAGAACATACAGATCGCCATGGCCTGAGTTGCAACTGCAAAGATCTATAACCATTAGAACCATCACACTCAATGTAAGATATACCCACCCAAGCACAGATAATCGAGACTACACCATCAGCACCTCATAACCATTAATCAGTAAGAATAACTCACCATCATCCCACCCAAACTTATGCAGCAAATGCGCTTTGGTATACACGCGCAACACCAACGAACTCGTACTCAGAATCAACCCAGCCGTGATGACGGCTTTATTCGCCGTCCATAAATACGCATTGTCGGGGTCGAATGTCGGCGTGACGCCAGGAGGAGGAGGATATATTCCTTGAGGCATGGCCACTCACTCATTCAGAGAAGACATTGAAAAGGCGATCAAGGAGCAGTAGTTATTCATAATAACCGGTCTCCTGAACCTCATGACACCGGGATCAAGACTGCATGCAGGATGCAAATAGTCCGGCTTAATTTCTGGCACCCGTTCATCCCAACTATCAAGCCGACAGCCTCGTCGGTCCAACATCGGAGAATGTCCAGGCACGGTTCGCTCTGACTGGACGCACGGATCGAACTGCTGGAGAACAAGTGAAACGTGCCCACCAGATACATGCAAATCATAATCAATGTGGCTGGAAGTGTGGATACAGACTAGATCAGGAAGAGGGAAGGAGTCGGGCGAAGGATCGTGCTAAGATCGTCCATCGACCAGGGTATACAGGCTAGGATCGTGCGGATGGTAATTCGGTTCCGCGTGTTGCTTCATTTTTGGGTCTGCTGGTTTTATTCACTCACTGACTTGGTTTGATTTGATTATTTGAATTTATTATTTGAGGATGTTTTTATGTTTTGTTTTGGCAGAGAGAGTCGTCTTTCGACATGTATACAGGATTAATTATACTTAAGCTTCAGTCACCTTGAATCCTCCAGGAACCTGGCGCTGGAAGACACCAGCAGGGTCATACTTTTTCGCCACGTTGGCGATGTACTTGACGTTCACCTCGCCGTATCCTTGCAATGGGTTCTGCGTTTTATCCGCATAGTTGAGGTAGATATACGGGTTATCCTCACCGATTTCCTTGGCGTATCCATTCAGCTGTTCGGTGATGGACTGAGCAAGACGGTTAAAGAGGGCATCGTCGGCGGCATTGTCCCAGCTGTAGTCGAAGAGGGTTTCTAATTCATCAGCTATAATCACGCAGTAAGTGTAGGGGAACATACGGAACATGTTTCTGTCGAAACGCTCCAGACCGAGGACATTCCCGCCCTTTTTCGCACTAAGCTCGGCGAAAAGAGTCGGCCAGGGCTGCACCATCGTAACCATACTCCAGGACTTGCTTTGCACCTGTTTCTTGGCTTCCTCGATGAGGTCGTTGTGGATGTCGACGGCCTTTTCCATGACCTTGGGGTTGTTGAAGTATGTGCTTGTCAGGAAGACATTTCTATCGTCGTCAGCTTAGATCGAACCTGATATTGATGCGCAACATACCGAGTCCCACTCGCCTGCACCAAATCCACAGTCAAGTTATACATCGACCCGAAATGCATCGTGTCGGATGTATTCTTAATCGCCAGAAACTCGTCAAACGCGGGAGCCCGCGCAACGGGCTTCGTATACTCATACGCATTCGTGATGGCATTCTGCCCCGTCGCAGAGCTATACCCCCACATGCCAATATACGACGCATACGGGTCATTGTGGATGTTATCGATAAAGTTGGAGATGGCGGGAATCTGCTGTGATGTGGTAGAGTTGTCGTAGGTGACGACACCGCCCCAGAGAAGATCGCCTTCGATCGTGGCCATGTCGTAGCGGGTGACGATGCCGAAGTTGATGGTGCCGCCTTTGAGGGCTTTGTAGAGGTCGGCGTTGGAGTGTTTGTTGGCGTTGGCGATGGTGCCGTTGCCGAGGACGATTTGGTAGTTGAGGACGTTGTCGCAGGCGAAGCCGACGCGGGCTGTGTGGAAGGTGTTTCCGCCTGCTATCGTTAGCATCTATACAGATCTTGTATAGGATAGATGGTGTTTACCTCCAATCAAGAATCCACCCACACCGACAGTTCCACCACGACCGCCTGCGACTGTCCGGTTATACTTGCCCAGTGTCTTGTACACAGCCTGCCATCTCGATCCGGGCAGAATCGACGCGGTCTGAGTATCCTTGTGATAAGTCGTACTGTTCATCATCGACAGATCAATCGTCACACCGGGTTCGATGTTCGCAGCCCCAGCCCAGATAGTGTGGCCACCACTGCGCACGGCGAATTTGCATGGCGAAGACCCGTTTCTGGAGAGCGTTGACACGGCGAGAGAGACTTGTTCAGCAGTGTGTGGCTGGACGATGCAGGTTGGGTCGAGCTGGGCGTTGACGGAAAAGTAGGAGGAGACGGATTGGTTGTAGGCGAGGGAGTTGGGATAGAAGAGGTTGGTATGGAGAGGTGAAGCTTGGAGAGAGGCGCACTGTTGATATTATATTAGCACGATTATGTGGTTGCTGTGATGATAATAACATACACACGACTCGGGAATGCCAGAAGCACTCGAGACCGGCCAGGCACTCAGCAGCGCCACTGTAGACGGACAGAACTTCATGGTGAAAATGTTTGAATTCTGGACAAAAAATTAAGCCTAATAATCCCAGTCTGCGACCGCCCCTCTTTATACAGCCAGCAATGGCTTTATCCGAGTCATGTTGCCGGGCTACAAAGTGGCATTTTTACGCTCTTCTGCCCGAACATGCGCAAACACCGACTCACCCCTGCCAACAGGTGCTGCTCTTACTGGAAGAGGAAGATAAGATGCATGACAAGTGTGGACAAGTCTGGTTATAGTAACTGTTGATCAATTCGTCTGGAGATTTAGTGTGTCGGGGGTAACCCGGAGTGTGGATATGCCAGCACTCCATAGCCCGAACAACGAATCCACTCGGCTGTCTTTCCCATCCGGTTAATTGCCCCGTGGAACATGTTGATGGTTTAATGAAGGATTGGAGGATGAGGCTAATAAAGCTTTTCGATCGTGATATCGGTTAGACAGTTGGAGTTCGGCATTCCTTGAGTTCCTGTTACCGAGGTGTCATTAAATTTGACTAAAGTTATTCTTCACGTTATTTAATGATGCTTATAAATAACTATATCAAATTATCAATATAAAATTGTGTAAATAGTATCACATCAATTTAATCGTGCCATGACCTGCATCGTCCCACTTATCGCCCGTGCTTCTATTGAAATGAACCAAGCACAGATAATATTCCTATTAGTCTTGTTCGCTACCAACTATCATATCCAAATACCTCATGAACTATTGCAAATTAGATCTCGCAAATAACTTCACCCGCTGCTCATAACACGCCCGTCGATGCACCGAAACCCGACAGAACAGCAGCTTTTCAAATTGCGCAGTAGACACATTCACCGCGCGAAGTTGCAGATCCTCGCTTTTATCCTGCAGTCGCATCAGAAATACAATCTTTTCCCCGACGTGGTGGTACATCGCCCGAGGTGTCGGCCAGAATGTCCCCTTGGATGAGGCTTCGGTCGGGGATGGACACTCGTCGGTATCAGAGAGTGGATCTTGGTTGTAGATTGATCGGACGAGATTTAATATAGATAGCATGTAGGGTTTATCTGCGCGAGTGACGAGGTCGAATTCGTTGATGATGTTGAGACAGATTGTCTTCGATGGTATGGACAGTGGGAGGGTTATTGTTGGTGGTGCGCCGAATGTGAGGCAGGAGAAGCGGATGGAGTCTGTCAATGTCAGATAATATAACAGTTTATAAGCAGGTTTATCTACCATTTTGCTGTGATAAATATCGAAGGAAAAGCAAGGAAGCCACTGCACCTCCAGCCGAATGACCGGTGAATAACACATGGCCGCCTCTCTGCTTGTACTCCTCGATTCTCTTCGAGACGATAGAATCAAGAGCAACAGCGCTTTCCAAGAATCCCGAATGAGCTTCAAGGCTTGACGCAGACTCGGGTTGGAATGATGTATTCTCCATAATTAGAAAATGCAACTATACAAGACAACAGACTTACGATAAACGAAGCAGCATTCCGTGGCTCATTGTTGATATTCACCATATGATCGACTCGACTAGCAGTCCCTCGAATGGCGATAATCAAGACTGGTAATAGTTTGTTCGAGCATCCCTTTGGAGTGACTATGGTGAATGTCACTGCCTTGACGGTTCCACTGGTAGATGGCGTTACAACATGATCCAATGTCAAGATGCAGTTTTCGAATTGAAAAGGATGGGAAGATGAAGAAGCATTGTAAGAATCATGAGCACATTTCCAGGCAACCGAGATTAATTCCGCTTGTTCCTGGGAGCTGCACAATTAGCGCAAATATGTATATAGAAAAACAGCATACCATGACCAGTCTGTATAATCCACATCATTCAACTGACAATTATCATATCGCGATGCCTCCTGGTCAAGTCGTTCAGTGAGTACTTTCATTTGACTATTAATGTCATCTGCACCAATTAGCATGCATTTACACAGAAAAATAAGCCTCACCATCAAGATCAATCTGCTCAAGGACAGTACCCAAAGCAGCAGAAAATTCCGAAACGGCAGCTGAAGCACCCTGGGAATGATCAACAAAGGTGAATCCCGACGATGGAGGAGCTGCTGAAGCTCTCAGTGCAGAAGCAGTTGGCCTGGGATTTCTCTGAACAATTTTCAACAGGCGTTTCATTTTGTCTGTGATAATGACACAAAGAGATGAAGAATAAATGTCGATGCATATTGTGTACATTAATAGATAACCCAATGACTCCTTTCCGCCGCAACCATACGCCCGATGATTCCACCAAATCGTGGCTGAGACAGGGCGACTCTCGTGTTAGCCTCACTTTTCTCACGCCATCTGCAGGGGAAAGTCTCGTGATGAAGGTCTTGGCTCCAATCAGATAAAAGCTAAGCGAGACAAGGCTGTGAGGCTATCGCCATTCTTATTGTGAGAATGATGCTATTGGTCGGTATGCATGCAGATTTGCCTTGATTTATCCTGTTGCGCCCTGCATGAAATAATCAGATAAGAGGCAAAATAGGCGAGCTGTTGCCTATCTTGTGAGGCTGTATAAACAGCTATAACTGCCTGTCAGCTTGATGTATTTTCCACCAGATAATCATTCTAACTACTGATATCATCATGCCTTGCCTCCCCAGATTCAAATCCTCCAACTGCACTCAATCTTCCCTCCCGAACATAACGCACGCCCCCAGCGTCCCCTGGACTTTAATCGGGCCATCTAACGTACACCTCCCAGAAGAGCTTGAAAAGCTATATTGGCATGGCGTGAGAAGAGAGCTGGAAAATATCATTTCTACATTAAAGCTATGGCAGCAGGAAGAGTATGCGGAAGTCAATGTCAACGAAGAGAATGATAAGATTCATGGATTCGATACTTTTGTCGACGGTGTTTGTCATCAGACGAGAGCTTTTGCGATTCGATATGGTATGTCGCTTTCATATGATGTTGACCAAGGCTGACAAGTATAGGGGAGGAGAAGCTTAAGCTACAGCAGGATGACGGAGAAGATGAGGATAAGAAGTTGACAAAGTTGGAAAAACAGCTGAAACGAGATTCAAGAATTGATGAAGAGAGCAAGAAGATCAATTCGGGTGTGAGGAAGAATTTACCAAGTATGTTTATCTCGTCTTACTGTTCGATGCTAATGATATAGCCATTCCACGATATTCGGGTATCGAACAGCGGGCATGCATGTTGTTACAGGCAGCCGGTTAGTACATAACTGTCATAAATAACCAATTCTAATATGATTAAGGCTTCCTCGATATTGACAAACACATTGAACATCGACCTCCATTGGAGAAACTCGGATTCTGGACTAGGCCAGCTATTCCTCAGCGTATGCCTCACTTCACCATACTATGCTGATTCATGCTTACTAGATAGTAACTCTTACCCACTTTGAAAAAGACTGGACACCGCAGTTCAACATGCTAGAATGCTCCAAATGCCACAGCATCATCCGAGGCAGCATGTTTGTACATATCGATAAGGTAATTAAACAGAATACCATCTGCGAAGAGTGTTATCGGCTACACTATTACGGGAATGCAGAATATGAAAAGGCATATAAACACTGCATTCTGTCTGAAACCATCACCCCGTCGATTAGCAGGGCGATGTGCAATTGTGAAGATGTGCCACAGTCGACTGAAGAAGGGGATATGCGTGCTTTATTCCCCATTTCCAGGGATGAAAAACACATCGAAAAGGAGGAATTGCAATGCAAACTGCTCCAGCTGGGTGGACAGGTTGCCCTTGCCAAATATCACGGCTTGCAGAGTATTGTCCAAACACAAGAGGAAGACCACAACAAGGATACCAAGTCTTCTTCCAAGCTCAAGTCGGTACTGGGCATATTCAACCGAGAGCACAAGGAGGCAAAAGGCCGAACCAAGAAAATAACCAAACTCGGATCGAAAAAACTTACCCTGCAGAATGTATCAGAAACAGGAAGAAGGAGCACACCAACCAAAACTCATGGCGATTACCCCGCAGCCACAGAAGCCAAAGCCGATGAAGACATTCCCATCTTCTTCCGGCAGTTCACAGAGCAGTATCCGTTTGGCAACGTGCATATGGCGCTTCGAGTTGGGCCGTTGGTTATTGAGAATGGAGTTGCACAGTATGTTCCCACGAAGCGAGTATATTCGATGCTAATATCCTGCAGCACGAAAGGAGGCGCTTTGATCAGTCTGCGAGAATTGCCGATTTTCCACGAACGCAGCTCAACTAGCCAGTCTCGGCAGCGCAGCCTCGCAGTTTCTGGCGATGTTAACAGATATCTCTGGCAACAGGATCGTCCAGCTGGGGCTCCAAAGAGGTACAAATCCATCATGAAGCAGGTCGTCGGAGGGCCTTTTACAGGTGTTACTTCCAGATCGACTGAAACCGCTGAAGAAAAGGCCATCATCCAGCTTCTCGTAGAGGCAAGCAAAAAGCAATTCGACGATCCTGGCCTCTCAGCCGCAGATAAAAAGAGAATGCTGGATTCAACTCTCGATCCGGTCATGAAAAGCCTCAAATCTCTCCTCCAAATCCGCGTCAGGATTTATCTATCCAGCATCGCAGCACGACTCATTGACCCAACACTCACGACTCTCACCTGGAGCGCAACAAGCAACAACTGCCAGAGTTTCTGCAACTCTCTCATCGATAAAGAGCTGTTCGAACCTCTCGTCAGCAACCACAAGGGCAAAGAAGGATTGTACCTGATGAGCTTCGTCTGTCCTCAAGAAGGATACATTCGAAACAAAGTCCACTCGAAATTCGACGTCCCCAGCGGTCTTACCGAGGAATATCTCCTTCGTTTCCACTTTGGCCGGCACGACGACGCAGACGTAATCGACACTTTACAAGAGTATTGGTGCGATTGGGGCGCATTCGGATCTCCTCTATACAAATACCAAGATCTCTTCCCATGGGACTGCACAGAAGCATACGGACGCTATCCTACAAGATGCAACGACTGCAACCTCGCCAAACACATTCTGGCCTTTCCATTCGACGCATGGTCTATCATTCAGCTCCATCTAAACAGAGATCCACACATGTACGCCCCATCCAGCAACGTCTCTCACTCCTGGATTGAGAACCGACTGTTAATCCTCACTGCCTCGTCAATTCTCACCAAAGCCGCTGCTGCGATGGCCAAAACGCCTGGTTTTTGCCACGCCACGCAGTGGCTTCATTCCGAGCAGAGTAAGCTCCGACGTAGGGATCCTTCGCTTACCCGCGTTAAGCTGGGAGGGATCCATCGTGCGCAGCCGTTTAGTCATTACTTTGAGGCGGGAAAATATAGTCATTACTTCCTGGCGCAGTGGGCTTTGAGGCCGAGGAATGAACAGATTGAGGAGTATGAGCTGCTGCGAGATGGACGTGTTGGCATGTTGGATGTTGGAGGTGGGGATTCAGGAAAGAAGTCGTCGAATATGGATGATGCGATTATGGAATACCAGAATCAACTGGATCTGCTATTCGCTGGTTTCGATATGGATAATTCACCGAATGATACCCAAGACGATCAGGACAGTGGCGATGGGAATGATTCTAATGCACAGCAAGATAGCAATCCCCATCATCATCATACAGGTACATCCGGTGCTGCAGTATCGTCTGGAGATAAACCGGATAGTAATACCAACGATCCATCATCCGGAAACGACCAGAATGACTCTCACAAAGGAGGCCAGGAAAGTCATTCCGATGCAGCAACGACCGTTACACCAAGCCATAGTCACGCAGTTACTCATTCAGGAAAGAGTCATTCAGGAAAGGACCACTGGGATTCCTATTCAGATATCGGAAGTCTGTCAAACGTCTCTTACTCGGGTCTTCATTCGGGTGGTCATACGAGTGGTTACTCAAGTGGTTATTCTGGGTATTCTGGAGGTCATTCTAGCAGTTATTCGAGTAGTTATTCCGGGGGCTACTCGAGTAGCTACTCATCTGGAAGAAGCTATTCAGGAGGAAGCAGTTCGTATAGTTCCGGTGGGGGCAGCAGTTCTTACGATTCAGGAAGTTCTTCTTCGAACTGGTGATCTCATCTTAAGTATTCGAGCTAGTTTGTATACTTTCAAATCAAATCATACAGAATATCTACCACTCCAAAACATCCCCTGTATAACTCACAAACCTCCCCGACACAGTCTCTCTACTCGCCCCATCAATCACCGCCAGCATCCCCCTCACACTCTCCTCAACACTCACCATGAACTTCTCCCCCATCTCTCCAACCCCCCATTCACTCGCCGCAAACTCCCCAGCCCTCGTTTTAACCCACCCCGGATGAAGCGCAACAGCCACAAGTCCACTCTCTTCATTCTGGAGATGCAAAGCCCTCGTCAGCCAATTCCCCGCCGCACGACTAGCCCCGTACGCGCCGCCGGGGAAGGGCTCTTGGGAGGTAATCGACCCCACAGAGGAGGATAGCATGATCGCCTTGGGTTGTCCGGTGGGTGAGCTCTGTAAGAGCGGCCAGCAAGCTTGGAAAACAAGGAGAGGGGCGATGGTGTTTGTCTCAAAGGAGGCGCGGAGGTCGGATGCACTTGTTTCGAGCGCAGTGTGCATGGGTGCGATATGGCCTGCGTTGCAAATTAGGACATCGATGTGGGAGATGTTTAATGGGGCGAGGGAGGATTGGATTTGGGATGGTGGGATGGCGGTGGTGAAGTCGAGGGTGAGGATGTGTAGGATGCTGTTGTTGTCTCGGATGGTAATTTCGGATTTGAGAGTGGCAGCTGCGTCGTCGGTGCGGACTGTTGCGATGACTGTGGCGGAGGGGCGGGCGATGAGGGCTTTGACGAGGCCGAGACCGAGGCCTCTGTTTGCGCCTGTCACGAGGTAGATTTTGGAGGGCATTTTTATAAATATTTGGAAGAGATGAAGGGAAGATGGAGGAATAGAAAAGAGCGAGTTTATATAGTTGTGTTTATAATAAGCACTAGTACTGTTCGGGCAAGTGGCGATCAATATAGAAACATTCTCGTATACAGCGGTTTCAAAGAATTCAATATAATACACTCCATCCATCTGTCTGAGTTATTCGGATAACTCAATAAGCACGACAAAGGGATCCATCCCGTCTCTCAGCCCATCTTTCACTTCCAACACAGTGATGACACCAGAGAATCCCCTCCGGATCATACTTTTGCTTGATCTCATGAAGACGAGCATAGTTGGGTCCGAAGAAAGACCACTGCCAGTCGATTTCATATGGATTTGCCTGTTAACATTAGTATTGCTTTATAATAAGATGATAAGCAAGCATACCTCGTTAAAGTAAGCACCTGAATCAGGGGCAAGCTGTCGGAGTGCATATCCCCTCTTATATGTCATGTCGTATATTGTCTTGTTTGCCACAGATTCAGGCAGTGTATCATCCCAGCTTTGGCTGACGATGAGATGGGCGATGGAGTCTCTCCATGCTGGGTTCAGGGCGTTGTTGACTGCTATCTTGCTGCCTGTCATTGTACCAGAGATGGATGGATTCGAGACGCCATTCTGTATTTGTTAGTCATGCTTTGAATATAGTATAGGGAGAATACTTACTCCAGATAATCCCTTCTCCGTACTCCTCTCCAGCATCTCAGCGAGTAAGTCGACATCCTCGACAGCACGGCGGGGTATAAACCTCGATGTCCGAATACCCTGTGTTGTCCCCACACTTTCAATATTCGGTAGGTTCTTGACGAGATCATACCACTTTGGAACGGACTGGCTTGTAATAGCGAATGTAGCAGTGGCATTCGCTGCGCTTAGCATCTTTCTCAATGGCGAAATGATCCTCTGAGTCGTGCTATTGGTGGTATTGTATAGAAGCAGCGAAATAGTAAACGACTCGGAAGGAGCAGACGAAGAATAATACCCATGAGCTCCGGCATCCTGCAACTGCGGGAATGTACCATGAACTTCTGCGATATGCCTCCACCAATCCTTAGATGAAGTGCCATTCTTTCTGGAAAGATCAACACCCACCAAGGTTGTTGATGGCATTTTGTAGGCTTTAACGGTGACACTGATGATAACGCCAAACGTGCCTCCGCCTCCACCACGAATCGCCCAGAAGATATCCTCATTCTGGCATTCGTTCGCAGTGAGAATGTCTCCAGTTGGCGTGACAATCACAGCTTGGACGATGTTGTCTGCACCCATGCCGTAAGTGCCTGTTGCCATACCGTGTCCGCCGCCAGTGGCCCATCCGACGAAGCCGACGTCCTAATCTGTCAGTATAGATGGGACATATGGATAGAAGGACGTACAGCGTTAGTTCCACCAACGGCCATGGCATCGTATTTGGCCATTGCTGCGAAGAGCTCTCCGTCTTGGACGCCGGCACCGATGGTAGCTGCCATCTGCGTCTTGTTGGTTTTGCATGACTGTGGCTGGAAGGATTCATGGAATTGGATATCTTTCAGATTGTGCATCCACACCCTGGATAGTTAGTATCATCCAACAACTTCAGAGGATATACGTACGATAAACTCCCATAAGCAGCCCTAAACCAGTTAGCTTCATCCACACCAAAGGTTCGTATGATACTCACGTCTTCTCCGCATTATGCCCCGTATTCTTCACATTAAACCTCAACTTCCACTTCTTCGCAAACTGCAGCGCAACCTGCACATCACTCGCCTCCGTCACATTCACCACATATGGCGGATACTTTCCAACCGAACATCCCTTTCTCCCGGCATGTGGGTCGCCCGTGATACTTGTTCCATTCGGGTAGATCGGGTTGCAGCTACTACCCGCCCACTCTGGGCCATCAATACTCGCTGGATCAGCGGAGTGGAAAGCTGAATTCGTCCAGTTTGAGAGAACAGATGAGCAGGCGTCTTTGTTGTAGTTTGGTTCGGTGGGATAGCAAACTGAGCCAAGGGGGGTGGTGTGTATCAAGCGGCCAGAAATGGTTTCGTTGAGGGAATTCCAGTCGGTGGGGGAGGGCCAGCAGGGGTTAGAGGGGGTCTGGATTTGTTAGTTGATATGTATAAGGTGTAGGTGAAAGGGAACTTACGCATTTGCAATCAGAGGCAGCCACCACGCTGCTGAGAACTGGAATCAAAGATAGGTATTGCAGACGCATGATGAGGTCGATGGTATTCAATCTCAGTCGGATTCTACTGGATTTATATAGTATTCATCCTGCTCACCCATGGATACAATAACCCCTTGATCCACTGGAGGCAACATAATTTGAAAAATCAGTTATTCATCTCCATCTGGAAATCCTCAAAATAAAACTCGTTTTCGCATCCATTCCCCCATGTCGTAAAGATCGGTCGGTTAGATTACCCGATATGGAAATCTGGTCGTACTCGTGGTGGCATCGATTCGAGAACTTTATAGTTTTATCCATCTCGGCTTCTTGGCACTTGGCAGGTACGTATAGGCTGTTATCGTTTATATGATACGGATTGAATATCTTTATTACTCTGCAACAGGGATAATTCATTCAAAGAGGTAGTAAAAAGCGTGTTTCATAGCAAGAAAAGGCCATCTTAAAGACAGACTGTTACAACCAATCCAACTCATCCAAAAAACTCAATCCCCAGATATACGCTCGTTCAATGCGCCGACTGTATGCTTCTTTGTTCTCCGCCAGATCGAATGGAAATTTGTCCATTTCCGGCTTCTTCTCTCCACCTTTCACGCCTGTCTTTTTCCGGCTGCGCATGCAGCAGCCACAGGCAGTCGTGCAATGTCCTCGCTTCAAATCCCGCCATGTATCTCTCGATTTCTCGCAGCATCCACACGCTCTCCCACAGCATCCTCCCCGCCCTGCACACTCCTGGCGTAGCCAAGCACATAGGTACCAGTTTGGATCGCTTCTTGTTGCTTTATACCCTCTTTTCAAAGCCCCAACCGGCCCCCCTCCTGTTAAAATCCATAACGATCGCTCATGGACCCAGTATTGATCATTGAGGCTCGTGAGTTCCTCCTCGTAGGCACTTAGCTGTGATGCCTTTGCTGTATCGACATCAGAAGACAACTCGAGCATCTTTTTCAACGCCTGAGCTTCGTCTCGGACATAGATCTCTCTCTGCACAATCCACCGTCCCTTGATATCGGCCTTGACTATTTCCTGACACCACCGTCCCTCTTGGCTTCTTCTCCTACTGTCATCTAGTGACCAGAAGATCTGCCAGCGAACTATCTGAGCGAGTTGGAGATGACCGGCATTTTCAAGTTTTGTTTCGAGCCACTTCATCTCATCCGTGTTTTCTGAAGCTTTAGGTCGCAGTTCGAGTTGAATCCGGACTTTGTCGATGAAGGGGAGCTTGGATAGAAGGGGTTTGGCCAGGTCTCGTGGATTATCTGAGTACGGAATCCATGCTTTCCATTTCTCGACATTGGATAAACAGGTCAAAGGTCGCATGACGAAAGGCATGGTTGGGGTGGTGAGTGGTTATAGGTGTCTTCTTGCAATTTTGAAGTTTTATGATTTTTGTATATACGAATCACCCTGATGTCATTTATACTCCTCCAGATACATCATATCTGCCAGTTACTGCTTCTTCCTCGCCATAATCAACGCACTCCCCCATTCAATATCCACCTCGACCTCCCTCCAACCCCCCTCAACACCCTCACCACGAAGCTCAGGCTCTTCCTCCCGAATCCTATCCATCAACTCGTCAATCACATCCCCCTCCCCATCACCATCAACAGCCCGTCGTTTTCTATTCGGCCATCTCCCCTTCCACGCATGAAACGCACTCCACGTCCGAATATACTCTTCCATCGTGCCGAGCTTCATCTTAGCCTGCATAAACCTCGTCCCCTCCCCAGTCTCAGGCTCATACTCCAACCGCGTGATATCATTCCAATCCTGCGGTGGTGGCTGTACGGCTCTGAGCTTCTGCTGCACAATACTCCGTCCTGGTTGTTGCCAGTACGAGCCCATCAGCCATGGATCGTGATCGTAGGCGTAGTGGTTGATTAGTGCCGTCGCTTTGGGATGCGATACCATGACGTGGTCTTTATAGCCCCAGAATGCGAGTGTGCCCCCAGGTCGAACGATTCGTTTTAGTTCTGGCCAGAGAGAGTCGTAGTTGAACCAGTGGGAGGCTTGTGCGGCGACAACCAGGTCGACGGAATTATCATTAACAAAGTCTGACCTTTCTGCGGATGCCTGATGGAAGCTGATATTTGTGTACTCGGAAGATAAATTCTTTGCTTCCTGGATCATTCCTGCTGATGGATCGCTGCCGATGACTCGGTCGAAGTGTGGACTGAGATACCGGGCTACCAGGCCATGACCGGTTCCGAGATCCAGTGCCAGCGATGAAGGGCCATTGTGGAATGAAAATATTAAAGAGTAGAGATGATTAGGGTAGCTGGGACGAAATGCTGCATAGCCGTGGTGGCTGAATGCTTTGCTTCTGTGATGGGGTTAGACTGATGATAGTCATGAAGAAGTTGGGTGAGGTCATACGCGAATGATGTCATTCTTGATTCGCTTCCACTTTCGATGTCAAAACGCGATTAAGTTTTACTTGTAGTTATTTATGTTTTGAATAAATCTAACCTGAACGGATGAGGATATTGAGCCTGTTGAAACAGTATTTAAGCATTGTTGATAAGTCCAGGGTCCAATGTACCGAAGATCGGCGATCGCGTGGCCATTATCTTGCATCCGGTTTCGGCATTATTGCTCATCCAGGAGAACGATTGACTATCATCAAAACAATGCTTTGATTTATTACAGCTTCACGCTGAGATAGAACAGTTTCAATTGAATTTGATTTATTTTCTTCTATTCTATCTGATTTTGTCAGACTTGATTGCTCTCCGTCATAGTCGCCAAATTGAATGTTCGCGCATACGATTATATATTCTAGCCACACAGATGTTGAGGATGGTGCACATTAACTCAGACAAAGTTAAATCTATAAAACACAACATCGCATCTTGTCCTGCAGGTGAATCATTGTTTATATTTATAAAGCTGTTTGATCTACTGGCTTCGTTGTGTAACTAACTATAACCGAGAATCGGCAGATTTACAGTGTACCAACCTGCTGATGACGGATATAGGACTACAGAGGATATGACAGTTCTGAATCAAGGCATTTCAAGACTATTCGTATCTGAAAGGTATTAATAACTTATTACAAAGTAAAAGAATTGTGCATAGTATCTCATGAATGAGTTTGTAATTTTGACGCTTATGAATGTGGGATGCCGATTATTTATCCCACATCGGAGACATTCTATTCCCCCGACAGCCAGAATAAGTTCGGCATCAATCCATATTTCGAACACCATCTTCTTTCGAACAACATACTCTTTCTCCATTGTACATTGAACCTCATCTATCACACACATCACCATGTCAGTCAGCGGAAACCGCCGCATCGCCATTGTTGGCGTGGGCTCAGCCATGTCCAAATCACTCGCTACATGGCTCGCCACACTGGGATGGAACATAGCATTGATCTCCCGGTCCGAACAGAATCTGTCAAAAATCGCCCAAGATGTCATTCGCGTCCAGAAAAACAGTCAAAGCAAAGTGGTTTATCGAGCCGCAGATGCCAGTGAACCAGACAGCCTAAAAGCAGCCTTGGACTGGTCTGTCCAGGAGCTCGGTGGCAAATTGGACGTGCTCAACTATAACGCCGCCCGTGTTGCTGCTTCAGACATTACAACTGTCACGCCTGAAGAATTGGAGATGGATTTTCGGGTTTCAGCTATCGGGACGTTGGTTGCCGGGCAGTGGTTTCAGGAGAATGCGAGTGTTGATCGTGTGGAAGGAGAAAAACCGCTGTTTCTTGTTACTGGGGGTGTTCTCGACAAACATCCAATTCCTCCAGTCGCATCTCTTTCCACGGCAAAGGCGGCTTCTCAGACCGTGAGCAGATTGTTTGCGCAGGTTCTTCCTGAACAGGCCGGTATTCTGGTCGGTATGCCGTTGGTGAGTGGGGTGATTACGGATCTGGAGACTGGCGAGTTTAACCCGGACTTTCATCCGGATGATATTATCCAGAATATTTTCAGGCCATTTTTTGAAGATCGGGAGAGGATGACGGATGGGCTTGAGTGGACTGTGGAGAGGGTCATGTGAGGGTGTTTAAAACAGGATTTTTTTTGATATGAACTATGTAAATTAGGACGATCAGCTATTAACAGCCATGGCCTCAAATTGAGATGAAAGTAGATCTATATCAAGATCGCCTAATGATAGGCGCGTACAATAATCCCCTTTATCTGTTTCAATTAGCAGATATAAACTACAAGAATAATTAGCAAACATACTAATACCACGACTGGCACAAGCTTTCTGCAGCAACGAGATAGAGATATAAGACTCAATACACTCAGCCGGAATCCATCGGTGTGCAACCCAGTAGTTGAGATTCGCATATTCTAGTCCATCTGGCTGATTTCCTCTTCGAAGAGGCATATTTAGTGATTCAGCCAACGTTGTAGTGCGGTTAATCAGAACGCCCATCGCGAGCAGTTTCGAAACGCTGATGACAGCTATTTTGTCGCCCTCCTTTGCACTCAATGACCAGCCTTTAATGAGGTTGAAGATTCTAGACGGACTATCAGATAGGGCAATGAGATCTGACGGATTCCCTCCCTTGCATTGGTTCCGTAAAGCTGCTTCGTCCACTAGGTTGCTGTCGACAAGAGTGCCATTGCGGTAGACAGGTGATGTCAAAGACTGGTTGGAACAGCGAAAGCCTAGGTCTTTACTGTGTCGCGTATGATCGCCAGATGTAAAGAGACGATACAGAATCTCTGGTGTATCTGGTTCTGGTTCCCTCGGTTGGCCTAACTCTTGACTGATGAAAGCTTTACTGAGCATCCGAAGCGTGTTGACATTCATCGAGTATGACAGGCGTGCGTCCCAGAGTCTTATTTTGACGATTTTGGTTTTTTCTTCAAATGAAAGTCCCCTTATAATTTCTGCATCTTCAAACTCAGGACGGAGTCCGTCACCTGGTATACCAGTGATTTTTGACGCCAGAAAGTTGATACTCTCCGAAATGAAGATGTTATCATCAAGAAGGCAACGCAGTTCTTGTTGGAGTTTATTGTACTCCTTGAGACTGTACTTTTCTCTAGCCTGTAGTCGATTCTTCTCTTTGGTTTCTTCCGTCAATTTCGTACTGTTAGGACCACTAATAGGAAGAAAATATATTTTTTCGACCAACTGCAGACCGTACTTTTCCATGATCGCGGGGACTGGTATTTTGAGGGATATCGAGATGAAGATAGAGGTGATTGTGAAGTTGGGGATGATGGCTGGTTGAGACAAGGCTGGCCGTGTTTTCTTGGCGGCAGGGGTTTGTCCATGAGTCATCTTTACTGTCGATAATGACACTCCATATGCAACTATCATATATTACAAGCAAGTAAATCCTAATTCTTCAAAGTCCGTTCGAAGAGACGAGCATATCCCATCAACCAACGCCATGGGGAGGGTCACGTGAGGGTGTTTCTCAAACTAAAAGTATACGAAGCTATGTACATTAAGACGATGACGAATCATGGCGGACAAACAGAGTCACTTCAATGAGCGTTGAACCGACTCCGCGGTTGATCCACCGGGTGACGGGTGTTGGGGAATATAAAACGCGCACAAAGCAAGGAGGATGACACCGACAATGCAATACCCCTCTTTTCCTAAATTCGGTCCTCCTTGCAGTTGACTCGAGAGCGTTTGACTCCCTAGCAGACACAGCATCTGGTTGGTCGCTAGCTGCCTCGTTGCTGTCATCTGCATGTCAGGTCAAGGCAGCGAGTGTCGTCCGCTTGGCATACCGGCGACAGGTCGAGGGGAAACTTTCCCGGTGAGTTGAGGATGCAAAGGATGTCTTACTCTTCTTCGCTCGTCATCGCATACTGGCTTTCGCAAGCAGTGCAGACCTTGCGTTGCTTTGATGTGTGAGCGCTGGATTGGAAGATGAGTTGGGTGAAAGAGGTGGCTTTGTCGCAGTAGGAACAGTCTGAATGTAAACACACACAAATTATAGGACATCATAGTGGCTGGCTGGACATGTGAGGGATACTACACACCACACGCCAATGATCAAACTCCCTGACGTGGTGATAGAAATACGACGATGATGCAGATTCAGTTAGTGGATGTCAGACATGCTTATAGAATCGCAGATGATCATGATGTGGATCAGTTAAAAGGCAAAGCTGGGATTAAAGGGAAGATATATTCACCCCTAAAAAAGTAGTAATAAGCATAAGGTGGATGTCTAGTATGGTAGGGTTGGAATGACAGCGGAACAAGAACAAGATGCATTTAAATGCAGCAATCTCATTGGTCGGGTCTGAGCATTACAGTGGTGGAATGCAGGCTGCTGTATGGAACATATACCACATTCCATCATGAAACAGCGGTAAGGGAAGAATGCGCTGAAAACAGTATATAAAAACATACTCCATAACCATATCGCCGTTTGCTCTCTTGAAACCAAACAACCAGCACATCAGGTTACTAGTGCGATCAATTCATTCTGATCTCTACAGCCGGCACCTCCCTGTTTCCTCTTTCCGCCCACTATGCGTATCTGCGTGTTGCAGCCCTCACATGGAGGCTCTGGCTCCAACCTCGAAGAGTCAACCGATGCAGTTTCCAAACCAGGAGCCCACACGAGTCAGCACAAATTCGAGAACCGGTTCATTCATATGAAGACAGCGAGGGAGGAAATAGACAATATAGTAGCCGAGGGATTCGATTTCTACATCAACCTTCTCTGGGGCACGTTGGACGACCCTGTGGCCGGAATACAAGCCTCTCAATACTTTGAGTCGCTGGGCGTCCCCTCGGCGGGCGTTCGAAGCTGGCAGCGCTCTCGAAACAAAAAGGCCTTCCATGAGAATGCCAGGCGACGGGGTGCACCGCCGGTTCCTGGTACGACACAGTTTCCCTTGGTCGTCAAGCCCGCGAGTGGGCGCACCAGCCAGATGATCGATGAGAACTCTGTCTGCTACAATGAGACGGAGCTGAATGATGCCCTGCGCCGTATCAACAGCCAGATGTACCCTTTTCGGCTGCAGAGAGCCAAAGCCCTCGGAATCATGGACCCGCAGGCTTATATCGAGTCATACGACCCCGTTGGACGGTCCAGTGACGATATTGTGATCCAAGAGTACATTGACGGAGAAGACTATGTTGTGACCGTGATCGAAATGGGTGATTCTGCGATTGCTCTGAATCCCTGTATCATGAAAAGCAAAGGTCTGTCTCGGAAGGAGAAGTTTGTCACGTTGGACCTAAAGCTTGACCCCAAAACACGGATGAAACTAATTACGAGAGACGACGACCCAGCCTTATTTGGAAATCTCCAACAGGCCGCTCTCGAGGCCTTTGAGGCCGGCATGTTCCGAGGCAGCTACATGGGATGTGATGTGGATTTCCGAGTTCGCCCTGATGGCCAGGTCTTTGTCATTGGGGCGAACCCGCTGCCAGCGGCTTTCCTACCGGGTGAATTGAAACACCAAGGTCTGCCCACTATCGAGTCTCTCCCCGGAGGCCACACGGCGGTGGTGGACATCTTCATCACCAACTACTTTCTTCGCAATGGAATCGGCCGGGAGTGGGGCAAAGTTGCCGCGAATTACGATGACATGGCGCAGACGTACGACGGCGATGGAGAGACACACAGTCAGGACGCAAAGAACTTCCAGACAATCGTGCAGCAATTCGATTTCGCCGGCACGGTGTTCGATCTGGCCTGCGGAACGGGATTCTTCGGCCGCGTTCTGGCAGCGAACAGGCCTGAAAAGGACTACAGCCTCACTGGCTTCGACATCTCCGTAGAAATGGTAGCCATATGCCGCAAAACAGGTCTCTACAGCGAGGTCTACATTGACCGCATGCAAACATGTCTTCTCAAGGCCCATGACCAGGCTGAAGCAGACCACATTGTCTGCTTTGGAGCGGCTCACTTCCTCTCGCCCGAGGAGCTCACTTTTTGTCTCGTTCTGTGCTTCGTTGTAGCCAGGAAATCCATCACGATTGCTATTGATGAGATCCCGGACTCTTATAATGAGAACTTGGATCGGCTGGGACATTCTTGCATGCGCTCCCTCAACCATCTTGCACACATGGAATCATTCGGAGTGCCTCGTGGGTGGCGCTTAATCAGTCGTCAGCGGCAGTATTCATGGACCTCGCCCACCACCGGAGATGATGTATTCAGTAACTTCTTTCGATTCGAAAGGATTGACGGGGAAAATGGCCGTGATATCAAGGCTTTGGCAGTCCGCGAGTTGAACTGAGAAGTGTCGCACTTGCGGCTTTTGGTTAGCGTTATACATGATTACTTCTGTAGGGCAAAGCACTGGTTAGTTGAGAGTTAACCAGGTTTTAACTAGATGTTATGAGCTATCAGGAGGTTGATACATTTAGTGAAGAAGATGTTATCGTCAAGAAGCAACATCTTTTCAGATTGACTTAATTCTAATCGTCCTTTAGTTCTTTGTCCTCTTCAGCCTCTAGTACGGACTTCCTTTCTCTTACATAATTAGCATAAAACTGACAGCATATATACATCTATCTTACATTCTAATAATCAGTCACAGTGCTTGAAAATCCGCTCGAATGGACGCGCATATTCCATCAACCAACTCCATCTCCTCAACCGGCACACCCAGAGCTCCAGCTTGCCAACTCACGGTGCACATCAAGCTACCCCCCTTGACACTGATAACATTGAACACAAGCGGCGCACTGGGAACATTGCCAGGCTGGGTGAATACCATTTTGCTAATATTGCACTTCTCACTCGAACCACCATCAAAAACAAGTAAATTGCTCACTTCGTACGAGGAATCTCGTCGCTGTCCGATTTTCCCCAGCGTCCAGGTCCTGAAATTCGGGAGGTATCGAAGGAGCCCGATGGCTTGGTCTTGGAGTCTGGTGCCGCATTCGGCGAGCTTCCTCGTCATTGAGCTTGCTGCTGTCCACATTTCGTCTGATAATGTAGGCTCTGTGTCAGGTAGACGTGGGTGAACATCGTAATGGCCAGAGACGTAAAGACCCCATGTATCGGCGGGTATACCGATAGACCCGCGCATATCAACCGCAGTTCCAGAGACGAAATGAGTGATATCGTCACCAGGGATAGCCTTGTTTAACGCTCGAACGATGAACTGGTGCAGTGTTGCAGTGAGTTTGGTGTCGTGGTTTCGCGACGCCTGCAGCGCCCTTTGGACTAGCGGAGCTTCAATCTCCAGTAGCTTCACTCTGCTGTTCGTGGTAGAGTCGAAGAAGATGCGTGAACCAGTCCAGGTCCCGGCATCGACTGTGCTGGCTGCTGTGCGGAGGCCGATCATTTGGCTGATGAACTTGGGTATGTATACAGCTATCAGCGGGGCTAGGAGGAATGACCACGAGATAGGGAGTCTTTCGGGTGTGTCGAATGGTGCTGGAAGGGGTTGAATGGGTGGAGTTATGATGGGAGACCCTTTCTCGTCCATAGTAGGACTCTGTCGACATGCCTCTAGAAACGTGCGATGGAATGCATGCCCGACCATCCCATCGCCGATAGTATGAGAGAAGGCAAAAGCAATAAAGCAGCGTGTGACTGTAGAGTCATGCAGAGGAAGAATGACAATTCTCCATGGTGGTACATCAGCAGGCCATGGCCGGTCGAGGATTGGTGGCAGGATCTTTTCAAAAGCTGCCGTTTCGTCCTCACTGCTGGCCTCCTCGTGGACTATAGACACATGGTTCTCGAGATTGACACTCTCCACCCTTTCGTAGGCTGGGCTTTCGGTATGTTTGTCTTTGACGACTACACTCAGATATGGGTACTTCTGAATGCACTCTTTCAATGGCTGAATAAAAGAACGAGGCGAATCAATGTCTATATCATTTTCAAACTCATAGACAGCTGCTATGACGAGTGCATTGTAGAACCCGACATCTTCGCGACTGATTGTGCGCCGTTCATTGGGGCCTGCTTTTGAGTTAGCATTGGTGCATCCATAAAAGAGGACATTTACTAACTTGCGAATCTCATAATGTTTTTGACTGCAACATTTCAGTCGTGCATGTTATGCCAAAGAGCGAGTGTCGGAGGTTAGGGGAAATAGACTATTTATAAATGGCCCATCTGGTGTTCTAGACGCTGATATTTTCCTCCAGTCACAGCACGATATGATTGGCCAGGTTTTATTTTATATTGGGGGCTGCCTATGGTCAGGTGAGGTCACATGACTATTGCCTATAGAGTCATAGCGATCATATGCTTGGGAATACACCAATTTATTCACTATACAAAGGCAATATAAATCCCAAAACTGAATGATACCTGTGCCATCAAGTGTGCATTGCATTTTTTGGATGTTTTCTATCCGTTCCATATAACATAAATGAGAAGAAGCGAGTTACAAACAGTCAGCTTAGGTAGTAGCAAGCAACATTCAATTCCTTTTGCAAATAAAATCAAATTGAATCTTCTGGTAACTAGTAATCAAATGTCAGAACAACCACTCCAGGTTAAGTAATTCTCCCACAGGGCCAAAAGATTATTATCATTATGGTCTCAACAGCTGGGATCCACTATACATAGTAGGTAGCGCACACGTGTTCTAGAATCTTCAGTTCTAACACTCTTGTGCCTTCAGCAATGTAATTTTTCCTGCTTATTAAGTTCTTCTTATAAATCCTCTAGTTATTTTAGAGTATATATAAGGGTCTTTTCTGTATACGAAATGTACATCTGGGAGCCGCGGACCCATCACATTAGCCGAGTAGGCTTAGAGACACTAATGCGCTTTCTGTTCTAGCCACTACGGTTGCCTAGCGGAGCGCCAGATGTTTAGATTGGAACCGTGGGCGCTTCGGACTCCCTCCCAGTTCCGTGGGTCGATTCCGGTCCATACAGTGCCGCCCCGCCCTGGTGTACCCTGTGTTTGGCAACTTAATACCTGGACACTTCCGCGTCTAAACAATTGAGGGTCTACACTTTTTGGCGTCATGCTATGGTAAACTGTCGATATCTTGAAATGTTATTCACTGGCCTTGCTGTATCACGGGCATGCGTACACTTCGGACCAGCAAGCTTTAGCTTCAGGTCGTGACCTGCCGCCCAGAGTCCTACTAAACCCCTTACAGCTATTTCGTCGCTTTCAAACGGGCGAAGCACTAGAGGCTGTCAATGCAATGCTAGAGTGCTCAAGGACAAAGAGTGTTCAGATGCTTAGACCAAAGAATGTTCATCTGAATTGCTTCCTGCATCCCTTTTATCCCTAGTCCTCAAATTATCCACCTGAAAAGCTTGTAATATATGCTCAATTTCCCTGTCAGGTAGAAAAGCATTCACAATGCTAGTATTAATGAAGCCCCAGTTCACATTGTTCACATCCACGCTAGTCATAAAATGGTGGTAACCGCTCCACACATTACTAGTCACGGATCAATAGATCAATGACAGTTCAACACCTGATCGAAGGGTAAAAGAAAGTGAGGATAAGCCTAGATTTTAATTTTGAAAGGCGGGATAACCCAATGCCCATTTTTCTGGAGCGGAAAAATATCCATTGTCTGATCTCAGTGACACCCTTACTTGGACTTGCTATCTCAGCATCCCATGCCATGCATATATTATGTATGGGTTAGCTCCATTTTGAATGAGGTTTCTCCAAAGAAATCAGAAGTATTAATCTTTTCACCCTATTACATCTAACTGTACTAGGTTTCTTACTCTTAGGATTGTCATCATGCAGTTAGATTCTTTCTTAGTCCATGATAAAGGTGAGTGAATCTCAATCACCCCTGAAGTTAGAGCCTTCCAGTGATCGCTGTCTGTAAGTAGACATAGCTGCAACCTTAGTTTGCAGAAGGATGAAGTTTCTCAGGGACAAGCGTCACGTGGATATGGTAGAGGGTAACATCAGCAGACATCAGGTGTCTCCTAGAGAAGATGACATTCGGAGAGGAAAAGAGTGGGGAATTGCTTCTTAACAAGAATGAAAATTCCTGATGGAGGATGGGCCATCCTCCCTTGTGTTTTACAACTTCGGAAAGTTCCTATTGCTTTACCTAATTCAGCTAGTGCATGGCTGAAATAGTGCCTTGAGGTGTGCCCTGGGGTTTTGAAATAGTTGAGCCTCTGCATTTGCATCACAAAGTAGGGAAAACCTAGTACATGATTATTTACAGGATAAAAACCCACCCCAAGGCTTCGAAATTCCGAACTTCAGCTTCACGTCTAGCTCACCCAATCATACACCCCGCTGAAATAAAAGTAAATAATACTATAATCCTCCATAGCTTCTGACCCTAGTTCTTCCGACACTATTCACAGTATATCAGCGACTGTATACGTCTCGTGGAGTGAGATACTTACATAACCCCAGCACCCTGGGCAGTCTGCAGTACAGTCAAGCAGTGGACAACAGTCAAGTCCAATCGATGGGTTGCAGCGCAGTCCAGGTTTATCCTGACAGCTAATTACAGGTGCATCCCCATAGTTAGAACCCCATGGATCATCAAAGTGTCTAGCACCCAAAGCTAGAGTTGTGAATAGAAGGACCGCAATAAACTTCATAGTGAGGTAGTTAATCAATATGGGAAGTGGTTATGAGAGGTAGTATATTATATAATTTGCAAGGGTGAGTTGTGTCTAGGAATATTCAGTTCTTTCAATGCTGTATAGCATCTTCTTTATATGCTTTGATTCATTGTAATCCACCTCTGTCATAGGTAGGTCATGGCTGCAATGAGTTCATTGACTATATACACCTAAAATTCCTTACCTCATGCCATTGTCATAGACATGCAGTATATAGCATCACTTTATACCATGCTGTTTCCCATTGGATGCAATGCTCAATGGCAATGATATAATGTTACTCCCCGAAAGCGTTCTGACCCCAGTAAGCTACATGACATGTGGCTTGCCTGTTGACAATTCAGATAATCTGGGTCATGATGTACACACATTGACAGTGAGCCCATCTGTATGCATGACTGCTTCGTGGGCCCCTACTTGACCGCGCGTAATAGCCCAGCGTTGCATCTGGCAGCCATCTGAGGGAAGTCTATTTTCCTAATTCAGAAACATGGAATCTTCTACCGCTTGACGCTGAACGAATATGCATTTGACCCACGCCAGACGCAGTGCGGCTAAAATAAAACCACCGCATTCAGCACTTTTCCAATTCCAACCACGTTGTAAGTCTCATAATGGAGACATCATTCTAAAGCCTGTTGAGAAATCTAGGACATTTACTTCACCAGCTTACTGCAACGGTGCACAAAGTGATATAAGCTCAAATATGTCATCACTATCCGTCTGTTAGCGGCAACTCTAACAGATTTAGAATCGACCAATAGGGGTTCTAAACTATATCTATATCTGCTGCCTAGGACTGAGCGGCTCAACCGTGGCGCGGGAGCAGTATGGCCTCTGGTATAACTGGTTGGTTACATAAGGTGTATGCACGATTTGGGCTCATTTCCAGATGATTGATATTGTCCATGTTGGTATTGCAGCACCAACAGCTTCACACCAAAACGTTGGTATATGTCTTTTGTTCTGGCTGTGGTTTCCGGACAGGCTGACCAGTCATGGCGTAGCTGCACAAGCCACACTCCATAATGTACCATGGATCATCAACTCCGCATTATTAGAATTTTCACTTACGCTCTGACAGCGCCTTCTAGATTAACCATTACAGACAGCTCTTCTCTATTGTGGACTACTGGTGCTTATGTCGCTGGTACCAGTGTGTCCCTTGGATCTCTATACGTCATGTGGATGAACCCCATATTTGGGGCCTTGGCGACAATCGAGCGGTGATCTACAACCTCTTCTACAAACTGTACTCTATGACATGGCTTGCCAGATTTTCCTACTACTCTAGTACTAAGTCAGAAACTTACACTTATTTTCCAGCTACGGTTGAACAATTGAAGCTACTAGCCCAAATATGCTATGCACCCTCACATGTAACGTAAAAGGCTGGGCGAGTCTTGGATCTGCGCTAGGGTTACATATCAGACCAAGTCCCTTAGACCCCGGCACCTCCGAGTTATGTGCAGCGGGTTGTCTATGATGTCACCATTCACGCAGAAAAGAAAGATTCACTGCGTGCTAAGAATCAAAACGCCATGCCATGCCTGGATAAGTTGTGCTAAGTCACTGGGCGCGGCAACCCCGTCCGGGCGCTGTACGGCATGGAGAGCAGCTTTGATATTATAGACAGTACTAGGAGGGTAGCTACATTCTGGCAGAACTGCCCCTATAGATTGGGATCAACCAATCACTGGGAATGGGGAAACAGAAATGAATCCTGTTTTACCAAGTGACTAAGGTGGAAGTTGTTACAGCACCAAGCGCCGCAAGGCAGAATGACAGGCAGAAGTACGAAGCGGTGATGAACAATCCTTCAAGAAACTACGCAATGTAATTTTTGTGCCCTCAAATTCTAACAAGGTAAGCAAATATATATCCGTACTCTTAAGCGCCCACGTATGAATACAGAGATATCTCTCAACCGCTGATCCGCTAGGGTTCATATTATCCAACCCCAAGCCAGGTCACTACAAGGACATTGGCAAGTCGGGCGATCAAGAGCTACCTTCCGCTCAATAGGCTTCCGCAAATGACCCAGATTTGGACGTGACACTCCGTGGGACTTTTCATCCAGCCAGCCAACCAGTGATTTTGAAGAAATGGCTAAATCATCTGCCAAGGTCTTTGTCTATCTACAAAGAGAGACGACAAAAGCCGACTTACAATCAGAGACCCAAAGTTAGACAGCGGAGCAGGCACAATAGTACTCCTCCTGTGTCCATAACAATATAACAAACTCCCGTAACTTATCCTTTACAGCTTTCTGCCACCTGTCTGTGGTTGCACGGAAGAGAGCTGTAACAAATTCCTCGAAATATCCAGCTCATCAAAATCATCGATGCGGACTGGTTCAATTCTTCCATGTCGCTTGACAGTAAACTCCCGTTCCTTAGGACATGCATAAGCAGGATGTCTGTTGCCGTTCTCAGCTGGGTCTTGATACCAGTGACCAAACGATACTCCCCGTTCACAAAAAAACGGAGTTGGGGAACGCCGGGGAGGGAGATTTCGGGTATCGTTGTTGCAAGACTGAGTGGCGCTAAGAACCACTCGACAGTTCAATGGACTTCAATTGACTGAATAGGAGCGTCAGGTTCTTGTGACATGTTGATGGTGGCAGGATTCTTCTCTGGCTTTCGTCTTGGATTCGGCTTTTCCTTTTGGCATCTGGGATCTCGGACGTCAATTAGCATTGCTAACATAGAGAAACTGAGGCGACATAGGCGACATACCCCTAGTGTTTTTCTGCGGCTTCGTTTTCGGCTATCACTCATGCTGAATAGCCCTCAGGAAAGGGACAGCCTCTATCTTTATGCATCCGGCAGGCCGACTGTTCACTTTGGCTATCTTTCAACTTTTCAACTTCGCCGCACTCACGGGTTATTGCCAGCAACACAGCTACGATTCGACCTTGCTTATCAAGCTGAACCTGTTCTTCTCTTTAGCAGTTGCCGCAGTGGGCGTCGCATTCACTGATGATGGTTGGAATGTCTTCCGACTATTGGCTATGAAGCTGAAGTATAATTCAGCCGGGGTATCTGCCTTGGACATGGGCCATCTGACGTGCCAGGACCTCAAGCATAGAAGGCCAACAAAGAACGTATGTTGGTACTGCATGCACTTGTTGTTCTGTCGCAGCCACCTGTATGTACACAAAATTAGAACTCTTGAGGTTCCAGATGGCAACCTCCAGCGCTGAAGTTGTTCATCGAGGCGACTACATTGAGCAAAATTCTTTTTTTTATGATTGTGAGGGCGGCTGCTCAAACGATACATTAATCAGAAGGATGATCCGAGGGGTTATCACGCTTCTCACTCCGCATGATGTACATTTATATATCGAGCTGTCTGATTAAACATGGTAGAGTGTGTTTAGCGTTCCCCTCTATACTGGATCAAAGTTATTCCAGCCCAATATGCCCCCGCTCACATGTCCTTTAGCGCGTTTCTCTCGACCTTTATAGATATCCTATTTTGCCCTCATATTGAAGCTGAAACCACAGAATCTTAACACCGAGATCCACGGCGGACAACTCCCTTACATCACAACAGAAATGAAATCGCTGGAGGTACAGCCCCCGGGTCTTGCCTGGGTTCAAAGAACCTTCAATCTTCAACCCCAGTGGACGGTGGAGCCCGATCCTCAGGTTATCGAGCAGACAATACAGTCGCTACTACCATCAAGCACGGTCCAGGTGACCTTCCTAGCCGAGGGCGCCTTGAATAAACTCTATGATGTGAAAGTAGATGATGAGGTATTGGTTATGCGAGTCTCGTTGCCTGTTGATCCCTACTATAAAACTATGAGTGAAGTGTCGACAGTGGACTGGATATCTCGTACCACAAATATCCCTGTTCCTCGAGTCATCACTTATCAATCTTCCCGAGAAAGCCCTATCGGATTTGAATGGATCCTGATGACCAGAATGCCTGGAAGACCGTTGAAAGAGCTGTGGCACTCTCTATCATTTTCTGCAAAGACAAGTTTGGTTGGAGAGTTTGCGGCCTACTCTAGTTGCCTTTTTCGGAACCAACTTCAGGGAATTGGAAATATCTATGGGATAGCATCTAGCATCAATGATTCCACACTGTCTCAAGCGACCGGGCCTGCTGGAAACCCAGCAAATTCCAATAGTTCACCTCTATCTGAAAAGGAACATTTGCCTACAGGATTACCAGAGGTGGGCAGAATTGTTTCTATGAACTTTTTTTGGGGGTCGCATATCCTACAGGATGTTCACCGAGGGCCATTTACGTTCAGCAGCGACTGGATTACATCACGGCTTTCTCTTCGCGAGACAGACTGTCAGTCGACACTAGACAATTTACCAGCTAGCGATCTTGAGAGCGATGATGAAGATGATGCAGATGATGCAATAAGAAAATTGGAAATCATTGGAAAACTGAAAACCTTGCTTCCATCTTTCTTTCCACCAAATGAAGGCAATCCGGAGCCCTCAGTCCTGGTTCATGAAGACCTCTCCAGCCGAAATATTCTCGTTCATGATAACGGAGAGCTAGCAGCTATTTTAGACTGGGAATGTGTTTCAGCACTCCCTTTATGGAAGGCCTGCTATTTCCCCGCATTCTGAAAAGGGCACCCGCGACGCCTCGAGCCTGATCTACGACGATATGAACGCGAGCCGAGCGGAGAAGTCTCCGATCTCTACTGGGAACACCTATGGGAGTATGAGGTCACTCTCCTTCGTGATGTGTTTATTGATAGAATGAAAAGCCTGGAACCGGGATGGGTGGAGTTTTTCCACAAGAGCCAACATCAAAGAGATTTCGACCTTGCAGTGCAAAATTGCGATAATGAGTTTGTTGCCCGGCATATACGGGCATGGATGAATGACCTCACGGCGGGGGTAGACAACTGTCGAAGTCTACGCGATAGAATTAATGAGGATTAAAAAGCTATGCATCATGGGCCAGGAGAACTTATACTGTCCCTTGAATCCACAGGGATCCCAATGTCCCGTCCCCTGCCTTCATATTCGAGTAAGTGGGATCTCCCCCCAATATGCTTCTACTGCTATTGTAGGATAGTGAATCACAATCTAGAGTTTATTTGGCCCCGAGAGACGGAATAACCGAGGTATCGATCTATTGTAGTCCGTGCTGGGCCTCAAGGAGAACCTGGAAATCTTGCCCGCGTATATCTACCGCTCACTGGGACACCCAGGTATTTATGCTTTTGTCATTTCCAATTGATATACCGCTGTTATATTATTCACAGTACATACGACCACAGGGTGTGGAGAACAGGGCTTCCCGTCCGCTCAGCCGTACTTAAGCCACACGCCGGCAGGTTAGTAGTTGGGTGGGTGACCACCAGCGAATCCCTGCTGTTGTATGTTTTTTTTCTTACATTGTCATATTGTATTTTTTATGTTGGGTTGCATGTTTCCGCAGACCATTCACCATTAATGACAATGTGCCGCTAGAAGCTCCATAATGATCGATCCAAACTGTCTACACTGTAGGCGGCACTTATCCAACACATAAAGCCGGTTCCTGGCAGGCAAGCAGCAAAATAAAGCAACAGACTCGGGCTCTGTCATATTTCTAACTCCAAAAATGTTATTCGACCCGACGAGTGACCCATGGCAAATGTGGAACCATACGCTGCACGCCCAAAGACGCGATAGTCCCATGGTAGCCAGATGAGCTTCTGCTTGTCCACAACTATCCAACTGTCACGAACTTCAATGGCGTGTCGGAGTCTGTCTCTGGGCACTGATCTGATGAAAGATCCAGTGCGGATAGATATTCTGCCCCTATCAGTATCGAGGTGTTGACCGTCCGCTGTGAACGACAGCGATCTCAGCTCCCTATCAGGATGGACAACCTGTCTACAGCTATCTTGTCCAATATCCCAGAGCGATATGGCGCTGTCAGGTAAAAGAATCGCCATGGCGCGACCATCTGGCGAGAATGTAAACTGCGTAGCGCTTTTCGCCGGGCAATCATTGACTCGGCTCCAGGACATTGTGGTCATGTCCCAAAGGCGTACCTGACCTTGATACGGCACCAAAGCCAGAGTCAACCCGTCTGGAGACCAAGCAGCACGGGACGAGCGATACTTTATAACATATCGGCACGCTCCAGAGCTTGCATCCCATAATCGCACCGTGGAGTCTTCTCTTGACAACGAAGCGAGCATCTCACTGTCCGCGGTGAAATGAACAGAATCTATCTGCCCCATATGACCTTTGAGAGTCTTTTTGCCCTTTAAAGATAACGCGTTCCAGAGTTCCATGGTATGATTCGTTGACGTCATCACCAAAGTCTGGCAATCTGGCGAAAAGTACACTTCGCTAATTTTTTCTTTGTCAAAAGTCGTTCGACAAATCCCAGTGGTCAAGTCCCAAATATTCATCTCACCCCATTCTGATATTGATAAAAGAAGCCGGTTATCGGGAGAGAATTGGATTTTCCATACTTCATGCCCATGGCCTTTAAGTAAATGTTTGTATCTATTACTGACTGTATCCCATAGTATGATGTTTTGATCGCCGGAGCCGGTCGCAAGAATCGTTTGATCGGGGGAGAGAGCCATTGTGCTAACCATAGCAAGATGACCTCTCCACTCCCACTTTCCTGTGCTGGCATTCCTGCCTAAAGGAACCTCGCTGCCATCAGGCCTCGGCATAAGACTTTTGGGTTTCAGGATAAACGCACGGCCTGCTGCAGGGCCGAGCTTCCAGATGATGAACACAGCATCGCTGTAGGACAAGCGACTTGGAGACATATCAATAATTTTCTTGCAGTAAATCATCAAGTAGCCTATTGTCGAGGCTAGGTACATCAATATCGCCGGCCGATGACGAAGTAGGCTTTTGTCGGAGTCTGGAGACTCCAGCAGAGTTATGATAATCCAATACCAGCCGAAAAAGGAAGATGTGAAAATAACGTAGGTTTTCAATAAGCTCTCGTCAAGTTCCAAGAGAGACTCATTTAGTGCCGCAGAGATTCCCAGAGCCCCAAGCTGAGACTCAGTAAGTGGAGGTCTCGTATAGTTAAGGTCATTGTCCAGGACTGAAACTTGACCGCTAGAGTCGGCCACTGCAGATGTTTTGCCATCATTTGACATAGTGATAGCAGTACATATTCCAGTCCAGGAATTGATTTGAAATAGTTCGTCCGTCGTCTTACTTGATGAGGTCCATCGATATATTGTGTTTGCCAGACTGAAAAGTAAATCTTGATCATCGGGAAAAAAGCAGACGATATCAGGTGGAGGCCATCGTTCCTCTATCAAAATTTTTTCCTTCCAGACACCGCAAGAAGTGTCCCACAATCGAATTGCTCCATTATCCAACACGACAGCTAATGTCGAGCCATTTGCTGATAACGCTAGCCCATTCAATCCTGCCTCACGATTACATACTCCTTTCCACTCATTTTTCTGCGCAAACCAAAGACTGACATGACCACTGCTCCAAGCACAGGCTAGAATTCGGCCATCGGAAGAGTAGTGCAGATCAACAACCCGGTTTCGAGCACCACGTGCGACAGAATCGATAACGGCTTCCAAAAAAGCCCGTGGGTTGTCGCCCCCCAAGTCAACGACAATACAATCACGCTCAACCGTATTTATTTGCCCCGCGATGAATCGATCTCTGGCATTATTAGATGCGGCCACCCGTCTAATTTCGGATTCTGCTTTGTTCCTGATTGTTGGAAAGAGGTTCATATCGCCTTCCAAAATATGTCTCCAAATCTTGGTATCAAAGTCCCATAACATGACAGTTCCGCTGCTTATTCCTGCCGCAAGAGTTCCAACGCCGGGCGAGAAAGCTATTGCCGAAACCATGCCCTCTTCGCTTTGCATTATGCATTCAGAGGCCCCAGTGACTGCATCCCACAGTATTACTCTACCGTCGTCTGAACCAGATGCCAGGTGATGAGCATCCTGGAGAAAGCAAATCGAATTTACCCTTTCCTTGTGACCCACAAGGCTCTGCTTCATCAAGCCAGTCACGGTATCCCAGAGTTTAATTGTGGAATCACTCGAAGCCGTTGCCACGGTTTGATCATCTGGCGAAAAACAGATATCATTAATCCGCGACTTTCCATGGTCCTCAATTGTCTGAAGGCATGTATTCCAGTTCTTCTGAACACCGGTGATGCTCTTCACAAATGGCAGTCTGCTTTCCCAGAAACGCCTCCGTGTCTCACTTGTCTGTGGGGAGAAAATGAGAGCTCCGCTATAGACCTGCAATGGAGCTGTCTCAATTATCGGTGTATAGGCCAGGGCTAGCCGCATCGAGTCGTACAACAGCTTTGTGAATTCAGGGAATGAGTCTGCCTAAATCCTGTTAGTTCCGTGGCTTTTTCACGCTGCTGAAAGCATACCTGCACGGTCTGCAGAAGCCTCTCGATGATCTTTATACCGACTGACATCTGTCTCATGAGACCCGAACTTTCAAACCAATGAAGAAGATGCGTCGCGAAGAAGGCAAATAAAGCTTCATTATCTGACAACTCGACATTGTCCGCTAGTGTCCTGTTGTCACAACAGCATAGATGATCAAACCAGTGAACACAAGCGTACTGGATTGGCAACAATGCCGCCCAATTGGGCTCAGAATTATCTGTCACAGGACCAGGATCTTTAAGGTCGCATATGTCTCGGCGAAGCGTAACAGACATGGCACTCAAAGAGTGACAATATATCTCTCGATGAATCTTCGCTCGGCCTGCGGCATAAATGATTGTGGATTGTTCCGTGTCTAGATAATCTTTCGCTGATTGATGTATGAAATAAATACGATTATCGAGGACTGTGAGAAAAGAACTGCACATACTGACCAGTCGGTCTAATTCTTCGAGGTGGTTGATCTCAACCGGAAGCCCGGCCACAACGCGCATTTCAAGCAAATGAAGGGGACGACAAGATAGTAAAACCACTGACAAGATCTTTATGCTCCGCTGCAGATTTATAGTCGGTAATCCGAGCAATTTTTTCATCATGCGGCTGAACAGTGGTACAAGGCCAGTTGGTGTTTCTTCGAGTATTTCCAGCGTGTCGGCTGCAAAACTGGCCTTGCGTAACTCATCGAAAACCAGAGAAGCCCACAAAAATGTGCCGTTCGATTTCTGTCGCATCTGGCTTCTGATCTGATTTTGAATACTTGCATGGCTTTCCAGTGACGACAGCTGTGATACGCGAACATCAATAAATTTGTCTATTGCTCCGGTAATTTTGTCCGCGTTCAACTCGAGTCGAAGGATTCTTTGACTGCAAGACCCTCTCATATGTCGCTCAATATCATCTCGATTGCGACTGGACACAATCCATTTTATCTTAGGTTTCATGCTTGTTGTATGTGCGATCAGATCCAGGAGTTGTGGCAGTTCTGCTTCACACTCATCAACTGCGTCGATTGCCAGAAAAACTTCTGGCAGATCCGAATCTCCAATTATGGAGGTGAAGATTCCTACTAGCGAGTAAAGAGAATCTGGTTCATTAAAGAGCCTGTGTCCAGCATAGTCATACTTATGACGCGCGTGTCGAAGCAGCGAGGGTCGCTGAATAGTAAGAAGAAATATCAAACCACGAAGTACCGAAAGAGCATTGTTGAGACGTGTGTCGGTGGCTTGACATAAAAAGTAAGCCAGGATTGGAAGGTTTTCTCGCTCTGATGACTTTGATATACGCTGTGTCAATTCGTTGATTATGCCAATCATGAGCATCGTTTTTCCTTTGCCAGCATCACCTCTAATCCAAAGCAGTTGGCTCTGTTCATTACAATACCATTCCTGAAATGAAATATCGTCAATTATCCAACAGAACGATTCTCGTAGAAGATCGCCTTTGGTTTTCTCGATACGAAGTTTGTCATCGCGGGGATCTGTCAAGAGAAGATCGGCGAGACAACGTTTGTCGGCGTCAGTGATGTCTACATATCGGTTGAATCAGTCAGAAATGGTGATCTTAATTGCTGCCAGCTTTTCACTGACTTTGTCTAACAGTTGATGGTCTCCAAAACCCCAAGAAGGCTTTGGCCCCTGATGCACCTGTTGCTGCTGCGTATGACTGCCATCTGTTGTTCTTGTGACTATCTGCATAGTCGCATGCCCCTTTGACTATGACACACGGCAAATTATCCCAAACTCCAGCCCCTTCCATTTCAAAGCCGATGACAGCCTCAGTCCATGCTAGCTTATCGCGGTGCTCCCCTGATTTCATAACGGTATCCGCAGATGCAACAGTCCCAATAATAATTTGCGGGGAACAAGCTTGAATGCCATGTCTACTGCGATATACCGGTTTCCCTGAACAGTTCAGAATAGCGCAATCTTTCTTCAGTGCCTCTTCACACACAGGATCACTGCTTGCGTTGCAGTTCAAGCATATGCAAGTATCCCGGTCTCTTTGATAGTGCTTATGCCGATATGAAGCCTCGAAGAGTACATCCTGAGCTGCACCGGGGTATTCCCACTCATTCTCTGGTAGGGACTGCAGGGTTATAAGGTGCTGCAAAGTCTGACGTTGAAGCTCGTTGCGTCCTGACCGTGTCTTCAAACTGGCAAGCAAGTTTCTGATCTCTCGAGTCGGTCGTCCTAATGTGCTTTTGACGTCGGTTTTCCGCCTAAACCCGTCAGGATACTGACTTCCGAAATCATACTCAATCACGCTGTCGCTGATAATGACATCGCCCATAATTATCTCGGTGTCGCCATCTGGCCGTGGGAATGGGACAGCACCACAAATGCCGACCAGCAACCCCAGCTGGACTCTGGGGTAGCTGATCCGCAAGCTTGACGAGACCGTTGCTGCATTTCCTTTGCCCATTTCAGGCAACAGACACAGAACGACATCGTGCTGGCCAAGTTTTCCGTTGGAGTATATGTTCAGGTCCCCGTCTTGCTTTCCATAGATTCGATTAAATGTGGCGTATGTTTCGTCGAATAATGCCTCGACGGCATCGGCCTCGTGGGGAAGAGCGCAGATTATCGCGATCTCGAAATCGTTGCGCGTATTCGGGGGCATGTTGACACCAGCCACTTGCACAGGCAGGTATTCAAATGGTCAGCCTCAAACGGATGAATAGAATGTTGAAATTCATTGGTCTTTGATGTCAGCGCTCAATCCAGGCGGGTTGGATTTTGTTCAGATCTGTTGTTGGGTATAAGCGTACAGGAGTCTTCACAAGCGTTGGGAAACATGACCTGAGGCTGACGAGGCAGCCTGCCCTTATAAATGGTCTGAGACCCTCCCAGCCTCGTATGACAACTATGCCCAATGAGGTCTTCCATCGCCCTCTGTGCACATGCCATGTACCGTAAACGCCTTGCCAAGAAGCGCCGATCATCAACTGTTGATCTTTAAGCTTTATTGTCTTTGTAGATGTCATAAGATCTATCATAGATTACTATATCATGTCCAAGAAACAAATTTACTAGTGAGGAAGTATATAGATGGCAGAGCTGAGATTTCCAGCTTTTTATATTGTTATATACAATATACTTGAATTCAAATGTCGCGAGATAGTGCAGTCTAATCTCAATCCATTGCCTATTCTTGACCCTCTCTAAAGGGTTGATCTCCCCTCGCGGAAATTATCCCCCGGTACAATCGACCAGGCCTCCGCCGTAAATGAAAGTTCGCCGTTATCTCTCATAAGGCCTGGATCCACAAAGATTTTCATGCCCATTGAATCCAGGCCTAGGTTGAAGACTCGGAATATGATGTACACGGAATCCATGGGTGGAGCACCCGAGTCTCCGCGGGAAAGGGTTTGCATCTGGTATAAAATGTCAGCGTCTGGGTGCACGTAGGAGATGGTGGTTCTGGCTGACGTACCCGTTCATACTGGTTTTTGCTCATATAGAAAGGCGCATCCCATGATGAAGTTGTTGATTTCACCTCGAGATAGTATCTAGGTCGTCTCCCCGTCCAGGCGTCTGGGCATAAGTAGTTCTTCTCGATAAGCAGTGAGGTGAGAACGCCTTCATGGTCGGTATACGTTATATCCAAGGTTTCCCGTCCGTTCCATGACCCCATATTGGTATATTCATCGTGAAGCCTCACGTACTTTCGAATCGTACTTTCCCAGTTATCACGAGAGAATTGTGGAAGGCTTGGGGTTAGGTGGGACAGTATTTCAAAGACCTATAAGCAGCTGATTAGTTTTCGTCCAGATATCACACAAGTGGCTGGGACGACGTACAAACAATTCACCCGCTGCTCCAATTTTCTTGTCTCTTTCAATCCTTTCCGAGTTGCGAAGGCGGAAAATGTCGTTCCTTTCAGAAATAGAAGCATCAAGGGAGTGATTGAGCGTTCCCATATCAAAAGAACTTCGAGTAGGGAAGACGGTATTTCTGGCCGTGTTAACGGTCCTATAAAGGAGGTTTCGATATTCCATATCTACCTCAGGCTGAGGTGGTGTGAGAACGATTGAACCAGGTGTCGATTGTGGCGTGTATGTATAGTTGTTCGCTACAAGAGGCGAACGCGATGGCCCCCGAAATGGACCCGTAATCCTATGGACATCACTTGCATCATATGATAATCCATGGGTTGCTGGATTGAGTGTATCCCCAATTAATGTGTCTTCACTGTTGCGACTAGCAGATCGTGTGTCATTGATCTGGTTGGTAGCAGCATCCAGCTCGACATTTTGGGAATCATCCGGTATTTCAACCGAGACAATACCAGCTCTGTCGAGTGTCATTGCAACATATTTATTCTGTGCCTGTAGGATACTCTGCATCACGTTCAGGGCCCTATCAGTCAATGGTTCGCAGATCCCAGTGGACGGCTCAGTCAACATCCATTCCAGAAGAGCCTGGGGTATCCTATCATGAAAGCATAAATACTGAGACTCTTCATCCCCGGGGACGTAGATTCTCAGTCCACCCTCACTCTCGTGGAGGTGCAGTTCGCTCCTGCTCACTTCCACTTTGATATCCTTACCATCTTGGTTGAGATGTAGCTCGGAGGTGATTCCGTCTGTTTCACAGACTTCGATCTTCTTGAGTAGCTCGTAAAACGATTGCTCTTTTTTCAGCGCTCGGGGGCTGTTGAAATGTACCGCAATTCTGGTGTTTGTCAGATGGGTAAGTTCTACTTTATAATCCATCGAGAGCCAAGTAACTCACCGGAGCAAGCCATGTGCCTTTTGAGCTATGTTTCTGTCTGGCGATGTTAGAGTTCTGTAAAAGTCACCAGAAAGTGCTGAGATCTCTTTCACAGATGATGATAGATAGCGCGCCTCCAGTCCTGTCCATTCCAGGAATGGCGACAGCCGTGGAATATCGTTGAGATCGAAATCGAGAAATTTGGCTTTGCCAGAGAACCATCCCGCCAGGTGTTTGCGGTCGATGATAGTGAAGTCCACCAAGGGGCTGCACAATTCTATACTCCCACTAGGATGCCGAACGGGGAAGACCTTGCTTTCAAGGATCTGCGACGGACTGGGAAGCTCCTCCTCGCCTTGAAGGTAGGAATTGAGTAGCCATATGGTTTCTTTTACATCGTTGATTGGCGCTTGCTCTCTTCCCTGATCAATTAGTTTATCATGGACCAGTTCAAGTGTCAGGGTACGGACACCCAAGAGCTCGATGAAAAATTCAGCAAGGTCTTCGTACTGGTCGTTGAGGGCCACCATCCCTTTGATGTCGGTGACGCTCGACCATAGGCATTCGGAGGTTCGGTACCAATTGCCACCATTATCGTCTCCATAATAGACGAGGCGGTCATTTTCGAAATGGTCCCTGGGAATAATCAGTTGGGTCATAGCACACCAGACAGGAAACAAAAAAGCTCTTACCGGACTTTTTGCTTCTCCTCGCTATCCATGTGGACTTGCCTCGTATCTATTTCCTCGTATAGGTTGTAGATCTGATCAACAGTACCGTATTCTTGAAGACCCATGTTATCCAACTCCTCTAGCAAGTCGAAGATATCCGCATTCGGTATGCCCAGAGTCTCATGAAAGAGTTCTTTGTTATATCTTCGATTATTAACAGTGTCGTACAGTGATTTCAAAGGGAACCTGCATCTCATGTATGCAGGCGCTTCCCAGACACAAGATGTAGGAGAAACCCAACATGCATCATCAAAATCACGGGGAGGTATATAGATCAGGCAATCTCCGTCGAATGCCTTGCTGTATTTGACGTTAGCAACATAAAATCAACAACATATTTGCACATACCAAATCATTTCGCGGGAAATACTTGGAGTTTTGGACTCATGATATCGGGCTTCGATTCGACTGTATATGTCAAATATCCGGCCAACATTCACCGGAGGATCACCACCTTCCTTGTTGGCACTGGCGATGAATCGCAGAACTGTGAGATAAAATTCGAGCTCCGACTGTGGATAGCCAAATCCCAATGCTCTTGCTATCTTTCCCAGCTCAGCAAGCCACGTAGAATCGCACAGTGAAGAGTCAAGCTGGAGCCATGGGAAGAACTCGCCTTCTTCAAGGAACCTTCTGGCATAATCAAGTTCGGTAGCTGGGATGTATGCTTTACCCAGCGGATACATGTTCCCTTTCTCACAGGGTACCTCGATAGCCAGTACCTGGTTAACCAAGTCCTGGTTTTCTAGAACATTGGCGCCCTCGAATTGCCAATACTTGACCAAGAAACCTAAGAAACTCTCTGGGCGATGCCTCGCGATGAAGACGAACTCGTTACTCAAAACGCCGCAGAGAGTGAAGGGTATCACATCACGAACAAGGCACGACTGGGCTAGCCATGCCTTCCAGGTTCGATTCTCATCTGCTGGCTGTGTCGGACCGTCCTCCATGTAATGGGGATGAAGGATTGATACATCGGTTCCCGGGGCGCCATCATGAGACCCCATCGGTTGCACACGCGTTAGAAGTTGTTCGGCGCTATAAGGATCATTTCCAGGGAAGAAGAGACTATCGGGCTTCAGTGGGTTCTTCCTGAGCAGATGGTCCATTAACCCGAATCCGGTGTAGTGAGATGGGCTGTCATGGGACTTGTCAAGATGAGCCGTGTAGTAAAGAAATCTCAATAGCTTTCGCGACCTCTGAAGTGACATATCAAACACGCGGCCGAAGCATATAATCATCCAGCGAATCTTAGCAACTTCTGGCTCCTCGACACCGAAAAGATCAAAAAGCTGTTTCCGATAAGGGTCCCTTTCAGATTGTGGATCCACCAGTTTGAGACCGAGGCCAGTGGGGATTTGATAGCCATTGCAATGAGAATAACAAATGGATTCGGTCTCCATGGTTAGGGCGGATATCCATGTCCCGCCTATCAATGGAATCAATTGGAGACTCGTGATCGATTTCCGCCTCTCTGGCTTTGACCAGGCAGAAACCAGGACTCTCGCGACACGATAGTGCCAATCATCATCGGTCTGGGACCGTATCATCGAAGACTGACCCCGATTCAGATCCTGACGGACCCTACTGATAAACGAGTTGGGTCCCATTGCGACGAGCCCACGGCCTTTCAATAGATCCAAGTCCTTGGCGAAGTATTCGGAAGCAGGATATTGCTCTAGCTCCAAATCCGGTAACAAGGGATCACCATTTCTGTCCAGCATTTCGGCTGGAATCCGTCGAATGTCTGTAATGCATCTGAGTTGGCTGTGGCTCTTGACCCACAGAACTGGACTAACTTTCAAACGATCACGGATGTCATCGACTAGCTTGACCCAAAAGCTATCCCAAGAATGCCCTTTAGCTTGAGGGAGATATCGCATCCATTGATAGCGAAGAGTAGGGTGCTGGCAGAATTGTGATACGGCTCTAACAAATACCTGTGCAATGCAATTCAGCATGCCGAGATTGCGAGCCGAGGATCTCACAATATCCTGTCTACTGGCATCGGTGACGAAATCAGATTGGATCAAGAACTGCACGCTTGTTAGCAGTTGGTCTTGATTGAATAGGCATTCACTCTTACTGGAAATCCCATATTTCTGATGGGAAGAAAAGCGAAGACCTCCTGTGCCTCAATAATGGGAATGGAATCCGGAGTCAATGGGAATGCGAGGACAATTTCAGCTTGTGAGCATGCGTGGTTTGACAGCTCAGCATCTGTATAAGTTCGATTCTCGCTTTTTGGAAGACCGATGGCCGTTTCTTTCGTTATGTGAAAGTGTTGAGTTACTTCCCTGGTCTTCCCATCCTGGATTGTATTCTTCCTGAGCTTGACATGACTTTCCGATTGATGTTCCATAGAATAAATGGTCCAAGATACTTCCTCCATGTCGTACACCTTTACCTCGATTTTTCCGAGGTTCTTCATAAAAAGCAGAAAGGTAGCTCGAAGATCTTCAAACTGGCGAAGTGTCGTCTCTCGCTGCTTCGATAGAATCTCATCTGACCCAGCCTCGTGCAAAAAGAGGGTAATACGCGTCAAAGAGCCCGGTGGCTGATCTTCTGCTTCTTGCCAAATTGGCGATATCATTCCCATTCCCGAATCGCCCATTTTATGCTGGAAGCAGAAGGAGAACTCGCCCGACTGAATGTGCACCTTCCATGCCACCATAAACACGGATTTAAACCCGATTCCTTTCTCACCGATATACCCCTGCGCTCCGGACTTGGAGCTTTTGCCAACATCGCAAACAGCGACCAGATTCTCATACGTGAAGCCGTCCTCGTTGCACTCGACAACGATCCGTCGAGGATACACACGAAAAGACACAAAGGGGACCTCGGATCGTGCTCTAGCTCTGGTGTAGCTGTTGTCATCTGCGTTCTGTAACATCTCAAAGACGAATCTCGCGCTGCTGTTGTAGAGATTCTTGGCTAGCCTATTTTCGCATCAGGTTTGTCAGTTTCAGTCCCTGGGGCTATGCTTCGTACGTCATGACAGAAGACCCGATCATTTCATCTTTCCTGAGCATTGCTTCTTCCACCTGCCGGCGTGTGTCGGGATCCATTCGGCCAAGAACCTCTTCGCCCAGAAAGCCCTGCTCTCTAGTGATGCTCTTCACGAGCTCACGGGCGCTTTCTCGAGACGCCATGTTCTAAACTGCCTCGATCAAGCTTTCTGATAACGATGCGCCCTCGAAATAAATTAAATAGAATCATCGCTCGGTTGTTTAAGAAAGGGAATGGAATTCAAACATTATTGAGCTGTGGGTGGTTCTTTGTCTAGTGACCAGGCTGCGGCAGTGCAGTGCATTGCCGTCCAGGATTAGCTGGCGCTTAATCGATCATTCTAACTGGAGATGAGGGGATGGGGTCCACAGTCGTAGTCCGTTAATTTATTTTATTATGCTTCAAGTTCGAACCATACAGCCCTTTTGAGGTTCACCTGACGCTCATTTCTGACTCTCTATTCTCGTTCGCACATCCGGCATCTACCATGCCAGCAGAACAGGACGGATAACAACGGGCTGCAGTACCTTTGGTCTGCAGCCTCGCTGACGATGTTTCAATATAGAATTTCTGTCACCTTCCTTTGTTGATACGCCGTCGTACGATTGGTCAATGGAAGTCCCTCGCTCTGGGTACATACAAAAATTCATTGATTCATTGACTGGCAGGCATCGCAACTTATGGAAATCGAGTCGGTCTCCTGCACCCGGGAGAAATCAATCTAGGAACCTGGCTTTGTTCTCCTGCACCCATTGCCGGAAGCGTTGCGGAGAGTGATGAGCATATCTCAAAACGTTGTCGCCCGTCGTGAGGGCCTCGGGGCTCTCCAGGTACGAACCAGCCCGGTCGATGACATTAAACAGGTGCCACTGAACCATCTGGGGGGAGACACCAGCTGCGGCCAATTGCGCTGCAGCCTCCTCTCGCGATATCGTCATCACTCGAATCTTCTCGCCCAGGACCTCGCCGATGATCTCCACTGCCTCCCCCAGCGTCATGTTCTCGGGGCCCAGCAGTCGAACGATATATTCCCCAGCGCCGTGAACCAGAATCGAGCCCGCGACATGGCCAATATCCCGCGAGGAGATGAAGTCGAATCGAGACTCCGGATTGGGCATTTCCACCTCCCCGCGCTGAATGGCATGCTTCTGGTGGAACATATTGCTCGCGTAGAATGCAGGTCGCACGGTGACGTACGAATCCCGTCCGTAGACTTCTTCCAGCGCGATTTCCACCTGGGCGTGCTCCCAGGGAACAAGATCGGAGGGATCCACGTGGCGAATGTCTGTCAGGATGAGAAAGCTGCTTAAGAAGACGACAAATTCTACGCCGGCTGCTTTGAGGGCTTGCAGAGCGCCTCGCATGTAGTCCTGGTCGCCGAACACCCCATAGATGAAAGCCGCCTTTGCGCCCGCCTCGCGAACTGCAGCCGTCAGGGTTTCGGGCTGGGTCAAGTCGGCTTGATATTTCTCGAACGGGATATGAGCGAGTGAGGGGATGGGCTTGGAGGGATTGCGCATCGCTAGCGAAACCGTGGCTCCCTCGTTGTGGGCTTGCAGGGCGGCGGCAGAGCCCACGTCCCCGGTAGCCCCGAAGACGATGACGTTGTTGTACTTGGGCATGATAGGCAGAGAGAGATGTTTAGTGGCTGGTAAGTAATCATTTGAGGTTATTCAGCGGGGGTCTTTTATATTAACGTTCTACCAGCTAACTACTCATTAGACGAACTAAGTCGGCCGCTCGGATTTTGCAATTTGGAGCTCAGCATCCGAGACCCACGCTTTTTTATGGGCCAGGTGCATGTCTTTCGAAAAGAGACTGCTGAGCTATGAGCTGTAAGTATAACTACTAGGTAGTTATTGCAATTTGATGTCACCGTTCACAGTAATTAAAGAAGAGGGGTGATGCCACGGCAAGTTACTGGCGATGGTCAATCTAGATAGTAGATACATGCATTCCCCCATTGGTCCTTTCTGGTTAACTCAGTTGAAAAAAGACAATACCGCTAAGCTCAACATAGCGTGGCACACGAATCGAGGCTTGCTTTGTAACTGAAACAATTCAACCGAATAGTCCGGTACAAAGTTCACCGGACCATGGGAGGCTTTCTTCATTTCGAAGCGTACACACTAGTCTTTGATTGACCCCACCGCGGATCGCCCAGACAAATTCCACGGCTTTTGGAAAAGCCAAATTCATTCTGGGACTCTTTCGTGTATGACGTCGATCATGCGCCATTCCTGGAGGTATATAAGACCAGTTGCTAAAGGTATCTCCCTTCATAGTCTCTCTACCACCTCTTTCATACCCCATATCCTCCTGTTCATGATGAGTGCATATCCCCTTGGTTACCGAATTGCACAAGCCGTCGGCCTGAGTGGCGCCGCATGGCTTTCAGGTACCTAGCTATCTCCCCCGTATGTGTTGCTTCGTTCGACTGATTGTACACCACGTTCGCTAGGCAATATCGCCGCGCTGAGTTTGATCGCCGTGCCAGCGCTGGCCCAAAGTCGAGACGAGAAGTCACTGTCACCGAGTGCGGCTGTCAAGCTCTGGAAGAAAATGTATGATGCCGGGAAATCGCAGAATCCGCCGATTGCGGCCACCACCGCAGCGGCATTCCTCTATCTCGCCTGGTCGGTCCGCCGTGGTGCTCCTCTGATCCACTCCACGACGTACAGTCTTGCCGGGCTGTATGCCACGGCTGCGACTCTGACGGTGAGCATCGTGCCGTATACGATCGTCGCGATGCGGCCGACGAACAATGCGCTGATCAAACTCGCGGGATCTCGTGATCTGACTGCCGCGGAAGAGACACAAAGCAACGACCTTCTCGGCCGGTGGATTGTTCTTAATGGGATCCGGAGTATCCTGCCTCTGGTGGGTGGGTTAGTAGGCATCACGGCAGCTTTCCTCTAGGCCGACGGCCACATCGGACTCTTTGTTGTCTGCTTCTCCTTTATAATGTGGGCTTTCCATACTCAATTGGTCGAGGCTGTATGGAGATGTGAAATAGCTGTATGTGTATCGAGGAGATCCGGCAAGGGAAGAAGGTGGATGCAAGTGGCATAATCAACTTCTACAGAATAATTTGATTTCGTTACCCCGCCCTAGCAGTTTGACCTCCACCCTTGAGAATATATTCTTCAGTACGAGTTAGCTGTAGAAAATCACCAATACAGGTCTCAAGGTGGTCCCTAGGCCGTGGTGGGAAGAAAGGCTTGGATGTACCAGTTGAATGATATCCACACCCGCACCACAGCAATATCGTTTTGAGCCATTTCACGATGCTTGGAGGTGGAGGAAGAAATTGCTTGACATGAGACGAGGTCAAAAGAGCACTCCGGATGCATGTCAGAATAGAAGTGCAGCTCACAATTTCTTTTTCTCGGAATTAGATCCCGCAACACCGATACCAAGGCTATAGTTGGTTACACATGTCTACAACACCCTCTCAACTGACTTTCTAGTCGATGCACCAATTCAATAGGCGGCTCAATCTGATTGGATTCGTGCTCAGGGGCGCGTATCTCCTGCGGTCCTCAAGCACCGCAGGGATCGTAGCGATCTGTACCCAAAAAGGATTGCGACTGGCATGACATGGCCATTATGCTCACTCTACTCAATCACTTCAACCCAATTCAGAAAAAATTACATCGGTGGAAATGTTTTGTCTCTGTGCTTGTCTCATTGGATGACCTTCCATCGTAACTGTAGATGTCAGGCTCCTCGGTGTTTGGAAATGTCGGGGGTCCGTTGCCCGACCCCCGACTAAAACCCACCCCAAATCATAAACATAGCTCAACCTTAGGAATCCATCAGCAGTCTGCAGTAATCTGTTGAAAATAAGCCCTACCTTTCAGGGTGGTCATGTGATCGTCGTGATATTATACTACCCTAAAATAGGAACGTGGCTGGTGGGGTTTAGGTTTGTCCACCTGGTCTCAGCTGTAGACAGTGATTTAGATACGATAACACAGGAATATATACGTAACTCTACTAATATACCTCTTTATATAGCTATCTAGTATGTCTTTTCTTAATTTTTGTATGTTGTCTTTTGGCTCTTCACCTGAAGCTTATTTCTTCCCCTCTATCTAGTTTGCACAAATCCATTTACCATGCCAACAGCAGAACAGGACGGGTTGGAATGGGCTGTAGCAGCCTTTGGTCTGCAGCCTCGCTGGAAATACGAGCCAAATATCGAAATAATCGAACGACTCGCTCGCCAACATCTGGCCATTGACACGGACGACAAATGCCACGTTTCTTTCCATGCACAGGGAGCATTTAACAAACTATACCTCGTGCTTTCCACGCGCGGCAAATATCTGATGCGCGTGTCACTTCCGGCCCACCCCCATCAAAAGACTGAAAGCGAAGTCGCCACGTTGGACTTTGTCAGAAAATACACTGAAATTCCGGTGCCCAGAGTGTTTGCCTTTGACAGTTCCAACAACAATGATCTCGGATTTGAATGGATTCTCATGGAGCTGATGCCGGGAGTCTCCCTTCTCCAGCGATGGAGAAAACTGGGGATGGGTGTTAAGGAGAAAGTGGTCAAACGCGTTGCTCTATACCAGTCTCAGCTGCTCCAGGCTACGTCGAATTTCAGATCTATCGGTAATATTTTTCCAGGTTCAGATGGCCGTGGCAAGCTGGCAGGCTCAGAATTCGAGATCGGTCAGACCGTATCCCAAATATTCTTCTGGGGAGAAAACATCAATCAAAAGGTTCCTCGTGGGCCATTTGTCAACAGCCAATCCTGGTTGCACGCCAGGCTATCCTTGATTGTGAATGAGCAGGACCGAATTATCAAGAGTTTAACAATAAGTATGGCAACAAGAACGACGACAAGGGCCCCGGAGAAAGTGACGGCGAGAACGACGAAGACGATATTGAGGATGCCAAAAGCACCAAAAGGCTAGCGCAGACTCTTCTAGACGCACTTCCAAAGCGATTCCCGGCTGAAGAACAAGCCATCGAACAAACCGCCCTCTGGCACAGTGATCTATCTCTGCAGAAAATCCTCGTCGATGAAGACGGAGAAATCACCGCCATAATCGATTGGGAATGTGTCTCCGTTGTCCCCACCTGGGCAGCTGCTCAGGTGCCACAATTCCTGATCGGCACAAAACGGGATACACAGCCTCTTCGAGACGGGTATCAGGACGGAGACGAAGAGGATGAGGAAGAAGCGCGCGAGGAGGGCCTTGACAATGAGGGTAAAAACGGATTATTTTGGATTCACCTGCTGGAGTGGGAACAGACTCAGCTTCGCAAGATCTACGATGCGGAGATGGAGAAGCTATGGCCAAAATGGAAGCAACTCAAAGAGGCTCCGCAAAAGGCTGACTTTGAGAATGCTGTTGCTCGCTGTCCTACAGGCTTCGGGTCTGGCCTTATTGGAGAGTGGCTGGAGGACCTGCAAGAGGGGAAGCCCTGGTGTTTGAGAGATCAATTCATGGAGCCATTTTAGTGATCAAAAATAAACATGCTGTCGTATGTTTTCCTTGTTTATATTGGTGGAATGGAATCTTTAATCACATAGAGCTTATATATAAAAGTCAAGCAAGCTAAAAGTGACCCTTAACCAAATCCTTCGCGGCTCTTACAACATACTCAACCGCCTCAAACTTGTTCAACCCAGAGATATAATACGTCCTCTTCTCCCCCTGAAGCTTCTCAAGCTTATCATACCACCCCTCCCTCAAAACCGTCGAGTTGAAATGCGGAAAGTAATTGGGAAAATGTTCGAAATCCTTGACATCATCTTCAGCAAGTGGCGTTGACTTTGCTGTTATATCACTCGGGTCCTTGTTGATCTTTCCCAAGGATTCAATAACAGTACTCTTCACCTCGTCGGGTGTCTGGTCACCAGTAGCCCATGCCCAGGTTAGGAAGATGTTGGTCTCATTGTAGAGGGCGTCTATGGAGAGCGGCTCGCCTGCGCCTTCGGGGGCAATTTTCGGTGACGCAGAGGCGACTTGGAGTTTATCTGTGGGTGGAATGTCGAGGCTAAAAACACCGGAGAAATAGTTGTCGACTTCGACGGCGGAGAAGACTTGGGACTCGCTTGGTGTTAGTTGAATGCCGGTGTCTTTCAGAGCGTTGGCTGTGGGGGCAAAGGCGATGATGAGGTCTGAGCAGGATTGGGTCTGAGAGGAGCCCTGGGCCTTGGTGTGGTAGTGGATTGTGACATTGTTCTCGGATCGATCTGATAGAGGTTAGATTATGATAACAACGCTAGGGGGATCTTACCAATTTGTTCGATTGTGCTGCTGAGATGAAGTTGGGTCCTCTTCAGCTTTTTGAAATATCGGTGAAACAATTCGAGGTAATCTATGCAGAAATAATGTTAGCAAATAGCATCACCGTGGGGAATGAGAAACCCACCCAGAAAGAATTCACCACTGGTAAAGACTTCAGGACTAAAGGGCTGAAGGGGATAAATCTAGAAACTGTTAGAGACATCTGAAAGCCAGGATAAGCAAACTCACGGCTGGAATTGTTTCAGCATCGCCATATCCCAAGACAGCAAGGAATTGAGTCAGATACGATTGGATGGCTGGATAGTTGTTCTTGGACAGCCATTCAGCTATGCTGACGGTCAGGTCGTCTGGCAGATTCTACAACAAATGTAAGCAAATATCTCTTGGATGCATGCATCAGACGGAATACCTCGTATGAATTGGCATATGGCTCGTAATCACTCTTCCACTGCTTGGTATATCGTTCCAGCTCATCGACGGGAATAGAACTTTCCAGCGAAGGCCCCGGTACAGTCGCGCCTGTTTTCCAATCAAAAACATATTGTTTTGCGTCGATCATCGCGGTATAGTTGAGTCCAAGATCGGCTATCAGCTTGAGTGTCTCGGTGTATGTGCCGTTATACAAGAGGAAGGGTCCGAGGGGGTAGAAGAAGCCACTATTGATATCTCATGTTAGCATACGGCAAGATTGGCATGGAAATAAAGCATACTCTTCATAATAGTTCCGTGCTTTCCCTCCAATCACGTCTTCTTTCTCAAAGATAACTGTGCTTCTGTTGACTGCCTCCAGCTCATTTGCAGTCGTTATACCAGATGGCCCAGCACCGAGGATACACACTGGGAGAGGTGATGTACTTGAAAGGGCAGTCTGGAAAAGAACAACCATGCCCAAGCACCACAGGTGCATGGACTTGAATACTCGAAGCGGGTCTCGATCCATCTTTTCAGGAAAAAAGTATGGTTCACTTCCTGAGACTAAAAAAGACGCATGAAGAATCAGATTCAGTGGAAGGCGATCGAGGGTTTTATACGAGGAAGCAGGTCAGCAGCCTCGCAGCTCGAGGCGATCCGCCACCGGGGTTCGTCATCCTTATTGGGTGAAAAGTGCTAATTTCGTCCAGAGGAATAGTGCCGTATGCTGCATCGCAGTCGCAGCTATTGATTCTGTGTGATAATATGTATTCAAGTGGATCAGAGTCACTGTCTGCAGGCCATTGAAAACAAGGGTTCATGCCGAAAAGAGTCATAGGAAAGTCGGTGGATGGGTGTGTGATGTGATATTAGGCCGTCAGGTGCATGGATATTGGTTTTTTCTTTTGAACTGGGCCAGCCAGCCTGTTGTATTCGATCGGTTCAGCTCACACGTCGCCGGAAAACAATCCATGCAGGATCTCATTGGCTCTTTAAATCGGGCCTTCATATTGCTTTTTTCTACCCCTCTTGGCCAACGACTGACAATGTCTTTGTTGTTGAGTGATGATGCAATAGAATCTGCATCTTACGTACACGCATAAGTAGCCATGATATGGCGTCGATATCAAGCCTCATCAAGATCGGAATCGTGGCATCACTTGGGGTGTGTCTGATGACTTGTGCAGGCCCAGGATGCTGGTACCGGTACTATGGGGCTGGGTCAGTTTATCTCTCAAGATCCTTGCATATTCATCGATATTATTGATCGTGGAATAGATTTAATTTCTTGGTAGGTGAAACTCGATCAGATGGACATAGATTATCACTGATTTCCTATCTTTATAGCTAAAGGGTATCAGCACATTATTAAAGTAATTTGAAGGCAGCTACCAATGAATCCCTATGATTATATATTCTTTAATATTTTTGAAAAAAATATTAAGAGTGGATGAACTATGACGGTTCTTATTTTTGTGAGTTTTTAGAAATAGCTGGACCGTTTTGTGATTTGTATTTAAAATGCATAGTGAAGCACCAAATATGAAGCGCAGAGTTTGCAAACTAGGCAGCGCCGTTGATTGGGTCATAATAGAATACATTATCTTGCTTCTTATTAGCCGATCCTTGGATACAGAAGGTTGAGTCAGCTTCCTTCAACATCTAGGTGATTAACGGATACATGTGCCTAGGCAGGTAGGACTTAGGTGGTTTCCTACATCATTATTTGATCAACTCGGCATTTAACTACTAATCAGCAATTTTGAAAGGCCTTCCGAATGGCTTGGTGGCTTTCGCGGAGTGCACCACCGTTGTACTTAAAATTCAGTTTGTGGCTTCCAATTCAGATATATATATTCAAGAGATAAGGATAATTAATAGTACTCGGTTAAATGTGCATTATCTGTTATTTTATCTTGATTATGGTCGTATTCTATAATAATCTTATTTTATTGACACACTTTATCTCTGAATGCTGTATAAAATTCTGATGACTCAAATATCAAATGCCTATTCTGATATGAGTAACTTGGTAGTATGGACCACGCCACAGCAAAGAAGGTACTCGACGACCAGGCAACTAAAGATTTACTGCTGACATTGAACAAAGAAAATTCAAATTAAATTGGGCGAATGAAACTAGGCGCGTACCCCGTTGGCGGCAACTGCGCCAGAAATATCGGATTCGCCGATGGCTAGTTACTAGACAGGGAAAAACTGGTGATTTTTTTTTTTTTCTTTGACTAATCTGTAATGTTACAGTCAGTTGTTTCTCACAAGGTACTATCTCACTATTTCCCATCTTTTTGTGTTGGATATAATGATGGTATGATGTGGTGATGGTGATGGTGATGGTGGTAGTGGTGGTTCTAGGTAGGCATCATGTATATTCCATGAAACACCACTCTTTTACGAAAACAAGAATGTAAAAATGTCTTAAAACCACCAAGCTTTGCATGGCGATAGCTTGGGCTCCACGTGTAAGCGTAATTTCCTTATATTAATTTTCTGGATCAAAACTCCACCAGTTCTCCAAGGTCCTCGATGGCCGACGCAGCCTTCCGACACTGACAGGAAGGGAAATAAAATAAATACATCACCATGACCTGAACGAAATGAACTGTCCAGACAAACATTCTCTTCCTTCTCCTTGACCCCCTCCAGTCAAAATGCATACCGTCGACCTGGACAGCGCCGACCCCGTCGACGTCATCTGCTATCTCAACAAATCCGACAACGAATATGACGGGCGTCTAGGTGCCCGTATCTCAGCCATCTTCGTCATCCTCGTCGTCTCCAGCGCCGTCACTTTCTTCCCTGTCCTCGCCAAACGAATCCCCAAACTCCGCATCCCACTCTACGTCTACCTGTTCGCGCGCTACTTTGGCGCTGGTGTCATCGTTGCTACAGCATTCATCCACCTGCTCGACCCTGCTTATGGCGAGATTGGCCCTCAAACATGCGTGGGCATGACGGGTGGCTGGGCAGACTACTCCTGGTGTCCTGCCATCGTCCTCGCCTCGCTGATGGGCATCTTCCTGCTTGACTTTGGTGCTGAGCGCTACGTGGAGGTCAAATACGGCATCTGCAGAGAAGATCCAGAGCCGATCATGACCGATTCTGTTGGACAGGCACAAGGGCAGCAGGTCAAACCCGCGCAACCCGCGGGCGAGGAGAGGAAACGGTCGAAAGACTCCTCGCTGGAGTCCCAGTCGATGGAGGAAGTGTATATCGACCGCTCCTTCAAGCAGCAGATTGCCGCATTCCTGATCCTCGAGTTTGGCGTTATCTTTCACTCGGTGATTATCGGGTTAAACCTGGGCGTGACCGGTGACGAGTTTGCAACTCTCTACCCCGTTCTCGTCTTTCACCAGTCATTCGAGGGACTGGGTATCGGGGCTCGGATGTCGGCCATCCCGTTCAGGAAGGGGAGCTGGTTGCCTTGGATCCTGTGTGGATTGTACGGATTGACGACTCCCATCTCGATCGCTATTGGGCTGGGTGTGAGAACCACTTACAACTCTGGTTCGTTCACTGCGAACGTCGTCTCTGGTGTGCTGGATGCTATCTCTGCGGGTATTCTGATCTACACTGGATTGGTTGAGTTGCTTGCGCGTGACTTTTTGTTTGATCCTCACCGTACGCAGGACAACAAGAGGCTTACGTTTATGGTTATTTCGATGCTTTTGGGGGCTGGGTTGATGGCTCTTTTGGGCAAATGGGCTTGATTGTATCATAAGTAATTTTGTATCTAGACTGCTTGGACATGGATTGTATGGACCTGGATTTAATATTGTTGATACCTGGATGGAAAAATGGATTTTGCTTTGTTATTCTAATATGTAAAAACTCTTTCATGATTATACAGACATTTAGGCATCGGGATGTCCGAATTAGGAAATATGGCTGCGGATGGACATTGGCCGGGGGAAAAGAAGTCACAGCACCAATAGAGTTTAACCGATTACACAAACAATCTGGTCATAGTCTAATGCCCTAACAGCAGGCAAAACGACAGCCTCCTAAGCAGAAGAGGAAAAAAGGCAACCGGAAAACACCGATCGACCCATCGCCAATATGGGCCTTCGGGACGGAGCGCTGGCACGACGGTCTGGACTAACCTAGTAAGAGTCTACTGGAACTACGATGATTAGGAGATGCAGCCGATCAGGCGATTAAATGTCGCACCATGTGAATGCAGCCATTCAACTCGTGGCTAACCCTGGGCTAATGCATGCCAGATGCAGGTCAAATGCACTTGTCCGTATGATATGCCGCAGCATGACTCGATGGAAGAAGAGAGGATCATATGAGTGTACGCGAGGCTCGTATTGGGAGAAAAAAGAAATGAAAGGGAAGAACAGGGAAGTCAGCGGAGTGTCTTTGTTGGCCTCGTAAGCAGTGAGGTGGATTAGATGGACATTGGCCGAGAGAGAAAGAGAGCGAAACCTGTTGTGTGAAACCTCGAATCCTCCCAATGCAGATCTTTGATTGCAGTGGCAGTCGTTGATTTTGCTAAAAGGAGAGGCTGAACACACGTGAGTGTCCCCAAGGTGCTCGTCCTCAAGGTGCTCACTCGCAGTCTATATGAAAGAATCTGCACGGCCAGTCTGTCGGTCTTTCTGATTCTTTTTCTCCTTCTTTGCCTTTCTGTGCACATCCTCCTCATCCTTTTGATATCCATCATGAAGTGAAATCATATCCATCATCCACTTGACCTAGTCACCCCGGCAGTAATATGGCGGATAGCGCGCCCTTAATCCTTAGGGCCAGTTGATGTGGGGACAAACACACCCGGATATTAGCGACTCCAGGCTGGATATTGCAATGGAAATGCCTCAACGGTATCAGAGTTTCAGATGGCCTTCCGCCCTCCACTCCCAAGCGACTCCGATTCGGATGCCTGCGCAGTGATCATGAGATCAAAGCTCACCGGGCTTTTCGTTGCGCATGTCGCGGGCTGAAGTCATTACACGATGGAATTGGAATTCGAATCGGAATCAGCTACGCACGGTTCTCTCTGGACGTGTATAAATAGCCCTTCCTTTCCTCTGTTGTCTTGATCTTTTCATCATCAACAACAGCCTCGATTCCTCACAACCACTCTTCAAACTCTTTCCAACAAAACCACTTTTCCATCTACCATCAAGATGTCTCCCTGCTCTTGCAACTGCTGCTCCGGCAACTGCTCCAGCTGCCAGTGCTCCTCCTGCAGCGTATGTCTCCCATTGTATACCATTCACCTCTTTATCAACGCTGCTAACTCGTCATCTCCAGCACTAAGTCCTCCCTCGTTCCACTCCCGAGTCAAACATGTACAACAATGCCCAGACCATCTCGACCCACCTCTCCGCCAATCTCGGGCTGCCTTTCGGGCCTGAGAGACTATTTATGAAATGAAATATAGCGTTGTGTTGCTGTGATGGGAGGGTATTACATGGGAGTTATTTGTGTGATTGTTAAGATATACTGTCGTTTCCGTGTATTTTCTATGGCTCTGTGTTGTCTATAAAGCCGCTGGTCAAGTTTGAATGCTCGCTTGATAGAAATGCAGTTATTATACCGGAGGATCATGCGTATCTTATGTTTAGACAAGATGTAAATCCGCCATGCCACCCCGTAAGACCCAGTTCGAGCGCAGTCAATCCAGTAACAACTGTCCTCTATTGCTATCTCTTCGATGAAGGGCTTCATAGCATCTATTGTATATTCAAATACAAAACATCCTGTCGCTGAATAGATGTAACCCCCTACTCATATGTTGGCAGATAGTTTGAAACCCAATCTGCATATTTCTACCAGACAGGGAATGCAAACTTGGGCAATCATGGAGACTTCTACAGCTGGCCAAGATGAGGGTGTCCAGGCAGTGTAGCAAATGTTGATGACATTGTATTTCTCAATTCCAATAGCTTTTCATTCTCACTTCTCTTATAGGCCCGCATTTCACATCCGCCTTGGAAAATGGGCAACCTTGTGGGCGTGAGAGACTAGTTTCCATCCACGACTTTTCTATTTCGAACCCTCAACCATCATGACATGGCGAGTCCTCATCATATCCCGAGACTACAATCGCCATCAAATGCTCAGAAACGACGATTTTCTATCCCCAGACTCCACCATTTCCATGTAAGTAAGCATGGCCGCCCCAGACTGACCCCCAGGTCCACTCCCTTACACCTGCTCCCCAAACATCCGAAGCTGCATCGGCATGAATCTGTCTCCATACTCCTCAATGACATCCGACTTTTCAACCGCAGAATCCAGCGAACTCCAACCACCTCTCTTCCCTAAATCCTCACACGCAGCAGCCTTCTCAGCAGACCACCAACCAGGCAAAAGACCAGAACGACTCTGCACCGATTTCATAAAGCGGCGGAAACCACCAACAACAGATGCAGCGCCTCCGTAAATGCTGTCTACATCGACCTCGCCTTCGAATTTGTACCGATCCTCCACGCGCATGCGGTAGACGTCAATGAGTAGCTTGTCCGCCTCTTCTTCGGGGCGATCGTGCAGCCAGGTTTTGTTGTCGAGTCGGTGGAAGGGCTTCTTGAGGATCGTCTCTGTGGCTAAAGTGCTGGTGGCGCTGGCGTTTGATGAGCATACTTCCTTGTGGATCTTCCAATGGAACTTCTGGTCGTCGCGAGAGCAGTAGCATTCAGACTTGCACTTGGCGCAGATTTCGGCCATTATGAGATGGACGGTGTGGGGACTTGATATGGGATCTAAAGCTGGTTAAAGGGAGTAGGGGCTGTCGACTGCTAGAGGATGGCAGCGATGGGGAAAGACCTTTCAAGCGATACAGGTTGAACAAGGTAGAAGATCCAACGATAAGCAGAGGAGAACGGCGGGGTTGTCTTTGTTTTTGATCTGTTTGGTCGTTGACCTCAGGCTACAGGGCAGTAACCCATGCTGTGAAGAACCATTCTCCATTCATCGAAAAGCAGCTGAATGCGGTCGGTGGTAGAGTCCAGAGGAGCTGTGATTATATTTGTGCCCGTCGTATTTCCAGAGGTACGTCTATTATTTTATCAATTTTAGGAGGGCGTAACTGTCGTTGACTGTTCGTACCACCTATTAATTCATGTCAGTGACATGCAACTCCATAGGTGAATCCAAATACCAAATATAGCTCAAAGGACAGGAGCCTCTGTGGGTTTTTGTCTAAGCACTACGGGTTTATATTCCCGCAGTCAAAGACAGACTAACATTTTTTAACTCCCCTATGCCATGAGAATAGCACCGTGGCAAACCTCCTGCCGCCAGCATTTATCAGCATGTATGTATACCGCTATCAACACAGCCCAGATTCCGCATCTTGGATTATCTTGCCAGGCATCACGATCCTGGTTTGTATAACTATCACCATATGATTGGTTGTTTTATCCTGGTCGACCGAAGTCTACTACTAGTAAGTTAGTAGTCATGGGCTTTTCTGTTCTGTTTTGTTGCTGATGTGGTTCGACCAACTCAAAAGTCTCCGGGAAGTATCCGAACGCAACCTTAAAAGCGGCACATACTTCCTATCTTTCTCTCCACCAAATCCACACCCAATACTCAAGCACAATGAAAGCATTTACCCCCAAAGCACCTTGGCTTCTCTATGCCTATCCATGGCAGCCTTTCCCACGACGACTAGTCATCTACCTCCGGGAAAGAAACATCCCTTCATCTCTGATTACCCTAGTCCCGGTCTCGGACGTCCAATTCGGCGACAAACCTCCACCGGGCTTCCCCCCAAGGCCTGTAGGGAGTCTCCCCATTCTTGTAATCCCACAGGCCGATGGCGAGAAATCTGTCTACATCAAACAGTCGATTGCAATCATGGAATACATCGAGGAGACGTGTCTTGCGGGGCGATACGGGTTCCCCAAACTGCAACAGCAACCGTTTCTTCCGATTAACACCTCATTTGACGATGATCCCTCCCTCTATAGAGCAAGGCACGGCGAGCTCCTAGCTCTCGCCGCCGGCCTGACGGAGAGCTGGAACCCCGTTCGTTCCTTTGGGTCAGGGGCAGGACCCATGCGGGTCCCTGCTGCTGCCCGGGAAATGCTCCGCTGGACACAGCGCAACATCCTCAGCGTTGAGCGATGGCTTGATGAAAATGAGTATTGTGCTGATGGGCTCAGACATGGGGAAGGGGAGGGAGAACAGAGAATGGCAACCATTGCGGAGATTATTCTCTTCCAGTTTTTCGATTTCACCAAGGATTGCTATGGGATTGACATGACGCAGTCTTCGGGTAGGACTACTACGGATGTCTATGGGAGAGAGACAGTGGAGGAATATCCCCGATTGAAGAGCTTCTATGATGCCTTCATGACCCGGCCAAGTGCACGCAGACATGTCGAGCTTGGAGACGTCCCGCGGGAGGAATGGGTCAAGGCCATGACGGATTGGTCGCCAGGTGTTTTCGAATAGAGGGGATCGGAAATTCAATGTGCACCATACTCCCTTCTCTTGTTAAAGTATAGCTGAGCCTGTTTGATTCAGAACGTGTATTTATGCGTGTTGAGTATCCATATCGCAACTGAAATTGATATTTGCCAATAATACCCTTTACAAGGCCATTCCAATGCCTGTCAAAAGCTTGGTTAAGCCACAATCCTAGCAAACAACGCATCCTTCCCCAGGAAATCCCAACCATCCGGTTTCATCGTGATACACGTTTCCCAGCGCATCATAGACTCCGACCCATCTCCAACCCAGGCTGGCATGAAGATACACGCCCCGGAATCAACGACAACAATTCTAGCCAATCCCTGCTCAAAGTCAAGACTAAACGTCTTGAAGTACCTCCAGATGGTGACTATCACATCTCCTGGATTTACTTCAAAACCGCCCCAGTCGCTGTGGTTGGTTATCATCGCGGAGACACTATACGCGAGGGTTTCGTTGGCTGAGCTAAGTTTATTTCTGAGCTGCAGGGCAAGCTGCGTGAGATGGAGAAGATCTGCTTCGCTATCTTCAGTCGAGACCTCCTGGCTCTGAGGAAGGCGTATATTGTTCCATACTGGGAAAGTCATGTTTCTGACAGACGAGTCTGGGAGAGGATGCTGGAGGCGGTTGCTAGGTTAATTTACATATCAACTGCGGCGTTCTAATTCTGTATATTATGAGCTCTATCAACGCAGATCCCCAGAATAGCAGTGATTATATCGTTAGTAGAAATGTATGAGTCTGGCTGAAATCTAGGCAGCAGTCAGTTGCAGAATTCCTTGGCTCGGGCGACCTTTTCCGGACTAAACGTGATTATCTTTGTTTTTGCCATCAATGACAATGCGCTTTCCATCATAGCCCATTCCTTGGGCGTAGTACTCGAGTCGAAAATGGGGCGTCGCCAGTCCAGGGAGTGATTGAGACGAGTCTGCTTCGCAGGCCAAAGTCGATTAGAAAATAATGTCTAAATGAAAGATATCGTGGGTGCTGGATTAAATATGCACAGGTTGTTGTTGCCCAATACCAACAGCCAATCGTGTTGATTCCACCAAAGCCGGGAGCGCCCGTCAGGCCCCGCAGCGGCCCCGCAGAGCAGATCCAGGGCTGTGGTTGGTCCAGCCTTAAGCATGGTGCTATGACAGAAAAAACAAGAAGGCAGTATCCAGAAACGTGGAATCAGTGGGTGGCTCGCGTTTCAAGTATCTTTATCTTCTCATACTCAGGCAAAGCCCATTTAACCATCCACTCAAACTGGAGAACTTTCTTCGCGGTGGGACGATCTTCAGGCCTAAAAGACAACATCGACCGTAGCATGGCAGAAATAGCATCTCTCTCTTTTGGATCAAACGCTTGCATCCCCTGCTTCTGTCGGGCCTTCTGCACGAAGCCCTCAAACCGATCCTCCCATGATAGAAAATAGCTACGATTGATCGGCGCACCATCCTCATTGAACTTCTCTCGCCGTGCATCCCATTTCTCCCACCAGAATGGTGGGAGAAGACCAAGGGCATCGACGTGTTCAAGGGTCATGTCATCCTCGGTCATTAGCCATTCTTCAAATAGTGGCCTCTGAGCAATGATATTCCATATCGAACACGCTAGCGTCCAGATATCCGATGAGAAAGAGAGAGGTGTTGATGGTTCGAATCGAGCCTCTGGAGGACGCACCACGAGCGGAGTATTGGATTGGTACTTTGCCTGTTGCGATGGTGAAAAAGCCTCGCCAAAGTCTGTAAGGAGAATTCTAGACTCTGGCAGCGTAATTTCTTCGCATGCTTTTCCAAGCCAGATTGGGGTGATTGCGTGGGATGGCACATTTGGTGGGAGTGGTTTGCCGTCTAGACGGACTACTGCTTCTTGTTCTGGTTTCCCGTATTCGTTGTGTAGTCTCTCATCTGAGATTTTATCAAAGTCTGGTGGTACTTGCAGAAGAATATTGCCGAGATGAAGATCCCCATGAACGAAGCCCTGGGAATGAACGTATTCAACAGCCATGGTGAGTTGCGCAGCCAATGCCCTGGCGACATCAATCTGGAAGAGATACTTCCACGATCCATCTTTTGCTCTAGAGAGACTGGTTCTTCCCGGAATGGTCACATGGCAAGCATGGTTTCCATTTGGGCCTTGAATATTGAATCTATCCAGGACCGACGGGATCATACTCGCTGGACCTTTAGTCGAGCGATCAGCAGTTAGAGCAGATAGAATATCCACCTCTTTTGAATTCGAATCTGCCGTGGTGACTTTCACAGCGACGAGTCTATCGAATTGCTCGTCACGCGCCAGCCATGTTGTTGAGAACGAGCCGTGCCCGAGTTTATCGACAACACGATATCGGCCCTGGAATTTATCGCCGATGTTGACGGGATGATAGCCACCTTTTTTGTAGTACTCGAGTCTCTCCATGTCTTCGATAAGCTGGTATTGAAAGTAGGGTTTGTTGTTGGATTCTGTGGTTGATGTTGCTGAGTGGGACGCGGTGGTGGATAGGGTGCGATGAAGATGATTCTTGGGAGGAAAATGTAGTTGAGAGAAGATTCTCAATTGGTGGAGCCGCTGAAGGGAAGAGAATGATGGTCTTTTCATAATTGAGTGTGTGGAGTGATTGAAGAGAGTTGTAGAAAGAAGGATGTCAACGCGTAAACAACGCGAGTTGGAGTTGACGCGTCTACATCAACGACATAAAAAGTCACAGCTCGAATCAGGTTGGTCAAACTAATATGACTCTATAATACCCTGGTCTATGATACTGATGATTATAATGTCAAGCAGATATGCCTTAATGCTTGTTATGGCGGGAGTGACTCATTTTGACCGATCTCGGAAGATCAGATAAGATATTGGGCATTCCTTCCTCTATCAGACAGCTCAATTGGTATAACTTCACTTCTCCAAATATTCCATGATCTGATGCTTGAGGCTATCCTGATAGGGCCAGTAAGTGGATCTTATGCATGGGGCTGTGCATGTCTGCCTGATCAACGAAGTATTTATTATCCAGAATGACTCCATCTTGATTATCATGACCATCAGCATGCATCTCCTCGACCTCCCATCAGAGATCATCCTCGAAATCGCAGACCACCTTCCCTCTCAATCCGACATTAACGAATTTTCTAAAACAAACCACCGCCTCAACGCTCTCCTCACCGGCTACCTCTACAACTACAACACAAAACACAACAATGCCTTCCCCCTCGCCTACGCCGTCTCCTACGGCCAGGAGGACATCGCCAAAAAGGCGCTCCAGTACGTCGCTCACGTAGACGCTGCTGTTCCCGACTTGTGCGAGCGGGGGGATCCGTTCCATCGCCCGATTTGCATAGCTGCGAGGTATAGTGATGCGGGGATGGTTGCGCTCTTGGTGGCGTATAAGCCGGACCTGGGGACAGTGTGCTGTGGGAATCGGTCGCCGTTGTCGTGTGCGGCGGGGCGGATGTGGAGGTGGAGTCCAGATGATGAGCTGGCCAAGTTGCTGATTGAGAATGGGGCAGATGTTAATGCGAGCGATGAACATGGGGGCACGGCGTTGCATATCGCGGCAGAAGTGGGGAGTGAAGCTGTTATTGGGCTGCTGCTTGACTCTGGGGCGGATGTCAACGCCAAAAAGACATGGGGAACTACGCCGCTGCATGTTTCCGCGGAATACGGCCAGGTGAAGTCTGCGGAGATACTGCTCGATCGAGGAGCTGATATCGACGGTGAGCGCAAATGGACACCGCTGGCTGAGGCCTTGCGTCTTATGAGAGCAGATATGGCGCGATTACTCGTTGATCGCAGCGCCAGTCTCGAGAACAAGAACTTTTTGATATGTCTGGCTGCTCGGGGTGGAATGCGATGGTTGGTCGATCGACTGCTTGAACTCGGGGCTTCGGTGGATGGCGAAGGAGAGGGTGATGATAGAGAACAGCCACCGTTGTGCGGTGCTACATCCTACGAACATACCGATATAGTGAAACAACTACTGGAAGCCGGGGCAAACGTCAACATCGGACAAGGAAATGATTGGACGCCGCTTTTAATTGCTGCTAGGCATGGAGACCTTGACACGTTGAGCGTCATCCTCGACTACAACCCTGACCTGGAAGCTTTGGTGGCTGAATACGAGGACGGACCTCTGGTAACAGCACTATGGGTAGCTGTATCCGGGTACCACGACGAGTGCGTCAGGCTCTTGCTGGATAAAGGCGCAAATCCCAACTGTCCGGATACCGAAGATGGCATCTATCCTCTGCAGTTCGCACTCCAGTCTTCCAAATGGGCGATGGCAGATAAATTACTCGACCACGGCACACATGCCCACCTTGTCATGGGAGGCGAGAGTCCACTATTCCTCGCTGTACGAGGAGGATCCGAATCGACTGTTCGAAAGTTGCTGGAAAGGGGGGCAAATCCGAATGTCTACTCGGATGATTTTGACGAAGATCGCACGTATGTTAAGAAACATCCGATATCGCCGCTTGCGTGTGCTATGAAGATGGAATATTATGACATGGCAGAGATGCTGCTGGATTATGGGGCTGATCCGTGTGTTTCTTACTGGGAGAATATCACGACGATGAGCAGAGCAGTCAGATCGATGAAGTGTTCGTTTATCAAGAAGATGCTGGATCATGGCTTGGATGTGGATGAGATTGATAATGCTGGAATAACTCCACTATTATATGCAGTCAAGAAGGGAGGTTTGGAGGTGGTCAAACTACTGCTGAGCCATGGAGCTGATCCGAATGAGTCTCCTGCACTATCATGGGCTGTCAAGAAGGGATATACTCAGATTGCAGAAATACTGTCCGACTATGGAGCGATACAAGACTAACACATCCAATATAGCAACATCAACCAACAACAGCAGTCGCAGTCGCAGTAATCGTTGAGCTCGCCTGCACAATAACCTCAGCCTGCGGAATCAACGTCGGCCCAGGCACCGTATAACTCGTCAACGACTGATAAATATCCACCAGAATCCCCTCATCAGTCGAGGTATACAACTCCGTCCCTAACACTCCATCCGGCTTCACATCTCCACTCCCCGTGATCTGCAAATTAAAACACTGCGGATAGTTTTGCGCGCCGCCCTCTGCAAACGCCCCATGCAGCGCGATCAACTCGTGTCGAAGCACGTAATTCCCTGGTGCTATCTCCTCGGGGATCTTCACCATCCAGCTATCGTTATTCGCGATGAGTTGGTCATCGCCCCAGACTCCGGGGACGGTGGTACCATCTACCAGACCAACGCCATCAATCTTGAAGAATTCCAGCGTGGCCTTGTCAACTGTTTCGCAGCTTTCACCGCAGTTGGCGAGATAGGAGATAACAGGCCCATGGTGCGAATCCGGCCACGGCGTCCATTGGAGACTGATGCTATCGCCTGCTGCGATAGGAATGTGGCCCTTGGCGTTGGCTGCATCAAGGTGGCAGATGATATTGGCATCACCGTATTCATCAGGCGTGATGAAGCCATTGCCTGTGTTGGGAGTTCCCCAGGCTGCGACGATGGGGGGATCGCTCATGTATGGATACGCATTGATATCCCAGCCATCGTACGAGATGCCGTTGATGACGAGGTTGCTGATGTGGCCGTGGGCGGCTACGTGGGTCGCGAGGGCTAGAAGGAGGAGCATGTTGATTATGATGTTGTTGTAGCTGATGATGGTGTAGTTCAGATTATGTTGTGTCCAGGTTGAGATAGCCATCTTTATATACACGAGTTTAACCGGTTGTCTTGATGATTTGCCGGATATATTGATGTCTGCTGACGCCCAGACGTGGCATTGTATATTATCTCCGTGTTGAATCAGACCAGCATCAATATAAAGTATGTATATCTAATGCAATCCCTGTCTATATCTGGTTCTTGACGGAACGCCATCCGAACCAGAATGGAAATCAATATATTGACTGGCAAATGGCCATCTAGCAATCTAATGAATATAAAAACCGGATAAATCATTTTGTAAGATAGAACGACAAATCCTCCCCATTGGCGTCTTTCATCCCATGAACCGGAATCCATTCCTACTTCGATATTCGTATTCAAAATCCTCCACTCGGAAGGCTTCAAGCATTTCCTTGAAGTGGACGGCATGCCCTGGGTAGCCAGCTGCACTCTGTTCTTGCCTCTCATCTCCCACGACGGCGTGAAGCTTACTTCAAACCTGTTGTGCAGACGATGATATCAAATTCTTCTATCTTTCCTTTTGTCGCTATTCCGGTGGTTGTAATCTGTTGGATTTCATCAAACTCCGCAGCGACATTATCCTCCTGGAATGCTTCGAGATATCCAACTCCCGGCATCACCCGACAACATCCCACCTTCCAGTCTGGGATCATCTTCGCGTGCAGCTCGGGGCTATTTGTTTCTGCGTCATTTGCTTCCTGAGTGTACCCTGGAACTCTTGTTGTTTGTGGAATATCCTCCCGAAGAACCCGTTGATGGCATGTTCGAGCTTCTTGCGCCCCGTATCACTTTGCTGTATTGCATTGCTGTGTCGGTGTTAATCGGCGATGGTCTCTTACTTAACTAGCTTTTCTATTACACTGACTTTATTCATTCATTCTAAATATTCAATGTTTATATTGCGGGATTGTGAATCGCCTCATGGTGAGCTATTCATTTAAATCTCAAATATATATACAACATGTCTCTCCATCCCACTTCTCCATCTTCATCTTCTCCAGAATTACGAAAGTGTGCCACTCTCATCTGCCTAGCGTCTCATGTCCAGTACTGACTGCACGGTCTGCTATGATGTAAGCAACTCCTTCCCTATGTACATTGCTCCTTCCTTATATGTCGGCTAGCTGATGACGATCCCAACGGAACACGATGAGTGACAATCCCAGTTCCCAGATCTCAAGGCTGGCTCCAAAATACCAAAATTTCCAGTCTCGAGATATTCAAGATAAAACCACATGAAACTGGTCTATACAACTGGGATCCCCATCCTGGAAATCATATGGAACCGAGTCCATGTCTCCATGAGTACCAATATACCGACTCTGAAGCTCTACTGACGATGTTAGAAAATGCTCTCCATGTACGAGAATGTTTCTCGTCGGTCACCAAAGAACGAGCGGCTAGCTCGGCTGAAGCTCGACCTTATTTCTTCACGATACTCGCAAAGCTTGAGTTACTTGATGATCCCAGAAGCACGGGATCTAAACATCCAGTACGAAACCCACTTCATTATGAATGGAACTTCAAACACCACAAGTATGAGCTCGACTGGTATGCCGACTATACGCTTTTTTATGGCCAGCCATGGGAGGTGGAGAGCAATCTGCTCGTAGTAGAGGCCAAAAAGGACGGAGAGTATGGGGATGGGATCGCCCAGTGCCTCGGCTATATGGGTCAGTGTTGTCTGTCTTATCCGTACAAAATAGCGCTGATGGCTGATGGTCTTACAGACATGATCTGGTAATACCGCAAGCTGGACAGGAGGAAGAGACATACTGTATACGAATGGTGTCTGATGGATCTACTTTTACGTTTCTTCGTCTATCGATGGTATTGGAGGCTCTGAGAGGCATGTATTTGATCTATGTGTGGCCACTTGTTAGTGCTATACATGTTTGTCAATTCTTGTAAGGATTATCGACTGTTGATTCCTATTGAATTAAGATGGGCCATGATGACGATGATCTTGATCAACATGACATCAACAACTACTTGTATAGCTTCATCTGATCACTAAGCGGAAGACGGAAGTCAGTCGGTTCGGTTCATGTGGCCCTCATTCCGAGTGTAGATCTATTCAAACAGCCGATAGCCCGGATTTTGGTATAAAACGAAATCCACTTTCCTTGATCAACTATCATTCTACACAATCATCATCATGTCCGACACAATCTACACACCCCTTGTCCACCCCGACACCCACCCCGCCTTCCACTCCAAAGGCTTCCACCCAGACACCATCCAACTCCTCCCCAAAGGCCATGTAAAACAGCCCGGCTTCCAGGCCTTCCCAGTCGATGTAATCTGGGAACAAGACCGAGCGATTCCCATGCGCGACGGCATCAAAATCTACGCAGACGTATTCCGACCATCTGATGGGGAAAAAGTACCCGCCATCATCCCGTGGAGTCCATATGGAAAGGCCGGAATGAGTACCCTCAACTATGACATTATGGGACCTTGGCGGATTGGCATTCCGTATCAGTGTCTGAGTGGGTATGAGACGTTTGAGGTAGTTATTTTTTGCCCTGTGTCTTTGATATATTAAACTGACTGACAGGGCCCGAATCCGGCGGAATGGTGCTCGAGGGGATATGCGGTTGTGGATGTTGATGCGAGAGGGTCTGGTTATTCAGAGGGGAATTTGGTGTTTTGGGGGGAACAGGTATGAAGATATTCATACTGGGGATATATCTAACACGAACAGGAAGCAACTGATATGTACGACTCGATCAGCTGGGCTGCTTCACAGCCGTGGTGTAACGGGTCTGTCGTTCTCATGTAACCCATCCATCCATTCTATCTTTGTAGATTGTTTCTAACAAATCAGGGGCAACTCGTGGCTCGCCATTTCGCAAATCAACTTTGCCTCTCGCTTTACTCATCCAAACCTCAAAGCCATTGCACCCTGGGAAGCCCTGACAGATCCATACAGCCATCAAGTCTGTCGAGGGGGGGTCCAGGACTCGTCTGGATTCTGTGACATGATCATGTCTGGCTTCGCGGGGTGCAGGAAAGCAGAGAATATCGCTGCCATGGCGAAGATGCATCCTTTGTTGGATGATTACTGGAAGGGGAAGTTGATCAGAGTTGAAGATATTCGTGATATTCCCATGTATTTGACGGCTTCGTATTCGTATGTCGCACTTCCTGTTTGTATGAGGTTGGCTGATTGATATGTCTAGGACGGGATTGCATTGTGAAGGGTCGTTTTATACCTTTGAACATGCGTCGACATCACGCAAGTGGCTGCGTGTTCATGCATCGCAGGAGTGTACGTTCTATCTTTATATAGATAGAAATATACTAATGATATAAGGGCACGATCTCTACCGCCCCGAAGCCACCGACGACCTCCAACGCTTCTTCGACTTCTACGCCAAAAACATCCCCAACGGATGGGAAACAGACACGCCTCGAGTGCGGCTGAGTCTGCTGGGCTACGACGGCAGTCCTGCAAAGACAGTCGTCGAACGACCAGAAGAGACATGGCCGCCTGCCCGTCAGCATCTACGACGGTATTATCTCGACGCAGCGGGAAAGTCGTTGGTGGAGACGAAGCCAGCCTGTCCAGCTAGTATTTCTCACGAAGGACACTCGTTGACAGAGTCATCTGTATAATTCCTCCTCTTGCTTGTATATAGAAATACTAACTGATATGCAGGACTTCACTCTCTTCTTCACCAAACCCACCGAGTTATGCGGCCGCCCCTTTGCCAAACTCTTCCTCTCCACCACCTCAACAGACATGGACGTCGTCATCCAAATCCGCAAACTCTCCTCTACCGACACGCCCCTGACATCCCTAAACTGGTCTCCTATGCCCAAACCCGCCCCGGAAGTCCCAGACGTCAACGTCGCAAAACATCTCGGGCAACAGGGTATGCTGCGCGCTTCGCATGGGATGTCTCTACGGCCGAGGTCCCACGAAAACGAACTCCCCGTGTACGATCACGATCGCGCAGAACCTGTCAAGCCGGGTGAAGTCATCCCATTGTTGATTCCGATCTGGCCGGTGGGGATGGTATTTGAGGCGGGGGAGGGCGTTATGCTGCGCGTTTCGGGGCATGATATGGCGTTGCCGGAAGTGGAGGGGATGAGGGTTGATGAGGCGGTTGATGAAAATGAGGGGGTACACACGGTGTATACGGGTGGGGAGAGGGGGAGTTATCTTGTGTTGCCTGTTATTGAGTGATATCGTTATTGGTCAAGGTATCCATTTATCTTGATCAGTATACATACCAGGTTACACGGCATGGCGGGGATTTATATCCGGACGTGGACAGGAAATTCCAATGCATGTACATTCCAGTCTACCGTTGTGATCATATTGAGATTGCAGATTTGTCAGTAAAGAATGGAGATGAGAGATAGGGAATTCCAGTTCCTTCAGTGGAAAATGAAACAAAACTATTAGATTAAACAGATAGATAGATCAATGGATGTCAGAACAACATCTATGCGTACAATCATGAATAAATTCGCAAGCTGGGGTATTATACAAAAACAGTCTAAATTCTACCAGAAGTACATACTTCCGTACACATTCTCATAGCATTGGAACACATCAGGGCAGCTGTATTCGTCAGTAAGAGTCAAAAAGTTAGGGTCATAAAATGTAGACTTACTACACCGGATTCTGTCCAAAAATGATATGCCAGGTGTACTCCATAATATGGGCGGCGACTTCATCCGACAAATCCGTCGTCAGCACCCACTCGTAGTAATGCTGGTAGTCGCTCAACGGCCGCTTGAGGACCTGATCCCGGGAGACGGCGAATTGGGAACAGCACGGCACACCCACGACCTCAGGGACTTCGGTGTTGTTGAACAGCTCCACCCACGCCTGCGCGTAGACACTATCCGTCGACGTGCTAGCCTTTGACGAGGATGATTTCAACGAGGGGTGAATCTCAGCGGGACAGCCCGGGGCGTCCTGGCAGCGGAGGTTGGCGTAGCCGTTTTGCTGGACGTAGTCGAGGCGCAGGGAGCGGACGGACTCGATGTTGCTGTATTCGATGGTGTCGGTGTGCCAGCCAGCGGGGAGGCCGTCCTTGTGGCTGTGGATGAAGACGATGGTTTCGGGGAGGTCGGAGTAGTGGTCGACAATGTATTGGAGGTAGGCGAGACTTTCGCGGCCTTTGTTCGTGGGTGTGTGCATGGATGCGCTGAGGTCGTCGACAGTGTAGATGATTCGTCGCCAGCTGAGCATGAATCAGTACCTTTCTCCAGTAAATGGTGGTTGAAAGACTTACTGTGCCAATTCATCGGCCACCCATTGCGTATCCTCACTCGACAGCCTAGCCATCACAATCGCACCGTCCACCGGCACGGTGATCGGCGTCGTCTCCCACGTCTGATTCTCAACCTGAATCTCATCCTGGTCCGACCCAGTCTCCGTCTTCAACGGCGTCCCCGCGAGTTTCGGCTGCTTGCTGTGATCGAAAACATTGTCGTCGCTGTTGATAGGGGTGCCGATCTTGAAGCCATCAGGCACGACGCCTTCTTGCTTGGTGGTGGGAGGCGAGGAGAGTTGCTGCGCAGAGCCAGCACCGCCACCGGCACTGTTGGAGAAGTTGATCTGCCAGAACGGTTGCACGCGCGAGTCGTCTCGCATGAGGTCGAGGTTGCGTTTGACGAGGACGATGGCGAGGATTAGCAGGCCGGCCAGCCCGACACGCACGGAGAGTCTCATCGCAGCTTGAAGCTTAGTTGGTCTCAATTCAAATCCAGCTCAGCATTAGCCTCTCGGAGATAAGCGATTGGGTTTGCGTGGCGAGTCTGCAGCGCTACATGGGCTGGAGTGAGGGAGAGAAAAAGAAAAAGAGAGAAAGAAAGAAGAAAGGGAGAGAAAGGAATGCCAGAAGAAAAAAGAAGGGTGAATGTCAGCCAAGGGAAGCCGGCGAGGCACAAACCAAGGCTTATCGTATTTTTTTCTGCTTAGTGGGATGGGCCGGTGATGGGCGGAATGGGCCAAAGGGGCGATGATCTGCAGGGAAATTGAGGGCGACGAAATGAAACAGCGTCCAACGTTATACAGAGATTAAAATACCCTCGATCAGACAGTGACGAAGCGTGTGTCAGGATGGCTGCATCTGTAACTCTTGACGTCTCCGGATTCAGGGCGAGCCTATAAAAAGATGGCAGTTCGAGAGAATGCCCGTTTGTAGAACGGATCAGCGACCCTGAATCTAGTCGGTCCCTTGACCCACTCGCAGACTTTTATCTATTTATTGCTGCGATCAGAGATGAAGCTGGAAGTTTATATATTTGCCACCCGCTGACACATGATCAACATCTCCTCTGCCAGAGTGAGGTGATAGGCATCTCTACATGCGACACTTAATATCTGGCCAATATCCTGCCGTGGTCGCATCAACTTGTTCTCCTCTCTGGACAGCGTGTCGCATCGGTCGCCATCCATGGTTGATCGTCACTGTGCGACGTCGAACTGACAGCCTCGAGCCATCGACGTTATTGAGGTCATACACAGTCAGACCGGAGGATGACGGATCCACTGCTGATGGATATGTCTTGGACAAGCTCGTGGGGATGCTTTAGTCTTGAGTTATTCTCCGTGGACGAATGTTTATTCTGACGACAAATACACGTCCATTGACTTATCTGAAATCATAAAACATTCAATCATAAGATGGCTCATCCTGACATATTCACAATCCCCATCCAAATAAACGTACCGACCAATGCGCCAACCAATGCACCAACGCCGTGATGCATTAACAAGAAACGGAAAGATAAGAAAAGAGAGAAAGATCAACAGCATCTCCCCTTCTTCTTCGACGTAGCCACCATCTCCGACTCCTCGTCCACCCCCACACTACTCGGCGGAAACCCAGGAATCCAACTGCGTCGCTTGTCATTCGACTGTCCCAACCGAAAACTGCCATTCCCATCACTATTATTATTTCCCAGGCCAGACGCCGTCGCAATCCCATCTATCGCCATTCCCCCCTGCGACAAGGCAATCTCCGCCTCGCGCTTATTCCGCTCCTCCACCAGCTTCCGGGTGATGACTCGAAACACCTCTTCGATGCCCTCGCCATCCTTGGCGCTAATCTCATGACAGCAGTCCCACCCGATATCCTGGCCCCAAAACGCCGAACTCCGCTTGCTATCGGGGCTCTGCAGCGTGGAGGAGGAATGGCTGACCCCGGCCGTCGGCGGCGGGGTGGACGCCTGCGATGGGTACAGCTGTTCGGCGACGTAGGCGATTGTCCGTTCAAAGGGGACACGGCGCAGTGAGGGGTCCAGCGCCACGATGTCCGATTTCGTGCCCACAACGTGGATGACTAGTGGTTCGTCATCGCCGAGATTGTTCTTCAGCTCGAGTAGCCAGCCCATCATCTCTTGGAAGCTTCGCTCGTCGGTGATGTCGTAGCATAGTAAACAAGCGTTTGCGCCGCGGTAGTAGAGGCGCGAGATACTGCGGAATCGTTCCTGGCCGGCTGTATCCCAGATCTGCAAGCGGACGACGGTGTCCGAGGTACTGTCGAGGACGCGCTTGGTGACGAACGATGCGCCGACGGTGGACACGGTCGCGGGGTTGAAGGCGTTCTTCACGTAACGCTGCACAAGGGATGTTTTGCCTACGCCTGATTGTTGATGTTTTAGCCATGGAATGGAAAGGAGGCAAACAGAAACATAAAGTAAATAAAATCAGATGCATACCTTGGGCGCCCAGGACAACAATTTTAGCCTCGAGAGAGGAGCTCATCATGGCGGGGTAGACGCAACAGCGGGGAGAACTGCATTCGCATGATCCAGCAGAAAAGGGATTAGAAATCAGCGCAGGCGAAGCAATAAATACAAAAGAGGATGGAAGACGAGGTTGTACTGGAATTCCTGCTTGAAACGCAGCAATGCTGTTAGGGAGGGGAATTTCTAGGCGAGAGAGTCAGAAAGAGGCGGAGACAGAAAGTGTCAGAGTGACGGCCTCAAGGCTGAGCAGATCAGCCGATCACCGTCTGATTTCTTTGTTGCCTTTGATGGCGTTGACTCTGACTTTGACTCATCGCGAAATAATGACTTGTTCGTGTGGATAGAGAGACAAAGGAGTGAATAACCGAGGAATAATCCCTTGCAGCACGATTAACTTTGACGGAATACCTGAAGAACATTCTACACACCAAACAACCAAATACAACTCCTACAATGTAGATGACAATCTTATAACGAGAGGTAATATTAAGGTTCCCTCCTCCTCACATGCCCATCCCGCTGCGTGCACGCCTCGCTTCCATACAGATTCACCGCTGTCGCCTATCTTGGCGATGCAAGGAGTGACGCCTTTATTGCCCATACAAATCACATCATCTCAGCCGGGCTGGGCGTTGAAAATCGGACTGTCCGATCTTAGACTCCACCTTGCGCCGCTTATTCCAGCCCGAGGCTGAAATAGGTAAATCATCTACATGTGGAGAATGGAATGGAAAATAGTGCCAATAAATGTTCTTCAAGGTTCGATTCAGATTTGACTGATTCGATTTTGGTCAGGCATACTTTTGATATGCGAACCGTCTATCTGTACAATAGCAAGGGCCAGTCATTCTGGCTTTAAGAATGCAAAAAAGAATATATCGCGGCGATCCATCCAGGACCGTGGGTCTCAAAAAAAAAAAAAAGCATAAAATCAAAAAGGATATTAAAAAAGACGTAGCGAAAATTTTAAAAAGCCATCTGCAAATAACACATGCATAAAAGGGGGAGAAAGAAGAATGGGTCGAACTTTCGTGCTTCGAAGGGAGATGGATCAAACTCCAGTTCGTCGCTATGCAAATTCCAATCACAGATACTGTCGTACCAGTCCACATGGCCATCCAGCCCTGACCCTGCAGTCGGTCAGGGATCGCCTGAAACCTCCGGATATCTTTGGTTTGCGAGAGTTATTCTGGTTTAAGGTAGGTGGGTGGCCTGCTCGTTGTCAGAGGACGAGGACTGGTTGTGGTCGGCGTGGCTCTTCTCGACGTCGCCACTGTCATGGCCGAGGGCAGGAGTGTCGAGGGCGAATCCGTACTCGGCGGCCTTGGCTTCGATTTCGTCGTCGGTGAGCTTGGGAAGTTCCTTGGAGGCGCGGACGTAGGTCATGTTCTCGGTGAAACCCTTGGCGAAGATGATATCGATTTCTTCCAAACTGCGGTTGGCAGTCTCGGGGTAGAAGAAATAGATAACCGGGATGAAGCAGGCGTTGAGGGCGGCGAAGAAGAGATAAGTACCCCATCCAATGCGGTCAACCATGACTGGAGTGATCATGACCACGGTGAAGTTGAAAAGCCAGTTGCTGCAGGTGGAAACAGCATTGGCCTTAGCACGGGTCTTGATGGGAGACAGCTCGGCAGGATACAACCAAGGCAGAGGAAGCCAGGTGGCACCAAAAGCAGCCATGTACATAAACAGACCAAACACAGCACCCTTGGAGGCGGCCTTGGTGTCGGGGATCAGGCACGCAAAGGTGATGATCATGGCAGAGGTCTGGATGAAGGATCCGCTGAGGAAAAGCTTGCGGCGACCAATCTTCTCAATAAAGAACCAAGAGAAGGTAGCAAAGATAGCATAGACAATCATATTGACACCACCAATCAGCAACGCAAAGTCCTGGTCCTCATGGAGCGAGCTCTGCAACAACACAGGCAGATAGTAGATGACCGCGTTGCAACCGGAAAGCTGCTGGAAGATCTGGGCAGAAGAACCGACCAACATACGACGGAAGTGCTGGGAACGGCCACCAGTAAGCAGGTCGCGGAATCGGGTCTCCTCGCCAAAGGCACCGGACGCCTGAAGCGACTCCATGACGAGCTGCTTCTGCATCTGGGTCTCGCGGTCATGGACTTCGAAGCCTCCCAGGGCAGCAAGCACATACTCACCTTCCTGGACACGGTTCTTGGAGATCAGGTAGCGAGGAGAGTCGGGCATGTACCACATTCCAACAATGATAACGACGCCGAAGACGATCTGGAAGGCAATGGGGAAACGCCAGACGAGGTCGCTAGGGCCGTAGTGACATCCGAAATCAATCCAGTAGGCAATCATAGTACCAATGGCAATGATACCACCTTCGATACAGATAAGCAGACCACGGTTGCTAGTCTTGGAGCACTCGGCCTGGTAGGTGGGAATCGTCGAAGTATTCATGCCGTTGCCAATACCGGTGATGACACGGCCAAAGAAGAACTGCAGCAGAGGAATATGGTCGACAAACGAGGTAACCTGGATAATGACGCCGATAATCATGACAATGGCCCCCGAGAAGATCATCCACCGGCGGCCCATCTTGTCACCAAAGATAAGAGCGTAGACCGCACCGACCAAACATCCTAGCCCAATTAGCCATGGGAGATATAGAGCCCAGCGCAGGGAGACAAACCCAACTCATAGACAGCAGTGACCAGCGCCTGCATGGTGGAATTGTCCTTGGTAGCTGTGAAGACATTGTTGAAGTGTTTATCGCTGATAATACCGGACATGACACCCTCTGCAGAACCGTTAGTAGATACCCTTATCTGTACACGCCATGCCACTTACGGTCATAACCGAACAGCAAGAAACCCATTGTAGCAATGGTCGATACCGTCAACGACAATTTCTTGCCGCGTAGGCCCGCGAAATTGGGCGAGGCTGTACTGGAAACCATGATGAACGATAGCTATAGGAACTTGATCGCTAGGAGGTGTGTGCACAGCAGAAGAGTGGAATCGTCCCCAGTTTTCAAACAGACACCCGGTCGGTTTGTCTTCTCCAATGCTTAGGGGAACTTGGCAGGAGTAAGCCTGGAGTAAGAATAGAAAGGGAAAAAGGAATAGGACAAACGCGGAGAAAAAGGGGGGGGGGACCAAGGGAATTTCTACTTTCCCCCAGGCTACAGGCAGTTGCGAGGACCAGATACGCTGAGCGTACGGCCTCTGTTTTCCCCAAACTGATCACGAAATTACCAACGCTCATAGTCCGCTGGACCATTGTTTGTTTGTGGATCCCGGGGGCCGGATGCATCAATAATGCAAGCTAAGCATTTTGCTTTTGGGGGAGCCCTTGGCCCCACTTGGGCTACTGTTTATGCATAAAAAGTGATGTCACAGTGGGGCTGGAAAATCAATCAGAAAAATTAAAGAAAAAGAAAGGAAAAAAAATAAGTCAAAAAGGGCTGAAGTTAGAAGCCAAGGGGGGCGAATAGCAGCTGAGAATTTGCCTCTTCGGCTGTGGCCGTCGCCAATGATCGTTCCTCATGGCTGGAATGGAGTTGTTCCCCTTTGTCAAAACAATTGAAGCGCTTCATATTTCCGAGAGAGTTGCTGTCGAGGACGGATTCAGGCCCACTTGCCTAATTGAAAGCCAACAGACGTCGTACATGGTAAATAATAATTGGGTGAGTGAGAAAAATAAAAAATAAATAAAAATGAAAAACAGATTCTTCAAATTAAATCCCCATAAGACAGCCCAACGTGGAACAGGGAGAACGAGACGTCTCAGTCGCGTTCGCGTCGATGCTCAACCCGGAAGCTGAAACGAGATTCTTCTTGGGTGTTTCCCACGGGGTTATGGGCTGAGAATCTGAGATAAGCTGCTTCACCCGCAATCTGACTGGTATTTCCCCATGAAATGGAATTGTAATGGGTATTGTATTCGCAGAATGTCACCTGGCTACGGGCAAGTCCGGCTGCAACATTGATTCTCCGTCTCGGGCGTTCTTCAACTCTGCCCTCGGGAAGCCGTCGCTTTTGTCCGAATGCTGCCTAGCGTCTGCAAGGCGCTAACCCAGGGTGGTCTTAGCCGTATCAGGTGTATCATACCGTACCAGATGCATCCGGTCCCCTTTCTCCATCCCCTGCGGCTACAATCCTTTCTCCAGACTCTCTCCAGCTGCCACCACGCAACACGGTTCAGCTTCTCCAGACCCAATTATCATTTCGTCTGACGGGTCGATCAGGCCATTTGCCCTTGCGCTGTCAATCAGAGTTCGCCTGTTCTAGTCGCTGCTTAACTTTTATCCCCAACAATCTCGATCATTCATTTTTCAGGCGTATCGAACTTCGACCTGTTGACATTCCTCCGAACGAAAACCGACATCCACTCTCCGGATGGAGAAAGACCGCACTCCAGTTTTAGATAGTGGTCAGTGATACTGCAGCATGACTCTCAGATTGCATCCAGAGATCTGAAGTGGCATTCCGTTGTCCAACGATATTCCTGGGTCTGCATTATTCCACCATTCGACTGCATTATCGTGTCACCCAAACTTTACCCAGATATTAAGATCGGTGGACCTTGATAATTACAATCTACATGGGTATCGTAATCGTCCTGTTCTGTCTGTCTTGCTCATTATTGCTTTTTCCCCCTTCTTTTTTTTAATTATTCCCCCTCATTTTTGCCGTCCTGTTCTTGTGCTCTCTCTCCATGTTGAGTTTGTACAGCCCGTCGATCAGGAGCATCCTTCGTGGTCAAGCCACGAAGCTTAGTGAGATCGCCTCGCCCCATGCAGAATAGTCAAGGAAGCCAGCCCAGTGAGGCCACGAACTGTCATGGGACCGAGGCTACGAGCCAAGCACAGACAAGAGAAGACAAGAAAAAAAGAAGCTCTGCCGAGAAAAGTCTTTTCCATTTGGTAGCAGATGGCCTCGCAAGTGGAGGTGGTGGGGGGCCAAACTCACCCCAAACGAAATCCTTCGGCATCTCGGCCAACTAATGGCGTTGCTGTTGCTGTGTCGTCAACCTCTGCGGTTGGATTATTCCTTCCGGGCGTCTAGTTGCGTTGCCAAATTCTATCCTCCACACCCCCTCTTTCCAGGCACCAAAGATGATCCAGACATTCACTCACGGACAATCCCCACGTCAGCGGCTCGCCAGCGGATTTAACGCGTAGGATGGTACGTCTGCAGGTAAGACATTCGAGATGGATCTGCTAAAGAATCAGATGGTGTCGGTTGATTCGATCGGAATGAGCGTTTGGACACTTCCGGGTTGTCATCTTGCATGGGGTTTTAATTATCCGCCTGGCAGTGCTCCGGAAACTGTAGCATCCATCAATCATAGAATTTGTACTGGCCATTGTTCTCCGGTAGACAGTCAACAAGACAGTCAGCTGGACGAAAATGACGTCGCGGTGTTGAGGCAGTAAAGATTAACCGAGTACTGAATTCTAGCTGCCCTGATTTCTGTCGCCATCGTCGTCATTCTCGATTCCCACAAGGCTCCAGCGTATCTGATAAGACTGGCACATGGCTGAGTCACATGGCGATAATCTCGACGTCGTGCCCATTGATCATAATCATCATCGTCGACCATCTTAGTTCCATCCCAACACGCCATAGCATGCATTAACACGGGCAAAACTTTGACATCACCAAGTATACCCGGTCAGAAAGATAGCTGAATAGATGAACACGGACCGAGCGTTCAAGTTTGCACCGTTTCGTCGATCCCGAAATTGGTGCCTTTCCGGTCGGCCTTGGCTTTGCCGGGCTTTTCGGCAGCGGCGTTCTTTTAGTCTTCTAGATCGTTGATCCAGGGCCAGGGCCGATAGCTTCGCCGTTCGAGTGGAATGGAAGCCTTGGCAGGTATTCATTGTTGAATAAAATACCGTATTTGTCACGTGAGGGTGGGTGTTCAGAGGTTAAGATGGAGAGAGAGAGAGAGAGGGGGGTCCAGATTTAAAAAAAAAAAAAAAATTGTTTGTTTTCAGCTTTCCATTGCATAAATAAAGCTATGATTGGGCTATAATGTCTTTGTCGATATCCGTTTTTACCGATTGCTGCCTGAGGCAGTTCACTTCTAGCCTTCCAGGCTTCCAGAAGCTTCAAGTCACAACACCAAGTGGAATCAGTGAAAAAGCATCGTCGATCATGGAGCCAGGTCCAAATTCCAAATGAGATAATCAGAATATTACAGGTAAATTAATTCCCCATGGAGAATTGTGACAACACACTGATCATGGATCGTCAACAAGCATTAAGTTTGGATATATATCCAGACCATTGGGACGGCACATACGCTCTCTCGAGCGTAGCGAGTTCTTCAAACTTCAATGAACTTAAATGATCGGTGATAGTTCATGCTTGGTATCTGCAGAAAAAAGCCAATTCATCGCTTGCACGTCCAGAAGACTCTGAGAAAGGGGTAGCTGTCTTGCCCGTGTAACGCAGAGTCCCTTGCTTCGTTGTGTCACCTCACGAGGATTCGAGGAATGCGGTTTATTCTTAGCAGTCCCAGCGGTATGGTATTGGATTACAGGGACTACAGGGCTGTTGTGGCTGCCTGAGTTGAATTGTTCATTGTCTGGACTTGTCTTGGGAGAAGCACCTGTTTTCAGTGGCTGGCTGCAGCCCTTGCTATCCTTTGGCATAACTATTATGTATCTGCTTTGTCATATGAACATGAACAAAGTTATCCACATGACTAAGCATCCGCACAGGTCTTATCTTCATAATTCATCTTGATCGCCAACCTTAACCACATCATGGCCATTTCGAGTCGGCCGAGAAATCCACCGTCGCCCGAATCCCCCGCAAAGGTTGCTTTTCTCCGGGGATCACGGCGCCTTTCAGCCAACGACAAGCCGTCGATTTCTGCTTGTTCCCTCGTCATTCGCTATCTTTTATACCGAGGGAACCCTTAGCCTATCTTCGGTTCGTCTGGAGAGTACCAGGTACAAAAGGTGGACTTTTCTCCTGGATTCTATCTTCTCCTCAGTTTCATTCAATTCAATTCACCTACCTCTCTTCACAATGGGACAGAACAAGCTCACTGGCGAGGCCGTCGCCCAACACAACTCCAAGGACTCGTGCTGGGTCATTGTCCACGGCAAGGCCTATGACGTTACGGAATTTCTGCCAGGTAGGTTCATTTTCTCTCATAATTTGTGGCATCGTAGCTAATCCAGCACAGAACATCCTGGTGGCCAGAAAATCATCCTCAAGTACGCGGGCAAAGATGCGACCGAAGAATTCGACCCGATCCACCCTCCCGACACACTAGACAAGTACCTACATGCTTCGAAACACCTGGGTGAGGTCGATATGGAGACTGTCGAGCAGGAGGAGAAGGTCATCGAGCCTGGAGAGCTGGAGCGACAGGAACGCATCAAGCAGATGCCTCCGTTGGCGGCGTGCTATAACCTGATGGACTTTGAGTCTGTCGCACGGAATGTGATGAAGAACACTGCTTGGGCATACTACTCCAGTGGTGCGGACGACGAGATTGTACGTTGAGACATGTCAACCCCCAGGACGAAAGCTAATTGTCATCCCAGACCATGCGTGAAAACCACTCTGCCTTCCACAAGATCTGGTTCCGACCTCGAGTGCTCGTCGATGTGGAGAACGTCGACTTCTCAACCACCATGCTCGGCACCAAGGTCGACGCTCCTTTTTACGTGACTGCCACTGCGCTGGGCAAACTGGGCAACCCCGAGGGTGAGGTCGTGCTCACTCGTGCCGCCCACAGCCACAACGTGGTCCAGATGATCCCCACCCTCGCCTCGTGCTCGTTTGACGAGATCGTCGACGCCCGCCAGGGCGACCAAGTCCAGTGGCTCCAGCTCTATGTCAACAAAGACCGCAACATCACCAAGGGCATCATCCAGCACGCCGAGAAGCGCGGCTGCAAGGGCCTCTTCATCACCGTCGATGCGCCCCAACTCGGCCGTCGCGAAAAGGACATGCGCTCCAAGTTCTCAGACGTCGGCTCCAGCGTGCAAGCCTCGGACGGTGATTCCGTCGATCGCTCGCAGGGCGCCGCCCGCGCCATCTCCTCCTTCATCGACCCCTCCCTCTCCTGGAAGGACATTCCCTGGTTCCAATCCGTCACCAAAATGCCCATCATCCTCAAGGGCGTGCAGTGCGTCGAGGACGTCCTCCGCGCCGTAGAAATCGGCGTCGACGGCGTCGTCCTCTCCAACCACGGCGGTCGCCAACTCGAAACCTCCCGCTCCGGCATCGAAGTTTTGGCCGAGGTTATGCCTGCCCTCCGCGAACGCGGCTGGGAGAACAAACTCGAGATCTTCGTCGACGGCGGCATCCGTCGCGCCACGGATATGCTCAAGGCTCTCTGCCTCGGCGCCAAGGGCGTGGGTATCGGTCGGCCTTTCCTGTACGCCATGTCCGCGTACGGCCAGCCGGGCGTCGACCGCGCCATGCAGCTCCTCAAGGACGAGATGGAAATGAACATGCGCTTGATTGGCGCCACCAAGATATCCGACCTCAACCCCACCCTGCTTGATACTCGGGGTTTGATGAATGGTCATGGTGCACCGGTGCCCTTGGACACGTTGGCCCTTAACGCTTATGATCCTCTGCAAGCGCCTCGATTTAGCGAAAAGGCCAAGTTGTAAACCGCTTTACTACATGGAGGCTATTTTGCATTTTGGATGAGGTGTCTTTTGCTTGCTTTTATAATGCGACTACATGGTTGGGTGGACGAATGGTCCGATGAGATATACCCACGTTAGAACGACTGATTGGTCTATACACGTCTCTGTGAGATGACGATTTTTGTATTTATACTGAAAAGAAAAAAACTTTTATGATCCACGATGAATGTAAATATTTCCACGTCCATCTCGTTCAAGCGGTTCGATATATATCGCAGGTATGTATTCTACAAGTAGTAACCCTGTAGAATGTAGATCAGTATGCCAAACGCTCTGCAACATTCATTATGATAGCTATATACTCCAAACTCCAATGCTGATCTGATCCAAAGAAAAAAAGTGTGTGTGAACGGCTACAATTCCACCACTTGTGGCTTATTCCCCAGCTTCCCACTGTTTTGATACATGCACGCAGCATTCACCATCCACCCGCAGCCTGTATTCTCCCCACCCCAGACCTTGGCCCAGACAACCCCCAGAACTCCATACGTAAGGACTCGAGCTGTATCAACCCATCCGTGCACATCGAAGAGGTCGCGGAATATTCCAAACAGCGACCACAGACGGCCATGGCCTGCCCGGTCCCGTCGCGAGGCGCATAGTCGCTCCCATGCCCGCTGCGCCTTGTCCCAGTAGACGGGCTCTATGCCGTAGCCAGCGTGGATGTGTCCGAAGACGTGCAGCGCGGGCCGGACTCGCCATGCCTCGGTGAGCAAGAAGGGACAGCCGGTTGAGTAGATAGGGGAGAGGTCGAGATGGGCTTGCGGCGGGGTGTGGGTGATTAGGATGTCGGTTTCTTGGGGGATAGTGCCGGACCAGGCGTTGTGGTGGGGAGGGTAGGTGAAGGCGTGTTCGGGGCCAAAGGGGACGAGGGCGGGGATTTGCGGTGCGCCGTAGAGGGTCAAGGAGCGTGAGGCAGACGGCGACGACGGCGAGGAAGGGAAGGAGAGGGTGACGGAGGAGTGCTGGAGGTAGTGGATGTCGCCCCAGTCGATGCGGAAGTTTTCGAGTTCGAGGTCGTCGAGGGAGCGGATGGAAGCTGTGGAGGCGGAAACAGTCGAGAAGGACGAGGTGGAGGGTTTGAGATCACGGTCTTCATCTCGTCGGGAGCGGACGTCGAAGTAGCTGTCGTGGTTGCCACAGATCACGACTTTGTGGGGGTGAGGCAGTTTGTTGAGCCAGTCGACGGCCGCCTGGATCTCACGGATGCTGCCATCATCGCAGAGATCACCCGCGTGGATGAGGAGATCACCGTCGGGCACGTCGGACCATTCGAGGGTATGGGTATCGGAGATGCAAACGACACGGATGGGACGAAGGTCGGGTGGAGGCAGGCGGGGAGGGCCGCGCAGCCGCAGAAGCAGATGATGGAGAGGATAGAGAAGAGCGACGAGAGGAGAGGAAATAAAGTAGTCGTGGAGAGGACGGGCGTGGTAGGGATTGGACATGGTGAGGATGGATGAGAAGGAAAGGGAGGGGAGAAAGGAGAGAAGGAGGAAATGTTGTTTTCAGTTGGGCAGTCGATGATGATGCGAAGCCATTTATGGTGAGAGAATCGGGCGATGTTGGGAAGTTCAGCGATCAACGAAGAAGAGGGGTTCGGGGATTTACAGAGGATTGACAGAATAAAATGACATTCAGTAGCTACTACTTGTTATACAGACAAACAAATATATTATCTGGAGGCTTGTATATAATGGTGGTTGATATTGACGAAACATGGTTCACCACAATGATATAATCCAAGAAAATGATCCGTCGTCATCCTGATATTTTATCTTCTATTTTTCTATTTGATATTTTCCATTTGATTTTATCCTTTCTCTCTCCATAATTGAGGCACTGGATCTGTTTTAATATCTGTCGCCACATCCGTGCCAACTTCACTTTCTGGTTGCGGACATTCCTCTCCATCACCATCCACCAACCACTTCTCTCTGGCTTCTTTCTGGCTCCTCTGGATCTTCTTTGGAGCCCAAAAAGAGCAAATCTGATCGTCTTCAGGCGGTGATTTTCCCCATCGCATCGCCCTTCTTCCTCGCCCTTCGATCCTTGATCGTTTGCGTCATATCCCTTGTGCTGATCGGCTTCGCTTTTATTTCTTTCGTATTTGCTTCTTCCTCTCGTCTATCCTGCCAAATTATTTCTCGTCTCCTTTCTATCTTTAATTCTCTTCTTTAACTTCCTCGTGGCAAACCCCTCCATCTTCTATTCGGACGGACTGTACCACCCGCTCTCTCCGCCCACACCGTCTGGACTCTCTTTGCTCTCACTCTAATTCTACGACAACCCAATCCTGTCCGGTTTGCCCCTCCTCCTCCACCTCCTCCTCCATCTTTTTCTCCCCTTCCGACCCGCACCCTTTTCTCTCCTCCTAAAACTATGGATGGGGTCGATATCACAAAGGCTGTCATCAACAAAGGGAAACAGATGGCCAGCGTCGCCGCCTCCGCTGCCAATGGCAATGGCGGTAAGAAGAGAAGGAAAGGCACTGATCTGAAGCCTATCGTCACAAATGATCCAGCTGCTCCTGTCGTCGATCCAGCAGCAGCCACCACTAGTGAGGGGTATGTATTGTGACCTCCGATCTTGTTTGTTTGTTTCTTTCCACTTGGCTTTTCCTTTTCATTTTCTTCTTTCTCAACCCACCTAACCGCTCCCGTTGCCACACAGTATGCCCGCCGTCGCCTCGCAACAAAAGACCGCATCCGAGTCGCGATCGTCTTCCTCATCCTCTGGCGAAGAACTCGAGACTACGGCCGAAGAGGAGGATTCCGAAGATTACTGCAAGGGTGGCTACCATCCCGTCACCGTCGGGGAAACCTACAACAATGGTCGCTATGTTGTCGTGCGCAAGTTGGGCTGGGGCCATTTCTCCACCGTCTGGTTGTCCCGCGATACCACCACCAGCAAACACGTCGCTCTCAAAGTCGTTCGCTCCGCCGCCCACTACACCGAAACCGCCATCGATGAGATAAAATTGTTGAATCGGATCGTTCAGGCCAAACCGTCTCACCCTGGCCGAAAACATGTCGTCAGTCTGCTCGACTCGTTCGAGCACAAGGGTCCGAATGGTGTCCACGTCTGCATGGTGTTTGAGGTGTTGGGAGAAAATCTGCTCGGGTTGATTAAGCGCTGGAACCACCGTGGGATTCCCATGGAACTGGTTAAGCAAATCACCAAACAGGTGCTTCTGGGACTGGACTATATGCATCGGGAATGTGGTATCATCCATACAGATCTGAAGCCGGAGAACGTGTTGATCGAAATTGGCGACGTCGAGCAGATCGTCAAAACCTACGTTAAGGAGTCGAAGAAGGAAATCAAAGAGGACAATCCCAACGGTCGGCGGCGGCGTCGAACTCTCATCACTGGAAGCCAGCCGCTGCCCAGCCCGTTGAATACCAGCTTTACGCCCAATGAATTCAGACACGGTTCGCAAAATTCTCATAGCAGCCTCAACCAAATGCTTAATGGATCGCCTGGTATGCAACATAGGAAAACGAAACTAATTGGAAATTGCCACTGACAACTGCAGGTCCGTCCTCAAACGAAGGTACATCGCTAAAGGAATTGTTGGGCATCAAGGAAGAGGATGAGAAACAAAAACAGAGGGAAAAGACAACGTATGTGGTTTCCTGATCCATACATACTGGGATCTAACGTTTTGGACAGCGATCTCCTGGAGAGAGAAGTGTCGGGCATCTCGCTAGACAAAACCTCGACAAAAACATCAAGTTCAGAGATAGATTGTGACATCATTTCCGTGAAGATTGCCGACCTGGGCAATGCTTGCTGGGTGGGCCACCACTTTACCAACGACATTCAGACACGACAATACCGCTCACCAGAAGTTATTCTGGGCGCCAAGTGGGGTGCCAGCACAGACGTTTGGAGTATGGCCTGCATGGTAAGGAATATATGCAGTCCTTCAATTTGAAAAGTTGAGCTAACTCAGCTTAGGTCTTCGAGCTTATCACCGGAGATTACCTCTTCGACCCCCAATCAGGTACAAAGTACGGCAAAGACGACGATCATATTGCACAAATCATCGAGCTTCTGGGTCCGTTCCCCAAGTCGATCTGTTTATCCGGAAAGTGGTCGCAGGAGATCTTCAACCGTAAAGGCGAGCTGCGGAATATCCACCGACTACGCCATTGGGCTTTGCCCGACGTTCTACGGGAGAAGTACCATTTCTCCGTCGAAGAAAGCATGCGCATCAGCGAGTTCCTATTACCGATGCTGGAGTTGGTTCCTGAAAAACGTGCCAATGCCGGTGGTATGGCTTCTCACGACTGGATGAACAATACCCCGGCAATGGATGGGATTGACCTCGGCATTACGCCTGGTAGTCGGGGCGAAGGGATTGATGGATGGGCCACAGAGGTTAAAAAGAGGTGAAAATGGGAGGCCCAAGCAGCGTATTTGACATGTGGAGTTGAGTGATGATTTCTTTTCTTCTCACGTTACCGACACTCGGTGGGCTTTGTGGATTTTATCGAAATCTTTTTTGGTTTTGTTTTGCCTCTTATTCTGGACGTGATAATTTTCTTTCTTTTTTTCACATGATGCTCGCATGTCTTTCTTTTCACCATCCGCCTTGCCCTTCCTCCCCTTGTTTCGTTCTCATACATAGAGCCTCGACCACACCATGCCTCCTCTTTCTCCTATCTGCCCCTATTTATCCTTGAGGGGTCAAGCGTTGAGATTTCTTGGGACACTTAGACGTCAGATAGACCTGCCCTTGAAACCTACCTCTTTCTTTCCTACCTTCACAGTCTGCTAGGTTATTCTGTTCTTTTGTGGTTACGAGAGCCTTTGCGAGGCATGGGATCTGGTGTGGAGACGGCGATGAGAGACATTGCGTGTCATGACGGACACTCCATATTCAAGAATCTGTGGATACGAATGAAATGAGACCGAGATGTGATGATGCCAGTAATCCATGTGTAGTATCCCAGCTGTACTTCTACCCCTCAACATCGTCATCACTATCCAATCCCTCCTCGCTGGGCAATATATCAGGAAACCATCCATAGCGACGAAAATTCACATAAAACTCGCCCATGCTATCTGTTTCTACCTCGACGCCTTCTGTCCGAAGCACCTCTGCCTGTCGTTCGGCACTGCCAGGTTCGCTATACCAATCAGCTCATATCACGAGTATGTTACGAAACCCCTACCGATGAGAAATCATTCCCTTGGAATTAATCACCCGCTGCCAGGGTACATTTCCCGAGTTGAAATGCTGTGATGGTTCCGAGGGGAGATGCTTGAGACAGATACCGACTTGACGGGGTCGTTTAGCTATTGACAATTAGAAAAATCACCATCAAAACTCCTTTCAAAGATAATAACAGGATCATAAATGACTACTTGGAGAATTCATTGCTTTACATACGTTGACCCAGTAAAAGAGCAATATGGCCGTAGGAAGTCACCTTGCCTGCGGGGATTTCTTGGACGGCTTCGTATACGGCGTTGAACCACCATTCTGCTTCGTCTGAGCGAGGCATTTTCTATATTGGATTTTATTCACATAGATAAATTGAATTATTGATGATAAATAGTTTAAAGGGGATGTTGTAGATGAGTTGTTGTGCCTAGATTCGTGTAAGTATCGTATTGAGAGTGTAATAATACCGGCATAACACATAATCCGGTTATCTCGATAGAAACAATCCACTCCGATATTACCAAAGGTTCAAGTGACGAAACAAAAATCATCAACAAACCTCATTCAGAGGTTTTAATTTTTTATTGTTACTTGTTTTTCTTACAAAAAGGCTAAGAAAATGCCCTCCTCACTAGCCGACTATCTCGCCAAAAACTACCTCACAGCGGACCCGGCAACGGAAAGACCCAAGAAGAAGCGCAAGAAGACCAAGGCCGTCGACACCGCTAGCGAGGGTCTCATCATCGCCGACGACGACCCGCCCGATCTCCGCGCTTCGAATTTGAATACTGTCAACGATGACGAAGATGGCCCGTCGGTAGTGAATGCGGGGAGTGCGGAGTTTCGGCGGGCGAAGAAATCGAGCTGGAAGACTGTTGGTGGAGGAGCAGGGGAGCAGGATGCCGCGGATGCTATTCTAGCTTCTGCTGCTGCGGAGGATGCAGCGAGGAGAGGGGAGGGTGCTGATGAGGAGGCGCCGGCTATAGCTGATGAAGATGAGGGGGGGCCGCGGATGGAGTCTGGAGCACGCGCGGGTCTACAAACGGCCGAACAGACGGCAGCGATGGTAGCTGCCCAGGAACGACGGAAGAAACTCGACGCCGCGAAATACAAGAATAAACCGCAAGACGAGGGCGCGCAAGAGACTATCTACCGTGATGCATCGGGACGAATCATCAACGTTGCGATGAAGAGAGCGGAGGCGCGGAAAGCGGAGGAGGAGAAACGGCTGAAGGAAGAACAAGCCAAGGAGGAGCTTATGGGTGATGTGCAGCGACAGGAACGCGCCGCACGCAAGCAGCAGCTGGAAGATGTGCGGGCGATGCCTGTTGCGCGGACGATTGAGGATGACTCGTTGAACGATGAGCTCAAGGCACAGCAGCGGTGGAACGATCCTGCCGCGCAGTTCTTGACCAACACCAAGGGGCCTGGGGCTAGTGCTACGGGGAAGCCGTTATACAAGGGGGCCTACCAGCCGAATCGGTATGGAATCCGGCCTGGACATCGGTGGGATGGGGTGGATCGGGGCATTGGGTTTGAGAAGGACTGGTTTGCGGCAAGGAATCGGAAGGGGAGACTTGAGGCTTTGGATTACCAATGGCAGATGGATGAGTAGGATTAATGTGTATTCAATGCGGTGCTGGCACCGAATTTCTTAATGATTGTATTATCTATGGTGATACTTAGGCTCAAATGTCGGAGTTGGTGACATGATATATTTAGACGACTCTATACTGTATAACAACGTCTACCCCTTCGCTTGTACATCCCCAACAAAAGCTTCTGTCCTACGCCGTCATATGATGTCACCAAGACATATCGTGAATCATACAGATAAGCAGGAGACCCGAGCCAAGGGTTAGTCTGTTGACCTGCGTCAGGATGTGCAGCTGACAGGCGATCGGATCCAGCCCGGGAGTTTGTCGGAATGAGAAGTTGAGGAGTAAGATAAGCAGCAGTTCATACTTGATATTCGATATTCATTTACGACCTGAGATATATAGTCTTAATAGCGAGATGAAACAGTCATACACCTGAGGGTAAAGAGTCAAAGCTGAGGATAATACGAGCGGCTGCCTTGAATCAGTCATCGTGAGTCACCAGACACCAGACGATGACAACAGATCGACAACCCTTGCAACGTGCCTGAGGCTGTGGCTCATCGCCTCTGGATTGAATAACCTCGGAAGGGAAAGAGTGGAAGACCAACAAACCCAGAGCGAGAACCGTGGGTGATCGTGGCGTGCTGAAGGCGCTGAGTGGCGCGGAGGTGAGGAGGACCTCGGGGTATCGTCAACTTCCCCTCAAAGTTGAGATAACGGGGTTACAGGGGAAAGACGCGGAGAACCATCTAGACTGTGACAAGAGTACTCTATCATGTATCTACGACTACAGAGTACTGGGAAGTGAATGCAATAATAATCATCCGGGGAATGACTGCCGCAATCAGCATTGCCCCCGGTCCTCGTGCTGCTCACCGTCCATGCGGATGGCCGATAGGAATCGCTCCCTCTGGATGACCTCTTCGTCATCTTATTTCTTCTCGTCCTCCTTTCTTTCCTGATTTCTTCCCATTCCTCCTCATTCTGCATTCCCGAGGGATTCTTTCGTTCTTCCAGAATCATCAATCATCATCATACTTGCCCCTTGGGTATCGTTACTAGTGATTGATAGGCGCGAACCAAGGTCAACGCTCGGTGACTCAAACACGGCTCTTTGAATCATCGGCTTTCAGATAAATCCTCCTTTTTCTCCTCTTTATTCCTTGTTCATCAAGGTTCTCATCTCTTCCTTTCACTTCGTCCGCCTCATATCTGGTTAATTGCCCCGACAACCGTCTGGTCGGCAAGAACCACCTGGTCTTTCCGGTCACCTCATCTCCGTCCCCGTATCGCCATCCTTATCTATCCCACCCCCACACCACCATCCAACCCATCAATCCATCCAATCCATCTCTTCTTCCATCATCTCTCGTACATACAGATCGACTTGTACATATTTCGTTCCCATCATGTCGAACTCCGTGGACATTTGTGACATGCGTCGGGCTGCCACCGAGGCGAAACGAAGCCACGACCACAAGGCCAAGTGGGCTTATGGCGGGCGCGGACCTCAGGGCTGCCGGCCATACAGCAGATCTGGTGCAGTGACTCGTCCTGCCATGCCAGAGTCTCACTATATGACGTATGGTTGCTCCCATCCTCTCATCTCGAACCAGCCACTGACCAAGTATCCTCTATCCAGTATGTCCCGAGCTATCCGGCGTGTTAACCAGCATAACCTCGACCACCTGGCCCACGATGCCAAAACAGCCTTGCGTTATGATATTCGGGAGGAACTCGATAACGGACCGTCGGACTCATCGAGTGACGAGGAGGTGAACGAACCGGCTGCGGTGAAGGTGCTCGAGAGTCTCCAAGACGACGATGCTACCATGTCGTACGAAGTGTCCGGCCAAACCATCCTGTCTGATGCCGTGACCAAGGCCCTCGAGAAGTACGAGACCAAGGAAACGGAGAAGCTCGTCAAGGAGTATGAGATTGTGTCGCACGAGAGCGAGATGGGCGGAGGCTATCTGGCCGACGATGACTTTGAGCTGGTCGACCGTGTTCATCTGTGATAAGCTGGGCTGACCTGCACTTCCTTGTACCATGTTTTCTTGCGCTTCGATGATTTCTGGGAACGGAGTTGGTCTTAGCTTCGTGTCGCTTGACTTGGAGTTCTTTTGATGCGCTGCTTCTTGCCTGGGTGTAGACTGGAACTTTGGCGTCATTCTTTCTGTGTTATTAGCCCTGATCACGACCTGCAGCTGTTGTTATTATCCCCCTAGACCGGGTGTTAGTACGGTTTTTATATTCCTAGCAATCATGATATATATTGAATAATCCGTAATAAATAGACAGTATTGTCTTGATCAAGTGTACGGAGTTGTCAGACGGGGAGTTGACAGAGGCAAAGTTGGGTTTCGATTTCTGCGATCGACGAATTTTGAATGCCCGATTTGTGCGGGGCTGGAATGGCAGGGATTACAGTAGCATTCCACGTCACTCGTATTATCAGTATCAGTTTATGATTTATTATTATTATCGTTATTTCTATTCTATCTCTATTGTTTAAATTATAGTTATTCTGATATTAGAGATACTCTCTTGGACGAATGCGGCAACTGGTGGGTTTCTAGTCCCTATCTACAAGGACGGCCATCATGAATTCATACAATATCGCAACTAATCACGATCGATCCATCACTTATATTCCACCGCAAGATATCCATCCAGCTTGTTCTTAATCGCCTCCCGAGTGGCAGCAGTGTCAATAAACCCATCCTTGGTCACCGTCATGCTCTCCAATTGAACCATGGCGAACTGGTCCAAAAGCTCCTTGGCCAAATCAGCACTGGGGGGTTTGTCTAACACCAGTTAGTATATAAATATAGATATAAATATAAGATAGTCAGAATCTTACTGCCACTCTCAACCATATTCAACCACTTTTTGACTGCATGTCGGACACCAGCACCAGCTAGCGTCTCAATACTGAGATCAACAACAGAGGTTGCGTTCCTAACAGCATCGTAATCAGCCTGGTAGGCTTGTGAGATCGAAGTTAGCATTCTATCGATGGAGAAAATAATTAAAAGGGGCAACTCACTTTTGAGGAGAGAGACGTCCATGATGAATAATACGCGAGTTGAGTTGGCCCAAGATAGAATGATAGAATGGGAGGATGATTGATGGGAAATCGACAGAAAGTAGAGAGAGAAAGAGGGGTCTTTACTATTTATATCTAGAATAGCTGCAGAAGGTAAATAAATATCAGAAGCTACTAAAAGGAACTGGCAGGATGATGTCAATCTGCCATTTCACCTCGCAGATCCGAGAACAGCTGTTATTAAGATCGATTGGCTGTGGAGATGGGATGGGTTGATCCACCATATCGGAAATGTTGGGAAGATGAGGTTATATATTCTTCCTTTATTCTCTCTCTTTCTCTCTTGTTGAAGTTGATATTTGAAGATGATATATGATGGCGATGGATGATGCTTTTCATGGCATATATCAATCACATGACACCTCGATCAATTACTCGACTCGACTCGTGTGACACGCTGGCCCTTTCCTATTATCAACCTATTATAAGAGTTAGATAATACCCAGCCCCTATAGATAGGAAAGAAGCATTGATCAAGCTCGACCCCAGATCCGAGATGAATGCTGAAGGCCTCTGTGCAAGTTGTCACACATATCCAGGTGATGTAATGACACGAGCGCGTTCTCGCGAAACATGGGCCATGTCTGCCAGCACCGGATGCTTCCGAGCAGGAAGACGAACGCAAAGCATAAGAATACCTAGGCTACAAGGAGAAGCTAGCAGAATGATTGGAACAAATTGGAATACTCAGAGGCAAGCCGTCCAACAACCGTGTTGGGAAGGACAAGGATAAGCGTTGGAGCAGGGAAATCAGACCTCAGTCAACCTCGGAGGATGCTGTTTCACGATATGCGTCGCTTGTCCTGGACCTAGGGCTTAGCTGATTGGGATAATAGACAACGCATTGCTGGGTAGTGCTCAAATTTGGAGAATAGACCCAATAGCTATATTCTTACAACTGAATTGCTTTATGGATGTTGAGTGAGGCAGGATCATGGTAAGTGCTGTATAAGCCATGTGTTTAGACTTACCGCGTTTATATCTGTTACGACCAAGAGATAACTTGAACTCGCTTTTAAATAGACCAATCATATCATATATTTGAGATTCCTTCCTACGCGGATGGCATCCATAACCACCTACCTTAGGTACCTAAGGTAGATAAAGCTTATATATGACGTCGGTAGTATGTATTAGAACCCTCCATCGCTAGTATCTACCTGAAGCTCACTTCACCAATCTGGAAGACACAAGGATTTCGGCATTATTGTATCTCTTTATCTCAAGAAAAGTGCTGTAAGTTGAAAGTCTTCCAACAATTCCCTCTTGGAACTGGCTCATATGTCCTACTCCTTTGAGGCTGTTGTAATTTTTACACATAATCTAGCTCCAAGGCTATGGAGTCGGACTATCTGTGATTGGCTGTGTATTTTTGAATTATTTCAGGATTTCCTAGCCAGTTCATTGGCACAATTAGAAGAGATGGCTGTGGGTGAGTCCCATCGACAGTGAATGGATGGAGACCTCGACCAGCCCCTCAAGAGGAAGGCTGAGGCACTTCCTCTTTTCTTTTCTTTTTATTTCTTCTCATTTTTTGTTCTCACTGCTTGCGTTGATTATTCTTCTCACTTCCCATTAATCTACCATAAAATTTCTTGCCCTCCCATATCTAACTAAAATGAAAGACATCAAAGGAAAGTCAAGGCAGAGCGACGTCTCAAGCAGCAGCCAGGAATCAGGAGTCTTTTGAAGATCTACCAAGATGAATGTGACGAGGCAGCAAGACAAAATGTGCTGGGCCTGCGACGCGCCCTCACTTGAGGTTGCGCATGTTGTCGCAAGACAAGACACCGCGGTATGAGTGCATTCACGTTGTGAATCTTAAAAAATGAATCTAAGATGTTTATAGATCAATGAGCTGACAGCACGGGGTTTAATCGATTTTGACCTGAAGTCAAAGCAAAATACCGTGGGCCTTTGCCCAAATTGCCATGGATGGTTCGACAATGCCATGGATCCTGGGTTCTGCTTTTTACCGGCAGACCTCGACTTTTTTATCCGGTTTGAGCTTAAGGACCGTGCGAAACGTCGAGCTGCACGAGTCAACGATTCTCCTGATCCAGGACGAAAAGTCCCAAATGCCAGACAATACCAGCGATACCAGGAGAGGGTCGGTGACATCGAGGTTGGGGGAACTGGGGGACTATATGATCTTTTGTATCTTCTGAAAAACCAGCCTCGTGTTACTCAACCCAGGGCCTGGAACGGACATCCTTTGGCGTCGATTCGGCGTGCGTTTGGCCTATTGGGTAGCCCCAGGACATCGAAGATCCCCGAGACCGTGCTGGACAAGCTTCTGATTCTGAGGGATCTCTATTTCAGGGATGATGGAGATCGTGTCCTGGAAAAGCACGGATTGACTTTGCCACCTCCCGATGAAGACAATGAAGCCGGGGACGAAGAAGACAATGAGGAGGACGAGTTTGAGGCGGACGATGAGAAGGAGGAAGATTACGAAGAGAGGCCACCTAAGCGGGTCAAAAGAGTGCAGAAATCTACCCACGGTGGAGGAGAGCCGTCTCGGAATCGAGCGATAAAGGAAGAGGACAACTGGGAGTTTGGACCTAGCTCTACTACAGAGAATGTTGTTACGCGCTATGCGCCATTGATACTGAGTTCGGGATCCATCTAATTCAATGGGAATAGGATGCCATGGAAGACCGAGGACTGGTGTGTATTAAGCGATATGGGCACGATGTCTGTATTCAGTACGTCCTCTACTTAATATCCCTAAAATAAGGGTCATGTGTTTTTGAGAGAGAATAGAAAATTCGAATCAGGAAGAAAGACGAAGTTATACGAAGTCTTTTGGCAGAGCTTGATCTCGTACCGATATTTGGTTTACTTAGTACGAGTTGATCCTGTGCTGCTTTTGAGGCGAAGTTTCGCCTCAGTATCTCTTTTATTTCCTCTCTTCTTTGATTCTGTTTATTCTTGCTTTCTTTTGTTGAAAGAATATAATGGGTTGTGTAGCTGTCGTTGACATAGGTCACATGACATGGCAGGTGCTGATTGCAAGGTCTTTATTTATTGCCATTTCTATTGGCTGATAATGAATATTAATAGAAGGAATAAATTGAAGTAATCCTCTTGATCTGCCAATCTTTATTCCCCAGATTATATGTCACGATCTGCAGTCACTGACTGCAGGGAGGCATCGTGCTATCTGCATGTCACAACATATATTAGCCAACAATTAACCAACTGAACAATACAAGCTATTATTTTATTGTCTAAATCGTAGAACAACGAATTCATATTCTGAATTGTCGAATTGACAAGGCGCTGTTGCTATAGCAGGCAAAGTCTGGATCGGCCCGATTTGTTTACCAACCCAAACAAAAAAAAAGTCTCCCTTCAACTTCATTTCTCCACCGTCTTGCAACTCCCCACGCAACCACTTTTCCATCCTCCCCCATCACAATATCGCCAAAGATGGATAAAAGGTCGGCAGAGAGTCCAATGGACTTTGAGTGGCAGACCAGGGCGCCTGGCGATGTCACTTCGCCCTTTTACCAGCTCAGCATGCAGCACGACAACCAGAAGAAGCGTACGTCTCATCTCCCCCCTGCCTTTGGTATCATAATGTTAATCTAGCATCTACAGGCCCTCACAGTATCTTCGATTCCCCTGAAAAGAAACAAATGCCTGCTCTCCGCGAACCCAACTCACAGCCCTACCTCTTCTCGCAACCGCGATCACAACCACAACCACAGCCCCCGTCAACCCCCAAACCCGCCTTTGCCTCGTTGGCTTTTATGACTCCGCGGAAATTCGATTTGGACTTCTCCTCCGGCGCAGAGAACATGTCGTCTCCTGAAAATGCAGACAATGAGGATACCCCCGAGCAGCCGATGAAGACAGGGAGCCGCAACTCGCTATTTGGCATGTACGGACGGTTTGCACCGAGCCCGGGACGCGGTGAGATTCCACGAATGAACCACTACTCCAACGCTCTGGCGCGACGGGTACACAAGCGACGAAGGAGGGATAAGGCGTTGGATGTGCAGCTACGGAAGGAGAGTGATGACGAGAGCGATCGGCCCAGCAGCAGCGAAGGACAACCGACCGTTTTGAAGAGACAGGGGACAACACAGGCGCAGGGACAAGGCAAGGAACAATCTGTATCGCGGATATCTTCGTTTTCCGAGTTTTTCGCCATGCTCGAGGCGCATCCTCACCTGCCCAGCATTCTGTCGTGGTGGGCGCAGTTGGTGGTGAATTTGTCGCTATTTTCGCTCGCCGTTTACGTCGTTTTTGGATTTGTGTCGGCCATTCGGGCGGAGTTTGAGCAGGCTGCGGAGGAAGTGTCGGATGGGATACTGGCGGAAATGGCAACGTGTGCGAAGAGCTACGTCGATAACCGGTGTGCTGGAGGAGATCGACTCCCTGCGCTGGAGACAGTGTGTGAAAACTGGGAGCGATGCATGAACCGGGATCCAGCCAAGGTTGGACGGGCCAAGGTGTCGGCGCACACCATGGCGATTATCATCAACAGTTTTATCGACCCTATCAGCTGGAAGGCAATTGTATGTTTGTCCTGTTCCACATAATGCGCAAAGCTAACAGTTACAGCTCTTCTTCCTCGCCACCATCTCGACAGTCACCGTCGTCAGCAACTGGTCTTTCCGATCCTTCAGAAACCGCCTCAACCAGCAAGAGTATGCGCATCCACCTCCACCTCCTAGCTTCTCCCGCCAGTCATCGGGCCAGCACCCACAACTCCAGCATCAGACAAGTTTTGGATACCTGGGACAACAGGAACAAACCCAGACACGTGCTCCGACTTTTGAGGATAAGGAAAACGTGCCCTTGATGCTCGAGCATCCGCAATCGATGAGTTTTGCTGATCGAAGTCGGGAGAACCGCCTGCGCAGCCCGAGTCCGGTCAAACGGGGCAGGAGGTTGTTATAAACAAACTGAACATTTTAATGTACGATATTAGATAGCATTAGCGGGAGATTTATCGGCGTTCCTTGACTTCTTTACTGTATTATTTTTACTTGGAAAAGCTGGATGCATTGCGACGGATATTTTGTATTAGGCAGTGTTTTGGAGTTTTATCTGCATTGGACTATCGTATATATCAATTAATTCTGATTATCTTCAGCAGAAAGGCAATACTCAATTGAATGCTGTACGGCAGCCAGGAATGGAATACACTAGACACGCACATTCAAAACAGCAAGAACATACGCCTCCCCAATATAAAGGTTCTCATGCCGCACCTTGCTCGTTCAGACCCGATCAGACGTGGCATTCAAAATCCATCCAGCGATGAACTTTTCCCCCTTCTCAATCGCCGCTATCCCCTTGGTTGTATCCTTTGCCAAGTCCAGGGCTAGAATCTTTCCGTTCTTGTGCAATTGCTGTTTGAAGAAGTCGGTGATGATACTGACTTGTTCTGCTCCTAGATCGGGGACGGTGAATCCATTGTCGAGGAATGTTGTCAAGACCTGTATAATCAGTACAGATGTTTATATAGTATTTAGATGGAAGACACACCCAACTAGATAGTAAGCGGCTAGATACTCGGGATAGTACCCACTTCTCAACATTATCTCCAATAATCGTCCGGATGTAACTCTCACACGTCCCACTCCACTCCGGCGCATAAATCATATACGCTGCCATTGAAGCAGGAGAAGCCAGAATGCCCTCATCCGAGACGAGATGGCCCAATCGTGTTAGCCCGCTCATTGATCGAGGGTGACATGGTGAGTGGTACTATGTGTGATGAACCGATGAGAAGAGTAAATGCGAGATACTAGGCGTTTATATGTGCCATTTACAAAGAATAGTCTGCAAGATCAAAAGACCATCCGTGGTGGGCTGGCGATGCGTGTATACCCCGCCCAATCGCCAATGGCATCATGAATAGCTCACCTTCGACCTGATCCGGCTAGCCATGTTACTACACCGATCTTTCACCTGGTCCACGTTCATTTTAATTTCTGCATCTTGTATTATTCAGGGTCGATCCCTGGAGATCGAAGCTATCGAATCGATTTCGATCGTTTGTGCTCGCTGCTTGGGCTGGTGGATGCGTACTACCGTCATCCAAGAAGGCCTCCGTCGCCATACGGGTGGTGCTCTGCGTGCCCAACGCGTGTCTCCTGAGAAATCATTACACTACACAGACTCAAACAGGAAGACGACATGGACAATTCCAGTTGACACGCCGGTGAGCATAACGGCGCAGCTGATTCATATGAATGAGAACATCTTCCCAAATCCGAGACAATTCGTCCCGGAACGATGGTTGGAGAATTTCCGACTCGATTGGTATTTGGTGGCGTTTTCCAAAGGCATGAGAATGTGTGCTGGGTGAATACCTGGTTTCGAATATATATTATGATGCTAATACTGGCAGGACCGGTCTTGCGTATAGGAGTTGTATCTCATTATTGCCGCGGTATTCAGAAAATACGACGTGTATAGCGAAGATGGAAAACAGCCTGCGCTCAAATTATACGACACAGTCAGGGAGAGAGACATGGAGATGGTGGCTGATTTGATTGTTCCTGCGCCTGAAAAGGGCAGCAAGGGAGTGAGACGGGACTCGAGGTCGTTGATGTTATACAGAATTAACGTGAAGCCAATTATGATGCTTATCCTACCCCGCCACGTGAGCGTAAGCACTAACACAACCTATTTATATTTAACCCACCAGAGTCATCTTGAGATAGAAATAACCACACAACTCATCATGGCATTCAAAACCACCCTCATAGTAGCGGCACTAGCCATCATCTATAAAGTATATCTCCACGACTTCGCCACCATTATCCTCGGCATCGGCCGAACCGTCCAGCCCATCCAAGACTTCAACTACGACTGCCACCGTCTCCACCACCCCCTCCTCGAAGGCTGCGAGGATATCTGGCTCGACAAGACTGATCGAAAGCTATATGCATCATGCACGAAAGTCGAAAGCAAAAGAGAATGGTGTCCGTCGGTGAATAAATATAATTTGTCTGCGCCGCGGGGAAGGGACCATATTGCTGTTTTGGACATTGACAACCCCGGAGATGATGGGCTGTATGGAGTGCGGAAGCTGCAGTATGACGGTGAGCTGGACCTGAATGGATTCGATGCGAGGGAGGTAGGCGATAATCGACTTCGGTTCTGGTTGGTTAATCATCGCCCTGCTGTTGGGCCGACGGGGGAGTTGTTGGATGCGAAGAAGGTTGGAGCGAATTCGACGATTGAAATACTCGAATTGGAGAGAGGATCGACGCAGTTGAAGCATATCAAGACGATAGCCAGCGAGGCAATCATCTCGCCGAACAATCTCGTCGTGGATGACGATGGAGTAGGAGTATATGTGACCAACGACCACAACGGCAAAGTCGGAATGTTTCGCGAACTCGAAATGATATTCGGAAATGGAAATGTTGCATACTGCAATTCAGAGACTGGGAAGTGCCACATCGCTGCCGAAAAGGGATTCAACTGTGCGAATGGAATCACCAAACACGAGGGCTTGGTGTATGTCGCCAACTCAGCCAAGGGAAGAGTGACTGTTTATCAACCGGAGAATGGCCAGTTGCATCAGGTTGATCAGATTGATCTGCGCATTCCGATCGACAATTTCTCCGTCGATGCAGATGGTACCATCTTCGTCGCTGCATTCCCAGACTCACTCAGTTTGAGGAAGGCGTTCGAAGAACCATACACAACAAACGTGCCATCAACCATCTACAAAATCACAAAGAGCGGACCAGACTACGAGTTCACCAAAGTCATCGAAGACGCAGCAGGCCAACACCTCCCTGGCTCTACAACCGCCATCCACGATACAGTATCAGACCGTCTCATCCTGAGCGGAGTAGCATCTCCATTCATCACTATTTGTACAAAGAAATAACCTACTATACATATTATACACTCTGCAAAGACCTCATCCCATCCGCAAACAACGCCTTCGCATACGCATGATGGAACCACTCGATATACTCCACCCACAACGTCTCATTCTTCTGCGGATTCACCCGGAAATGATGCAACTCGATCTGTACTTCCTTCGATGCCGGAAGTCGTCTAATCTGGAATCGATGGCAACCAGCGAAATGGAACTCATCTGATCCGAAGCCGTAGTCGACGTAGCTTTTTGTTCCTCCTGGAGAGATGTGTTTGTCGAGGAGTTGGAAGGAGCCGAATAATTTGCTTCCGACTGGAAGGAGATGGGCGGTGGGTATATTAGATTTATTCCAGATTGTGTCTGATGGATTGGGTTTGAATTCTTATTTATTTATTAGTAGGAGTACAGATCATAGATGAAAGTTGGAACGTACTTGTATATCCAGCAGGTAGTAGTCTGTATCCTCCCATACGCAGAACAGTCCTCTCGAATGCAAAGACAAAACCACCAAAGAAGCCACGGGTAAACAATGACAGCACATTCTCATCATTTAGATTGGAAATGGCCGATTCAGGAATGATTTGGGTGACTTTATCTGTTGCGATGACATGATGGCGTGGATTGATAAAGTTGAACGATGGCGATTGGAGGAATTGGCGGCTGACAGGAAGAGAATATGTGGATTGGGAGAGGGAAGAAACGAATGTATTCAGATTGAGTCGACGAGACATCTTGATCAATTGAAGACAATACAGAATACCATTCATAGTGTTGGTGTTTGTTATATAGACTAGATATCGGGAAGTTCCGGGTGAGATGACTCAAGTCATCGGGACTAGGTGGTATTATTCTTTGACAGCATTAGAGTGGAGAAGGATTTCATTCCTTGATGTGAACTAAATAACCTTGGCAGAAGCAAAAAATAGACAAAGCAAAATAAACAGCAAAACTTGGTCGATCACAAAAAGCCCATCCGGCCATGGACGGGATTCATAGGCCCCAATCCGTGATCAACGTGAAGCCTTCTGGATGAAGCCCTGCGCCTCCCAGACAAAACCAGCAATCAGCTCGAGATCCGCTCTGGTGAGCACAAAGTCCTGCTCGACAGCGTTGGCGGGATCTCTCAAGAAGACGCTCCTGAAGGGAATCACCAAGGGATCCCCGACGGTGGTAGTCGTGCCCAGCTGATGAGTGATGGTGATCCGGTGGGTTCGCTCTGCCCGCAACTCGCCCCTACTGTCACTGCGAAGGTCATGGCCACTCCTGCTCGGGCCGGAGTAAGCCTCCCACTGCTCGAAAAGAATCCTGGGCTCATTTCGATTCACGGAAATGACGATGGCCAACTTGACCTGGCCTCTAGACCTGAGTAGCCACCATTGCGCGTCGATGCGGAGTCGACCAAGACCCTCTGAGAGCCCGGCCTCCACGACCACGCTTGGCCACCTGCTGTCTCGTCCTGGGATGTTCTCTCGTGGCTGGTAGGAGGCGTCGGGTTCCTTGGCGTAGGGTGCGTCCTGGACTGTCGCAGAGCCTTCGAGAGCGAGGTGTGCCTGGAGCCCCATGGTAAACAATTGATGCGTAATGAAAGAATCAAGATGCTCGGTGGCCCGTTCGTGAGGTTTTCTGGGAATTTTGACCACCAACTTTCGCAGATCTTCATTGTAGAACAGTCGTATTGCCGGCCCACCAAACTGGCGGGGGTTATTGATCAGCTGTTGGACCACATGGGGCCCAACATAAGAGATCACGATATAGTCGGACTTGGGCTCGCCGCCTTCCTCCAGATGCTTGCGGAGGGCGGATTTGATTGCCTTTACGTTGGAGGCGATGACCTCTGGGGTCCCGGGGGGAAGTTCGGCCAGGAAATCAGGCATTGGATCCGCTTTTGGTACTTCTGGGTTCATGCCGATTCCGACCTTCGAGGGAGGTGATGGAGTGGAGAGCGATGGCGTTGATGTCATGGTTGGTGTTCGTATCGCGGTGTTTAGGCGGCAATTTGCAAATAGATGATCCAATGTCAACGTCAGCAAACCTATGCAAGCATAGAAGGGATGTACCTACTTGAAGAATTGGGAAATCAACCGATGATACGAGATGAGAAGAGGAAATAACTAATCATCTCATCCATGATTTATAGACAAGAATCTTGATAGATTCACCTTGTATACTGCACTGTATTCACTCGACTTCATTCTATTCTGTCACTGATATTGGCTATAACAGTCACTGAAGCAATCTACAATATTAAGATGAATATTAATTCATAGCTGAATAATACATGTATATTTATTGAATAAGATTATCTGACATAACTGATAAAATGTGGAGGTGGAGCTCCATATTCCATTGATGTATAGCTCCACCGAGCACCACAGGAATAAACATCTATATAATAAACAATAAAGTGTAATTAATACCCCCAATCAACAAAATAAAATAAACGAAATAAACCAAATCCGAACACAAAAAACACAGCGACAAACAAAATGGGCTCAATCGGTATCCCCACCTACCAAATCCTCGAACAACCCAGCCAAACTGCCCGCAAGATCAAAATCATCGTCATCGGCGCCGGTGCCAGCGCCATCAATTTCGCCCACGATGTCGACACCAGCACTCTGGATCTCGACTTGGTGATTTACGAAAAGAACCCCGAGATTGGCGGGACCTGGTACGAGAATCGGTATCCGGGGAGTGGGTGTGATATTCCGAGTGTGAATTATCAATTTTCGTGGGCGCCTTGGTCGGAGTGGGAGTCTTTGTATGTCTACCTTGACTGATATGGGTGATGCTAATGGTGTAGTTATTCGAAAGCACCGCAGATACTCCGGTATATGCAGGATGTTGCGGCGAGGAATGGACTGAACAAGTATGTCCGCGTTGGCCATAAAGTGGTTGGAGCTGTGTGGAGTGAGGAAGAGCAGAAATGGCATGTTCGTGTAGAGCATGATGGGGAGGTTATTGAGGATGTCGGAGATATCCTGGTGAATGCCAGTGGTGTTCTCAAGTGAGTTTTCCATATCTTATATGAATTATACTAACAAGATAGTAAATGGAAATGGCCAGCCATTCCAGGCCGAGAATCATTCCAAGGCCCGATGCTGCACAGCGCGCACTGGGACGATAAAATCCAGCTCAAGGGCAAGAAAGTCGCAGTGATTGGGTCTGGATCGTCTGCTGTTCAGATTGTCCCGACCATCCAGCCTGGTGAGTTCTATCCTCTTTATCGATTCATGGCTAATTGGTAGATGTATCCGAGTTGAAATGCTTCATCCGAAGTGCCTCGTGGGTCACAGCGGGATTTGGCCAGCGGTTTGCAGGAAAGGGTGGCTCCAACTTCGACTGTATGCCTTCCACCTATTCTATTCTGATTATATCTAACTATGCAGACACCGAAAAACAAAAGAACATTCTCCGCAACGACCCCAAAAAGTACCTGGCCTACCGCAAGAAGATCGAATCCGAGCTCAACTCTCGATTCCGCTTTATCCTCAACGGGTCTAAAGAACAGGCCGAAGCAAGAGCTGTAAATACCCCATCCTACTATATCAACACTGCTGACAAGTATAGTACGCCGAGAAAGACATGCGCACCAAGCTCGCAACTCGCCCTGAGATAGCAGACCTGATCGTCCCCCAGAACTTTGCCGTTGGATGTCGTCGACCGACTCCTGGCAATGGCTATCTTGAAGCTCTGTGCGAGGACAACGTGGCTGTTGTATCGCAGTCGATTCAAGAAATCACATCCAAGGGCATCAAAACAGCCGATGGAGTCGAGCATGAAGTCGATGTGATCGTCTGCGCTACTGGCTTTGATGTCAGCTGGAGACCGTATTATCCCACCATCGGCCGAGGAGGACGAAGTCTCAGCGAGGAATGGAAGGATATCCCGAGCACTTATCTGTCCATTACCGTGCCTCACTTCCCCAACTATCTCAGTATGCACCCCAATAGCCTTATATGCAGAATATACACTAATAAACAGTCTTCAACGGCCCCTTCGGCCCCTACGGCCACGGCTCCTTCCTCCCCATAACGGAAACCCTCTCGAAGCACTTCCTCCGCATCTTCGAAAAAATGTCCGACGAAGGCATCACCTCCTTTTCGCCCAAGGAAGAAGCCGTCGCCGACTTTGCGGAGCACAGACGCCAATTCATCCCCCGGACCGCGTGGTCGTCGCCGTGTCGTTCGTGGTTCAAGCAGGGGACAATCGACGGGGAAGTCATGATGTGGCCTGGTTCGCGGATTCACTTTTTCGAGACGATGAAGAATGTGCGCTGGGAGGATTACGAGCTGCGGTATACTACGACGAATCGATTTGGGTATTTGGGGAATGGGTTTGCGAGGAGAGAGTTTGATGGGCGGGACTTGTCGTGGTATTTGGGGTTGTTGGAGGGGAAGGATGAGCAGCCTGTATTAGGGGATGAGGAGTTTGAGGAGTTTATGTGTTGTTAGTTATACATAGACAGAGTTATTGTTCAATTGTACTCGATATTTGAAAATGTGATATATCTTTATGCAAAGGAATGTTCAGCATATTACCTCGCAGCGATGGTGGACTGTCTATTCTACAAATATCTAAGAAAAATGAACTTGCAGTCTTTAAAATAGTATCTTTCATTTTCCCCAGCAATATTACATCCCAAGAGGTGTGGGCATCTTCAGTGTCCAGACGACACAATAGAAATACTGACCCTTTTTCCAGCTTACGGCCTTCAGCATAATATGAATACTCTGGGCATTGGTATCCCGAGAAATAGCTAGTCAAATAACTTCATATCTATACTACCTATCTCATATACCCAACTACTCCTGCCTACTATTCTCACTCCAAAAACTCATCCCCGCCTCCATCCTCGCAATCCCATACATAGCAGAACTATCCAACTCCTCCCCAGCATACTCTCTCGCCCTTTCCAGCCTCCCCAGCGCCATCTCCACACTCCCCAGCCTCACATTATGCTCTTTCGCAATCGCCAACGCATGTCCCGTATCCTTACTCGCCAGTCTCGCTGCAAAGCCCGGAGGCGTACCACGGGGAGGCGCATACGCACCGGTGGTGATCCGCTTCGAGTAGCTCTCCAGCACAGGCCCGAACATGTCGGAGATGAATTGTTCGATTTGCGCGGTGCCGAGGCCGGTGCGTTCGGCGAAGACGTGTGTTTCGGAGAGGGTTTGCATTAGGCTTATCACGATTATGTTACTGGGTAGGTTAGTACGTTGTATGTGATTTTGGTGTTGGGGGTGTGGTACCCGGATATCTTGAGTAAACTTGACTTGCGCACATCTTCGCCCATGCTGATGATACTCCGCCCCATGACGTCTATAATGTATGGTCGTGCTATTTCCAGGGCGTTTGCAGGACCGGCCATTACGAAGATGAGTTTCCCTGCTGCTGCCACCGCACTCGCACCGAAGACGGGGGAGGATATAAACACTGCGCCGTGCTGAGCAAGCTTCGCTGATGCAGACGCAGCAGTATCTGGGTGGACGGTGGATGTGTCGACGAAGATTTTGCCAGTTACGGAATCGACGGAGGTTGCTTTTGATATTATCTCGTCGAGGACAGCGTCGTCTGATATCTAGATTGACATAAGTATAGATAGTCAAGAGTAGACGGAGGATGGTACCATGGTGAAGATGATATCCGCCTTTTTGACCACACTTTCAAAATCATCTTCAGGAATCGCTCCGAGCTCTTTCAGTGAATTGCCGCGAGATAATGTGCGGTTGCTGTAGTGGAGGGCGGACAGATTCTGCGATTGAAGGTGTTTTTGCAGATTCGAGGCCATTCCGAGGCCCATGGAGCCGAGGCCATACTAACTGGTCAGTAAGGAATAGCATAGTAGAAGTAGACATACCCAGCCTAGTGTTGGAGACATTTTACAGAATAAAGATAGAATAATTGACAGTAATGATTGACAGAGCGAAAATAATACAATGCGACCATATTTAAACGATACAAGTGGAGGTGGAGCTCCTCACTCCACCTTGATCTCCTCCATCAACTTCTCCATCGCATCTCCAATGCCCCAAACACTCCGAGATTGGCAAATCCGAAAGATAATCTTCATAAACAACGCCTCACTTTCATCCAGACTACTCAATACATCACTATCTCGAGAATACCTCGTCTCGTCCGCTGCGAACCCCACCAACGCCTCCATCAACGCACTAAATATCAACATCGACGGCTCAAACTTCTCCGGCGCTTTATTCTCTGCTTTGATATGCTTGCGTATTTCAGACGTCGCACGCCGTAATACCTGCCAGATCATAAGGAGCATGCGAAAGCTGGCGACCGTCGCCCAGGGTGCTTCTCGCGCCGCAAACCCTAGTTCTTCTACAGCCATAATCCTCGATAATCCCGTTAACAGCTCACTGATAATAGACAACGCCCCGTCATCTTTTGACTTTTGCTGTAATCGAAACGGCGCAGATCGACGCACAGCAACGTAACTCCCCAGCGTGAGATGCGTGGCTGTCGCGAGGCCAGCAACGAGAGATGTATCCACGACACCGCCGATTAAGAGTTCATCGGGTTGACAGAGGCTGACTTTTATAGAGAATGTCATGAGTTCGATTGCATGCCAGAGGAGGGCTTGCGATGGTTTGGGTGGTTGTTGAACCATCTTAGTGACGATGCGAATCGCAGCCATGACTTGTCTGTTTTGAGACTGCGTGAGGATGTGAAAAGCAGATGGATCTGAGAGATTCGGTGGAAGCTGATAATAGCATCGTGTAAAGTCACGAACAAGCTGGTCGAGATTCGTCAACACACACAGCGTTGCGAATGGCGATGCTTGCAATGTGGCCAGTAGCCCTGGACTGGGACATTCAGACATTAATTCCTGCGTCGCCAGCGAGAGCGAGCTCGTCGCCTTTCCTCGTTCTAGATGAAGTTCCCCGTATGGACTTGTACTCGGACCCAGATATTCGTCTGATAATCGCTGCAGCCAGTTATGCGCGTTATTCGCCTCCCATAATGAGCTGGAATACGGCAGTTCCCACCCAAATTCGATTGGCGATATCAGAGGCCGCAGGTTACACGGTGATGATATCTGCGTATCCAAAAAGAGAAGAACATAGAGGGATAACCTCATTGATTCCTCGTTTACATACGCCATCCAGCATTCCTGGAGGGGCTGGGATTCGCTGCGTAATGGGCTTCGTTTGCTTTGTGCGATCCACGATGTGGCGAGGGGGAAGGCAGTGGATTGTTGCAGTACGCCCAGTTCACGGATGGCCTAACGGTCAGCTAAGATCATATATGAGATAGAGGGTCTTACATCAACCAGAGAACGAAGCATCTGCTTGGCCATTTCGTAATGCGATCCATCGCCCAGATATGCGCCGTAGATGATATGCAGCAGCCATGCTTGTATCACCCATGTCTTCCCGAGTTCTTTCCAGTCGGATGAGGTCTATACTGTCAGATCAATAAATAAGTATATGGATGAACATACTAAATTACTCAACTCATCATATCCGTCTTCCCAGGCCTTTCTTCGCCAGTTAGCACAAGTAACCTGTTCCTCTTTCGAGTAGCTCTGCGCTGTATATAAGCTCCCTATAATCGCGGTGATGTTCATAAGTGTCTTTGGTGTTGATGCTGTGGTAAAAGTAGGTCGATGGACGAGTGGAAGAGAGGGATAAAAGTGTTCAAAGAATGATTTAATATACGTGTTTGTTGCTTCAATACTCAACCTTCGTATCATAATCAGCCAGCGCCAATAAAAAGAAGAAGAGGCATACGTAGAATCCACAGACGGCGATCCAACACTCTCAACCGCCGGCATCGGCGCATCAAAGATAGGATTCTCAGGATCAAACGTCAACCCAGGCGAAGGCACAAGCGCAGCAAACATGGACAGCGAATCTTCATTTGGCCATTCAGCCGGGAGGGGATCTTGATCTTGCCGGACTTCCACTTGCACTTGTTGGCGCTGGACAGGTCGACCTTGACATCGCTCCGTATGTCGTTTGCAGACATCCCTGATGGTCAGATTGGATATCATACATTGGAGGGGGTAATACCTTCGAGAGAATCTCGCTTGACATTGTCGACATTCGTATAGTTTGCGAGTCACGCCGCCGTGTCCTGTTCATTAGTATGATGCAGGCATAGATAAAGAGACATACTGGTCTGTTTATGTCGTTCGAGATTCTCCTGCTGGGGTAAGTAACTGCCAGCTTGTTAGAAGATGGACATACACTTCTGGTAAACGACTGATAGCACAATTCACATGAAAACGGGCGATAGGAAGTCATATTTACTGTTGGAGAATGAGGAAAGATACGAAGTTATCGCAAAAGAGGGGAATTGGAGATGATGAGTCAGCACGGGTCAGATGATGTAGATAAAGACATTTTATACAGTATTTATGAGGTATTTATATAAAATGTTTAGATTATTTACATAGTTACAATAGTCTATTTATGATGAGGCCACAGATTGAGCAGTGCAGCTTCGTTCGAGTCGGCATGTCCAGCCTGGAGATACATCTGGTAAACAGTGCCCGTCAGAGGAAGCGAATACTGGAATTCCTTTGCCAGAGATACAATATTGTCCTGTCCATGTCAGAATAAGAATATACGATGGATGAAAAACGAACCAATTTAGCACGACTGTCTGCTATCTTTGCACCAGTCGAGATATCTCCATCGAGCATATTTGCAGCCACTCGTTTGAAAGACTCACTGGACCCAGCAGCAGTGCTGATGATCGACACCAGCTCCTTCAGAGGCAGTTGGATTCTCTGACTCAACGCCAGTGCTTCCACTGCAGCAAAGGTATGGACTATCTCCAGCAGCTCATGGATGGCTTGGATATAAACTGCATTTTCATTCTCTGATGAAGCGCTCACTGACCCGTTTGGACAGAATACTCGCACCAGTCCTGAATCATCTTCCTTTCCATATCCCATCCGAGCACCGAGGAGATAGAATTGTTCAACAACAGAGGATAGAAAGAGGGGGAACTGGTGATTGTGTCCTTCGGCAGTGACGATGCCCTGGTCTCGTCAGCATAGCTCAAACATCATACTATCAACCCACCATGTCCTTGACAAAGATATCCAACGCAGAATACGGCGTCCAGTCATCCGCCAGCATATGCGGCACTCGGTTCTCAAACATCCAACTATTCGCCGCGCTCCCAACAACCCCTTCATAGACAGCCTTCGTATTCAACCCCAGCGTAACCGCAAACCCCATCGCCTCTGCAGCCACCGCAATGTGAATCCCCGCCAGCTGCTGATTGATCAGCTTCACCTTGCTGGCCCAGCCCAGCCCGCCCGGAATTTCGTATAGATGCTGTGACATCGACCTCAACACCGGGTTTGCTCTCTCCAACGCCGTCGCTGCGCCGGAGCTGAGAATCGTCAATGCCCCCTGCGCTGCACGCACCGTGCCCCCCGACACAGGGCAGTCGATCACGCTGACATCCGGCTTGTCGAACTGCGTGCGTAACAATGTCTGCACCTGCGCGGGGAACTCGGGCGGAAACGTCGAGCAAAGGATAATCGTCGCGTTGGATGTTAATCCCCACACGGCGCCAGTGGACTCGGTGAAAAAGGCTGCTTCGGTTTGTTTCGCGTTGGCGACCATTCCAACGACGATTTCGCAGTCTTGTACGCATTCCCGGGGACTCGTGGCGGCGCTGCCACCTTTTGATTTGAGGGTTTCGAGGGCCTTGGGGTTGAGGTCGAATCCTGCTACAGGGAATCCATCTTCGAGGAGGTGCAGGGCCATGCCCATTCCCATTGCCCCTAGTCCGATAAATGCGATGTTTGGCTTTGTCATTTTGTGGTTGATGTTGTCAATGATGATGTTCTTCTTGTTGTGGAAGATGAGGGGTAATATCTGCATCTCGGACCAAAGACCGATGGAGCTCCACCTCCAGATAGAGACATTTTTGATCAGAGCGTGAGTTTATGTAAATGTCATCGTGTCGATAATTTCCTATTTCAGATGACTTTATGTGGACAATCAGACTGATGGATGTTTTAAAGTCGCTCCCTCCATTTATTTACTCCAGTGTCAATTGATGCAGCTCATATGCATTCTATCTGACATGCCTCCAATTATCAACAGTCATGCTGTATACAAGATCAATACATCTCAATCCACACTAATAAATATGACTATCTTGACAAAAGATATCTATCTTCTCCTCTCATCCTCTTATCTGATATCTTCTGATAACTGATACTGGAGCACCGCCTCCGCCTCCACTGAGATACGAGGGTTTCCCCGCAAAGCTTCATAACCATGGATCTGCCACCCCCGCAGTGCTATATCAACCCATGTTCTTCTAGACAGCAATTGTTGAATCAATTAATCAATTAATCAAACAGAATGACAGACAAAAAAGACCAAGAAATCACACGCCAAAACACCGTCGAGCAGGGTGTGATGAAACCACATGAAGCAGATGACACAGATCCAGCTCTCCAATTCGCCAATGAGAGAATCGAATATACTCCAGATGAGGCAAAGAATGTTCTCCGCAAGATTGATCTTGTCCTGATGCCATTGCTGTGCTGGGTGTATATGCTGCAGTTTGCTGATAAAACATCGCTCAATTATGCGTCGTTGATGAATATCCGCGAAGATGCGCACCTGGACCCAAAGTCGCAGCAGTATAGCTGGGTGTCGAGTATTTTCTATGCGGGATATATCTTCTGGGAGTGAGTTCTTCCTTGAATAATGTTCATTCTTTCAATATAGCTTATGATAGATTCCCTACCACATATCTCCTCCGCCGTCTGCCACTCGGCAAATACACATCCATCAACATCACCTTCTGGGGCATTGTGCTTGTCTGCCACTGTGCTGCCCATAACTATGCTGGCCTCCTCTGCGTCCGCTTCTTCCTCGGTGCTTTTGAAGCCACCATCACCCCCGCCTTTGTCCTCTTCACCTCCTCCTGGTACAAGCAAAATGAACAGGCAAAACGCATGGGCTTCTGGCTTTCCTGCAACGGCGTCGCCCTCCTCTGTATCGGCCCCATCGCATACGGTCTCGCAGGCGTTCAGAATGCAGCCATTGCTGTCTGGAAAATCCTCTTCCTCGTGCTCGGCTTACCAACAGTCGTCACAGGGCGGCTATACCTCCGCTACATGCCCGACAACCAAATCAACGCGCACTTTCTCAACCACCGCGAGAAGCTCATCGCCATCGATCGTATTCGCGGCAACTTCCAGGGTATAGGAAGTAGAGTGTGGAAATGGTCTCAGTTCCGGGAGGCACTCCGCGACCCGCGAACATATCTCTACGTGCTGTTCTCGCTGCTCATGAATATCCCAAACGGCGGCATCACTACGTTCGGGTCCATCGTGATTAATTCTTTTGGGTTCTCGTCGAGAATGTCGTTGCTGCTCAACATGCCCACCGGTATCGTGGATATCACCTGCAAACTTCTCTTCACGTATCTGTCTGATAAATTCCTCGACCGTACCTCCTTCGCCTTCCTAGCCATCCTCATCGCCATGACCGGCGGCATCATGATGATCTGCATTCCTCTCTCCGCTAAGGCTGCCTTGCTAATCGGGTACTACTTTATCGGCGCCGCCGGCTCCTCCTGGTGTCTCGTGATGGTCATGATCTCCAACAACACACTCGGCTACACCAAAAAGGCAACCGTTAACGGCCTGCAAATCCTCGCGTACGCAGCGGGCAACTGGATCGGTCCGCAGACTTTCCGCTCCGATCAAGCACCAGAGTATTATAACGGAAAGCTGATGGTGGCGATCATGTACGGTCTTGCTGCGGTGACGCTGATTATGATCCGGTGTGTGAATGTGTGGGAGAATCGGAGGAGAGATCGTCTGCAAGTAAGGGATGGTGATACAGCTGATGGTCAGCCGGTGGGAACAGAGTTTCTGGATTTGACAGACTTTGAGCAGTTGGATTTCCGGTATGTTCTGTAGGAGTCTGTTGCTGGTGGTGTAATTGGCATTCGGAATAAAGTTTGAATGGCCTCATTCTCAACATGCTGTGCAACGTTGCAGATGTGTCTGTACGGAACAAGTAACCTCGTACATCATCGGAAATGCAAAGAGTAGATCTAGGTAAAGAGGGTGCCCGGATTATCATATATATAAACTGTATTCCAAACACGAGTCCATAGAATGAGAAATGAAGAAAGAACAGGCTCATTGAATCCACCCACCATGTCTTCCAAATTCCAATCCCTGACCAACAACATGCCAGCCGTGACCGAACACACCAACACAAACGCCGATATCCGCATCGAAAACTTCATCGGCTACATCAAAGTGCCCCTCGGCCTGGCCGGCCCTCTATCCATCCACCCTCCCAACGGCGAGAAAGAAGAAATCCACGCCCCACTCGCAACAACCGAGGCAGCCTTGATCGCGAGCTGCTGCCGCGGCACCAAAGCATTCAATCTATGCGGTGGCATCCAGTTTGACATTCTGGGCGAGGGAATGGTGCGGGCGCCGCTTTTCCGGTTCCCCAGTCCCCGTGAAGCAATTGCGTTTAGTAGACAAATGGCAGTTGTTGAGCGGATATTTGCGGGGGCGGCGGAGGCGACGAGTCGTCATTTGAGGTTGAAGAAGATTATTCCGCATGTTATTGGGCGCAGGGCGCATCTCTACATCAGCTATTATTCCGGTGACGCGGCGGGACAGAATATGGTGACTATCGCCACGCAGTATGGGTGTGAGCGGATCATGGAGGGTCCGCTCGCTTTGCAGTTGAATATCGAAAAGGCCACATTGGAAGGCCAGATGGCGTCAGATAAGAAGCCGTCGTGGGGGAATGTAAAGCAGCCGCGCGGCGTGGAGGTGATGGCCTGGGGGAGTCTATCGAATGACGTCTGTCAGCGTGTCCTGGGATGCACGACAGCAGAGCTACACCGGTGGCACAATGCGTTTCTAGAAGGAGGAATCCGCAACGGGCAGTTTGGCAGTAACGTGAACACGGCCAATATCGTCGCGGGCATCTTTGTTGCTGCCGGCCAGGATGCGGCCAGCATCGGTGAAGGATGCTGGAGCCATCTTGTCATGGATTATATGCCGGAAACTGAGCGTCTTGTCGTCTCTTTGTATTTCCCTTCTCTCCCGGTGGGCGTTGTCGGTGGGGGCACTTTGTATCCTACCCAAAAGGAGTGTTTGGAGATGATGAAGTGTCGAGGAACCGGAGGGAAGAAACGGTTGGCAGGCATCATAGCTTCGTTTGCGTTGGCGTTGGAGGTCAGCACTGCTGCTGCACTGGCCACGAATACATTCTCGCAGGCGCATCAGAGACTGGCGAGGAAGTCTCGTTTGTAGTGATTGAAAGGTTAATGACTAGCCATCTCAGTCAGAATGGTACTACATCCATATCTTAAGGTTTCGAGGGAGGTCAATATAGAAATGTAACTATGATAACAACCACTAGAAACGATATCAACGAACCATAAGTAAACTATAGCCACCTTACTAGTATGTCTGGATATAATAAACCTACCATGATTAATCTTCATGGAATGGTTATGTCAACATGAATATATAAAAAATCACCTCATTTCTATACCAAATATCTATTCCAGAGCAACAAACTGCCCAATCTCCTCCCTCGCCAGCTGCAGCAACTCGGCAACCTGACTATCCTCATGATAGGCCTCATTATACGTAACCCTCAGCTCCAACTGGTCTGCAAAGGTCTGCAGAACAAAGAAAACAACAGGATTGACAACGTGCAAAACAGTCGAAAACTCCTGCAGCTTAATGTCCCCGTAGTCCCTCTCCAGCCTGCCATCTAGACTGCCAAACGAGCTCAACATGATGGAATTCTCCATCTTATCCATGAGCGGAGTCGCGGTCTTTTTACCCCACGGTGGCATCCGAGACATCATCGTGACCTTATTGTCGAGGAGGTTTGCGTATTCGTCTTTGAATCCCAGGGCTGTGTCGTGTACGTCCTGCTTCAGTGGGACTTGGGCGAACCACATGCCGGTGCGGTAGGCGAACGAGTCGTATGTGGCGATTGCAGGAGAGCCGCGGCAGTGACTACGGCAGTTGAATAGAAGGAAGGCCGTATGGTTGTCTGTTTGTGGTTTGGAAGGGCTGGCTCTCCTGGCGGCGTGTAGCAAGGCCGAGTGGATGAATGGTGTCAGTTTGAGACCACGCGAGCGCACATGCTTGAGGATATTCACAGTGTCGTTGTGGGTGAATCGGATCTTTTGCAGTCTCGATGCGCCAGGGGGAGTATTGCTGCTGTTCTCCTTTGTGGGGAGACGGATTGCCTCTTCTTCTATTGGAGCTGGACATGCAGATTTCTCCTTTTCGTAGGTCTCTGGTGTGCTGTCTGCCTCGGCGGCTAGAGATACCCCCTGAGCGAGATTCTGGATATCCGTTCCAAATGATCGACGGGGTGGTGTAGTCGTCGCGGCCAGCCGACTCAGCTCTTTCAAAAAGTCGTTTGCTAGAATCACAGTCCCCAGCCCATCGGTATAGACATGCGGGAGTCGAATAACGATTCTCTTCTCCCCGGGCAAATATGCCATGATGGGATACTCACAGTGCTCAAGCACCGTGACATTCTCTGCACAGCCTGGTCTTGGATTATGCAGACTATTCCCCTCCATGATAACGAACGTCTCATCGGCCCATTGCTGCAACTCCCCCTCGTCCCTCGGGCTGCGGTAGATAAACCCCTTCCCATCGAATCTCGCACCAAGTAACGGATGCAAGAAGCGGATATTCTTCCACGTCTCCCGGGCTACGGATATCAGAGACGTTGGGTCTCTGTCAAACTCGAGTCTCAGGTTGACGAAAACGTCGAAGTTGCGATAGCCTGGTTGGGCAAATTCTAGGAAAAGGTCTTGGGCAAAGTCCTCGAGTGGATCAATGGGGCGGGTGTATTCGCCGTTTTCTGTGTGGATCCACCGTAAATGATTATTGGGGGAGGGAGGAGGTGTAGATAGATGTCCGGAGACAAGGTTGAGCCTTTGGAGAGAATTGGATTTGGGTGTCATGGTAGGATAGATTTTGGAATAGTCCAGAGTAAGTTGTGTTGGAGGGCAGGGCAGTTTTATATAGAGATGAGAGAATGAAGAAGCAAAAAGAGGTCAAAGACATCGTGACATTACACAACCCAAGCAAGGCATCTTTCCTTCGGGCGTAGCATCCAGAATGGTCCGTCGGACAACAAAGTTGCGCAGCATCAGAAAGTGTGACAGATTCTCGAATTGCGCATATCTGTGACTCTTTCCTGACGGACTCTAGTAAATTTGTAGAAGCCAATTGAACCTCGCTTCACCAGCCCGCATAGATCCCTTGCTTCTGTGAGAGTTGAGCCGAGTCCGGTCTTGATATATGGTAGGAGATGATGTATTCACACAATATGGCCAGTTGTTATCTCCTTGGTTGTCATGATACACTGTCCAACACTGACCGTATTCATTCCTGGCGTAATATACCTGGTGAAAGTTGAAATCCATTGGAGCCCTAATCTAACATCGTATCTTATCTTATCATATTATCGGAGGCTCCTTGGAGGTCCGCGGAGCGCTAGCCGGATACAGTAGGTGTCTCCGCGCCGCTGTTGAGTATAAAGATGACTGGAAATATCTACATTTTCAGCTTCATTCAACTTGTCAAAATCTTTCAAAATGTCCCAAAGAAAGGTGAGTATCTCACTCAAATATAAACATAATAGTTTTCTAACCATCGCAGGCAATCATCATCGGTGGCGGTCCAGCTGGTCTTTCTACCGCCCTCCGTCTCCACCAAACAACAGACATTTCCTGCACCGTCTATGAACTCCGTCCAGAACCTACAACTCTAGGAGGTGCAATTGGTATATTCTCCAATGGCTTGCGATTACTTGACCGCCTCGGAGTGTACGACTCCCTGCTATCCCGTGGTAGCAGTCATTCCAACCTCACCATTCACTCCTTGCAAGGCAGTGTCCTTGGTGAGCAGGAGATAGTGGGCGGAGCGAAAGAGAAGATGGGATTTGGGTACATGCGCATCAAGCGGGTTGACCTGCAGGATGTACTCTTGGAAGCAGTCCACAAAGCAGACATCCCAGTTCACTTCGATAAACGACTTACCACCATCGAAGAGAATCAAGACAGCGTAACAGTGACCTTCTCCGATGGAACGACCGATACCGCAGACATCCTCCTTGGATGTGATGGAATCCATTCTCAAGCTCGACGACTATATGTCGACCCAGCTCAAGTCCCAGAGTACTCCGGCCTCTCTAGTCTATTCTCCATCATCCCGACATCCACCTTGACCAAATCACCAATTCGAGGCATGAACGCAACCCTCACCCAAGAAGGAATGTTCATGGCGACAACCTGCACTGCATCTGACGACGAAATCTACTGGGGGTTCTCGAAACAAGTCCCTCTCCCTGATTCCAACGATACGAGAGATGGATGGGAAGTGCATCGCAAGGAGGAAGTAGAGGGATTCAAGGATAGTTTGCTTGGATTGTTGGAGAATGCACACGGAGAGTGGGCGGCCACATTGAAGGAGATTGTCAGCGAGACCTCTTCCATGCAGTTCTTTCCAGTCTATCGACTGCCATTTGGGGGTGCCTGGTCGAAAGGACGATGTCTTCTTCTCGGAGATGCTGCGCATGCGATGCCACCGCATGCAGGACAGGGCGTGTCAATGGCTTTGGAAGATGCGTTTTTTATCGCGCGTCTTTTAAAGGATCCGTCAGCTTCTGTGGCAGATATTTACGAGAGATTTGACAAGATCAGAAGACCGCGTGTCGATGAACTCGCCCGTCTCGCAGCCCAGAACGCGAAGGTCAGAAAGAACAGCGGACCTTGGGGCTTATGGATGAAGGAATGCGCGATTTGGGCATATATGGGGATTTCTGGGAGAGTCGGGTGGGATAAGTCGACACCAAAGCATTTGTTATATGATATTGAGGAGGCATAGTTGTTACTGGATTCGTGGTAGATATTTGAATTAATTGCATGTTTATATATCTCCGACGGACCCACATCGCACATCATGCGGGGTTTTCTGATCTTCCACATCATCTTTATTCCAACCAACCATGAAGCGAGACAGCAGAGGTGAGCCTGTGATGATGATGGTCCATCGATGGAATAGGCCATTGTCCTGTCTGCTCTGTCGAGAGAAAAAGAGACGATGTGATCGGATTCAGCCGTGCTCAAATTGCAGTCAGCGAAATATCGAATGTGAATATGAATCACATACGGTGGCTGGATTGAACCAGACAGCTACTGCGCAGACAGAACCAGCTACTCTGTAATTCTCCTTTTCTGAGTTTATAGTCAACTATGCTGATTTCCAGGAATGCGGAGGACGTCTTGAATCGACTTCATAAATTGGAAGAAGCTGTTTTCAACCAATCACAGCCGATCCCACAGACGAGGCACGCAGATACCCAGAGTATGACTTTCGAACTATTGATAAACAAAACTAATCAATATAGATGCCACCCCATTCGGTTCTCATCTCCAATCAGCTGTGGATAAACCATCCTTGGATATAGCATATTTAACCCGAAATCTCCCTCCAATCGAACAAGCCAGGGAGTTATTCAGCCATTTTGCCAACACTCTACATGCAACATTCTGTGTCTTTCATATCCCATCAACGCGTAACATAATGGAGGAGGCATATCAAAGAATGATGCTAGGAGGACAGCCCACCTCGACCCGTTTACTGCTACTATTCACCATCTTCGCGGGCGCAGCACTCGCATGGACACCTGAACTGCTAGAAAAGCTGAGATCCACAAAAGACGAAGCGAAAGCAGCTTTTACAGCATACACAAGTCTTGCGATGTCTATATTAGACGATGATTCCCAGCCCGTAACGGCATCGACTGTTGCTCTAGCAGCCATTAGCAATCTGGCCTATCTGATCACCAATTCTGATGGATTTGCTGTGAAAGCCAGTGTTCTTCGCATTCGTTGCTTGTTAATGGCAAGGACCATGCAGATCCACCGTCTCGATACGGTAAAGAGCCAAGAGGAACGAAGGATGAAAGGGTGTAATATAATCGAGATTGAAGTCCAGAGACGCGTGTGGTGGCATATGGTGGCAACTGATTGGTACTTCACCTACCCTTTTTGATAGGTATAATCCATGCTGATTATCTAGGTTGAGTGGGTTCTCAGGAGGACCCCAAGAAGGCTCATATTCATTACAACCTAAACACATGAATGTCAACTATCCAAGCAATGTCGACGACGAGTTCATCACGGAGGCAGCGGTAGAGTATAACCATCCGCTATCTACACCTACAACCATGTCGTCTTTTATCTACCGAATCAAAATGGCAGAAATATGCCGTGAAATCGTCGATGCCATGCCCTCAATTCTCCTCGAATCTCAAGAACCAGAATATGATCTCATCCTCCAACTGGATGATAAATACCGAACCTTTTTCAAGGGCTTGCCAACTTTCTTCCAAGATGACGAAGCCAGCATCAGTCAAAGCAAGAGTATATACGAGAGATACCCTCACCTCCCCCTCCAACGCATCACCATCCACTTTAGCGTCCATACACGTATCTGCCGACTCCATCGACCATACCATCTCGAAGGCACCACGAATCCGAAATACGCCTATTCTCATCAAATGTGTATCCGCTCAGCTCAAAAAGTCCTGGAACTACGACGCGCAATGGATGATGCTAGCGCGAAGGTGGGAATAAAGCCAACGCGGTTCTGGGTAGTCACGCAGCATGTTTTTCTCGCTGCGCTTATCTTAGCTACGGATGTATCATTTAATCCAGATGCAGTCGATGCCGAGGCGAGAAAGGAAAAGGTACTCTCTGCGTATCGGATTCTGGAGAGGTCAAAAGAGGAATCGAGTGTGCTTATGGAGGGGATTCAGCGGAATATGCAAACGCTTATGATGACGCTTCAGAAACAGAGAGCGCAGATTGATTTACAGAGTGGTGAACCTGCTGCTGGTGAGATGGCATCAAATGATGATTCTGAGTTACTTTCAGCTATGAATAGACCATCTGATGCCTTCATCGATACAGACCTGGGAGACTGGGATAACATGTGGTCTGAATTCCTGGCTGTCGCACCGGAACTGGATGCACCTCAGTGGAATTCATTGTTGGATGATATGGATTTTAATTTACCCGATGTGCAATAGTTGGAAGAATAAAGTGAAGATGTTGATTTATAAGAATGTATACTCGGCATTTGAAGTCATCCCGCTTAGCAATCAAGACAATTAATAATGAACCCCGCAATGGAGCACGTCATAAATCGCAAGACAAGATGCAGTATAAGAACGTATAAGAACAGCTCATCCTCATCAATATTTATCAATTATTCCCATTTATATTCATACTCTTCAACATGTCCAAACCACTCGCAATCATCGCCGGCGTTGGCCCTGGCACGGTATTCCTCTCCCTTCCTATAAGTAAAGCCAAACTAACATTCACAGGGCGCCTCCATCGCTCAGAAATTCAGCAAAGCATACTCTGTCGTCCTTCTCGCCCGCAATCCAGCCAATTTCCAAGATGTAGCTGCAAAGATCAACTCGAATGGCGGCGATGCACTGGGCATCAGCGCCGATCTATCCGACTCGGCCAGCGTCAGGTCGGCCTTTGACCAGATCAACCAGAAATACGCAGACTCGCCTCTCGCAGCTGCAGTCTTCAACTCTGGTGGTGGATTCGTGCGAAAGCCATTTTTGGAGTTGACGGAGGAGGAATTCTCACAGGGCTTTGACAGCCAGGGGTATGTCTACTCCTCGCTCCATATAGCTATATCTAACAAAAAATAGGAGAGGAGCATTCAACTTCTCCCAAAAGGTCCTCCCTCTTCTCTTGCAGGGCAAGAATCTTCAACACCCCCCAACCCTTATCTTCACCGGCGCAACAGCCAGCATTAAAGGCTCGGCCAACTTCTCCTCCTTTGCATCTGGCAAATTCGCCCTCCGCGCGTTGGCTCAGTCGCTCGCTCGTGAATTCGGGCCCAAGGGGGTGCATGTCTCGCATGTTATCGTTGACGGGGTGATTGATATCCCCCGCACCAAGGCGTGGAAGTTTGAGGCTGAAGATGCGAAACTTGATCCTGATGCTGTGAGTTCCTACCAGTTCACATGATGTTCTAGATGGATGAGCTAATTGGTGTGTAGATTGCGGAATCGTATTGGCATTTGCATACGCAGCCTCGGACGACGTTTGGATTCGAGCTGGACTTGAGGCCGTATGTTGAGAAATGGTAATTTGTATAGTGGGACACATAATGGATACATGTTGTATCACAATCAATCGAGTTTGCAGTTGTATATTGGTAAATATATACCCGATGATCGGAGTGTATCATGACACTTAGGGCGTGTACCCCACTTGGTATACGAAATTGCCATTGGAACTATGTAAAAATTACCAATAGCGGGATTATATTCATATTCAAACGACGAAGACTTCTACTGTTGCAGCTTCGCAACCAAGTCTGTCCTAGTCCGCAGTTCCTCAATCAGACCAGCAAAGTCTTCATCCCCCCGCCCCGCCCGTTCCTCAAAAACTTCATAATGATCCTTGAGCCACTTTGCATCTTCTCCGGCCTGTCTGAATTAGCAAAGCTCTTAAACAGCAATGTACAGTAGAGAGGAGAGTTTTCTCGCTTACCTTTGGTATCAGAAGCCCCTTTTCTATACCCGTAATGATGTCGCCCAGGATAAACACGGCGCTCAATTCTCGCCCTGTCCGGTCGTCAGTTCCCTTGCGATTAATGATTTGAAACCAAGCGGTATGAATCAACGCAGCCACGCTGCCAAAGTCATCGGTGCTTCTGTCTCCGCCGGTGCGGACGTGAGCCAGGATGCGATTGATAGAACGCTGGGATCTGTCAGTAAATAGTCAAGGTTCGATATCAGATAGATTGACCTCCTTTCCGCCGACGTAATTTGTCTGGCTGTTCGCGTCGATGAAGCGGATATTCACGAATAGACTGGGCGTGGTGAATTTCCTGGCGTGGATGCGTGTAATCTCCTGGGCGAGTTGATCGCGTTCGGATTTTTCCAACGGGATGGAGTGTTCGACTTCGTAGAGAGGCATTTTGTATCTGGTTTATGTGTTGATGATGATTGTTAATAGGCGATTCAGTCGATGCTATATAGAGGCAACCCCGCATTTGGCGATTGGTCAGCTGCTACAACGTCATGGTGCATGCAAGTCGTTGCTTACCAATTGGAAAATGGCCAAGATGCGAAGTCTCCGAGCTTCATCTTCGTAAACGTATCGGGCCGACAGAAGGCTACTCTTAGTGCGGGGTGTTAAGGTTATACTGGATGCCTTGATGTGGTGCATACGGCATCGTGTCATGTCAATGTCCTGAAATTGTACCTAGAATATAGAGTGTATGATTATTTAGAGACATTTTATATTACTTGCTAGTTCTTCTACTGTAAAGTATCCATCTTTGACAAACAATATAGTTGCACTTTTTATAAGGCCACTATATCAATACAATTACTCCCTCACAAGCACACCCCGATACCTCATCTTACCCACCCGAAGAGTCTCCATCGCCTGTCCGATTCCATCCGCAGTGAACGGGAACGTCATAACATTAGGAATGATGTTTTTTCTGGCCGCAAACTCAAGAAGAGTCCGAATACCATGGCGGGATGCCACTAGCGAGCCCTGGATACAGACACCTTGAAAGTCCAACTGTAGCGTTGGAATCGGGGCGGGTTCAAAGGTCGCAGTTAGAGGATAGATGGTGCTGGGTGAATCCATAAGAGGAAGCAAACTGGATAGTCAATTAGCCATCCTCTTTTAACAGAGCATAGATATTGGAATAGTCACTCACAATTGATAATCCATCCCTCCACTTCCACAGAGTAGCAAATGCTTAACGGGCTTAAAGTCCTTTGGTGGCTCTCCCCCAGACCGAAAGACATGATATTCAGAAGCACCGAACTCCATAGCTTCCTGTCCCTTTGATTCGGAGCTGGAAAGAACCACGACATGGCAGCCCATCGCGGATGCAAGTTTAATGGCGACGTGGCCGAGCCCACCAACGCCCATGATACCAACTCGGTCATCAGGACGAATCCCAAAGCGAGTCAAGACCGTCCAGACAGTAGCACCAGCACACATCAGCGGTGCTGCATGGACGGAGTCATACCCATCCGGGATGGGATAGACGCAATTCGCGTCCCACACGGCGCCATCACCAAAGGTTCCGTTGTCGAAGTCATGGAAGCCGTATTGCTTTCTCTTTCTGCAGTACTGATCCCATCCTGTAATGTGCAATTAAAAAAAAAAAATGTAAAGATTAAATTGGTTGACAGTATACTCACCAGTAGCACAGTTATCACAGGCTGCACAAATACTGTGCGTATATCCAAATCCCACCCGGTCTCCAACCTTCACCGACGTGACATTCGAGCCGAGCGCTTTCACAATGCCAACACCTTCGTGTCCGAGAACCTGGCCAGTCTTGAGATAGTGCTCGTCCGTTCCGCAGAGACCAGAATGTGTGGTTTCAATAAAAACCTCATTCGGCCCAAGCGTGTAGGTGGTTTGATCGGTGACAATCTTGCCCTCGGGGGAGCCGCGGAAGACGTTGAATGTGACGCTCATACTGAAGGAGGCTTATATAAAGAACAATAGCGAGAATTATATATTCAGCTGATTTTGAATACTTCTCTCCAGAGCCGTGGTCTGTCGACCTGATTGATATAATGGACTGGGAAACCACCCATCTCCATTTCCACGAAACAATAAACATGACTCTATCGGCAAGTTTCATGGACTTTCGGAGACTTGAATAAGATGAAAAACAACAATCGGGGCTTCAATTCCCCCGTGACAAATAGAACTCCCGCCGATATGTTTTATTCCCATCCAGCCCCTGATCGGACATCGGATATCAACGGGCCACGCCCTACAAGTGACATGTGGACCAGAATAGACAAGACAACACCTGCGAATCGCAGTTTGTCTGGCTAAATTGATAATCAATGTAAATGATCCAGGCCATTGTTGCTTACCAATTGGAAAGTCGCCGGGGGCATACATCTCCAGGCATTTATATGTCGATTACGTTGTATCAGTTACAAACAAGGGGGAGGTCCATTCTCAACGGTATGGCTAGAAAAAAAGATAATGAGCCTATGTGTTCTTTTCCTAAAACCGGAGTTTTCCATGCCAATCAATCCTGACCTCCTCGAGCCCGCTGAAATCCAGGTCATCTGCATTTACCACCTGGATAGTCCATTGCGTGAAAGGCGTCGGTAACGCGTACTCATTGGATGTGTCAATCGCGGTGACCTCTACATGCTTCTTCCCGTCAGTTCCCACACGATATCGGAATTCTCGATGAAGCGGCAAAGTCGTGAAATTGTACACATGGCCGTCTTGCATATCGGCGTATGTCCCGGATGTCGAGATCTCCAGAGAAACCACCAAGTCCCCCAAAACTTTGGGTCTCACCCCGATCAATGCTACATCTAGACCACTGACTCGGAAGTGGGAACCATCTGTGAAGGGACCAGACATATTATCATTTTTGGATACGCGAGGCATGAGGGTGAAGGTGGCGGAGTGGGGACGGATGGGGGAGCCGACTGGCGGAGTGTTCATTCTCAGAGACTGGACCATGTCTGAGAGACAATGAAGTGGAAGCTGGTGGCAGGTCAGATGTGTTAGAAGATGGCAATTGAGGTGGACGGCACTCACTGGGTTGGGAGGGGTTTCGTAGTCAAACGCTGGAAGGAGACATGTTAGCGAAGCATCGCAGTACTGGAAGACTACAACTGACTCTGTAAACCACTGGAATAATTGGATTTGGCATTCTGGATTTCCTCTTCGATCTGAGAAAGATCTGCCTTGTAATCGGCTACGGTCTTGAGGGGATCCACGACGACGCCGCCGTTGGACAGCGTTATGTACTTCTCTGCCCAGATCAGGTTCTGCATACCGATGGCGATGGTCGTACGCAATGCCAGATAGCGATCAAAGAACCTGGCCTGCGCCTTCTCATATGCGTTCTTCTCAGATGTAAGATTCTGAACCAGTTGAGTCAGGCTCTCAATATCTTGTCTGGCGAGATGTTGTTCCAACTTGGCTTGAATATAGCCCTGTCCTGCCTTTATGGCTTCGGCTTGAGTCTGGGCGAGTTGCTTCTCATTAATCGCATGTTTTCGAAGAGCCAGCTGGTATGCATCAGCACCCTCAATACCATGAGACACGGGGAATTCCATCTGGGCGTCTGCTTGAAGTCCCCATTTATCCCATGAGGCAAGCGACTGGATAGCAGCAGAATCGCCATCGGCGCCAGATACCTGTTCTGTGGTTGGCAGATCAAGCTTGGAGCTCCAGTCAAGGCTTTTAAGAGTCTCGATGGACGTCGCCATGGGGGTGTAGAGATTGTACAGCGCTTTGGCGCAGTCCCTCAAGTTCTTCATGGTTTGCGATTGCAACACCTCCTTGACTTTTTTAACATCCTCAATGACTTTCTCAGTCGTCTTGATGTCTCCAGGAATACTGGCCGCTGCTTCTAGGTCGCCTAAGGCGATCTCCGCGATGGCAACTCCAAAGGCTGGTCAAGGCGTAAGAACGATGTATGGAATTTTTAAGGAACTAAGCACTTACTGATGATTGCGATGATAATGATGAATGCTGCCTTCAAGCCTTCCTCCTCTTTCCACTTTTGAACGCCTCTCTCCAGGTCATTCGCAGCATTCTGGAGCACGAATCTGTCCGCTCGAAATGTCGTCTGCGTACGCTTTCGACGCATCCTCATATTTCTCCAGGGCCATTTCCGCCAGAGACTCACTCACCTTGGATCGTTCCCTGGCCTGCTCCAGCATCTGCTCGCCGGCGTTGTGTAGATCACCCTCTAACTGCGACTTATCCTGGAAACAGTCGTACTGCGTCTCGAAAGCAGCTGCTGCATCGATAGAGGCTCGCAATTTTTCCAGGTAAGAATCCACCGAAAGAACAGGAAGATAGTGCATATTCGGCCCTGTCATGGCCTCCGCCGCCAATTGTCGCCCAAGCGCTACAGCTTGAATGTTGAGCAGTGATCCCGGCCCTGTCGTGTTTGGAGCCGTCACCAAAGCGACATGCGAGGCCAGTGACAAGGCAATCGCAGGCTGGCGTCAGAAAAGAACGCTTGAAATAGGCAACTGCGTCTCCAGGAGCTGTTGGAAATAAGGATGCATCCCTGACATCGGGTCGTAGTGCGCGTCATATTCAGCCTTGACTGTGTCTCCTTGTGGGTATAGTAAGACTGCTACATGTTTGCTGCCAACTCCCAGATCGAGCGTAAACACCGTGTCGGAATCTGCGAGAGAAAAGGTAATGTGACCGTCGACTTCGGATGCATGGATGTAGACCGCACATTCCTCCCTGGGAAAGACAAGATGGGTGCTTCCCGATGTGGCCAGAAGCCGAGTGTATAAAAACACTTTCCCGAGCTTTGGCACGTTTAGGGTGGTCATTTCTTCCCTGAATGCGAGGACATCAGCGTAGACGGACAGAGAGGCCAAGTGGTGACTTAGCACTTGGTCTATGTCAAGATAGACATCGCGGATGTTGATTATGATCTGCATAACATTGTCAGTGGCTGGACCAAGGCGAGAACGATATCGCACAACTCACTCGGCCTTCTTTGTCCACGGCTCTGACGAATGGCACCTTCAACACGGCATCCGATGGTGCATATTCTCTTTCCCATTCAGAGGGACCGATAATCCGAGTTGAAAACAACGCCATGTTGCTGTATGCAGCGAAGTTGTTTCGTCTAAGAATTGCCGTCTCAGACTGCGATCGATTCAACTTTTGAATGACAAAAAGTGGCGAGTGAATGCACTTTCTATGAGGGATTTGTCGATAATGGCCAATCTTTACCCCGCACCTGTCATACCACAGACTCAGCTCTCGACAACTAGAGAGCTGAGTGTGGCTCAGCTGAAAAGCAAGTATACGTGGACCTGACAAACAACACGAACAACTCTGGATGAAGAACTGCAGGCGCAACCGAAAGCAGTTATCACTCTAAGCGCTCAGGGTTGCCGGGCCTATCAGGTCTCCATTAATATATGCACATCATCGATCGTCCGCCAGTCAGATCATTCCATCCAGAAGTACCAGGCAGCGACATGCTTACTTTCGTCGATCGCCTGCAACAGCCTCGAACTGGTTGAGAAGATGAAAAAATTTGATAGGATGGCCATCGATAGACGCGTGACTGCGGGGTCGCTGTTAAAGCTCTACAAGGATAACATCTCCGGAATTATGTTGAAAAAATTGATATCACGGAGTCGGATGAGGAAGACATAAATATCTGCTTGTTTACCCCCCATCCCGAACTCCCATCGGAGAGCAACATATCAAATAATATTAACACGACTTCATCTTGCCATCATCGGTTTCACCCTCACATCCATCATGGGCATCATCAAAGAAGACACTACCGGAGGAGCCCTTCTCACCCCCCCCCCCCCCCAGCAAGCTCTCCAACGAGCAGGGCAACTTCGTCTTTTCCAATGAGGATATGATAAACCTCATGCGATATGTGTGGGAAGGCTGTTGTCTGCCAACCACACGCAAGGAGTATATGGATCGTTTTGGTATCACGGAGTTGGCACCGTCGTCTGACACGGACAAGACCCTGCTCGGGGGTATTTCATCCGAACTGAACAATATCCTGAAAACATATGCCGATGTTTGTCACCTAACCGCAATAATGACATTCCTAAAGCTAAAAAACAGGAACGCGATAGATTCAAGACACAACCACCACCTTCCGCGACAAGACCTGGCCTTCCATTGTTGATCTCGCGGGCAGAGTGCAGAAATACGCGGAGACCCTAAGCGATGATAAAAGCGCATCATACTACACGAATATCATCAACTTGACAAAGAATTACACCGAGGCAAAGGATGCCACGAAGAAAAGTGTCTTGAAAGCAGAAATCTTGGGGCTCATCGATGCTACAATTCAAAACATCAACACCTACAGTGAAGGCATTCCGGATGTCATAAAAAAGCTGGGCAACTTTCAGGAGGATACTAAATCTCAGAGTGAAAAGGTTAAAGATCACCAAAAACAAGTCGAAACCCTCTTAGGGACAAGTGGCACAGATCAAAACGGATCATGAGCGTCTCAAAGGCTACCAAAAGGAGTACACCCACGGTAGGTGCAACTGCCACTTGCATCGACTGTCCTCCTCTGACTGGATCTTCCAGATGTTGTTGTTGCTGCGACGACACCGACATATGCCTGGGTGTAAGTGCCCCATCCCATTAGCAGATATCATTGCTGAACAAAAATAGCACTATTTTGGGCCTGATTGCCGCCGTCGTCGTTGCAGCAGTCGTTGGCCATCGCGCAGTCGAGATGAAAGACACAATCCTTGATCTCACCAACACAATCAAAAGCGAGAATGACGAACTGAAAGCGGCCCATACCGTTCAGATAGACATTACTCGCATGGATGTTTGTCACCCTCCCTTGACTATCTACACAGTGCTCACCAGACGTCGCAGGGAAATCTGAAAGATCTGATCAAAGTGACCAAAGCTGCTCTAAATGTCCTTGAGCTTCTCGAGGGTGTCTGGACTGAGATCAAAACGGAACTTAAGGGCATCCAAGATCTCCTCAAGGACGACAGTGAACACGAGATTAAAACCATTATTGTCCAGATAGACGTAAACCAGGTCTTCGACGAGTGGGGTAAAGTCAGAGACTACAGTATGTGCTCTTTCTTTCTTCATCATTGTTTCTGCCGCAGTCACTAATTATGCTACAGCCAAAAAATACATTGAGCACGCGTTCGTCAGTCCTCCACAAATACAGTCCATCGTGAAATACCTCAAAAAGCTCGACGAAACTATCAAGAATACGAAGGGGGATGGCGATAAAGACTCTAGCGGTTCTTAGTGATGCTTTAGGCGTCTTTTTATAATATGTCGAAATACCGGCTCCAGTATGTTGTGCGCAAATTCAGTTTGGTGTGTACAATTATAGCATTCCATTGCGTGAATGGAGCTGGCATGGCGCAGACGACCTTCGGTTAACAAGACATCGACTAGGTCAACTCTCGACTGGTACTTTCTCAGGCGGCAGTAACCTTTGGCAGTCTATAATATATGTGTTATTCTGTCGATAAAAAGGCAGACATTCGACCGTTGAAGACAGGCAACAACAAGAAACCTACACCCTCCGATTGTTAAACTCCTCTTGTTAGCTAACAGTCTCTACCATCGCCCAACCTGCGTTCTATATATAGGGCTATCCACTTACAGGACCATCCTATTAGATATCCTTCTAAAACTTCCATCTCACAAAGGTTTGGAAAAGCAGATTGCCTTCTGCAACGCATGGAATGCCATTACGGACGTATTTAATGAAGTTCTCCAGCTAGAGATCTACCTTCTTGAAAAAAGGGTCAACCTTGAAAATCCTGTTTATCATTTCTTCCCGTGCCCCAAAGAACGCACCGGTTCGAGAAAACCAGACAAGAACTCAAAGGTATCAATCTACGACTCATCACAATTGAAAAGCAATATGCGGACTTGGATAGTCAAAACCCTGGAAGTCTTTGGCTTTGACACAGTCGGTGCTGTCGGAGGATGTGAGATGGCAGCAAGGCCAACGCCGGTGGCTTTTGTTCGGGCTGATGTGACTGTGGGTGTGGTTGCTGCACGAGGTGCACGACGCCATGCCGTGGCCCTCCTAGTAAAGAGGAAAACTTCAGCCGGGCGGCTCGTTGGCATTGCACAGTCAAATGTAGTTGCTGCATTCGATAGCGAGGGTTTCGCTCTCCTCTCGGGGAGGGAACGCACGCAGTGAAAGGTTCTGATCTGCTTCTGGTTTAGGAGGATTGGCATGGTTCCACGGGCTTTGATGCTTTAGGTGAATAGCCTTGGTATTATCGACTGTTGGTATGTCTAAGCTCCGCTATTCCATGGCGGGTCAGAGAAGTGCCTTTAGGGCAATGGCATATTGGCCCATCGGCGACACATCGACTAAATGCTGCTGCAGCACTGCATGGTCGGCAAAGGTCCCATCTTGGACATGCTTTAGCATCTCCTTGGTATTACAACCATCCAGCTGCTCCAGGCGGTTATGCTTTCTGGTTCGTTGTCAGCCTGCGCATCAAACTCTCGCAGGCGACCGCGCCCAATCAGGATAAACAAATAAAGCTCCTCAATAGCTTTGCGGAGAAGGTCCGGGTCTCGCAATACCTCCAAGGAAAATGGAAACGGCACAAACTCTCCATCAAGCCTGGACTTCTGCTGAGGGGCTTTGGGGCAGTCCGAACTGCATCTTGAAAGCTCGTAGCTGAAGTTAAGAACGATGGCCGTTTATTCGAAGGTGGCGGAGTAGAGTGTGACTCAAACGGACGCTTCGTAGGGACGATAGGAGGAGGAAGACGTTCATTCTGCAAGGGCTTAGGCAGTGCGGGCTGATGGTCAGTAAACTATATAAGTATGAAGGGTAACTGTTGAACCTACAAGAGGCTTGGGAACTTCTGGCATAGAGGCAGATGTTTTAGGAGCAGCTGTTCCAGAGGCAGAAGCACTAGGAAGGGCTGGCTGAGAAGCGGAAGCACCGGGAACAGCTGGTCCAGAAACAGCCGGTTCTGGAACTAAAGACTGAGAAGAAGATGGTCCAGGAAGAGAAGGCTGAGCAGAGGGCGCAGAGTCCGTTTCAGCAGTACGACTAAAAATCGAGTCATCAAGATTGGCTGATCCTGCTCTAGAGCCATAGAAGGTACATCGACTTCCTCTCGAGTGAAAACTGCAGTTGGCACCAGCGCCTCGAAAAACCTCACGATCGTTCAGTGTTAGAGTCACGCAAGTAGCAAATGGGCCGTCACCATCAGCATAACTAGCACAAGCGTACTGATGCTCCACGCCGCGAGTCTGCACCCAAGCAGCAGTATTGCACGACTGGGACGTGATCTTACAGATGCGTCTCTTGCCCTCATCGTCAAAACGAAAGTTCAGTGATCTTTTGAACGGCAGTGAGGCGATCCGAGAAGACTGTGCAGCAACTTTGGCTAGCGGAAAACTATCTGGCCCAATACCAAACGAACTCAAGTACGTGGCATTGGCAGACGAGGCAGTTGGCGCTGCAGAGGATGACTGCACAGCACTGCGGGTCTCAGGCATGATGGCTGAGTTAGGGAGAGAACGGTCTTGTAGAAATGACAATATGCTGGAAATATGAGGTAATTCAAGACAGAAAATGGCAGGAAAAGTGGAATATCTTGCGGTCGTAAAGTTGGTTGAGGGGGGAAGGTGGGCAAGCGACTGTTTACACCCTCTACCTCACGACGACACTTTTCCTAATTAGGAAGACTACTAGTAGGTACTACCGGGCAAGGTACCACTACTACGCAAGATAAACGAAACAAACATTTGGCTCTGATTGAACTCAAAATTCGATCTGTTTCCTTTCCTTTCTTCGTAAAACAACAGCCTCTTGCTCGGACAACAAACAGCGGCCAGGAACAGAAAATGGATCGCCAAACTGTCCAGCCCCGCCATGAGAGGTCTATGATTACGGATGTAAGTTTTATGGCTGCATAGATCACGTAGCCGCTGCATTTATTCGTTCGATCAAGTCATTCAGATCCTTTATCTATGTACCTACATATGCACAGATCTACGGTTACTTGAGCCAGCTGCCACACATAAGGTGGTTCTTGGGAGCTCGGTGATCCTCACACTGGCAGTTCCTTCAAAATAAAATGTAGACGTGTCCCATTAGTAATGAATACGCTCCTTCTTACCATTTTATATTTATTTGGTAGATGTTCAAGCTATACGTTCCACGCTGCCTTTCCCTTTCCTACAGAAAATGCCGGAAGATGTAGGCTCCAATCAAGTTTTGTCCACCTTGATGACACCACATTCTAGGGTTTGCTAATACAAACTCAAATGCCTAAATCGATAAATCAATGATCGTGTCGCCTTTGTCCTCGCAGTGAAAAGCAAACAAGACTGGCGCAATGATGCCTTTGAACGAAACGTAAATCCATGCGGTGAACTATCCATATGGGCCATTTTTTGGTCTGTACTAGATATGAATAATAATCTCACTGTATTGCTCAGAAAGCTGTAACATGATATCTTTGAGCCCAGATGTTTCCTTGTTGAGGCTTTGGGGTTGTCCATGACATAACAACATGAGTAACTAATGCAAGGGAGAGTGAATAATGGCATGGCTCTGATTGTCTTCCTTTTGTACAGCCTGTCAGATTATACAAGTCTCTCGGTGTTTTAAAAAGCGCTACAGGCGTATATATAGGCACTGGACATACTAGCTGTAAAGTTAGAAGCCAAATACAATGCAAGGGCATTAAATCACTTCATATTCCTGTCCCTCAAAGTCAATGAATATCTTCAAACAGGTTAGCATTGATTCAGCATATAATAAAAGAAAGTAGTGATACCGTGTTACTCTTCGAATCCTTAAGTCAAAGACCCCACGATAGCCACGCCTCTTCATCACATGCCGTCAAATGGGAAATTACCGGACAGAATACATTATCCGGAATTTGGAGATCAAGGTGGGCCTTCTAAAGCTTGACTGCCACTGATCCGGGTCCGGGTTTCGGAGTCTGGGCGAAGTCAGAGGCACCAGGGTCACTGGGAAAGAGCACTGAGCTATCGTTGAGTGGGGGAAAAAAAAAAAAGCCAACACCTGAACCAAAGAAGCCATCGCTTACGGTGGACATTACTCGTAGTTGTGTTGATTTGGGGGAAATTGAGAGTCGGCGCTTACGAACCGGACAGAGGGTTCTTGGAGGTACAAGGAAGAGGCGGGAGCTACTAAAATCTACGGTATTGCAGGCAGCACATATCTCCTTTTTTTTTTTTTCTCTAAAGGGAATAATATTTTTTATCCCAATCGAGTCTGCCAGCCACCAGTCGTTTTGATGAGATTGAAGGGCTGGGCGTAAGCGACTATGTATATCATTACCTATGCTTTTCGTTGTTTTATCAAAATTACTAAAGATAGAATTCGATCAAGATAATGGGAATGATAACTGCCTTACGTACGTTTTGTAGGCAGACATTCTTCGTCGCCACTCTTCTGCCGTAAATCAACGCAACAGGACGCAAGCTCCACTCTTCCACTCTTCCACTCTTCATCCACTCCTCAAGTTAGCAACTTTTTCGTATCCAGTCCCATTCTATTGTCCCATATCCCGACTTAAAATGGCGGCAAACGCGATGTTGACGACATTCTTTGTTGTCTGTGGAATAATGCAGCAGATCGGTGTCTTGATACTGCTTGTTATGAAGGTATTGAAAAATCTGGAATCGGTGAATATAATTTGTCACTAAACCTTCGAGCAGATTAAACCAAATATATTCTTGGGGCTTACGCACGAGGAGCACCGGCAAAGACAGATCAACTTCTTCAATGCGTGGACCGCCACTACGGAAGAGTTCGATGAAATCCTACAGCGGGAGATCTACCTCCTCGAGGAGATGGTTGAGCTTGAAAAGGTCACTCTTCCTACTTATAAGGCGCCTGGTGAAGATGCTCGGTTGGAGCAGATCAGGGAGGAGCTGAAGGGTATCAAAATGCGACTGGTAAACACAGCAAAGCGGTTTTGGGAATTAGACACTCAAAATCCCGGTGGCGTCTGGCTTCTTACACAGGGCATGCAGTCAGAAGATGTAAGATGGAAGCATTCCCAGTACCAGTGCAGGCTCCGTTTTGGCTGCTGTGCACGTGGATGCGGTTGTTGCATGAAGCCACGACGTGGTCCCCCTGGGAAAGAGGAAAGTGTTTTGCGTGCGTATGCTTCGCACTGTACAGTTGAATGTGGTTGCTGTATTAGGTGGAGAGGCTTTCGCTTTCCTCCCGTGGAGAATGGCCGGACAGAGAAGGATGTTTGAGGCTTCCTACTGCATCAGGAGCAGCCGTCTATGCTTTATTTTGTTCATTCTTAGTATGTTGACAATACTTTTGCTTTTGATCCTCTGTGAACAGTCATCTTTGTACTGCTTTTTCAGTCCGTTTATACAGCGAATCGAACAAAAAACATACGCCTGCCATGTCTCCCACCGCCTGGCCATCTGCTTCTCCCTCTCCTCTCCCCTGTGCTTGCCTTGATGCCGTCAAACCCGATGCCGTCAAACCCTCCTATTGGCCTGCAGGCTGGCAATTTTTTGGTGCCTGGATTGTCGCCGTTTTGAGCATCCTTTTGAACGGTGTTGTGTCCCGTCTCTGGGCGGAAGGCCGGTACGTGAAATGAATACGTCTCTGGGTTTACATGCACTGATTCTTGGCTATGTAGACTCCGGCGACGTGCTTCTCCTGACCATGCAAATGAGTCACTAAGACTAGCCGAAGCGAACGCTCGTAGGGGAGAGGCGATGGCCCGGGCTGCAGAAGCAGATGCCCGGGCTGCTGAGGCTAAGGCGCGGGAAATCTTAGCCTCTGCCTCCTTGTACTCGTACCATAATACTTCTCTGCCTGCTCACACTCCGAATGCGCATCCGTCCACTTTCACCATGACGATTTCTCAGCCGGATGTTTCTACTACTACAAACCCCGCCCATATGCCTCCTACCGCCAAGAGATCCGCATCTCGATCTCCCAGTACGAACGCTGCCCTTCCCTCTCGCGCTGAGCTGCTGCCGCTTCCTGTTCTTTCGTCAGCTCGAGTATCACCAAATGCCCCTCTCCCGACTGGAAGGGACCAGGCGACCTCTACAGGCGTGGAGAATCAGGCCAAAGCCCTTACTCAACGTGGGCAGCTGCTCTGCGATGGCTGTGAAGATGTTATGGTGAGTTCACATTATGTATACTACTTAAGCTTAAAGATGGCAATACTAATATCATGATAACAGACAAATGGATAGTGCTCATGGATAGAATATGGTTTATGAAGAGCTTTAGTTGGGTTGAGGAGGAAAGTATGCTTCTTTTAACGTGAGCGCATGGTAGAAGTGAAAATGCTGGCAAAATTGTCGAAACGTCATGGAAAAGCACATCCTATGTAACCATACGATAAAGGCTCTCTCATTAGATAGAAATGTGGAATAAACAGCAGTATCAGTCCGAAAATACAGTTGACAGAAAGAAGTTCCCTTTGAAGTAGGCAAAGGAAACCATATGTTTGTCAAATAGCATTGCAGCCATCCGTCCTGACGTGCCCCGACGTCTTTAACAATGGAACCGATCGCTAGAATCGGATAGCTTGGTTGACGGAATGTTTTACTTGAGACTGTCGTCCTACTCAGGTTCTGTCGAAGTTCGCATATATCCTTCGCAATCTCAAGGCCCAGTCTTGCAACACGGCTACTAGGATCCACCCCTGAGAAGGCCACCATCACCCCTGCGCCTAATAAAAAACGGCCGGTCTTGAGCTATTCGGACTGCAAAGCCAAGACGGCTACTCGACTGAAGGAGCATCAAAATCAAGTGGTTTCAAACTCCGGGCCTGGCAGTAGCAGTCGCTGCGACGATCGACTCGAGTCGATGGTAACATGAGCGCTGTCAGGACTGTAGGTCGAGTGCATAACTCAGGCATTTTCGTCAGTCAGGAGGTTCTGTAATGTCTGGACGTATTCATTGAGAAGGCTGCCGGGTCCCATTTGAGCTGATTGCGTTATTTCCGCCGTTCTGTGTATGTCGTAGATGTAAAGCTGATTCGTCCATGTTGACGGGTTAGACTGGAGGATATAGAGAAATAAAAATGAACGTGAGCCGGAGGAGCAGTTGAGTTCTTACTTGAGCTTGATGAAATAGAGGATGAAGGGCTATTTATACGTCGATTTTGATTGATAATAATTGCAGGGAGAAGATCAGGCAGGCATCAGCTCCCCTTGATTCCTCTACGCACTTAACTAAAGGCTCACTACGATAGGCATCATTTTGGCGCTTTTTGGATTCTAAAAGATAGACATTTATTGTTGTTTTAAATTTATGCTTTGCAAAGTCTAATGCGTCCATTGCTATTCATGCGTCTTGTCATCTATCCTAAGATCTTATCTTGACATGATTTGCTGGCCAAGCATTCATTAACACTTCCTATTGGTCCAGAATACGTATCGAAGATCAATTCTCCCGACTGCTAATATTCTGATACAGCCAGTCTCTCCACTCCTGGTCACTGAGTATCGACCTTACACGAGCTTCGAGCCACTCGGTGTTTCCCCAGAACCCCCAGGAGGCCTGGAATCGACACCAGTCAACTAAAGCAGCCTCCCAGTGTCGTTTGAATGTGTCCCACTCATATAGATCTGATTTATCATCTTGGAGGAGATTCATGCGGTACCGTTCTAGCAATTGTCTCTCACCATCGCACATTGCCAGCTGCTCGGGCAAAGGCTCATCGGCATCGGTAAGCAGATCCAGAGGGACTGAGCATGTAAAGAGTTTTGCAAGGTCACAAACTCCTAGACCTAGCCCGACATACTGAAAGTCGAAGAAGGCCACCTTGTCTCCATTACTTGTCGTGAAGAGATTCTCGGACTTGACGTCGCCGTGAATGTACGACTCCATTGGCCGTCCACAGGGAGTCAAGAACAATGCCACCATCTCGGCAACAGAGAGCGATGACCCTTCTGACGGCTTGCACAAGGCTTTTGACCACTCCGAGTAGGTATCTTCAACTAGAGAAGCGTACTCTTTCCGTCGTGTCGCAAGGTACGTGTACCCTCCGTTGAGCCACAACCCGTTCCCAACATCTTTGCCCGTGCTCTGCCTTTTCTTGCACTCTTCAAGCGGCGGCAAAACATAGTCGTCAAAACTATCCGGCAGCAGTCCCCACGAGCGGCTATGGAAACCGGCCAGCCAGTCCAGCGCCGCATGCACTTGTGTGCGGTTCAACACACTCCTCTTTTCACCTGCGACTGGAAACTTCGGACGCAGATCAACCATGACAGTAGCCATCAGGCCTCTGAGTTCCTCCTCACCGTCCTCGCCGTCCATGTCTCGCGTCGAGGCAAGGCATTTGGCAACAGCGATATCGTCACCCAGCAGCGGAACGACATCATTGTAAAAGTACTGCTCAACTTCATAACTCAGCATCTTCCGCAGATGACCCTCATCTTCATTCCCACCGCGTTTCTTGGGGGGTGAGATGAGTTTCAGGATGAGGGGGTAGGTAGACCCAGCGGCTCCTGATTCCACTCTGCAAAGCGCACTAAGCTGTTCCGCAGCTGCATCGGTGGTCGCCCGCGCAGTGATGGCGCAGATGTGTCCGTACCCAGCCCACAGAGTCTGTAGGGTGGTGCACGAGACAAGGTCGAGCGAGTACCACGACAGCATGATGCTGGCGACACGGTCGGGATGAGGGGCCATTATGACAGTATACTATTGAACCAAAGCCTACAAGCTGGTATTAGAATATGTCTTTCGTGGCTGTTATTCTGCGGTTGATTTGAGAGATGTGAGTGCGAAATTAACGGTGGATCTCCGCTTCTGAAGCTGTGCAGAAATCACGTGATATACAACGGGAATACATAACTGTGATGCTACCGTGATAGTAGTAAGTAGTAACAATACAAGCAAAATATAAAGAAAAAAAAAAAAACAAAGTGTATAACAGTAGGTATTCACTTGTGGTTACCCAGCTAATTACTAACGTACTAGTATATGGTTTATATATAGTTAATACTTTGATGAGTACCCTAGGGATTGAGTATAAGTATTGATTGTTGATAATTGAGTCAGATTATCTGACTTCCGAAAAAGCGTTACGTTGAAAAATCCTTGATCAGATTCCATCTGCAGACAAGCCACAGCGAAGAGATGTGGGTATTTTTACGTATTTGGGTATAATAATTTAGGGTCATGGATAGTTGAATTGGTCATTTATTGGACATGTGACACAGTAACTACTTGCTCTAGCCTGTTCTCTCATATAGATAAACAACCATTGCAAAAGTACTAGACTACCCATGAAGAAAAGAAGCACATAGTGAAATATCCCAGACAGTTAATATCCCTAAGAAGATTCTCTGACGGAAACCGCTGCTTCTTCGCCCAGCGCCGAGATGACAGTAACACGGAGATCTTTCCCATCCTCGAAGTCGCTCTGAATCTGGACCCCGAGATCGCCCTGCGGGAGGGGAACGTCATCTTTTGGGGTTTCATCTTGTGCCATCAGGTTAAGCATGCCGTCGTCAACATTGACCTAGTACAAAGAAAAATTAATCACCCAGCTCATACGTCGGGTCTGACGGCCATACAAGGGAATACTCATTTTGCTCGACGTTTGGAACCTCCACGTCATCATCTGGGTGGAAAGTGGTGTTAAGCTGAACGCCGGTGAAAATGTCAATCAACACAAGCTGCAACCCGTCACCGGATAGTGCCATCTGGAGGATTCGGCCAGGGCGGTTGTCGACCACCACATATTGGTCCTGCACGAGCTGAGAAGCCGTCAAGGTCTGAGTGCCGTCTATCATTTTGTTTGATTTTTTTTTTTTTTTTGAGAGAGAGATAGGATGAGTAGAATGAAGAGTGATGTCTGATGCAAATGGGAATGTGGGCTTATTTATGTCTATTCCTAGTGTGCTGTTGCTTTACAGCTGCTCAGACTATTGATCTCAGCTTGGGCGGCGATCCAGTAAGATCTTGCCGGCGGGGCCATTCATTGGAAGATCGTCAGCTGGAGTTGACCAGCACATGGAGGTGGCGGAGGGCAGATTATTGATTCAACATATTTAATGTCTCCACTATCTATAGCACCGTCTGCTTGACTGGTTCTGTTTATCCCAACAGAAGTTGCAACTTAGTCCACCGACTGACTAAAGTCCGGGAGAAGCCGAGCTGAAGATGAATGTGAATGACGTGGGTGGCTTAACAATCTAACTGCAAAAGGAACAGCAAGCGGGTATCTAGATGATCTTGATCCAGATCACATCTCATTGTGTTTTTAATAGGTCAAAAGCTATTCTGTAGACCTCATACCGTAATCAGACACCGAGCTGTAGCAACCCCCGCATCCGGTTCCCACGAAATGCAGTCTCATTTTGGAGCTTTTGGCACCCATACAAATGGAATACACTAATAAATAATGGAATGACTATTTAACAGGACATTTCAACTGGTTATGACCTTCCTAATTATAACTACTGCAGCATATAGCACACCATGGCTTTAGTCCTAGTAACAGACCTGGTTCTACTTCCCTCTCTCTGTGCTGTTTTCTAAGTAGCTTAAAGGCCGATTAAACTTCCTCTATCTTAAATAAAATATTATAAGTCATCTTTCTCTACTTTTAATTTATTTCAAACCCCACAGCTAATAGATTTTTTATTAAAGCAGGAGTGTACTCTATATTATAACAGAATCGCTGGGCAGGACCGAAAGTCAACATGAAAGCTGTGGATATGGTCGAGGTATTGGATGGAATCATGAATGTTTTGGGCTCATAGTTCGATTACCACTGGAAATTGCTACTTCTACACATTGCATGCTTTGCCGAAATTTTTGGTGAAAGATACTTAGCCTGCTAGTTTTATCGCCTTCTTGAATAGTGAAAACATAAACGTGTTGACGCAGCAAGTGAAACACTTTGATTTCAATTGCGATTTCAGTGTCAGCCGCCATCAACTATCGCAGCAGTGAAAGAACTGGCTACAGCCATCGTCCCGAGTCCAGTAGTAATGCAGAAATAGTCTACAAAGGAACTGACCCATGAAATCCATTGCCTAAAAGCTTAATTTATTTTGTTAGCAACTTCGCCCTCGGTTTTGCTATGATATCTGGTGAGTTTTCGTGTCCTTTTCGGGACTGTTGCCGAATGTCACACCCCGGAACCTGGCAGCGATCCGACGGCGGCCTCACGGCGAGGACGCAGCGGGCTTCCGGCACCACGTGACCATAGCTAAACAAGACTGTATATAGAAGACTGCACAATAGAGGACTGCAGGGTAAGTACTTAATTCTAAGTAATACCACCTATACATTTTCCCACACAGTATTCTTACCTATAGAACACCAGTAACTTATAACTTATTACATTACTTTAAAGCACCTCTAGCTCCTAGTGCTTTATAGTTTTAATTACTTCCTATTTTAGTTATAAAATATTAATATATAGATAAGATAGTTAGTACTACCTAACCTATACTTTAAGGAAGACCTTAACTAAATTTAATATATCTATAGAATAAATACTATATAATAATAAATTAACTAACTAAGTAAGTAAAGTATAGCTCTATAATAACCTAAACAGCCTTAGTTACCTAAGTAACCTAAACTAACCCAGCAGCCTAAGTAATCTCTATAATCTTAATAATCTAAGCACTTAGAGTAACCCCCTAATAATTAGTAATATAAAGCTACTCTAGTAATAGGACTTAATTCTACTACTATTATAATACTTACTAAGCTATTCTAGAGCCTCTTTAATAAGAAGTAGGAGGGACCTAAGATACCTAAACCTAAGCCCTATATAGTAAAGAATACTTAGTAGTTATAAACTTTCTTATAAGATTTAGAGGAATACTTTAGCTTAAAGCTATAAGTCTATGGTAATAGTAACTATAAAGTTATATATATTGTAAAGCACCGGGAGCCAGAGGTACTTCAGGGTAATATAATGAGTTGCGAGTCGCCGGCATTCTACGGGCGAGAATACTGCGTGGGAAAACGTATGGGTGGTATTACTCAGAATCAATCACTTACCCTATAGTCCTCTATTATATGGTCTTCTATATATAGTCTTGTTTAGCTATGGTTATATAGTGCCAGAAGCCTGCTGTACCCTTACTATAAGGCTGCTATTAGATTACTACTAGGTTCTAGGGTATAATAATTACTCCCCCCCTTTATAGGGGCTTATCCATAAGTCCTATACTAAGCTAAATTTAGAATAGTCTAGATATTAGACTAATATAATACTATGATACTGCCTAAATTATTTCTTATTCTAATTATTTTTATATAATAAAGGCTTCTTCTATTATCCCTAAATAGTAATTATTATACTGTCATTTTATCTTATTATTAATAGTATTATAGCATTATTATTATTATTATTATTAGTTATTTTAGGATTTTATTATATTAGTTTCATAGAGTAATACTGACACGCGCTCCTATTATCTACTATTTATTTAATATACTAAATAGGATCATTCCTATTATTTCCTATTTATAATAGCTTCTAAATAGCTTTACTTATATATTACTTAGGCTTAGCATTGCTGTTATTAAATATAAATATAAGAAATTCTTCTACTTTATATAAAGGTAAGTTATCCAGTCCCCTTTATAAAACTATAGGTATAGTTACTTTAAGTAGTCCTTTTTCTATTTATTCTTTACCCTTATCTTTTAATATGAGTATCTTCATTTCCTATTTATTTAGTTATTATATTAATATTATAGAGATAGTAAAATATCCTTTAGTTAGTGCTACTGCTCAGGCTACTAAGGCTAAATATTATTAGTTAGTAGAAGCTAATATCTTAGTAAGTGGCTCCTTTTATAATAGCTTTAAGTAGTATTTATATAGATAGTAAGCTAATAGTTATATATCTATTATAGGGTTTAGTAGGCTTTAGCCTTATTTCCTTTTCCTTTACTAGGGGCTAGTTCCCCTAGGCTCTTAATAGCTTTATTTATATACCTACCTCTACTATTACCTTACTACCCCCTTACCCTTATCTCCCTTCCCCTTTAGGGTTATTTTTTATTAATAGTCTTAGGCTTATATTACCCTTTTAAGATACTACTATACCTACCCCTTACTTACTTCCCACTACTACTATACCTACCACACCTTTTAGTAGTTATTTAATGTGTGTTTACTACCTAGGCTAATTAACTAAAAATAAAGATTTTATTTATATATATCCTTATACTATAGTGAAGTATAAATACTATACCTATTTAAAGAAAGCCTACTTACTAGTGCCAGTTCCCTTATAAGCTATAGTTACTGGCACCCTTAGGTAAGGTGCTGGTGACTGGAAAAAGGCTATTAATAAGGTGGTGAAAGATATACACACCTTCTATAAGAGGGTAAATAGTAAGTTAGATAAGGCTTATTAGATATAGGCCCTGCAGTCCCTTAACTATAATATCTTCTTATTAGTAAATACCTTATATAAGTACTAGGGTATTGTCACACCTTGGGATCTCGCAATGGTACCTAACCTGTAAACTGTGAGTCAAGCCGGGAAATACTAACCTGTGACCCTAATCTAAGGATGTCAACAGTGATTAGGATGCTCCTATAAGCTGAGTGCTTAAGAACACAGTAAGGTAGTTAAAGAGAGAAGTAAGGCTAAGAAGTATGTATACTTCTTAATTAAGCTTAGGGATGTGTGAATAAGTGGGTAGAATAATTAGGGTAGTGATTAAATAGTAATTATAAGATAATAACTTATATTAATTATAAAGAACTATCTAGGTATATAAAATAAATGTCCTTATATATCTTTCCTTCTTATCTATAGTCCTCTAGATAGTCCTTTACATAGTATGCCAGCAGTATACTATCTTAGATACTAAGGTATATACCATCTATGATGGTATACTAAATAGTATATTACTAAGACATGGTACCTATATACCATATCACATGAGTGTGGTGGTATTACTAGATAGTGGCTATAAAGAGTATAATAATAGTAAATCATAATTCTCTATAATAAGAATATCCTTTCCTTAACTGCCTGTTTTCTACCTAATATAGTTATTAATAAAGGTACTATAATATAATCCCCCTCTCCTAGGATTATTATCCCTTAATAATTATAAATTTACTGTATCCCCTATTTAGGTAAGTTTCCTATTAACTTCTTTTCTTATTTTCCTGATGACTTATTATACTAGAGAAGTATAATTATTACTATAAATATACTTTATAGGTAGATAGAATCTTAAAAAATAGTATCCCTTCTAACCTTCCTTATATCTATTATTCTTCCTGTGGGGTTCCTTATATTATAGATTTAAAAAGTAAGAACTATGCTTTATATACTTATTATAGCTAAAAGTGTGAATACTAGTTTTATAATAAATAAGAGTGGTATGTACTTTAGCAAGAATAAGAGTATATTAATTAGGAAATTTAGGAGGCTAAAGAGGCTTCCATAAAAATATTCATAAAACTAATATACCTTTAAAAATATTAAAAATTCTTAAAAGAGTATAGTAGTTAGATATTAGAATATAACTCTAATCTTCTTAAATTACTAGATAAGGAGGATCCTCTAAGTACTAAGGATCTCTAAGAGCTAGACTATCTTACTAATAAGTAAGAGGCTGCTTAGCTTACTGCTATATTAGATAATCCTAGTCTAACTTAAATAATAAATTCCCCTTCCTTCTAGGCTAACTTTAATCTATCTACTAGTAGAATTCTTTCACTAACTAAGGGTAACCTATTAAGTTTAAGATAGGTTCCTATATATTTTTTAAGGTATTATATCCTTTCTATTTCACTAGGTAAAGTGGTTTACTACTAACTTTTTAATATCCTAAGATTTTCTTAACTTTATATTCTTATTTATTATTATTAATTTCTATATTTTAAGTAAGTTTAGTGTTAGCTGGTGCTGGTTCTAATAGTGAAATATAAAAAACTAGGTATATATATTTTATTAATTCTAGTAGTTATAAATAATAGTTAACTAGTCCCATCTTTTCTTTAATTATAAATAGCCCTA